ATCGGATGGTCAGGCTCGCTGACTTGGTTGATGCGTGCATGCCAATTGCGTAGATCGATGCTCATGATGTCAATAACTGGATTGTCTGGTCCAGACTCGATTATTTACAAACCGTCGTCATGAAGCTGGCATTATTGCGGCGTTAAACAACAAACAAACAAACCTCTCGCTTGTAACGAACAGCTAGGACAACAGCAAGCGAGGCAGAGTGTTTACCCAAACGTTGGTCCAGGCGCCTAAGGTGTGACATATGATCGGGGGATTGGATCTCTCATTCGCCCTGATTATGTTTCTTGCCTTGTCAGTACAATGCGTGGGTTTCACCAAAGTGGTAAACGTCGAAGTCCTGCATTACTATATATTCCCGAGTTGACTGACTTTAATAAAAGTCCAGTTTCCACTTGCCGAACAAGGCTGGTATTATGGAGTTACATTTTGGCTGGACTCACGAGTCTATGCATAGTCCAATCAAAATCGCCTAACGAAATCGACATCCGGTTAGTAAACTGTCGTGCAGATTTCGGTCGATTGCAGGATTTGCAAAGCATGTGCACCGCCCTCTCGTTGTCAACAGATATTTTCCAAGTCTTTTCATGTTTTGATCAAGGTGCTCACGTGATTTGATGCACTTCGCGATGTAAGACCCGTTTTATCACAAAATAGATCTTGATTACAGATCAGATCGCCATGACTGGGCGCCGCCATTTTGTTTGAAACAAATGCAAGTGATACGAGAGGTGGAATCTGATTGGTCCATAGGAGAGGCTTAGAAAGGATAACTCGTGATAGCCACTGGTGGCGCTACGATCGAACCCAGGAATTCAAGCCTAGTTCGGCAAGAGTGGAAACTGTACTATTAAAGTAAGTTAACTCCCTTGCCTCGGGAAGATGGCATTACTTCTGGCTTTCTTATTTCCGACTTCTTTTTGCCCTCTGTTTTGTCTTTTATGTACTATACTATACCTGCTTGGGGTGTCAGTCAGTACACGATGAGGTCGTTTGCGATTATGCAGTATTGGCTACGGTCGGCTACCCACGAATATCTGTTTAAAACACATGAGGACGAACCTCCCTTGTGATGAAAGGTTCAACGTCAAGCATAATTTGCTTGACTGTGTAGACTTTACAATTGCAAGGGATTCACTTTATCAAACAGTGAAACTGAAAGACCTTTTTCCCCACGCAAGCGGGCATCTCATTCTAAGCTACTTCAAAGAAATTGGGATGTATGATAAATTTTGAATATATATGTGAATAACTAACTGCTTGATTTTAAATTTGGCGTGTTACTTTTATGAACAGAAATTATTGAAGGCTCTGCCCAGGAGGTTAAAGTACCTTAAAATGGTTGTCCCCCTGTATGACACGTAATTCCTATCAAAATCCATGTAACTGTCATCAACCAGTGTTTTAAGCCAGCTCATTGCTGAGCAGTTTCTAATATTGGCTAGTATTGTGCACAACCACTAATAGATAAAGTGATGACGTGGGTCCTGCTGGGAAATCGTGCAAGAAATTGAGGCACCGTAAGTCCCCATGACCCCCAGCGAGGTGGCCTAGCTTTCGCTACTGGTGGCTCATAGCCCAGGTTTTAAACAATTGTAAAAAACCATTAAGGTTCATTTGTCCCAACACTAGTTCGTGACTGGGCGAGTCAGTCGGCAATGTCTCAACTGTACCACGTCCGTCTGTAGACAAGATGACGGGGATGCAGAGCATGGGTATAAGCGACTATGCTTGTCGCAAGAGGCGACTAACGGGATCGGGTGGTCAGGCTCGCTGACTTGGTGCACTTGGTTGACGCATATCATTATCCGAGGCAACAACACGGTGCCAAAACTCCCTCTGTGAGCACAGAACTGCTATTGTCGCACAACAGATCATATACATGACGACAATACATTCACACTGTCAAAAGTGATGTCAGGCCCATACGTCTACAGTATACATTAAAATAATAGCATATTATCACATTTGATGATACTGCCGCGATGCGTTACTGTACAGATATATACACACTGCTGTACAAAGTTAACTTCCCATTAATTCTTCAATAGTCACTGTAGCGAATATTTTTGCAAGAAGTGGCTGCAAGGAAAAATGTCTCTCTTTATATTGTCGCGAATGTCTTATATAAATGCTTGAATTCGTGTCGTTTTTACAAAACATACTTGCTATTTTTCAGAAATATGCTCCAAATATATTAACACAATTCACGTTTAACCAAAGATAGAAACACACTCTGATAAAACGGGCTATGTATTTATTTCCCATTCATTTACCGATAATTCCATAGTCTGAATTTATCATCGCCAAACACAGGCGCTACAGGCAGTCAGAGAATAATGGGTAAATGTTAGGTTTTATGGGGAAGGCTAGCACAGGCTGCGTTTCAGCCTTAGTGATATGTGGAGTTAAATGTGGTTATAACATCGCTTTAAAAAAATCAAGATGCATTTATGTAGCAACGTGTATGCACGTGTGTGTGTGTGTGTGTGTGTGTGTGTGTGTGTGTGTGTGTGCGTGCGTGCGTGCGTGTGTGTCTGTGTATGTGGTGTTGCTTACAAGTATGGTCCGGACTAATGCTGGTTTTATAGTCCTCGTCCACTCCCAGCCGACCAGTCCTTTAAACCCCCAATGCCGAGTGCCAGGTAGGAAAACAAGTACAATCTTTCAACGCCTTTTGGTATGTTGCCGGACCGCAGTCTTCAGCAACCCATGCTTGCCGTAAAAGGCGACTATACTGGTTGTAAGAGGCGACTAACGGGATCGGGTGGTCAGGCTCGCTGACTTGGTTGATGCATGTAATCGTATCACAATTGCGTGGATCGATGCTCATGATGTCAATCACTGGATTGTCTGGTCCAGACTCGACTGTTTACAGACCGCCGTCGTGTAGCTGGAATACTATTGAGTTTGGCGTTAAACAACAAACAAAGACACACATGGTATGGCGCGGCCGGGAATCCAACCAGTGTGTACCGCTCTCCGGGCAGACGCTCTGCATATCCACTGGACCATAGAGGCAGTTGTCTAACTTGATAAATCAGGATCTACAACTTTTCCTGGAATCGTTCACTGCACAGATCGATAGACTAAGTCTTGTTAATGTGAGCAGGGAACTGGGATTAGCCGGCACTAGGAAATGATTATGAATGGGGTCATGTTAAACAAAACACATAACAAACGTCGATAGCGCAGGTGGCTCATTGGTCTCAGACACGGCACTTCCCTGTACAGAGTTATGTCCCTTAGTCACGTCAGGATTTGCTGATCAATGTTCGACTGCAAGATTCGGCCTGGTCATACCAGTAAGAACAATATCCGTGTGCGTGGGTTTCACCAGTCACGCTTGGCTTACCTCTCACGTGCATCTGACAAGTCTATGTTGGGAGGTGAGTGAGCAAGGTTTGTTTGGTGAGAGGGAGTTCAGTGACTGCTTGAGGGAGGGGGGGAGGGAGGGTGGTGTAATGCCCTGATCTCCGCGGCCTCCCCAGTATCAAGGTAACGCCCCCGTAAACAGTAAACAGCGTGTTTACCTGGGACGAAGTGGAGACTGAATCGTAAAGGTGGATGTGTGCTGGCGTTACGCCTCACTACATGCACTCTGCCTTTCCTCTGTTGCTGCACATGTATGGACAAACATTTGTGGGGCGAGTTCAAGAGTTGAACGGTTTTCTCGGGAAGGACCTGTTTGTAAGGAATGACAGTATTCTCGGGAAGGACCTGTTTGTAAGGAATGACTGTATTCTCGGGGAGGACCTTATTCTCAGGAATGACAGTATTCTCGGGGAGGACCTTATTCTCAGGAATGACAGTATTCTCGGGGAGGACCTTATTCTCAGGAATGACAGTATTCTCGGGGAGGACCTTATTCTCAGGAATGACAGTATTCTCGGGGAGGACCTTATTCTCAGGAATGACAGTATTCTCGGGGAGGACCTTATTCTCAGGAATGACAGTATTCTCGGGGAGGACCTTATTCTCAGGAATGACAGTATTCTCGGGGAGAACCTTATTCTCAGGAATGACAGTATTCTCGGGGAGGACCTTATTCTCAGGAATGACAGTATTCTCAGTGAGGAGTGAGGTGGGGCGGGTGGGGTCGGTGGTTAGGGTGAGTGAGGTGGGGTTGGCACGGTGGGCGGGATGGGTGGGGTAGGTGAGTGAGGTCGGGTGGTTGCCTGGGGTTCGTTAAGTGAGGTGAGGTGATATGGGGTCATAACAAGACTATTGTATTTACATAGCGGTGTGTGTGTGTGTGTGTGTGTGTGTGCATGCGTGTTAGAGAAACTACAACTGTAGCAGAAAAACTATTGCTTACACCTGAAAAAGCACAAACCTCAATTTACCATCTATGCAGTAAAATATTACTTCAAATTCTACACAGTCGTGATTAACTTCAAAATCGGAATCTTTACGCACTTTGTGATTTTAGTGGTAGATGGTTTGTGACTTGACCACTGGACCAGGTATTGTGTGTTGGTTAAATGAATGGGGGTGGGTGAGTGAGTAGGGGTTGATGAGTGAGTGAGTTTGGTTTAACGTTGCTTTTAACGTGTGTGCGTGTGTGTGTGAGTGTGTGTGTGTGTGTGTGTGTGTGTGTGTGTGTTAGATGTAAGTGGGCAAGTATGGTGGTGAGTTAGTAGTTGGGTGAGTGAGTTGTGTTTAACACTGTTTTTAACAGTATTCCAGTCATATCACAGGGTGTCAGCTTAATCTGGGAGGAAAGCCCCAAGTGATAACGTTTACCACTTCTGTGAAACCCACGAGCACGGGTATGGTGCTGACAAACCTAGAAACATAATCGGGGCGAAACGGGATTCGAACCCGCAATCGTAGGTTTCTGGCGTGCCCAAGGGACGCAACTCTGCACAGTGAAATGCTGCGCCTTCTTCGACGACTGGGCCACCCGTGTCGCCGGTAAGCGAGTAAGTGGGTCGGGTGAGAGGTGGTGCATGGTTGGATGATATGGAAGTATATGAGAACACAAATTCATATTCCATATAGCAATCTTTATTCAGTAAAACAGTGTTCAACTTACAAATGCTGTAACTTACAGCAAGAGACAATAACAACGAGAAGGAGACAAAGACATGCCTCCGGACATGCACGTATATACAGTGGTACAACAATGATGTTGTTGACAGATTTGTGCTGTCACAGGTCTTAATGTCCTGTCTTCGGATGGAAGACGTGCTGTTTCTACTCAGGCCTAAACAAGGCTTATGTCAGCAAAGCTGTCCAAAAACCCAGTACCTCCAAAACCTTTTTCACTTAGTTACATTAATTACACAGGGTCGCTATCTGGTACTGATCACATGACATCTGAAGGCTCCATGCTGAAATGAATGAATATTGCTTTTCGCCGCATCAGCAATATTACTGCTATTTGTGGCGAGAACCAGTCAATAAAAATTGCAGCATCCATACTGAACAGAATGTTTTTTGAACCTCAGCAATCATCAATTTGTCCAATATAACGGCAATGTAAATTCTGTTAAATACACTCAAAATTGGTGTCAGTACTGAAATCTCTGTTTCTTGTATCAATGCTGTCTGGCATGTGACATTTATTTCTTTTCGACAAAGTCTTCATGAATTGAACCTTGGGTAGTAGAAGAGACGTCCCCACTGCGTTGTCTTACATGTTCTTCTTGTCAACATCAGCAGCAACAGACAGAACTCATCCAGAACATCATTGCACACCCCTCTCTCCAAAGTTACTATCCCGATAATTCTCTCTGGTCAGGGATAAGAATCGGTGAAGATGATTCCGGTCAGACATGGAGCAGACTGTAGCGCCGGATGGCAGCATCTCGGCAGGAGGTGTACACGTGGGATCCGTCACACGCCGTCCCGTACACAGGGTCGCAGTCCGCACCGGTCAACTCAACCCGCGTCTCCTGACGCTCGTCCACAAAGAAGCAGGAACCATCTCCTGGAAGACAACGTCAGTCAACTCAATATCAGTTAGGAGGAAATCACAGATTTATGGGACGTGTCATGCCTCAGATTGGATGGCGCTTAATTGAATTTTGAACCGAAGGTTGTGAATTGTTACCAAAAGGAGCTGTTGTTATGGTGATTTGCAGCCACTGATTGACCAATTGCTAAGGGTGAAACGATACACCGATATTCCGATGCATCGCGATACTTGACCCGCGATACTTGACCCACGATACGATATACGATAAACGTAGGCCCATTTATCGATACGCCACGATACGGAACGCAAATCTCAAGTACAGCGTTTCCTCACTATTGTGCCTTTCAATAAGCCGCTAACTTGGTTATAGCGCGCGGTAACGCATGGCTCCCAAAAACGTACTTACACTTTTAATAAGCTCAGGTTTTACACCGACAGATGTTTTTCCCCATCTCAAAAAACATTATCAGCTGATCCCCGCAAGCACATAACAATGGAAATACCTGTCAGCAAATCCGAACTGAAGTACGCAATTCAATACCATTATCATACTATCTTGTTATTAAAACGTGTTCATTGTATATCTGGACTTGTGTTTGTAATATATTTTAATAGTTTTTTCAAAATTTCATTTAATATTGTTTTCATTAAGTTATCTGAAATCGTGTGTGAAGAGATACAGCAACCACGGTCAGATTACCGCTTTTGACGCATTGAAACGAACTTTAGTTGCTAGAGATTGGATACATATATTAACAATGCCCTACTTTGACTCGTTAAAAGTCATATTTGTGGCAATTTGGCTAATATATGTCAACATAACGTTTTCGCAATTGAAATACATGTAGCACGAGAAGTCCCTAGGGTGACTGGTCAAATTGTTCCATGTGTAAAACTATCCTGCAACAGCAATCACCAGTACCAATATGCTACACTTGTGGTTCTTATAATTTTAAATATATATATAGTAAAAGCTGCAACTAAGGTAACACGATATTGGAATATATTATTCCTGATAAAACAATAATTTCAGATACAATTTCTTCGACCATTGCATCAAAATTCTTTGACGTTGTATCACTGGTGGAGCACATTAATTATTTTCTGGTGTTTGAACTTTGAATTGATTTTAAGGAAAGTTAGAGAAAGTTCCACTTTGAAGCTGAACAACTTCAGTAGTCTTGTTATTATAAAATAATTTTGACTGTTCCAAAATCATAAAAGGTTCAATCTTGACATGTTTTAAGTCTTGTTTTTTTATCATTGCGTATCGAGATAGTATCGTATCGAGATACGTATCGTATCGTGACCAGAATATTGAGATGCGTATCATATCGTGACCTTCCTGTATCGTTGCAGCCCTACCAATTGCAATAGAGTATTTACAAAGGCATGTTAGAACAACTATTTTTTAACCACCTATGCATCTGCTTGCCTTGTTTCTTTACCAAATTGTCTTTCTGTCCTTATTCAAATGTGGGCTGTTGTTGAAGAAAGGACAAATATATCTTGTAACATCTTGGAACATTTCCACATTTCAAAGTAATAAAAGGTGGTGTTTAACTGTTATAAGGATTGACCAGTGTACCTGTTGATGCAAAGAATCCTTGTTTGTGTGGCAGCAGAGACAAGATGGCCGACCGAGACTCCTGCCATTCCTTCACTGGCACCCTGACAAAAACAATTATGTCACATGTCAACATGTCACCAAACATGCTTTTCATCTTGTAGACATTTACAGTGCAAGCTGTGCAGGCTTTATCAGCTATAGTCCGGCAGGGAGAGCAAAAAAAGGGAATTTGTGGATAATTTTTTTTTATCCCGAGATTTGTTACACAATATATCTATTTTTGTATCTAAATTACATCGATCATCCTTAAGCATCTTAGTTTAAACTGAATAAAATAGTAATAACTGTAATATACAGTTTTTGGTAGACATGTTACCTATACCTTTGATTAATACATTTCCAAAAGACATATTCTAGTTAGTTGAAGGGAAAGCAATAGTGATATGCACCAGAAGTAGTCCTATATTCCGCACAATTAGCAAGGTAGATGTCTTCATGTTTCAGCAGCCATCTTGGTGGCCATCTTGAATATTTCATAACTGAAGTTCTGATTTCATGGTTGAATAAAAGACATGTGATCATTTATCTATGAGTGAATGCCAATTTTCTTAAGCAAAATCGACTTGTACTAGTCTGGATTTTATAGTGCTTGTGCTAAGATACTGCATCGCAGTTTAACATGAATGCCCCACTCAGACGCAGTATACTGACTCTGAGACGACCAGTCCTTGTTTTAGCCCCTTAATTCCAAGCACCAGGCAGGGCAATAACAAATACCATCATTTAACACATTTTGGTATGACACAGCCGGGGATTGAACCCAGACCTTCCTCTCTCTGGCAGATGCTCTCCCACTTGAACATGGAGGAAGTCAAGGACACAAGAAGCCACTGACAATGTCAAGGTGACCTGAAAACAAGGGCTTATCTGTGCATCGCAATGTGCAGGTCCCTGACTTAGTGCTGTGGCTTACAGAATTGATACATTGCATCTGCAGCATTACATCCCTTGCCAGGCAATCATTTACACAGCTGCTGCAGTCAGTTATTAAATCGATGATGTTGGACTACCTGATCACATGTTGTACAACCCTACCCATCATATCCCCTAACATGATGCAATTGTTCACGGTGGTACATTCCGATGCAGTGGAACGATTGTGACACATGGCTAGTCTTGTTTACTGGTGACAGTATGTTCAACATGTCAAGAGTTGTCTCCCTTTACCTGACGTTTCTGATATCCACAACGGTCAAGTGGCCATCCTGTGTCCCACATACCGCCTGGACATCCGACAGGAAGGCGACAACGTTGACCGCAGAGTGACAGTCAAGTTCAAATATCTGGACACAAATAAAACGTGGGTTAACAAAGGGCAGGTCAATATTGACTGATTGATATACCGGGGTAGTGATATATTGATTGATATATTAATTGATATATTGATTGATATATTGATTGATATATCACTGAGGGATCACTGAGACATGAAACTGCTGATTATCTTTGCGTCCATCCTTGGTAGTCCAGGGTATTATATCTACATTCAATAACGATACCCTGGAACCATTCACCACCACAGCTTTGGTTAGAGCTAAAGCTGAATGACACGAAATATGGCCGTCCAATAAAATTACACAAAAGAAAATCTGTGCTAAGACGGCATGATCAGTGATAAGAGAGAAGCAGATGGTGACGTCACTTCCGAAATGATGCTGATGGCAATGGATCCAGCGTTTTATCAAAATACAATAGAGATATAATGCATTGGATAATTGATAATGCATTACCGTGAATCATTGACTAAATATTTGTACACAAGACTTGAAAAAATAAAAGAATTGGTTCTCAGGCAATGTTTTTTGAAAACACAGTGCGGGCGGGCGGTGTCTTTTTATTTTTTTGGGGTTATTCAAACTAGCATGTAACCAAAAAAAGTTGGAAAAAACTGTTGGAACTTGGAATATTTAAGGATATTTTTGTTGTTGTTTTTAAATGGAGATGAAAACGAAAGCGCTGCGAACTTTATGATGATGCGGGCGGTGCCTGAGAACCAAGACTATTATTTCCTTTAGCCCAACATGTACTGACATAGAACCAGAGCCCAACATGGTGATACTGCAGAGTGCCAGCATGCCTCGTGAAGTCACCCACCTTCTGACGACTTCGTAGCCCGTAGCCCTGCAGTGTCGCATTCTCACAGCCCAGCAGTAGCATCCTGCCGTCTGTCGACACCTCTCTCTCACCTGGGGCGCGGAGAAGAACAACATATACAGGAAGTCTTTGCTTTTGAACAAAGAAATATACACACAGTATGAAAACATACAAATTATCTTTGGTTTTAATGGAAATATTTTGTACTGGTATAACTGGGTAACATCACTTACTGGGTAACATCACTCACTGGGTAACATCACTCACTGGGTAACATCACTCACTGGGTAACATCACTCACTGGGTAACACCACTTACTGGGTAACATCACTTACTGGGTAACATCACTATCTGGGTAACACCACTCACTGGTAACATCACTTACTGGGTAACATCACTTACTGGGTAACATCACTCACTGGGTAACATCACTTACTGGGTAACATCACTTACTGGGTAACACCACTTACTGGGTAACATCACTTACTGGGTAACATCACTATCTGGGTAACACCACTCACTGGTAACATCACTTACTGGGTAACATCACTCACTGGGTAACATCACTTACTGGGTAACATCACTTACTGGGTAACACCACTTACTGGGTAACATCACTTACTGGGTAACACCACTTACTGGGTAACATCACTTACTGGGTAACATCACTCACTGGGTAACATCACTTACTGGGTAACATCACTTACTGGGTAACATCACTCACTGGGTAACATCACTCACTGGGTAACACCACTGACTGGGTAACATCACTCACTGGGTAACACCACTTACTGGGTAACATCACTTACTGGGTAACATCACTTACTGGGTAACATCACTCACTGGGTAGCATCACTCACTGGGTAGCACCACTCACTGGGTAACATCACTCACTGGGTAACACCACTTACTGGGTAACATCACTTACTGGGTAACATCACTTACTGGGTAACATCACTCACTGGGTAACATCACTTACTGGGTAACATCACTTACTGGGTAACACCACTAACTGGGTAAAATAACTCACTGGGTAACACCACTTACTGGGGAGCATCACTCACTGGGCAGCATCACTCACTGGGTAACATCACTCACTGGGTAACATCACTCACTGGGTAACATCACTCACTGGGTAACACCACTTACTGGGGAGCATCACTCACTGGGTAACACCACTTACTGGGTAACATCACTCACTGGGTAACATCACTCACTGGGTAACATCACTCACTGGGTAACACCACTCACTGGGTAACATCACTTACTGGGTAACATCACTTACTGGGTAACATCACTCACTGGGTAACATCACTCACTGGGTAACATCACTTACTGGGTAACACCACTCACTGGGTAACATCACTCACTGGGTAACATCACTTACTGGGTAACATCACTTACTGGGTAACATCACTCACTGGGTAACACCACTTACTTGGTAACACCACTAACTGGGTAACATCACTCACTGGGTAACATCACTTACTGGGTAACATCACTTACTGGGTAACATCACTCACTGGGTAACATCACTCACTGGGTAACATCACTCACTGGGTAACATCACTTACTGGGTAACACCACTTACTTGGTAACACCACTAACTGGGTAACATCACTCACTGGGTAACATCACTTACTGGGTAACATCACTCACTGGGTAACATCACTTACTGGGTAACATCACTCACTGGGTAACATCACTTACTGGGTAACATCACTTACTGGGTAACATCACTTACTGGGTAACATCACTCACTGGGTAACATCACTCACTGGGTAACATCACTTACTGGGTAACATCACTTACTGGGTAACATCACTCACTGGGTAACATCACTCACTGGGTAACATCACTTACTGGGTAACACCACTTACTGGGTAACATCACTATCTGGGTAACACCACTCACTGGTAACATCACTTACTGGGTAACATCACTTACTGGGTAACACCACTTACTGGGTAACATCACTTACTGGGTAACATCACTCACTGGGTAACATCACTCACTGGGTAACATCACTTACTGGGTAACATCACTTACTGGGTAACATCACTTACTGGGTAACATCACTCACTGGGTAACATCACTCACTGGGTAACATCACTCACTGGGTAACATCACTTACTGGGTAACATCACTCACTGGGTAACATCACTCACTGGGTAACATCACTCACTGGGTAACATCACTCACTGGGTAACATCACTCACTGGGTAACATCACTCACTGGGTAACATCACTCACTGGGTAACATCACTTACTGGGTAACATCACTCACTGGGTAACATCACTCACTGGGTCACTCACTGGGTAACATCACTCACTGGGTAACATCACTCACTGGGTAACATCACTCACTGGGTAACATCACTCACTGGGTAACATCACTTACTGGGTAACATCACTTACTGGGTAACATCACTCACTGGGTAACATCACTTACTGGGTAACATCACTTACTGGGTAACACCACTTACTGGGTAACATCACTTACTGGGTAACATCACTCACTGGGTAACATCACTTACTGGGTAACATCACTTACTGGGTAACATCACTCACTGGGTAACATCACTCACTGGGTAACATCACTCACTGGGTAACATCACTCACTGGGTAACATCACTCACTGGGTAACATCACTCACTGGGTAACATCACTCACTGGGTAACATCACTCACTGGGTAACATCACTTACTGGGTAACATCACTCACTGGGTAACATCACTCACTGGGTAACATCACTCACTGGGTAACATCACTCACTGGGTAACATCACTCACTGGGTAACATCACTTACTGGGTAACATCACTCACTGGGTAACATCACTCACTGGGTAACATCACTCACTGGGTAACATCACTTACTGGGTAACATCACTCACTGGGTAACATCACTCACTGGGTAACATCACTCACTGGGTAACATCACTCACTGGGTAACATCACTCACTGGGTAACATCACTCACTGGGTAACATCACTTACTGGGTAACATCACTCACTGGGTAACATCACTCACTGGGTAACATCACTTACTGGGTAACATCACTCACTGGGTAACATCACTTACTGGGTAACATCACTCACTGGGTAACATCACTCACTGGGTAACATCACTCACTGGGTAACATCACTCACTGGGTAACATCACTCACTGGGTAACATCACTCACTGGGTAACATCACTCACTGGGTAACATCACTCACTGGGTAACATCACTTACTGGGTAACATCACTCACTGGGTAACATCACTCACTGGGTAACATCACTCACTGGGTAACATCACTCACTGGGTAACATCACTTACTGGGTAACATCACTTACTGGGTAACATCACTCACTGGGTAACACCACTCACTGGTAACATCACTTACTGGGTAACATCACTTACTGGGTAACATCACTCACTGGGTAACACCACTCACTGGTAACATCACCTACTGGGTAACATCACTCACTGGGTAACATCACTCACTGGGTAACACCACTCACTGGTAACATCACCTACTGGGTAACATCACTCACTGGGTAACATCACTCACTGGGTAACATCACTCACTGGGTAACATCACCTACTGGGTAACATCACTCACTGGGTAACATCACTCACTGGGTAACACCACTCACTGGGTAACACCACTCACTGGGTAACATCACTTACTGGGTAACATCACTCACTGGGTAACATCACTTACTGGGTAACATCACTTACTGGGTAACATCACTCACTGGGTAACATCACTCACTGGGTAACACCACTCACTGGTAACATCACTCACTGGGTAACATCACTTACTGGGTAACATCACTTACTGGGAGGGTTGTCAGGTGCACCAAGGTCAATGGAGTTTTCTGTCACCTCGACGGCACAGCTGTTGACGATGCCGCCACAGTCCTTGAAAGTTGTCAACACGGAACTCTGACCTACATCCCATAGTTTGGCGGTGCCATCCCTGCCACAAGACACAATGTTCCGACCTCGGTCGACCACCGCTGTCTCCAGGATACCTGCACAAGACAGTTGCCATCTTGTCAGTTGCTGTAATTTCAACATGGACACTGGCACATGATATTTTGACATATTTCTCCTAAAAGCTCAAGCAAGTTATAATTCTATTTAATTCTTATTATATTGGAAATTAGGATGACGAAAATATAAGCCAGAGGATTATGTATCTTACCTGATATTTTAAGTATATTTGCAACATGTACATCAAATTATGATTTATCTTAAACCAAACTCGGAAAGTTGCAATAGGCAAAAAGACCCACAAGAATGCCATTGATGTAAAATACATTCAAGTAAATGGCAAAATGACAACACAATGAGTGGCAGCACCTGCTGTATGTCCCCGGAGCGTTGCCGCACACTTCCCCGTCTCCACCGACCATATCTTCATCTGCATGTCCGCGCCACCGCTCAGGAGGACCACACCCGAGGGGAAGAACCGACACGTGTACACATCCCCCATGTGACCCTCGAGTCTCCGCTGGAAGCAACAAACACACAGATTTACAAAACTGGAAAAAAATTTGAAAATAAGATGAATTGGTTATACAGGACTGTTAAAGTCATGAGGACGTTAAATATCTGTAACTACCCGTTAAGATCTGGGTTAGAATAGGTCTTCAGCATCCCATGCTTGCCGTAAGAGGCGACTAACGTGATAGGGTGGTCAAGCCCGCTGATGTATGTCATCATATCAATAATTGTGTAGATCGAAGCTCATGATATCAATCAATGGACTGTACTCGATTATTTACAGACCCCCATCATATAGCTGGAATATTACTGAATGCGGCATTAAACAAGAAACAAAAAAAATACCAAACCTATCTGTAACCATGGTTACCAGACATGAATCAAGCCAGACTTCAGATACTTATTTTCTAGCTCATCAGTGAATAATGCTCAAGCTTCATGCCATGTCTGTAGCAGCTGTGCCAACCGACATTGTGTATTATCACCCACTGAGTACTGACAAAATGTCATGACAACCCTACAAGTACTTGATGATTGTAAATAACCTGCTGCCTTCGCACTTTATCTTGGTGTACATACCCTCACTTCTCCATCACTAGTCTGCCACACCAGCAGCTTGTTCTCACTGTCACATGACACACCCAGACCACCGGCCGTCACGTCAATACACGGGACCTGGAAATAAACAAGTAACTGTCACATGACACACCCAGACCACCGGCCGTCACGTCAATACACGGGACCTGGAAATAAACAAGTAACTGTCACATGACACACCCAGACCACCGGCCGTCATGTCAATACACAGGACCTGGGAATAAACAAGTAACTGTCACATGACACACCCAGACCACCGGCCGTCACGTCAATACACGGGACCTGGGAATAAACAAGTAACTGTCACATGACACACCCAGACCACCGGCCGTCACGTCAATACACGGGACCTGGAAATAAACAAGTAACTGTCACATGACACACCCAGACCACCAGCCGTCACGTCAATACACGGGACCTGGGAATAAACAAGTAACTGTCACATGACACACCCAGACCACCGGCCGTCACGTCAATACACGGGACCTGGAAATAAACAAGTAACTGTCACATGACACACCCAGACCACCGGCCGTCACGTCAATACACGGGACCTGGAAATAAACAAGTAACTGTCACATGACACACCCAGACCACCGGCCGTCATGTCAATACACGGGACCTGGAAATAAACAAGTAACTGTCACATGACACACCCAGACCACCGGCCGTCATGTCAATACACGGGACCTGGGAATAAACAAGTAACTGTCACATGACACACCCAGACCACCGGCCGTCACGTCAATACACGGGACCTGGAAATAAACAAGTAACTGTCACATGACACACCCAGACCACCAGCTGTCATGTCAATACACGGGACCTGGGAATAAACAAGTAACTGTCACATGACACACCCAGACCACCGGCCGTCATGTCAATACACGGGACCTGGGAATAAACAAGTAACTGTCACATGACACACCCAGACCACCGGCCGTCATGTCAATACACGGGACCTGGGAATAAACAAGTAACTGTCACATGACACACCCAGACCACCGGCCGTCATGTCAATACACGGGACCTGGAAATAAACAAGTAACTGTCACATGACACACCCAGACCACCGGCCGTCATGTCAATACACGGGACCTGGGAATAAACAAGTAACTGTCACATGACACACCCAGACCACCGGCCGTCACGTCAATACACGGGACCTGGGAATAAACAAGTAACTGTCACATGACACACCCAGACCACCGGCCGTCACGTCAATACACGGGACCTGGAAATAAACAAGTAACTGTCACATGACACACCCAGACCACCGGCCGTCATGTCAATACACGGGACCTGGAAATAAACAAGTAACTGTCACATGACACACCCAGACCACCGGCCGTCACGTCAATACACGGGACCTGGGAATAAACAAGTAACTGTCACATGACACACCCAGACCACCGGCCGTCACGTCAATACACGGGACCTGGAAATAAACAAGTAACTGTCACATGACACACCCAGACCACCGGCCGTCATGTCAATACACGGGACCTGGAAATAAACAAGTAACTGTCACATGACACACCCAGACCACCGGCCGTCACGTCAATACACGGGACCTGGGAATAAACAAGTAACTGTCACATGACACACCCAGACCACCGGCCGTCACGTCAATACATGGGACCTGGGAATAAACAAGTAACTGTCACATGACACACCCAGACCACCAGCTGTCATGTCGACACTAGGGATCTGGGAATAAACAAGTAACTGTCACATGACACACCCAGACCACCAGCCGTCATGTCAACACACGGGACCTGGGAATAAACAAGTAACTGTCACATGACACACCCAGACCACCGTCCGTCATGTCGACACTAGGGATCTGGGAATAAACAAGTAACTGTCACATGACACACTTATACCACCGGCCGTCATGTCAACACACGGGATCTGGGAATAAACAAGTAACTGTCACATGACACACCCATACAACAGGCCGTCATGTCGACACACAGGATCTGTGAATAAACAAGTAACTGTCACATGACACACCCAGACCACTGTCCGTCATGTCGACACTAGGGATCTGGGAATAAACAAGTAACTGTCACATGACACACCCAGACCACCAGCTGTCATGTCGACACTAGGGATCTGGGAATAAACAAGTAACTGTCACATGACACACCCAGACCACCAGCCGTCATGTCAACACACGGGACCTGGGAATACACAAGTAACTGTCACATGACACACCCAGACCACCGGCCGTCATGTCGACACATGGAGCCTGGGAATACACAAGTAACTGTCACATCGACACCCGGGATGTGGGAAGAACTTGCTGCTGTAGCACAAAGCAGTCATCTGCATATTAAATACCCGGGTACAGCTGGGATAGTTCTGACGATGTCTTGGCCTATGATGTTATATGAGCAGCCCCCCAGCTCTTACAGGGCTCCAGACACTGAAGCAGCACATGGAGATCAGTCAACATGAAGGATTCTTTACCGTGACAGTTATAACACCTTTAGTGTTTGCAGAGTGGTCATAACAGCGGTAGTCCACTTGTCCTTATAATGATAACATATAGCAAAACCCTTAAAAGTGGCAACTTTCTACTAGTCCTGATGATACCTTAACTACTGGGCAGTTTGGCAAGGACTACAGGACTAGTGCCAGTTTCTAACACTGAAAAACTGTAACCAATATACTCACACTTTTGTTCTGTTTATGTATGGCTGAGAATGAGATCTGTGGAGCCACAAACTTCCTGGTGAGACTGCCGAGCTCCCCGCTGTATCTGGCCGTCAGTGTGTACTGGAACAACACCCAGAGGGAAAACATGTCAGGTTACACAGGATATCAACCAGTACTATCACCTGTAGAGTCTACCAGTTAGAACAGTGCTAACATACCACATCCCTTCACCTGTGTGAAACTGGTCCTTACATATGATCAACAGTCAGACTGACTCAAGCTTGTACATGTTGTAGGCTGAAGCTAATTTGTATTTGTTATTGTAGAATGAGTATTGTTTATACTAAGCAGATTTTAATTGAAGTTTGAGGAAACCATTAATGTATTTCAAGAACAAATCATATCACTGCATTGTTTGATAGGCATTACTTAGAAGTTGACGGATGACAAAGTAGACACAATGTATGGATAATGACTTTGCAGTATTAAAGAAGTTGTTATCCATAAATTGTGTCTACTTTGATATCACTGCAATATACAAATAAAATAATTGACAATAAAAATCACATATTTAAATTAAATTTTAGCAACTGTAGCCCAACTATCAACATGATCAGAGTGAGTGAGTATGGTTTTACGCCGCTTTTAGCAATATTCCAGCAATATCATGGCGGGGGACACCAGAAATGGGCTTCACACATTGTACCCATGTCGGGAATCGAACCCGGGTCTTCGGCGTGACAAGCGAACGCTTTGACCACTAGGCTACCCGACCGCCCCTAACATGATCAGAAGACACTGTGATTCTGTGTCATAACCATGACAAATGGCCGGATGTTCCCTCACATCAGTCTCAGTCATCCAGCATACAACAAGATGACCAAGCTGTGTCCTCATCAATATCAGTGGGAAGAAGTCAGTCAGTGAGTTGATTTAGCGCTGCTTTAAACAGTATGCTAGGCATAGCATCACTTGTCAGCTTGATGTGGAAGGAATGCCCAAAGTGATGCAGGTCTAGGATGTTACCACTTTAGTGAAACCCATGAATGGGGGTATGTAGCTGGGAAATCTAAAACTATAACCAGGGCAAATCTGGGATTCAAACCAGGGATCATTGATATCTGTTACGCCTTTCACAGACACAACTTTGCACAGTGGTGCCTTTGATGAATAGACTTCCCCTAGCCCCCTGCCATTAGTATTACAACGATAATTGAACAGATCTCCCAAAATGTTAACAGATCCTGTATGTGCTGACTGCGTTGTCAACCTACCTTGGTGATGTTCTGTACAGAGAAGCCGTCGGTACCAGTGACCTCCGGAACCCCTTCCCGGGACATACCCTGGGTGTCCAGATGGCCATGCACACTGGGGCAGTCTACAACAGACAACTCAGTGTAGTAGATAAAACAATTGCATATATTACAACCATTACATAAAATGATAGTGCATCAGTAGATTGCGAAATCTTCTTACAGACAGTTCCATTTGGAAAAGCTTGTTCAACAAACAAACTCAAATATCAATAGATTCCAAGTGAAAAGCACATTGTGCCTAGTCAATGTATCTTAACCATCGCTGACTGATGGTTAATAGTGCCTTTATTACAATGCTAGGTTTGGCAAACAAAACGGGCTTCCTGGAGAGGGAGCTGCAAGAAGACGCACACAGGTATACTCCCAGCAAACAATTCTACGTTGTGACAACGTTGCGACAACGTTGACTTTTCGTTGCTACAACGTTGTGATGTTACGTTGTCACAACGTAATCCTGTAGACTCCCAGATTGGTTGCTACAACGTTGTGCGTAAACCAAAATACAACCAAATCAAGACGTTGTCACAACGTCCATTTTTTACGCTGCTACAACGTTTAACCAAAACGTCGCGACAACGTACCCAGCCAACAATTCTACGTTGTTACAACGTTGTGACAACGTTTACTTTTCGTTGCTACAACGTTGTGATGTTACGTTGTGACAACGTAATTCTGTAGACTCCCAGATTGGTTGCTACGACGTTGTGCGTAAACCAAAATACAACCAAATCAAGACGTTGTCACAACGTCCATTTTTTACGTCGCGACAACGTAGGTATCGCATACTGTTTACATATGGCGACACTACAGGCATTGCAGCACGTTGTTGCAATGTCCATGTAGATTAACGCCTGTTTTATTCCTCAATACCTCCCAGGCAGCCTGAAAAGTTTGTACCAATCTAGTTAAGACGTCAGGTACAAAGAAATACATTCTGCAAACTGAATTCACTTTAACCCTATCCATGAAACAGCAAGTCAATGAAATGCACTCTTTTTTGGCAGAGTTTGAAATACGGCCAAGATATAAATCTAAATGTTTTAAATTACATGTACAATTTGGTAATATAATATTCATTTTCCAAAACAATTTTCAAGGCTATGTGCAAATTGTTCACAAATGTTTCAACACAATTAAAAGATATTGGATTTTCCCACGAATTTGCAAATTAAAAACCATCAAACAATAAGCCCTGCACAAATTGAAACATTTAAATTTTCTTGGCCTTACCTCATACATTCAGCATTGAGAGCAACACTGTGACAAACAGAATAGTCTATGCATCTGATGTCCTAAGATCCATTAGGTAAACGAAATGACAATAGAATTCTGGTTGAGGTGACCTTTATTTATTTGTTAAATGACAAGTCAGAACATGGGCTGAGTTGCTGGGGAGCCTTTTCAGTCCTCAAATGAAAAGTCACAGGGATGATCTTCAACTGTATCCTCAGTCTCTCCTTATGCCTTGGTAACTGAATAAAAAATGACACAAATGTTATAAAATGGCAAGGCAAGGGACATATTTCTGACATAACAAAATAACGGTTGCATTCCCCAAAATAATGTTTTGATGTCTGATGTCAGTCTTTAAACAGTTAAAAACTGCTGAAAGTGCGAAGGCGCTGACACTAATACCATGATGCTCTTGGATCATACATAAGCAGAAAAGCTTTTAGCACTGAATCAGTGGTGTAACTTTATACCCCCGCCCTTTTAGATTGTGGGTATAATTAAATAAGAATCATCTAAATTTTAATTCTTGAAGATGTTTGTATATATTATTGAATCAGACATACCTTTCTGTCAGTGATATGTACTTTAAACAAATACGCTCCCACAATACTGTTTTCTCCACCTGAAAGAAAAACAGAAACCACAAAGTATCACATTCTTAAATAAACCAGTACTGTATAGATAAATCCCATTTACTTAGACTAATAGAGTATGATGTAACTGATAGTAATATTGGCAAATAGTTTTATCAGTCAACAGATCAACTGTAGTTTTTCAAAAGCAGTAACTTTACCTTTCTGCTGTACACTCAAACTAGTGATTCAAGTGAATATCATGGCTAAGTTTCTAAAACCTTATTTGAAAAATATGTACATAAATGAAAAATATATATTGCCAAATAAAATAAATAGTTCCCATATTTGAAGCAAGAATGTTGAATATGAATTATGAATTGGCCCACCAATAAGTGATAAAAGTGTTAACACTTTGGGGTATTTATCCTAATTAAAACTGTGATTTTTTTTAATACTTAGATCTACCTTAATATTTTCCATATTAATATGCCAGGATAGTTATATATGTTCTAACATTTACAAAGATTAGAAACATGGGGAAATAAACAAAATGCAATAGCTTATACAATACCAGACGAAGTTGAAACAGCTCTAAATATTTATTGAAATTTATTTGTCACTACGTTTATTAACATAGATCTAATACAGTTAAATATCGTTAAATATAATTCTGTAGTATGGTAGCCTACGTGGCAACATATGCAGATCGAAAACCGAAAGAATATGGTTGCTATCAATTCCATTGTATTTTTCATTGGTGCACATTGGCTACACCTATCTCACTTTAATCATCAACAAACGATGACCAACTCACTGACAATATATGGTGATATTTAACTTTTGACTATCGACTAGCTTATCATCACCAGAGAGGACAATACCGAAAACACCCCGTTATAGCGCGCGACGAGAGACTCGTTTTACTTTTGCTCGTTTTCATTAGAAAGGAGTCGGACATAGATCTAGTTATCGGAAAATGATGAATTGATTCTTTTTTCGGAAATAATAAAAATACACATGATAAGCACCTTGCTATGATAAACTTTATAGACAGCAGCAACAACCTGATGATCCACATTTAGGCTACTTCAGTCAGTGCTAATTAGGCCTTTTCGGAAACATCAAGTATGTTTCTGTCTCTTCCCGAAAATACGATTTTTTTCATAACATCATTGATCACTTTAGACTAGGGCTATAACTAGCAGCCTACAGAGAGTCGAGCTGAATACTTCCATTGTTTTGATTCCCTCTTTTCGCTGTATAAGAGAAATCTACTTAACCATTCCCATGGCCTGGATGAGCCACATTGTTGCACAAAAATCAAAGTCAGAAGATTAGTACATGTAAACTTTAAATAGTAATGATTTCAGAAATAACACAGAAGAAATGGCGATAACTGTCAGTGCGGTCAGTAGGCGATGCATAAGTTAGGCCTATTTACAAATCTACACGCTTACGAACGAAACCCGAACATAATATGACGGCCACAAAACGCCACCAGATTGAATTCTGGTCAAAAATATACCGCTTGCCCTTGGCAATTACCCTTGGTATCCATAAAATAATAATATGGAAAAAAGTCTTGGGCCCCCTTCACCTCTATCATCAAGTTCTGTGTATCATATTAATATCAACACTGACGCTCAGTGAAAATGACCGGCAAACTGCATTCTTAACCCTGCCACTTCTGAATAATACGATCCATTTAGATCATTTGACGCACTGCATGCACAGAAACATATCAACAAGCGCAGACTATTTTTGAAAAATTAACTTACCTCAATCGAATTCACAGATCATCTGTCCAGTTCCAGTTGCTGCACAATCACTTGCTTGTAATATATTATGTCCAGAGTGAGTTTGAGCTAAGATGGCTGGTGACAACAAATCTTCCGCGACAATGTGACGTCATTCTGACGTCACTTCACGAGGCAACAGGCTAAACTTTTCTGCAGTCGCTCTCACGCCGCAAAAAATACGCGCCAATTGTTTTTAACTGTAATATTGCTTGTGACAACATTTAGTTCGTTAATAGATATATATGTTTAAAAAAAAATAACACTGAGAGATGGTAGATCTACAAGTGGTTTCCTAAACATCATTTACAAAAAGTACTGTAATGTCCAAAGCACAACGTTATCACAACGTTAATTTGCAACGTTGTTGTAACGTTGTCACAGATATACACAATTACGTTCTCGAAATATTAGTATTAAGAGATGAAAATTCAAATGCCGAATATATAGAAAGGTAATGCATTACTAACTTGGTTTTCTGACAAATTCATGTTGATTTTGATAAAGCAGTTCTATTCCTTCTATTCTGTTCTATCGAGAAGCAAACTCAATAACGTTTTTACCGACGTTTCAGAAACGTAGTTACAAAACGTTGTGTGATGTCCAATGCACAACGTTTTCACAACGTGAATGTGCAACGTTGTTATTACGTTGTGAAATAACGTTGCAGGTCGACGTTAAAATAACGTTGTGACAACGTTATATCACGACGTTACCAATCCACAACCTTTCAACAACGATGGAAGTGCGAATCATGCATGTATGGCGAAAATGTTATTGTCATTGTTTGTTGTTTAATCGCCTCTTACGACAAGCACGGGTTGCTGAAAAGTGAAAACCAAATCTAACATTATTGTAATTTTCTGCCAAAATGTAGTTTATTTCGAGTAAACACCTTTGTTTTTACGCTTTTCGCGATGAAGACTATTTGACGTCGCACCAACGTATGAGAAACGTTGTCATCATAACGTTGCATGGCGCCCGATGCACAACATTTCCACAACGTAATTTTGCTACGTTGTGATTACGTTGTCACATAACGTTGGAGTGACGTGATAATAAGGTGTTTACACAGACTTTAGTTTATTTACGAGATGGAAATCCTGATTCCGAAGATATAGGTAAATAATGAATTACTGCCTTGTTTTTGGCAGAAATTGTGTCGATTTGTATGTAAAACTTTTGTTCATACAATTTTTGTTAAGGGGACAGTTGACGTCGCACCAACGTTTCAGGAACGATGTAACAAGACGTTGGGAAATATTCGATGAACAACGTTTTCACAACGTAAAAATGCAACGTTGTTATTACGTTGTGAAACGACGTTGCACAGTGACGTAATAATAACGTTGTGACAACGTTGTATCACTACGTTACCAATTCACAACTTTACCACAACGTTGTGAAAACGTAGTGTGTTAGCCGGGCTACCATTCAATAAGTCTTAAATGTTACAAAATTGTTACGAAACAGATTAATATACCCAAATGTCAATAAACAGGTAGGTAAAAAAATTGAATAACCTCTAAAAATTGTATACACCCAATCAAAATCAATCCTCTGGGTAAAATACCCAAATAACCAAAAGCATATCGAGAGCTCTGGGGTATGACAACATGAAGTTGTCCACCCATGTCGTCACCACTTATGACCAACTCGGGATCAGTTTCAACCTGGAATCCCCATGGTTTTCTTCATTGCGTGATATGTGCAGGAATAATAATGAAGTGTACCAGTGCATGTATGTGTGAAAAGAAAATCTCACACTCACTTGTACCCTTGTAGGTTATCCATGCTCGACCTTTCTCTTCTCTGAAAACACAATATTTCATCAAATGTATGTCTGCATAAAATTCAATTATCAATTGGCTATCCATGGAAAAGTGTATATTTTAATTGTTTTCCATAAGACTACACATCCCAGAATAGATGAGCTGTAGTACTGCAAATTAACCCCTACTATACACTTATCTTCCCGGGGCAAGGGAGTTATAACTGACAATAACAGTCCAGTTTCCACCCATGTTGCCCTTAAACTATAACACCACCACCAGTTTCCATGCTTGCCGAGCTAGAGTGTAATTTCTGAATTATATTTTGGCTGGACTAATGCATCTATAGCGCTCTCGATCCAGTGGCAGAATGTCGGCTAGCCTCATTAATGCAAGACGAGCACCCACAGCGCCAATTGTATCTGAAAAAGTGCGCCCGGTAAAGTGCAGTACTCTCCCAAATGTATTAGCCCTGTACCTAAAGTAAAGACGGGGCAGTTAAAGAGATATTATATATAGAGAGCTAGCTACAATTGATGAATGGTGTCCAACATATTGGCACAGGTAGCAACGACTTGCCAACATAGTTTGAAATAACCTACACTACTGACATATCACATGTGTAACACTACACATATGAGAAAGATGCGTCCATTCAAAAATATTACGAGAGGGCACAAGTAGATGTTGCTTTATCACGTACTTACCTCAAAGAATACTGCCAGTCACTTTGCAATATCATTCGCTCCATGGGCGCAGCCATTTTGCAGGAAACTGACACGAAAAGGAATGATTTGCGACACAAACAAATTATTTCATTTCTTTTCAGAAACCCTTATTTTCAAATAAACAAATCTGATTATGATGACAAAAATCACATCGAAACAAAGAGCCTCTAATTCCTCTAGAATGACCGCTGAGTAAACGTTATTGTTGTACCAACAGCCACAAATGAGTAGCCTACAAAATTACAACTTCCGGTTTTGTTCTGTAATGTTTTGATTGACGTTTTTACAGATTCTTTAGAGGGGCAATCATCAACGCACGGGGGGTGTCGTGTTGGGATTTGTTTACAAGTTAATTCTTTGCTTTCATATGTAGTCGATAGATCCTGTCAGTTGAGCCTCTGTACGTAGGAATATCTTTCGTACATCACTGAACAGGAAACGTCAGACTGCGCCAATCACTCATGCGTAGATAGTTTTGTTTACAAACATATTACCACGTGAACTACAATGGTTGAAGCTATAATACTTCTTACCTGATGTGAACGGAGACATTTTCACAGCTATTATACCATTATGAACACCTCATGGGCGCTCAAGAGGAAATTCCAAAGAGAAATTGATGTGAGTAAAATGACTTAAACTGTTGTGGGAATTTATCAGTATCAACTATATGCACGGAGACTTTGTGATCTGTGTTTGTTTGAGACGTTTTGAAACAGATAAGTTGCAGCAGCATTCATCAGGAATGTAACTTAACCCTATTCCATACTATTTAGATTTCCCATCAGATTGTCTCTGCTATGCACAGGGAGGTCTGTTAGCCATAGTCACTTCATTTAAGCATGGGTAGCTTTCTAAGTCAGACCCATTTCTTAGATTTTCAAGTACAAAGTCATGAGGCATTAGGTTGCCCTGCCAGCATCTCCCGACATGGGTACAATGTGTGAAGCCCATTTCTGGTGTCCCCGCCGTGATATTGCTGGAATATTTCAAAAAGCGGCGTAAAACCATACTCTCACTCACTCCTTATCGCATGAAAGACCCATCTTCCTATTCACATCATACACTCACATTGACAGTATGTTTTGGGTGTGCTTGTATGAAAATGTTACTGATATTTCTTTTGTTTTCAATAATAGACCCTCTTGAGCAATAAGATTACAAGCAGCATTAATTGATTATTTGGAGACATGGTTTAGTTTATTTATGATAACCTTGAGTCTGATGCTAATTATATAATGGCCACACACTATTTGCTTGGAGACCACTTAGTTTGCAGTTGAGGCAAAATGTTGTATGCGTTAACACCTGTTACCATAGTTATGTGTCCTGACTTTTATTTTTGGCATCACAACGTTCAAGGGGCAGTCAGAACGTTCCCAGGCTAACTTACTTGTTGATGTGGTAGGAGAAAGATATTCACGGAGTAGTAAGAACAATCCTTCTGAGGATGATTTGACGTAACAATTTAATGATTCCATCAGGATATTTTCCTGTGTTCAGCTTAATGTGGTGGTGCACCCTAATTGTGTCCATTCAGAAGTGAAAGTAACCACAAAGTTACTGCAAATGACTAGCACAAGTTAAAATTCAGCCGGGTCGTACATATATTTTAGTCAATGCGTTTAGACTCTCATGGCACTGCATTGGTATCAGTGAATTGGAATTCTGTGCCTTCCTGTTATTGTCTCAAGCTCAAAAGTCCTTGATGGTGAAATTCTTCTCCAAACCAAACTATATCAACACAAAATGTTCAAAATTTTATGTAATGTTTCCTTGTCCAATGAAAGTCACCATTTCTTGATTATGACTGTGGCTTTCAATCTTGAGACCTCCGAAGCACAACCTATTGTGTACACAAGATCATGGTCATTTCTACAATTGTTGGAGCTCTTGTAGTCATCTGTTCTTCATGATGCAATATGAAGATGTTTTACCCCTTATTGTTTTCATGATTACACAATGTGTCTTCTTGGTCAACTGGCCTGTCTGTTGTTTGCAGGTAGATTCATGATAGATCTCGGTACAGTTTTTTCCAAATGGAGTAAGCCAAAATATGACACTGCCATAGAAAATTAGCTTACCGTTTGATGAAATTGTTTTATCTTATAACCTTGTTGAGGATTGTTCTGACTTATCTGCGAATGTCACTGTCCTTCCACATCTACAGGTAAGTTAATCTGAGAAATAACTGGCCCCCGTACAGAAGCTCCACACACATTGCAGAGAGTAGTGGATGTGTCAAATATGGTATTGGATGAACCTTTATCTTTTGTGATTAATGTGCTGAAATATATTCTTATCTTAAAAAAGTTGTTAGGTAACTATATTTTTTTCTTACAGGAGAAAGTTCACACAGGTTTCCAACGTGTTCTACAGGTCACCCCAGATTTGATAAATCGACTTGGCTTGGAAAAGGAATTAGAGGTATAATTTCACAATTCTATTTAATAGAGGTTATCACGTGAGTGTGTTTGGGGATGGTAAATATCCTGCATTAGGAATACATAGTGTTTATTCCTAATACAGGATATTTACTATCCCCAAACACACAAGCGTGATAACCTCTTTATCATGTAATGTCATTCTTTAATTCTGTCCTTTAAAATTGCGTTCCCTCTCTCACAAACATTACCGAAACATTGCGAGTTTTCCTGGAATGCGCGCATTAATATGTATTACGTCACAGGGTAAGTGATGTGTCAGTCGGACAGTGACAGTAGCTAATATAGTTCCAACTGAAATCTGTTTGTTATACAGTGGCGAAGCAACATATACGCAAAACAACAGTTGTTTTTAATTGCCTTTCGCAGCAATCCATCGGTCTGTCCGCTAGAGTAACTGCCCTTTGTCAAAGGGAAGCTACTCTAACCCTAAGGGAGGCCACGTTCAGACGGTGTTGACAGTCAGTCTGTCCTGTCATAACGTTAAGAAGTGTAGTCAGATGTACACACAGCGACAAAACGAAACAAGGTAACAATTCAAACATATTTCGGCTAGATCCAACTATTTTAATTTGTGGAGAATGTTTGAAGCCGCAGAGGTCTACAAGCACAGATATGGCTACTGATCCCGCTTTGCTAGGCCCCGTTCCCTCGCAAAATTGTTTCGAAATTTATATCTCCAAAGTTGCCAAAACTTATAAGATGCCCTATGTACGTCACAGTTAGACACTGATTTTCAGTATATTAGACTGTTCTTTTGATAATGATAGCAATTATCCCTGTAGTTTATCCAGATTCCCGATGGTTAATTCTGACTCGATCGCTGAATGTTGAGGGCGACGCCATGTTTGTTTATAAACAGTGAAAGTAGTCCCTACTTGACCTTTGATATTTACATCTCTATCTGCATATGACCCCAACGGATATCGTTTTTATCCGTTGGCTTTATCCTGCTGAGAAACCTACCCATTATATGATAAAGAGGATTTATTTGTTTTTGTTGACAATTACAAATACAACAACATGCCCTGAAGTGATTCATCTTTGGGTCGACGGCTTTCTAACCATGCTCACAGGTTCAGAGCATCAAACTGTATTCCCTGCACCTAATTATTATGATTATAGGTGAAAATGAAATTGTTGTTATTTTCTATATCTGTCACTTCTATGTTATTGTATTGTAGGTTGTATTGTTCCTGATTGTGTTGTATTGACCCTGATTGTGTTGTATTGACCCTGATTGTGTTGTATTGTTCCTGATTGTGTTGTATTGTTCCTGATTGTGTTGTATTGACCCTGATTGTGTTGTATTGTTCCTGATTGTGTAGTATTGACCCTGATTGTGTCGTATTGACCCTGCTTGTGTTGTATTGTTCCTGATTGTGTTTTATTGTTCCTGATTGTGTTTTATTGACCCTGATTTTGTTGTATTGACCCTGATTGTGTTGTATTGTTCCTGATTGTGTTGTATTGTTCCTGATTGTGTTGTATTGTTCCTGATTGTGTTGTATTGTTCCTGATTGTGTTTTATTGTTCCTGATTGTGTTTTATTGACCCTGATTTTGTTGTATTGACCCTGATTGTGTTGTATTGTTCCTGATTGTGTTGTATTGTTCCTGATTGTGTTGTATTGACCCTGATTGTGTTGTATTGTTCCTGATTGTGTTGTATTGACCCTGATTGTGTTGTATTGTTCCTGATTGTGTTGTATTGTTCCTGATTGTGTTGTATTGTTCCTGATTGTGTTGTATTGGCCCTGATTGTGTTGTATTGTTCCTGATTGTGTTGTATTGTTCCTGATTGTGTTGTATTGACCCTGATTGTGTTGTATTGGCCCTGATTGTGTTGTATTGTCCCTGATTGTGTTGTATTGGCCCTGATTGTGTTGTATTGTTCCTGATTGTGTTGTATTGTTCCTGATTGTGTTGTATTGACCCTGATTGTGTTGTATTGTTCCTGATTGTGTTGTATTGACCCTGATTGTATTGACCCTGATTGTATTGTTCCTGATTGTGTTGTATTGACCCTGATTGTGTTGTATTGACCCTGATTGTGTTGTATTGTTCCAGGGGCACCAGGGCTGTGTGAACTGCCTCGAGTGGAATGAAGACGGCACGTGAGTACCTACCATCACATTCAGAATGAGGACAAAGTGTTTTTGTTTATGTGATACTATTAATAATAAATATTTAATAATAATAATATTTAAGTAGATTTCATTCCATTTTAGTGACCTATAAATTTATATATATATATCAAGGCAACATTGCAATATTTCTACCATGATTTTAGAACATACTCAGTTTTTATAGGCCAGTCAGAGTTATCAAAACCAAATAACCACCTCTGACCGAAAAACACCCATGATTCACTGGTGCATGTTCTGTTACACATTCAATCATACATGATTAAATCAACAGGTAGCCTTGCTCCTTGTATCTAACAAAGTCGAAACCATGACTCTTATTGTAGTGCTGATTTGATAATTAGGATAAAGCCGGTATAACAGATTATTTGTGTTAACAGGCGGCTAGCAAGTGGCTCGGATGATGTTCAGGTGATCATCTGGGACCCGTTCCATCATCGCAGTCAGACTACAGTGAGAACTGGCCATCAGGGAAACATCTTCTCTGTCAAGGTGAGAACTGGTCATCAGGGGACCATCTTCTCTGTGAAGGTGAGAACTGGTCATCAGGGGACCATCTTCTCTGTGAAGGTGAGAACTGGTCATCAGGGGACCATCTTCTCTGTGAAGGTGAGAACTGGTCATCAGGGGACCATCTTCTCTGTGAAGGTGAGAACTGGTCATCAGGGGACCATCTTCTCTGTGAAGGTGAGAACAGGTTGTCAGGAGACCATCTTCTCTGTGAAGGTGAGAACAGGTTGTAAGGGGACCATCTTCTCTGTGAAGGTGAGAACAGGTTGTCAGGAGACCATCTTCTCTGTGAAGGTGAGAACTGGTCATCAGGGGACCATCTTCTCTGTGAAGGTGAGAACAGGTTGTAAGGGGACCATCTTCTCTGTGAAGGTGAGAACAGGTTGTCTGGGGACCATCTTCTCTGTGAAGGTGAGAACAGGTTGTCAGGAGACCATCTTCTCTGTGAAGGTGAGAACTGGTCATCAGGGGACCATCTTCTCTGTGAAGGTGAGAACTGGTCATCAGGGGACCATCTTCTCTGTGAAGGTGAGAACTGGTCATCAGGGGACCATCTTCTCTGTGAAGGTGAGAACAGGTTGTAAGGGGACCATCTTCTCTGTGAAGGTGAGAACAGGTTGTCAGGAGACCATCTTCTCTGTCAAGGTGAGAACAGGTTTTCAGGGGACCATCTTCTCTGTTAAGGTGAGAACAGGTTGTCTGGGGACCATCTTTTCTGTTAAGGTAAGCATAGGTTGTCAGGGGACCATCTTCTCTGTCAAGGTGAGAACAGGTTGTCTGGGGACCATCTTCTCTGTTAAGGTAAGCATAGGTTGTCAGGGGACTATCTTCTCTGTTAAGGTAAGCATAGGTTGTCAGGGGACCATCTTCTCTGTTAAGATAAGCATAGGTTGTCAGGGGACTATCTTCTCTGTTAAGGTAAGCATAGGTTGTCAGGGGACTATCTTCTCTGTTAAGGTAAGCATAGGTTGTCAGGGGACTATCTTCTCTGTTAAGGTAAGCATAGGTTGTCAGGGAAGCACCTTCGGTGTCAAGGTGAGAACCAGTCATCAGGGAAACATATTCTTCATCTAGGTGAGAACAGGTCGTCAGGGAAACCTCTTCTCTGTCAAGGTATGTGTTCCGACATCGTGATATGGGTGGCAGTTGTGAAGAATAATGTATTAATGACATATAATACCTGAAAACGTTGGCCCACCTGCTTAAACATCGTGTGCTAAGAGATGAACATATTGTTGGGTTTGTATTATGGAAGATTTGTGATCATGTCTCTGAAGTCTTTAATATTGACTATAAGTAACAGCAGGCCCTTGGCAGGCTGTTGACTTTCAACAATTGGACAGTCCTCTGCAATTCTCCTTACCACTGGCAAAAGGACTAGCTGTTAATTGAACTCTGTTCTTGGTTAGTAAGAGATTTGAAATGGTTCTTTAGGAGAGATTTGAATTGCTTGTTACTAAGAGATTTGAATTGGTTGTTGAATCTGAATTGGGTGTGCAGTTCCTGCCCAACTGTAACGACTCCATGGTGGTGACCGGAGCAGCGGACTGCAAGATCCGCGTGCATGACCTCAACCTGAAGGACACGACGCAAGTGTTCAGCTGCCACGCTGGGAGGGTCAAGAGAATCGCCACAGCACCCAATGTGCCCTTCATGTTCTGGAGTGCTGCTGAGGACGGCACTGTCATGTGAGTTGTCGATGATGATTATTATCATTTATATACTGCAGGAGATTCTACATTTTGGCTACAAAAGGCAGTACAATCATTGTGTTGTTATCGTCATGTGTAGCAACAGCATAATCAGTCAACACTCCATGCTGCGCAAGTACAGGGCACACAACCAGCTGGTTTGTAGTTGTGCAGACAGACAGATGTCCTGAACCAGAGTTTCCGTTTCACACATGCTCATTAACTTGTTTAACATTATTAGGGATTAACCTTGACCTTAAAGGAGGACAAGGAAGAGGTTTGAATGTATTGTATTTTGTATATCAATGTTAAAATGTTTAAGTTATAACTTATGAAATCCAAACTTGGAACAAAGTAACAATTCCCCCCAATTTGCTTCTCAAGGGCTGTTTGGGGCACGGGTGGCCCAGTCGTCTCAGGCGCCAGGATTTGCTGTGCATAGATGCGCCCTTTGTGCCTGCCAGAAACCTATCATTGTGGGTTCGAATCCCGGTTCACCCCGATTGTGTTTCTAGGTTTGTCAGCACCATAACCATACTCGTGGGTTTCACCGAAGTGCCACACGTCTGAGACCTGCATCACTTCAGGCTTTCCTCCCACATTAAGCTGACACGCCGTGATGTAACTGGAATACTGTTAAAATTGGTGTTAAATGCAACTCACTCACTCACGCACTCAAGGGCTGTTTGTGTGGAATCCTAGATTCATCCCAGGTTCCAAATGCCTCTCGTCTAATGTTCGGTACATTGAATTTTCTCTTGACATTACAGGCAGTTTGACCTCCGCACCCCCGAGTCGAGTCAGAATAACCCCCGGAACGTCCTCATCAACCTCCTGGCTCACATGGGGGAGTATGCCGAGGCTAAGTGTATCTCCATCAACCAGCTGCGACCGGAACTCATAGCCGTGGGGGCCAATGACCCCTATGTGCGAGTGTACGACAGACGCATGCTGACCTGCCGTAGCATGAAGTTCCCTGGAGACTTCAACAACAGGTGAACACATATGCTGCTCCATCGTCAGGATGTTCACACTGTTCCTCAGTTACCCTGAGTATTACATTATAAGTTGTAGCAGGATCATGAGGGTTCTTGCATTGGTTTTTATTCATGAGCGGTACATGGGGTTTTATGCGTCCCACGTTAGATTTTATACCACGAGCCTGGTCCTGCTACAACAAATTTATATTACCAACATATTTTAATATGACATTAAAGAGAATTAAAACAAATTCAAAATTGATTGAAAACACCTGGTTGATTGAGCAGAGGTTAGCTTGTGCTTTGTCACGTTGACAAAAAAAAGAAAGTGTGCAGCTTTTTGCTTGGAAGCAGGATATAAAAGACTATATTTTGCTTCTCAGAAATCCATGTGCAGCCTGACTTGTTCGTCGTTGGGTATAAGGGATTTATTCACCCACTTAGAAATTTATTTCCCTCCAAGGCAGCATACACAATTTTTTGTCAAGATCACTTGGACCAATCTGAGGCATGTTCAGGAGGGCGAGCGACCTCGTGAGAGTACAGTGAGGCAATATCACACCTTTCTGAACGGGAGCTGCGTACTCGCTCTCGCGGCACAGCATCCAAAATGGCGTCGCCGGGGATCAAAACAGCCATGTCCACATTTTATTTCATCACAAGTTTGATGGGTTCATACTTTGATGTTCATGATAACAAAGTGTTTATTTTTATTATTAGTTACATGTCCCTGTGCTGGACCAGACAATCCAGCAGTCGACATGAGCATCGGTCTGTGCAATGGGGATACAATGACATGCATCACCCAAGTCAGCGAGTCTTATCACTCGATCCTTACGGCAAACATATGGGTTGCGGAAGACCTATTGTCTACCCTGATCATCACGGGTCAATATATTGAAAATGCAAAAAAAACTTTTTGATGGTAGATTCGGTTAGCTGTGTTCAACAGCGCACGCTCGCGTAATATCGCTTGCGCCCGCCCTCCTGAACAAGCTCAGTTCTCATCATTCGGACATGGAGGTGTGATAAAGCTATTTGTGAGACTAACCTGACTGTCATGTAGAAGCAAGCAGCCAGTCTACTCACTTCCTGCATGGGGCCTGACGGAGCATGCAATAACCAGCCAATCAGATTCAGTTTGCAGACATACATGTTGTTCAAAGCTGTTCAAAGTTTCCTTCTACTGCTAGTTATTTATCTAATCAGTTATATTGGCTCTGCAAGTGACTTTTCTTAGGGTCACAAATCAGTTACAACTGATGATTGCACTGTGCTGGTATTTCCAGTGTGGGTGTGTCACAGTGACCTGTGTGTAAACTAGGTCTCCATCATTCCATGCTTGCTGTACAGATTCCCATGGGAGCATCCACACCTGGAGCTGATGGACGGGGAGGACTACACCCTGCCTCCTGGCTGCGTCAGCTTCTATGTTGCAGGTACACCACCCTGGCTTCCTACATTCCCAACCATGGCTACCTGTATACACTGCCCTGGCTTCCTATATACCCCACCCTGGCTTCCTATATACCCCACCCTGTCTTCCTACATTCCCAACCATGGCTACCTGTATACACTGCCCTGGCTTCCTATATACACCACCCTGGCTTCCAATATACCCCACCCTGGCTTCCAATATACTCCACCCTGACTTCCTACATTCCCAACCATGGCTACCTGTATACACCACCCTGGCTTCCTATATACACCACCCTGGCTTCCAATATACCCCACCCTGGCTTCCTGCATACTCCACCCTGGTTTCCTATATACACCACCCTGGCTTCCTATATACACCATCTGGCTTCCTGTATACAACCCCCTGGCTTCCTATATACACCACCCTGGCTTCCTATATACACCACCCTGGCTTCCTATATACACCACCCTGGCTTCAAAAATACCCCACCCTGGCTTCCTATATATCCCACCCTGTCTTCCTATATACACCAACCTTGCTTCCTATATACACCACCCTGGCTTCCCATATACACCACCCTGGCTTCCTATATACACCACCCTGGCCTCCAATATACCCCACCTTGGCTTCAAAAATACCCCACCCTGGCTTCCTATATATCCCACCCTGTCTTCCTAAATACAGCAACCTTGCTTCCTATATACACCACCCTGACTTGCTATATACACCGCCTGGCTTCCTATATACCCCACCCTGGCTTCCTATATACCCCACCTTGTCTTCCTTTATACCCCACCCTGGCTTCCAATATGCCATACCCTGGCTTCCTATATACTCCACCTTGGCTTCCTATATACACCCCCCTGGCTTCCTATATACCCCACCCTGTCTTCCTATATACCCCACCCTGACTTACTATATACACCACCCTGGCTTCCTATATACACGACCTTGGCTTCCTGTATACACAACCCTGGCTTGCTGTGTACCCCACCCTGGCTCCCTACATACCCCACCCTGGCTTCCTATATACCCCACCCTGGCTTCCTATATACCCCTCCCTGACTTGCTATATACACCATCCTGGCTTCCTGTATACACCACCCTGGCTTCCTATATACCCCACCCTGACTTGCTATATACACCCCCCTGGCTTCCTAAATACACCACCCTGGCGTCCTGTATACACAACCCTGGCTTGCTGTATACCCCACCCTGGCTTCCTACATACCCCACCCTGGCTTCCTACATACCCCACCCTGGCTTGCTATATACCCCACCCTGGCTTCCTACATACCCCACCCTGGCTTCCTATATACCCCACCCTGACCTCCAATATACCACACCCTGGCTTCCTATATACACCACCCTGGCTTCCTATATACACGACCTTGGCTTCCTGTATACACAACCCTGGCTTGCTGTGTACCCCACCCTGGCTCCCTACATACCCCACCCTGGCTTCCTATATACCCCCCCTGGCTTCCTATATACCCCTCCCTGACTTGCTATATACACCATCCTGGCTTCCTGTATACACCACCCTGGCTTCCTATATACCCCACCCTGACTTGCTATATACACCCCCCTGGCTTCCTACATACCCCACCCTGGCTTGCTATATACCCCACCCTGGCTTCCTATATACCCCACCCTGGCTTCCTACATACCCCACCCTGGCTTCCTATATACCCCACCCTGACCTCCAATATACCACACCCTGGCTTCCTATTTACCCCATCCTGTCTTCCAATATACACCACCCTGGTTTCCTATATACAACATCCTGGCTTTCTGTATACACGACCCTGGCTTCCTACATACCCCACCCTGACCTCCAATATACCACACCCTGGCTTCCTATATACCCCATCCTGTCTTCCAATATACACCACCCTGGTTTCCTATATACACCATCCCGGCTTCCTGTATACACCACCCTGGCTTCCTATATACCCCACCCTGACTTGCTATATACACCCCCCTGGCTTCCTATATACACCACCCTGACTTGCTATATACACCCCCCTGGCTTCCTATATACCCCACCCTGGCTTCCTATATACCCCACCTTGTCTTCCTATATACCCCACCCTGGCTTCCAATATACCACACCCTGGCTTCCTATATACCCCATCTTGTCTTCCTATATACCCCACCCTGGCTTCCTATATACCCCACCCTGGCTTCCTATATACACCCCCCTGTCTTCCTATATACCCCACCCTGACTTGCTATATACCCCACCCTGGCTTCCTATATACACCACCTTGGCTTCCTGTATACACAACCCTGGCTTCTTATATACCCCACCCTGACCTCCAATATACCACACCCTGGCTTCCTATTTACCCCATCCTGTCTTCCAATATACACCACCCTGGTTTCCTATATACAACATCCTGGCTTTCTGTATACACGACCCTGGCTTCCTACATACCCCACCCTGACCTCCAATATACCACACCCTGGCTTCCTATATACCCCACCCTGGCTTCCTATATACCCCACCCTGGCTTCCTATATACACCCCCCTGTCTTCCTATATACCCCACCCTGACTTGCTATATACACCACCCTGGCTTCCTATATACACCACCTTGGCTTCCTGTATACACAACCCTGGCTTGCTGTATACCCCACCCTGACCTCCAATATACACCACCCTGGCTTCCTATTTACCCCATCCTGTCTTCCAATATACACCACCCTGGCTTCCTATATACACACCACCCTGGCTTCCTATATACCCCACCCTGACCTCCAATATACCACACCCTGGTTTCCTGTATACCCCACCCTGGCTTCCTATATACCCCACCCTGACCTCCAATATACCACACCCTGGCTTCCTATTTACCCCATCCTGTCTTCCAATATACACCACCCTGGTTTCCTATATACACCATCCTGGCTTTCTGTATATCCCACCCTGGCTTCCTGTATACACCACCCTGGCTTCCTATATACACCACCCTGGCTTCCTGTATACCCCACCCTGGCTTCTTATATACACCACCCTGGCTTCCTATAAACAAGGGATATAGCTAGATACAATACCTCATATTTATCTCTGTAGTTGGGATTAGGATTTGGGGATAAGATAAGCCTTATCTAAACAACATGGTAACATCAGATGACACACTACATGAGCCCACAGACAATCGGAGAATTTCTCTTCCCATATATCCTAGTGGCAGTTAATTTCTGTCACCATATGCACTGAGTTTAGACTGATGTGATGTTACACATGCATGTTGTTGAGAGTTTGGTTTCGCTTAGAACCAACAGCATTAGGATGTTAACATTCTGCACATCAAAAGTTTAATTACACCACCTGACACACACAATGTTCATCCACAAATATATTTCCTAAATCAACTTTTCCTGCATCTTGTGTACAGGTCACTTACCCCAGAAGCAGTCTGACTACAAGAAGAAGTACCGCACACTGGCGGCGACCTACGTGACCTTCAGTCCCGATGGCTCGGAGCTCCTGGTCAATCTCGGGGGAGAGCAGATCTACCTGTTTGATGTTAACAGGAAGAGGCAGGCCCAGAAGTTTGACCTGAGTCACTTCCTCTCCCCTAACGGAGTAGTCAAAGGTGGGACCAGTCATACTGAGATTGTTGAAATACAGCATGCAGTCTCTGCCAAAAGCTCTCTGAGTCGAATTGTCAAAACTCACCTGTTGACAACATTATGAAAATGTTTTAATGGTAACATATGGGCTATTATGGCGGTCAAGTCAGAAATGATTTTTCCTTGTATCAGACTTTGGAGAAGTAGCATTACGTCATGAGCATTGCTAGCTGGAAATGAAAAGGACAATCTCCTTGTGTTGAATAAATACTATAAACGTTTTATTTGTATGAGAGAACAAAGATAAAACTTTAAGTAAGTGAAGTTAATTTTCTTTTGTAATTATATCAATGTTCTTTGTAGTGTATGCACACATTAGCATTGTATGGATGTGGGGACATGGGTGGCCCAGTAGTCTAAGGTGCCACAATGCTATGTGCTGAGTTGTGTCCCTTTGGCACACCAGAAACCTATGATTTAGGGTTCGAATCCATTTTGTCCTGATGTGTTTAGATTTGTCAGCACCATACCTGTGCTCGTGGGTTTCACCGAAGTGGTAAACATCTGAGACCTGCATCACTTCGGGATTTCCTCCCACATTAAACTGACACACCAGGATATAACTAGAATACTATTAAAAGCGGTGTTAAGCCCAACTCACACACATTGTATTGATGTAGTGATTGTGTGTAGTTACTGACGTCTGATGAATGATCCACATCCTGCGGTTCCATGTTCTAGAAGCAGCAGCCGCAGCAGCATGTTCCCACACCAATGGATTCAGTTTACATCGAAATGGCACCACCAACGGCGTGACGAACGGTGTAACCAAACACTCGGTGTTGACGTCGTCAGCGGCCTGTGTAGCTGCCAGAGACAGCGACGATGCCATGCCCAAAACAATTAAGAGGTACGGAGGAAATTATTATACATGTTTATACTTGATTGATTAATAATATACTGAACGTATAAGAAACGTCACCTCAAGTAACATTGCATGAAACGTCATTTAAATATCTGGGTAATTTTTGTCAAAGTTTCTAAAATTTAACTTTAACTTGTCCAGAAAAATGCAATTTGTTGATAAAAAAACAAAGCAGATGACAATAAAACCGATTGCCCAAACGCATCACGGCAACAACCATGGTAACCTGATGCACGTGAGTTACGTGCAAATTGAAATGCATATGCGTTCCCCCATTTCTTGCCCTATAAAAACCCACCCAGATCGGATACCATTCATTCGTTATTGAATTGCTACCACATGCCAAGATTGACAAGAAATCAGCGACATCAAGCCTTGGACGATTGCAAGCTGGACAAACCGCCCGGCAAGTAGCCAATGCATTTCAAGTCCACGTAAGGACCATATACAGGCTCCAGCAACGGTACTGGACCACCAACACTACAGATGACAGACCCCATAGTGGAAGACCAAGGGTCACCACCCGACGTCAGGATCGTCAGATTGAGAGACAGCATCTCAAGATCGCTTTGTTACTGCTGCGGAAACTGCTCGACAGACCATGGGGACACACCAGTGACACATTAGTGTGGACATTGTGTGCCACTGATTGACGCTGCAGCCATTAATGCACATGTTGGACACACGAGATACTGACTTGTGATGCCATTTTCTTAGAGACTAGTGTTGTGTTTCACTTTAAGAACATTTGACACTTTAATTTCAACCTTGAAGATCAGTTTTGCCAAGTTTCATCTTTTTGATATGTCTCAAAGTATGTTTACAGTGTTTGGACAAATAAGGTTTCTCATATATCTATCCATGGTGACGTTTCTTTTGCAGTTCAGTATACATGGCATGAAATCAAATTCTGATGTTTTGAATATTCTTGAATGTACTATTAATTGAAACAACATATCAATAATGATAATCAGGGGGCACGGGTGGCCCAGTTGTCTAAGGCGCCACGATGCTCTGTGCAGAGTTGCATCCCTTGCACACCAGAGTTCCATGCCAGAAACCTATGATTTAGGGTTTGAATCCCGTTTTGTCCCAACTATATTTCTAGGTTTATCAGCACCATACCCTTGCTCGTTGGTTTCACTGAAGTGGAAAGCGTCTGAGACTTGCATCACTTCGGGCTTTCCTCCCACATTAAGATGACACGCCGTGATATAACTGGATTACTGTTAAAAGCGGCGTTAAAACTCACTCACTCACTCACTCACTCACTGATAAGATCTGTGAAATTGGTGTCAAAAACAAAAACAGTATCAATGGATTATACAAATTTATTATATTAATTAATGTTAACATTGAATGATTACCCAGATATACAATGAACTCTTTATTATGAATTAATTATTGGGTACTCTTATCTGTTGCGCAGTTGTCAGATTTTTTACAATGAAGGTTGATAATACTTAATTTTGTTTATCCGACATACTTGTTAATCCTACATAATCCCGTGCATTGTTTGATAGGCATTGACGGATGACAACGTACAGACAATTTATGGATTACAACTTCTTTATTTACTGTAAAGGCTTCATTTCGGTATAGATCCTTATACTGTTGTCAAGCAAGGTATATAATCATATGCAGCCAACCATGTACTGACTGTACACAACATATTACATACTTTAAATAACAGTAAATATTTGACATTTGCAGACACAAAGCAGACACCAAGAACCTGGGTCCCCTGGTGGAGACACTTAAGAAACGAGCCAACAGTTGTTTTGAGAAAGAGCAGTATACCAAAGCTATCATGTTGTACAACCAGGCCATCGCCCGCGCCCCCCATGGGCCCGTACTGTATGGGAACCGGGCTGCGGCCTACATGAAGAGGAAGTGGTGAGTATCGGAGGCGACACACCCTCATCAGAGCTTTCCTTGCAGGGGGGATGGGGGGATGTTGCAGCCCCATCAGGGGAGATAACTAGCTCTGACACCAGTAGCTCGTGTAGATAATAGCAAAAAGTCTTTCACGCTACAGTCAGACCCAGCCGTCCCCTCTTCCCCCGTGTTTCAGCCGAATTAAGGGAAATGAGAGAGTGTCAAGTATACTGGCTTGGTCACGTTTCCGATGCGCATGTGCAGACCAGGGTGTGTTCGTGTTCTCTTTTTACTCTTAAAAAATATGTATTTATACTTATCCTGCCTTATACCCTAAAGCACTCACCTCAGCCAACCCTGCTCTCTCTGATGTGTTGCAACTTAAGATATCATCAGAGAAAATAAGGAGTGATTTGTTAAACTGGTTGGTGACGTGGTTCTCGTGCGCCGCTTGTGAGAGGAGTGACGTAGTTCTCGTGCGCCTGCGTGTGAGAGGAGTGACGTGGTTCTCGTGCGTGTGAGAGGAGTGACGTAGTTCTCGTGCGCCTGCGTGTGAGAGGAGTGACGTGGTTCTCATGCGTGTGAGAGGAGTGAAGTAGTTCTTGTGCGCCTGCGTGTGAGGAGTGACGTGGTTCTCGTACGTGTGAGAGGAGTGACGTGGTTCTCGTGCGCCTGCGTGTGAGAGGAGTGACGTGGTTCTCGTGCGTGTGAGAGGAGTGACGTAGTTCTCGTGCGCCTGCGTGTGAGAGGAGTGACGTGGTTCTCGTGCGCCTGCGTGTGAGAGGAGTGACGTGGTTCTCATGCGTGTGAGAGGAGTGACGTAGTTCTCGTGCGTGTGAGAGGAGTGACGTGGTTCTCGTGCGTGTGAGAGGAGTGACGTGGTTCTCGTGCGCCTGCGTGTGAGAGGAGTGACGTCGTTCTCGTGTGCCTGCGTGTGAGAGGAGTGACGTGGTTCTCGTGCGCCTGCGTGTGAGAGGAGTGACGTGGTTCTCGTGCGCCTGCGTGTGAGAGGAGTGACGTGGTTCTCGTGCGCCTGCGTGTGAGAGGAGTGACGAGGTTCTCGTGCGCCTGCGTGTGAGAGGAGTGACGTGGTTCTCGTGCGCCTGCGTGTGAGAGGAGTGACGAGGTTCTCGTGCGCCTGCGTGTGAGAGGAGTGACGTGGTTCTTGTGCGCCTGCGTGTGAGAGGAGTGATGTGGTTCTCGTGCGCCTGCGTGTGAGAGGAGTGACGTCGTTCTCGTGTGCCTGCGTGTGAGAGGAGTGACGTGGTTCTTGTGCGCCTGCGTGTGAGAGGAGTGACGTGGTTCTCATGCGCCTGCGTGTGAGAGGAGTGACGTGGTTCTCATGCGCCTGCATGTGAGAGGAGTGACGTGGTTCTCGTGCGTGTGAGAGGAGTGACGTGGTTCTCGTGCGCCTGCGTGTGAGAGGAGTGACGTGGTTCTCGTGCGTCTGCGTGTGAGAGGAGTGACGTGGTTCTCGTGTGCCTGCGTATGAGAGGAGTGCATTTTGGAAGTTTCCACCCCCTTACAGGACTGCCTGGTCTAGTGGTAGAGCATCTGTCTGGAGATCGGAAGGTCGGGGTACATCCCACACAACATACACCACATTCACAAACACACAAATAATCTTGAACGCAAAGTTATGCCCCATTTAAAAAGTGCATAATCATTTTAATTACTTAGGTTTGTGTTGAAGGAAAGTTTTAGCTCACGACAACCAATAGTGGGGCGTGATGCATTGTCCGGTGTCCGACCATTCACTCTTTACTTCATCTGGTTTGACAGAATGGATGGACACTAGAAATACGATGCTGATTTGGGAATACCTGGGAACCATTGTCTCTTTTCTCAAGTTGAGCTATTTTTTTATCCTGCACCATGTTTCCAGGGACGGAGACCTATACGCCGCCATGCGAGACTGCCACAGTGCCTTACGTCTTGACCCGAACCACTTGAAGGCACACTTCCGTCTAGCGCGTTGCCTGTACGAGCTGGCCTGGCCACAGGAGGCACACGAATGCCTGAAGCACTTCAAGTCCAAGTTTCCCGACTACGCCAAGAGCCACGCGTGTGAAGCCCTGGACAGGGACATAAAGGCAGCCATATTCTCATGGACAGACCCAGGTACAACTGGGCCTACTAAAATACAGAAATTGCAAGTTCTTCCTTGGTATTTGATTGGCTAACAAGCAATTTTATTTGTGTTTATGTTTCCATAAACCATAAATAAAATAGGCCACGCCCACTATTAGACTACTGTTTCCTGATTGGCTGGCAATAGAATGAGTGTTTTGATTTGCATTATGCGCCAAACGATGTCACTGATTTCATACTGCCGTATTTGTGTTTTGATTAAATAAGCAGTCTGGCAAGTTATTATTGTTTACATATAAATTTATAAAATTTGATTTAATAAATATTGAAGTTAATTCTTAAGATGATGCGCTGGTACTTTTCTTATGGTGATATATCATTCTGTGGTCATTAGATCTATCTCCTGCCAGCAGACATGTCAAGATATTTACAAAGTGTGGACAGTGAGAGTGAGTGATGTCGTGGTGTCATGGTGTCAGTACAGACTGCTGGGTCATGGGTCATCAACCACAGAAATACTACTTGAGAACACTTAATGTATAGCTACATTGTGTAAATGGGATTCCAAAGAAAAAAGTTTAAATATATTTTATAACAAAGTGAAGCTAGTTATTGGCATGCTGTGTACCTGGTGACCTTGACCTGCAGGTGAAGACAAGGAGACTGGCAAGGGGGATGAGGGAGCCAACCGCCGCCGCACACCCGTCATCTCGGACCAGGAGAAGATCCTCCGAGATGCAGCATGTGACTATGAGTATCGCTTCTGTGGCCATTGTAACACAACCACCGACATCAAGGAGGCCAATTTCTTCGGCAGGTGAGTGTAGAAACTGCCATAGATTATTAGACTGAAGCCAATATTACACTACTAGGGGGGAGACTCCAGGTCAGAAGTTGTTTAATCCTAGGGTTGAATTGGTGCCTTTGATTATTTTGGTTATTTTAAAAAAAATAATTCTTGCCTAATGTTTCATTTATGTTTCCTCCTGTAACTACATGTTACAACTTATTGAGATGTTTTTACTTTCGGTTTTGTAATTGAGCTGAGATTTAATTGATTGATGTATTAAGCTGACCCAGTGTAAAACCTGCAGCTACTAACATACAGCTTGGCAATAAGTACTTGGGACTAGGCATTGACATAGAAGCATGGTAGGGGATATATAGTGATGCATCGTGTGTATGTCTCCTTGCAACTCTTTTCTCTTTTTTTGAATAAATGACTTTTGCTATATTGTAATGCAGGATAAGTATACAAATGTAAAAAATATTTAGATTTTACTAATATTCTGTAATTAAAAACTTAAGAAACAGAAGTCATGTATCGGCCTGTACTTCAGTTCCTACGGTATTTGTAAGCAGAAATTTCTGCAGTTCAGTTAAATACAGTTTTGTTATTGATACCTTTTGTTTAACTCATTAATCTCTTACAGCAATGGTCAGTACATCGTTGCCGGATCTGACGATGGATCCTTCTTCATCTGGGAGAAGGAGACAACCAACATTGTGAGGGTCCTAAGGGGAGATGACTCTATTGTTAACTGTCTACAACCCCACCCCAACTCCTGTCTCCTAGCAACCAGCGGCATTGACCCCGTCGTCCGACTCTGGAGCCCAAAAGCAGAGGTAATGACCTTGAGTTTCCGGTACAGTTTCACAGAAGAGAAAATTAAGTGCCAGTTCAGTGAAGTACATCCCAAGAGTCTTTTCAGGGTCCTGTTCAAAGTGATCAGTAACTCATGTTATGTATCCTTGACTTATGCCGGTCTTGGAGCTAACGTTGCTCTGCGGAACTGGGCTGAGGAGTCTTTTCAACAAGTCGTCTTGTACTAAAACTCAGTTTTCTTACTATGTGTTTCTCAGTTACACAAAAATGGGTAAAATCTGTTGAATTTGTGTTGTCAAGGGTAATTGTGAAGTTAGCTTGCTTCCCTACCAAAAATATTTTTTGGGGGACAAATTCTGACATTTTGAAAGACCCAGGGAGGATCCTGGGAACTGGCATCTAGGATTATGTTGTGCGATTGTGTGGTCACAGCATGGGATTGTGTGGTCACAGCATGGGATTGTGTGGTCACAGCATGGGATTGTGTGGTCACAGCGTGGGATTGTGTGGTCACAGCGTGGGATTGTGTGGTCACAGCATGGGATTGTGTGGTCACAGCATGGGATTGTGTGACCACAGCATGGGATTGTGTGGTCACAGCGTGGGATTGTGTGGTCACAGCGTGGGATTGTGTGGTCACAGCATGGGATTGTGTGGTCACAGCATGGGATTGTGTGACCACAGCATGGGATTGTGTGGTCACAGCATGGGATTGTGTGGTCACAGCATGGGATTGTGTGACCACAGCGTGGGATTGTGTGGTCACAGCATGGGATTGTGTGGTCACAGCATGGGATTGTGTGGTCACAGCATGGGATTGTGTGACCACAGCATGGGATTGTGTGGTCACAGCATGGGATTGTGTGGTCACAGCGTGGGATTGTGTTGTCACAGCATGGGATTGTGTGGTCACAGCATGGGATTGTGTGGTCACAGCATGGGATTGTGTGACCACAGCATGGGATTGTGTGGTCACAGCATGGGATTGTGTGGTCACAGCGTGGGATTGTGTGACCACAGCATGGGATTGTGTGGTCACAGCATGGGATTGTGTGGTCACAGCGTGGGATTGTGTGGTCACAGCGTGGGATTGTGTGGTCACAGCGTGGGATTGTGTGGTCACAGCGTGGGATTGTGTGACCACAGCGTGGGATTGTGTGGTCACAGCATGGGATTGTGTGGTCACAGCATGGGATTGTGTGACCACAGCCAGGGATTGTGTGGTCACAGCGTGGGATTGTGTGACCACAGCGTGGGATTGTGTGGTCACAGCATGGGATTGTGTGGTCACAGCATGGGATTGTGTGACCACAGCATGGGATTGTGTGGTCACAGCGTGGGATTGTGTGACCACAGCGTGGGATTGTGTGGTCACAGCGTGGGATTGTGTGGTCACAGCATGGGATTGTGTGACCACAGCATGGGATTGTGTGACCACAGCATGGGATTGTGTGGTCACAGCATGGGATTGTGTGACCACAGCGTGGGATTGTGTGGTCACAGCATGGGATTGTGTGGTCACAACGTGGGATTGTGTGACCACAGCGTGGGATTGTGTGGTCACAGCATGGGATTGTGTGGTCACAACGTGGGATTGTGTGACCACAGCGTGGGATTGTGTGGTTACAGCATGGGATTGTGTGGTCACAGCATGGGATTGTGTGGTCACAGCATGGGATTGTGTGGTCACAGCGTCTGTGTTGTTTTTCTGCTCCAGACATGATTATTTTGCAGACCACTCTGGTCTTGTCTGAATACTGCTGACTCAGCATAAAACAATATCTACTCATTCACACATGCTAAAAATGAATTTGAGAATTTTAAGGTGCTGAATGCAAACTTTACTTTTTTTGAAGGATGGCAGTAAAAATGAGCGGGAAATTGACAACTCTGACGATGCAGCATCGGCCAATCAGAAGCGGATGAACGCAGATCCTCTGGAAGTGATGCTTATGAATATGGGTTATCGTATCACAGGGTTCCTTGATGTAGATGAAGATGACTCGGAACGAGGCGAGCAGCCTGTCAACTGTCGGCCTACCTGATCCCCTAGCATTGTGTGTCATGACGACCATGACAGCCACGTAGATACGAGCATTTCCCCGGGGAATGTGTCAAAAGTTCACATATCATTTTTAACATGAATCATTTCTTTGGTTGGTTATGGCTAGCTTGTGTTTGAAGCTGAACTCTCCAATACTGGAAGGCTTTTTCAAAATATCAAAAATGTGAATTTGCATAAGTGGTCATCTTTGTCATGTTTGTTTGTTTAAGAAAGTTCTGTTGTGGTCTGACACTGCAATGTGTGTTCGAGTGATTGCGGAAGAAAAACATCAATATTGGTTGTTTGCCAGGAATAATTAGGTTCTCAGTCTGATTGGGGCAGCTAAGAAATAATATTAGGTAGACTGACTCAAGTTAGTGGTCTGATGCAGATTTTGTTGCATTAAAACTTATTCTGTGTGATCTCCTGATTTTACCACTGGAAAGAAAGTGTACTTTCAGGTCATTGTACCTTAAATCCTGAAATAAATCCTTAGATAAACCCCTGCCTTGAATAAACGCCAGTGTGTTGACACACTAAACAAGAAATGCCTGTCTAGAATGTACTCTGGTCGAAGGCCTTCCAAAATGAGAGATATTTGAAAATTATTGTTTTTAAATTAAACGTCTGCATCAAATGGTCGATGGAGCCTGAAATAAATGTGTAGTGCTTATTTGGGGATTTACGATAGTTTCAATACTTAGGGACAGCAGTAAAATGAGTGGTAGGAAAGCATTGTTGTGACCAAGCCTAGTTCGGCAAGGGTGGAAACTGGACTTTTAGTCAGTTAACTCCCTTGCCTCGGGAAGATGGTACTCTCTGTCGACACAATCTCTACTTGCTTGGTTAACAGCAGGACATGCCCATGTTCATGGTTAGCATGCCTCACAGGTGTGTTCTAAACTGTAGGACTTCATAATCAGATTAACATTATCCTAGTTGTATGGTACAGATGATTGAATGTCAGCCATTAGGATTTGTCAAATGCTTTATTTATTAATGTAAATATTGTTGATAATTTCTGCAAAAATGTTTTGATGTTATATGCTTGTATCAGCAGAATATTTAAAGTATGATAGGTCAGAAGAAATTATGCACAGTTTTTTTTAAAGTATAGTTCTGATGATTTGTTAAGGTGGACAATCCTTTGTTGGGGGAAAGGTGTGTGCAGCATAGACAAAGAATGTCTTTAAACAAAATTAATTTGATTCATGTCGATGTTTGGTCTGATACGGACAGTGCCTGAGTAAAGAGAAGGTTTGGTATCATCACCTAACACAAAACAGCCAGCACCTGTGGGCCAGTGGTTGGATACTCTGATCTGGTACACACTGTCACTGAAGCTGGTCAATATCTAGGTTTAGACATGATGGTTTAACCTTGTGTTCGTAGTGTTAGTTTGTCTCCCTGCTGTCCCCACCGGAATTATTTCAGTAGGCTGTCAAATTTGTTGGTCTCAAACAGATTCTGTTGTGTTAATTGTTTTCTGAATGAGTATTATAATGGATGTGTTGCTACACTGGTTTAACTTGGGATAAGGGTTTGTTCACTGTGTACATCTGTATTTGTTTGCTGTCCCTGGGACAGACAATTAGTTTCTTGCTCTAAGGATACGCTTACCTGAACACCCCACGTTCTACATGTACGCAAAAACAGAATATAATAAGGTTACAAGTGTATGTTTTTAACCACCTCCTTGTTAGTAATTTTGTTCGAATTTTTTCAAGAACTTTTTCTAGTAAATCAGGTCTGAAGCTTTATTTGTAAAGATATGTCTACTTATTTGCTAGTAATTAACTTTATATGCATGGTTAGCAATCCATGAAACAAGAAGTTTGTTTGTTGTGGCCTTCTGTGGCTTCTGTGATATAAGTAAACACATCCACTACAAGTAGTTCCTGAAGTTAGAGTGGCCCTCGCAGAGCTTGTCAGGCCAATGACTCAGATCAACCATAGATAGTTTTTCCTGGGAATTTGTCTGCTTTCTGTTCATATATTTGAAACAAGGATTTCCACAGCATGTTTTGATCAATCATGATTTTGTGAAGATTACTTTATGAAACATTCTGGTAATCAGTTTGGTTTTGAAGGATACCTTGAAGTCAGGGTACGATATATATCATGGTACTTTGTAGCGATATGGTACACACCATAATATTTTATCTTCATTAAAAAATTTATGTTTGATTAAATTGAAAAGAGAAGGTTATTTCTTTTACAAAACAGCTCTTGGTGTGAAATGTGATTGTAGACAACACCAGGTCATGGTGAGATAGGGTGCACCGGTGGCCCAGTCGTCTAAGGCGCCGCAATTCACTGCCAGAACCTACGATTGTGGGTTTGAATCCCGGTTCACCCCGATAAGGTTTCTAGGTTTGTCAGCACCATACCCATGCTCGTGGGTTTCACCGAAGTGATAAACGTCTGAGACCTGCATCACTTCGGGCTTTCCTCCCACATTAAACTGACACGCCGCGAAATAACTGGAATACTGTTAAAAGCAGCATTCAACCCAACTCACTCACTTATGATGAGATAACGTGAGGGAGTCCACACTGCTTCGCGCCTCTCATCTTGCAGCTGTTCACGTACTGACTTCATCTGTTCATATGTTAATCAGTACTGAATTGTTTGATAGGTATTACTTAGAAGCTGACAAATGACAAAGTAGACACAAGGTATGGATAACAACTCAGTATTTACTGTAAAGGCGACATTTGAGTATAGATCCTTATACCAAGGACAACGCTTGCTTGACAACGGTATAAAGATGTACACCGAAACATCGCCTTTACAGTTAATAAAGAAGTTGTTATCCATGAATTGTGTCTACTTTGTTAATCAGTACAGTGAGTAAACTGTAAACCAACAGATGTGCAGATAGTTGACAGTTTGTGGTTGTGTTTGTGCCATTACGAGAAAAAAATGGATGAGCATGGCATGTATTGTGTTATTGTGTTATTACCCAGCTATGTACATTGAATAATCAGCACACTTATCTTGGAAATGTTTGTGAATGATCAAGGATGTTTGTTACTTGCCATTAGCTCCTATCAGGGCTGCTGGGGTCACCTCCTGTCCCCTGTGTCAAACGTAGGTGTATAGAATCATGAGTTGTCCTTATGGATCTGTAATATTGTTGACTACAAAACACCTTCACGCTGTAACTCACTCAGCCATTGTTGTTTCCTTGTATGGAATATCTCCATAGCACGCTCACTGTGTGTCAGATATGTACAATTATTGAAACAGTGTTTATCAAAGTGATGATCTTTCCTTAAAGATGCAACATCTGTGCTGCCATCTTGGGTAGTCCAGGGAATTACATCTCCATATTTACAATACCCCGGACCTATTCAACACCAGCCTTGTTTTGGAGGTGACCACTCATATCTCTAACTTAAAAAACAACATTTCCCACCTGTGTGAGAGTGAATTGATTGAATGGCTACATTTAACAACAGACTCAAAACGAAACCTATGGGTCTGGGTAGTCATCAACTAGAATAGAGATAAAGTACCCTTGATAAATGAGGATGATCACTGGTTGGAATCCCAGTTCACCGTGATCATGTTTCTAGGTTAGTCAGCAGCATACCATAGCCCAAGTGCTCTCATTGCTGATCCCTCCCACATCAAGCCGACCTGCTATCATATGACTGAAATAAAGCCGTGTGAAACCAAACTCACGCAATATTTGGTTGTTTGGAATAGCTGTTATGGTGCTTGTAATTTTAGAATGACAGTTTGTCTGCAAAGAAGTCATCTTGGACAGCAGCAGAGTGGGGACCTTCACTACAGAAAGATGCTAAAAGGGAGATAACTCAGATTTATTCTGTCATTTTATTTGTATATGATATATCAATGTTCATCATAAGTTTGTTTATTTTTGTGTTCTTGAAATAATTATTTTAGGAGGTAGGAATGATATGGGTGTTTTGTGATCTAACCAGCATTACATGTGTTGTTGAAACAGTTTCAACTCTTTTCAGTAAATTTCACATTTTCAATTTTGCAAACCTAAGGTCACTTCTAGTTCAATCTGGTGCTTCCTGTTCATGTGGTAGTCACAATACCTACACATGAAGTGCGTCCCATGTTTTACCATATATCGATGAGCGGTTTCACAATACTACCAGGTCACCTGATGTCTGTGTTAAGAGGCGTGGCAACTTCATTGCTTGTTTTACTGCAGATGACTTAACACAGGAATGTATGCATTGTGCACTTGTCTTGAAAAAAAGGTTATATTTATATGTAAATCTTTTTTTGAACTTTGGAGAAGAAACACAACTTATGAATTTAGTAGTGTTGTCATTAAATATTCATACATTTTTTCCAGTTTAAGAAAAATGGGTGAATGGCTTCCAGAAACAAGCAGTGAGTTGTTGTTGATATATAGCTTCGAGAAGTTGTTGGTTAGCACCAAATACTTTCTGTCAATTTACAGACAAGTTCAGTGTGGTTTGTTATTTTTCTTCCTGATTTTCGCTTACAGGACAGGCTGTGTATATTGTGTATGATTAATAAGACAGGTAGTGGACTCATGTGTTAGCTTGCCCACAGGACAGTATAGAGTGGCCAGGGGGTATTGGAGGCACTGTGGCTCGGAAGCTTTTGAGTAGTGTTTTCATTAAGGATCCTCTAACTTCTCTACTCTTAACATTTCACTAATGAGAAGGACCTCTCATGGTCCTCCATATTGTCAAGCCTGGTGAAGATAGCACATGAGTCAATACCTGTGGTTCACAGGATGGGTGCATGTCAGAATAATCACGCCTTAACAGTTACTCTCAACTTACATTCACACTTGCACACGTCACAATGTGATTGCTAGAAGTCAGGGGACGTAGACAAATGAATTCAGATGGTGAGTCTTGGATGATGTTCCCGGTAATCGTGGCAGTGAGTTGTAAGTCGATGTCAGTCATCTTCCCGAGGCAAGGGAGTTGACTGACTGTAAAAGTCCAGTTTCTAGGCTGGAACAATGGAGTTACATTTGAGTCTATGCATAGTCCAATCAAAATCGCGTAACAAAGTCTACATTTGGTTCATAAGTAATATGGCCACTGCTATGCAGATTTCAGTCGATTGCAGGATTTGCAAAGCATGTGTACCGTCAACTAGAAGTTGACAGATGGTGTCAAATCTTTTCATGTTTTTTGTCAAGGCTCTCATGTGATCTGATGTGTTATGGACGGTAAGACCCATTTTTTTACCATAAAGATCTTGATTATTAATCAGATCATCTTGACTGGGTGCCACCATGTTGTTAAAAGCAAAATGCAACTGTTATAAGAGGTGGAATCTGATTGGTCAGTAGGAGGGACATTGAGGGACATAGTTTGTAATTGCCACTGGTGGCACTATGATTGATCCACGAAATTCCAGCGTAGTTCGGCAAAGGTTGAACTGGACTTCTACGGTCAGTTAACTCCCTTGCCTTGGGAAGATGATGTTAGTGTGTGGGAGTTAGGACCAGTGTTGGGTCACAATTACTTTGTGAAATGGTGATGGAAGTCAGTGAAGAGGTTTAGTCAGCTTTGTGAATATGGTGCCAACACACATAATGGATGTCAGTGGGTCTGTGAATGGTTGGTAGTTCCATGGTGCGTGTTGTGAGTGGTGTGGGAGGTGGGAGGGAAACATTGTCGGATCCAGGATTTTGAAAAGGGGATCCACACCTTTGCACAAGTCATGAAGTTAACAAAAAAAACCATGTTAGAATGGTATGTTAGGTGTCTGAAAAGAGGGAGTGTACAGCCCCTCTGTAAGGGATGGCCAGTGACAGGGAACCTAACTCAAAATGTTGCAAGAGACAAATCTGTGTGAAATGTTGTGTTTGATTGAAAATATTCTTTTCAGAACATATGTTATTTTTATTTTATTTTTTTTAAAGAAATAAACCTAACATTTTATATTTTGACCTAGAACATGGATAAGACAAGAAACTGTTTGGCCTCAGGCTGTAACAGTTGAGAAATGAGGTCAAACCTTTGAAAAGTTCCTCATTTTGTTATGAAGAAATAAATTATGTCAAATAATAAAATGTATAAAAGTCACACGGGATTATGTAAGCCATTTTGATTTTGTTAATTGGTTTACTGTAAAAGTAGGATGATGATGAAAAGTACTCTGTCCCATGTTTACTGGAATTAGAAATATGGCACAGTGAAGGCTGATGTGTACAGAGGTTATATCAGCACAAAGAAAGTTATGTATTCGCACAGAAAAGATTGTATGGGCACAGAGAAGGTTATATCGGCACACTGATAGTTATATCGGCTTCATCTGTTCAACTAGGCATGCTCCAAGAGTAACAGCAAACTGTTGACTTTGTTTCTGTAGCCGATGACTGGACTGACAGTTTGTTCAGGCACTCTTGGATGTACAGAATTGTGGTTGTATATTTGTTATTTTGCAACAGTTGTATATTTGATGTATACACAGTCTAGCTTCTATACGTGTGCAAGTGTTTTGTATGATGTCTGTAATATCATGTTTGTACAGTTTAATTCTTTCCCCAATGTACAGAATTCCAAAGTGACAGTCACTGGCAGCCAAGTTGCTCCTCTGTCAATAAATGATGGTATGTTGTTTTGGTCTTTGTTTTACTTGATTGGCTGTGAAGGACCAAAGATGGACAACACGAACAACACGAACAACCAACAACATGTGATCACAGCCATTGGATTCTGGAATGAGTGAGGGAGTGAGGGAGTGCTGTGTTTGTCTTGGAGCAAACCTGTGGCTGACAACATGAAAAATGACAAACTATCATCTTGGACCAACTTGCACCAGCTGTTGTGTATCTAAGTATATATGTCTGTTGTTCATCTTTGTGAAAGGAGTTTACAATAGTTGTGACACAACAATCACTTTGTGCAGCCGACTCAGTTCGTACATTGTAAACTTTTCTTACTTCTATGTGGTTGTGGACACAGCTCATTTCAGTGAAATACACAACACTGCACCACCCTCTTCCCACAAACCACCAGACAATGTTCATAAGATTATGGTTCGCCCTGATTATGTTTCTAGGTTTGTCAGTACCATACCCGTGCTCGTGGGTTTCACTGAAGTGGTAAACTGTCACTGCATCACTTTGGGCTTTCCTCCCACATTAAGCTGACACGCCGCAAATAACTGGAATACTGTTAAAAGCAGCGTTAAACCCAACTCACTCACTCACTCACTCACTCATAAGATCTACTTTACAACAAAGTGTGGTTTATTTTGACAAATTCAAACATGTTGTCATGGCACTTGTTAGAGATAGGATTTTTTTTATCTGTTGAACAGAAGCAGATCCAAGAAGTTTCAAAAGAGATGTTCACACTTTATCCCATCTTCCCCATGCAAGGGAGTTAACAGACTTTAAAAGTCCAGTTTCCACCCTTGCTGACTAGGCTGGAATTCCTGGGCTTGATCGTAGCGCCACCAGTGGCTATACCAGTTATGTCCCTTCTAAGCCTCTCCTATGGACCAATCAAGATTCCACCTCTCGTATCACATGCATTTGCTTAAAACAAAACGGTGGCACCAAGTCAAGACGATGTGATCGATAATGAAGATAAAACAGGTCTTACATCGCAAAGTGCATCAAATCACATGAAAAGAATGGGAAAATATTTGTTGACGAGTTGACGGTGCACATGCTTTGCAAATCCTGCAATCGACCAAAATCTTCAGGACAGTTTATGAACCGGATTTCGATTTCGTTGCACGATTTTGATTGGACTATGCACAGACTTGTTAGTCCTGCCAAAATATAACTCCATAATACCAGCCTAGTTCGGCAAGGGTGGAAACTGGACTTTTATTGTCAGTTAACTCTCTTGACCCATGAAGATGACTTTATCCAAGTCCCGAAGTAAACACAAACACATGAGCTGTCTGAAGAAAGCGTGTGTGCACTCTACTCTACTCTCTACTCTGCATCCACCAGCTGCTCTGGCCACAAGCATGGGATCATGAAGACCCTTGTTCCCTACTTTGTAGCAGTAGGTGTACATGGGGACATTAATGATACAAAACATATCTAATGGTAATGAGAACATTTTTTAGAGAGTGTCTATCCCAACTTGCAAGTTAGCAAAATTGTTTACATATTGTTTTTTGTTTGTTGTTTAACACTGCACTCAGCAATATTCCAGCTATATGATGGTGGTCTGTAAATAATTGAGTCTTGACCAGACAATCCAGTATTTGACATCATGAGATTCGATCCATGCAATTGGGATACGATAACATGCATCAGCCAAGTCAACGAGCCTGACCACCCGATCCCATTAGCATAGTCGCCTTTTATGGCAAGAATGGATTGCCGAAGACCTATTCTACCCCCGATCTTCACGGCTCGGCTCTGATATTGTCCTCTCCAACATTTGTGATGGATTTGTGATGACAGTATAGGTTTGAGTTGATGAATTTCTTTCGTGATAGATAAAGTATGGATATATATTTTAAAATACATATATTTCTACCTTTAATAATGGAGCATTATTAAAAAATCATAATTCACTTTAGAATCCAAGCGCACATTTCGTAAAACCCAAACCGGATGCCTGTGGCTCCATCAGGGGAAGTAACTCTCATGCACGTGCGTAGGGGTTGAAGGGTCGCATGTATTGAGATTTATCCTGCACACAAATTAAGAAAACATGGATTTCAGCCCACCCGCTGGAGGAAAAATGGATTCTTCCCAAAGGGAACAGTTAATGGATCAAGTCAAGCAGCAAATCGCGCTAGCAAATGCACAGGAATTACTACAGGTGGTGTTTTTGTGGGCAAACTGTAGTCAACGTGGTGTTGGAAGTGTTTCGTCATTCCAACTGTTCTAAGTTCAGAATATTTCACATCTTTCATCGGTACATGATTGTATATGTCAGTGCTATCACTTCTAATGCCATAGATGTCATATTGATGGTTGTTTTGTTTCTTTCAGAAAATGTCTGAAAAATGTTTTAAGAAGTGTGTTACAAAACCGGGCACTTCGTTGGATAACTCGGAACAGGTAAATCTTACCACGAAACACACTCAGTGCATTGAAATGCAAAAATCAAATGCCAATGTGAAGTTTACCTAATCAGACCTTTGCTTATATTGTTGCTGCACTAATCTGGTCAGGGATAATCACAGAACAGCTTTAATAACCCAAACTCTTGGTTGTCAACATCCGTGGCAAAACTAATTTTAACAGTAGGCCTAAATGAAAGAAAAGGAAAATTTTGCAACGTTTAATGGACAACCTTGTTTCATTTGAACAACATATTATTTATAGTTTACTTATACTTGTATCCCAATTACTGTCACAATCCATGAACAAGTCAATATCAGTACACCTAATCATATCATAGCTCAAATGAACACAATAATGTAAATTCATTGTCAAAAAAATATACGTTGACAAATTGCTCTCTCTCTCGGAATTCACTGTTAAATTTCACAACCATGACATAGACCAAACTGACCTTTGAAATATCTGTTTCAGAAATGTATAGCCATGTGCATGGATAGGTATATGGATTCCTGGAACCTGGTCTCGCGGGTATACGGCAGCCGCTTACAGAGAGAGAGGGGAAGCCACTGAAACATTCTACGCCGTGACTCTAGTGACAAGGTCCTCACATGCCAAAGCATTTCATATTGAACATGATCTGAACTCTTAGAGCAGGTTGGAGTACTCGGCACCTGGTGGTGAGACTTGCGACAAGAGATGGCATCGACAGCTCGTCATTACTGTCCTGTTTGTGAAACTGATGAAACTTGAAGTTTAAGACACACAGACAATATTGGAAAGCAGTAGCACCATCAGTATGTCTATGCATTTATCAATGTGTATTGAGTGAATGTGGTTGTATATGTGTCACTGACTCTGTTCTGGCGACTTTAGTTACTCAGAATTTCCTCCATCAATAAACAGACAAGAGGCTGCCACAAGCTGGAACTACACCAGTTCATAGAACCTCTTGGCTGAACTACTATTGTGTTTGTTCAGCCCTGACTGATTACTCCAAGTCTACATTGTGTGCAAATTCTGGCTTTAGGTGTGTCATTGATATGAAAGTTTAGTATCAAGATATTGACTCAAAAGTATGACAATGTACCAGTTAATAACAAAATTAATTATACTATATGTTTAGATAAAAATGTCCATTTTAAGACCTGCAATTATTCAACTTTATGCTCCATGAACTAGACTGATCCATTAAATATTTAAGTTAAATTTTCTGCCTTCTTATTGTCCATCTTAACCGTGGTAATCTTAGCAAATGTTAATATTTCTGTGGCAGTTAATTAGTAACTTAGTGTCGATGTTAATACATTTGTATCGATACAGTATCAGCATTAAATATGTTTGGCTGTATGATGACATCCCTACTTGGCACTCCTTGGTGTCCACTGAACAGATGATGCAAGATGATGATCCAAGACAACAGCCACAGGACTATTACGGTGTTCACGGACTGGTATCAGCTATATATTCTAGACAGTTTGTGTTTTGGGCAATGTACAACTGTACCCTATGATGACGGTTGTTCCTCGATGCTAATCACAGCTATGTGGTGCTCCACGTTCATGTCTGGTTGCTGGTTCATTGCCACAACTCCTTTAAGGTCTAAGTCATTGTCCTAGACGTTTTTAGCACTATTTAAAGCAAGTACTTTTGAAATACTTTGATTTAATGTGTATTTTGTTAAGAACTTTGGAAAAAGAACAAGTGACTTCCAAAATTAGTAACAGTAACTGGATCTAATATCTGATTCTTATTCATTTTCAATCAAAATATTTAGTGTTTTTGTGTTGAATGTGTGGTGTGACTGTCTTACAGGACTAAGTGACTCAACAAAGGTAATGCCACTTGAAGGTCAAGTCTTGGTATCAATAAGTCTGAACATACTAGGTAGGCCAGTACCTGCTACATTCCACTAGACCTTTTAAAATTCATTTAGCAACAGGCTGTTGGGCTAGTATTAATGTCTGCCTGATACTCATGAAACAGTTCCTTGTCTTCCACTGCTTTCCACACACAGATTCATCAGGTGTACTGGACTACCGATAGTCACAGAATTCACACAGGCATGAAAAGGCTGCAAGAATGGATGCCTTGAAAATGACTTAAGTTTGATAAAAGGCCTTGAAAACGATGATTAACACTGAATTTAACAAATTTTATTTTTGATAAATGAATAAAAACCAAACTTTTTCTTAAAACTTGTGATCATGTAGCAAAAGTGTATTGGAACACTGAGTGGACATTCTGATGTGTATTCGGAGGAACAAATGGAGTCATTCTGACATTGAAAAAAGTAAGAATGTCCAAATTAATCAGTTTGAAGAGTGGTCATTGCCTTGTACATGTTGTACAGACTTTCCATTCTGTGGCTCAAGTTCATTATGCACAATCTCTTCCTGTCAGATGGGGCAACTATCCTACATCCTTGTCAGCATCGTTCTGTGGCTGTAGTGAGTGGGTCAGCTTATTGACATACTCACTGCAGTCGACTTACTGTCAACAAATGAAAATATTGTTCAAGTTTGTCAGATTTTGGTAAGAGAATATAATGAAGCTTGCTAGTTCGTCATGTAGTCACAAGTGTATTATCAGTGTGTAAATGATGTAGTGTATCTTGAGTTCAACTGAGAGTGTGTATAAATAAACATAATCAAAGGTATTTTTGTCTTTTGAGTTGTGTCATTTGTCGTCTACTCTGGCAGATCTTGCTGACTCATGAAATCTTTGGGTAAACGGTAGTTTGGTCACAAGGACGCCAAATTACAATTGTTCCTCAGCATCCTGGTCAAACAAAACATCTTTTCCTGGATGGTTGGTCAGGGTCATTGATGGGTTGATTGTGTGTCGACATACCCAATAGGCATGGATCGTTGCTCACAATATCAATCACTGTATTGTTTGGTCTAGATTGATTATTTATAGGCTGCCCTTGTCCTATAGCTTGAATATTACAGAGTGGTTATAACAACAAACAAACACCCAGAGCCTGTACTTTGACTGTTTTATTTAAAACCAATTCATGTTGTGTTTAGTTTAGAATTTAACTTGGCCATAAACAACTTCTGGCCTGAATGTTAGTCCTGCATGTGACACGAAGAGAGGCTGTGTTGACAATGTCTCAGAGAGTGAATGATGTGTAACACTCCACCTGGGTGTATTACAATGTGTATACTATATCCCGTACTGGGTGTGTTACAATTTTGCTTATAAAGTCTGGACCAAACAAACTGCAATAGGGGTGAAACTATACATCAGTGTACTGGTGCATCATGACTTTTTATTTGACATTTTTTTCTTTATTGATACAATAAAATACTAAAATAACTTTTCACAGCTTTTCAAGTTCACTACTAAAGATAGCTGCAATGTGTCTACGGCTAGCTTTTCCTTTTGAACCTGCTCTGAAATATTTATAGCCCAAAAGTTTCTACGAGATTTGACATAAATATGTGTATCGCTATACATATTGTATCATGACCTATGTATAGTGACACATATTGTATCGTTTCACTCAAACCATGAAGTGGTGCAAGATGATGAAGTTTTGTGATTCATCGAAAACAATAAGCATCTTACTCATCATATTTATTCTGTGCTTTTCTTAACTCTTAAATGAATACCTCTGAGGAGTTGGACAATGTTCAAAACATGAATTATGTGCACATGTGCTTTATTGTGGGAGGGGACTGGATGGCAGAGGGAGGGGCCTGGGTAACAGAGTAGGAGGGTGCCTGGGTAACAGGGGGAGGGGCCTGGGTAACAGAGGGGGAGGGGCCTGGGTAACAGAGAGGGAGGGGGCTGGGTCACTACAGATGTATGAGCATGATGTATGGGTCTCCCTGGCCTGGTGCAGTCTAGTGCAGTCCGGCACAGCTAGCAACAACAGAATATATTTTCAATATGAAACGATCTTAACAACCTTGAACAAGTCCAGCTATTTGCAGTGTAAACCTAGGCACACGTAAACCACATACCCAGGATTCATACATCTGTACCTGGGACACGCACGTCTGTATCTGGGTACACGTAAACCACATACCCGGGATACATACATCTGTACCCGGGACACGCATATACCTGGGATACATACATCTGTACATCACAAAGAAATAATTATCACAGAATATCTGACCATACAGAGGTACGTTTCACATTCGTTGGCATCAAATGAACAAAATAACAGAACTAAACAATTGAAATTGATTGTATGAGGTACATAAACCTATATCAACACGTCAATGTAATAACATAAACTGTTCCTGGTGTCGTCAGACATGAAAACTTCCTTCTTGACAACCAGTTTGCGATGGACATTTTCAGCTCCTGTCTTGAGCAGCATTAGCAGTAGGATACTGTTGGCAAAATGCCCAACTGATGCTGTAACTATATGTACAACCAGGGTTACCATGGTTACTAAGTTCAGTATGATGATGGCCACATTAGTTACCAGGCATGAGGACCGTGTGTTGAGATCCATCTTGGCCTCGGTCTTGTTCACATCTATTGGAAGAAGGATCGGAAGTAGTCTCCAAGCAGACATGAAGCAAGATCACTGGCTGTGGACATTTCCTTGTATGTTGCCTTCTACATCTTCACACAGCAGGGCCTCATTACACAGTGAGTGAGTTGGGTTTAACGCCATTTTTAACAGTATTCCAGTTGAATCATGGAGTGTCAGCTTAATGTGGGAGGAAAGCCTGAAGCGAGGCAAATCTCAGATGTTTACTGCTTCGGTGAAACCCACGAGCACAGGTATGGTGCTGACAAACCTAGAAACAATCAGGGCGAACCGGGGTTCGAACCCACAATCATAGGTTTCTGGCGAGCCCAAGGGACGCAACTCTGCACAGCGAATCACAGCGCCTTAGACGACTGGGCCACCCGTGCCCCCTCATTACACAGAGCCATCTTACCGCTGTGACCAACTCCTGTACTCTGACACAGACTCCGGACAACAAGCATCACTGTGGAATGAGTCCCTCCGACTTGAATCATGATCTTGTACCAACTATCAGAAACAGTCTCCCAGTTGACTGTCACCAACATCAGGAGAACTTGAGGAAATGGACCAGAATCTTCACCAGAATATACATATTCACACAGCAGTAGTCCTGCTCGGACACTGATGACCGATGCTGGACTTGACTGCAAAGACACTGCTTGCACGGAGGTATCAGATCGGCAACGTGGCCACCATGATGGCTAGAACAGGTTCCGGCACAACGGACAAGTTGAGTTGTGGCTGGTGCTAAACCACTTGTACTGCAAGCAAAGGAATGATGAAGAAACATTAGTCTGGCATTTATTATTAACATTTTGAAGGATGAGAACCAAGCTATTGTCTGATTGAAGCTCAAAAAATATATTTTGTGTTAAATTCCCAGGATTAAATGTGAGGCTGAAAACATTACAAGAGTTTCTATTGCATCACCGTGCAGCACAAGTAACACATGTGGCATCTCCCTGGGCAAGTGACTTTGTTCAAAATGTGACTGTTCATCCAGCAGTGAATGGGTACCCGGAAGGATGAGATGGTAATGTGGGTTAACCTTCCAGCACCTCACAGGCTGCTTGGGTTGTATACCCCCAAGGGAGCTGAGAATGAATGTTGAGTGCACACTGATCAAGTGACCGGGGTAATAATAGCGCTTTGAGCATATCCCTGAGTGGTGTGGAAATATATGCAATATAAATAGCCTATACTCCGGTAATTATTATGAATCAAATTTTACACATTTGGTTATAGGTAGATTTGAAGGTGAAGTCAACTTACCAAACATGCAGAGTGGAACTTCTTCTTGCATGTGCGGCACTGTAACCGTGGCAACTGGAAGTTGGTACCATGTAGAACTGAATAGCATATCATGCAGTCATCCACACCCTCAAACCTCTTGTCGATGTTCTTCTTCCACAGCTTCAAGCCCTCAATGATACTGCCATTCTGCCAACACAAAGCACCACTTGAAATAGTTTCACAAAGTTATTATTATCAAGATTATGACCATTTCACAGGGAAATTAAAAATCATATGCTCTAAATTTCAAAATAGCTGACATTCATCACATAAAGATGTGGCGCCAAGTCATGAAGTACAAAAGAATGGGAACCAGTGACCCCAGATGTGCACCAGATACTGCTGGATGATACGACGTGTCACATGTAGTCCCTATAGTACAGAATGGAGTTACTGTTTTCAGGGTAGAACAGCACATATTTTTTGCAGAAAGTTGAATCAGACCTCAAAATGTTTCTTGCAGAGTGTAGTTATATCTGAAGAAAGACAAATGGATGAACAACTTCTTTATTACAATTAGTGCGACGTTTCGGTGTTGATCCTAACACCTTTATCAAGCAAGTGATCATCTTTATAAAGGTGTTAGGATCTACACCGAAACGTCGTACTAATTGTAATAAAGAAGTTGTTCATCCATAGAACTTGTCTTTCTTCATCACACCAACTTCTAAATGCCACTGAAAGAAGTTAGTTATATCTGACTGATAAAACGCATCATGTTTTGAAAAACATTTCAGCTTCAGAGTTTGGTTGACTCCCTGGGCTGCAGCTGGTCCCTAATGCTGATTCTCCTAGTCAGCCAGGACATACACCAGGAGCCAACACAATCAGGAGCTGATTCTCCTAGTCAGCCAGGACACACACCAGGAGCCAACACAATCAGGAGCTGATTCTCCTAGTCAGCCAGGACATACACCAGGAGCCAACACAATCAGGAGCTGATTCTCCTAGTCAGCCAGGACATACACCAGGAGCCAACACAATCAGGAGCTGATTCTCCTAGTCAGCCAGGACACACGCCAGGAGCCAACACAATCAGGAGCTGATTCTCCTAGTCAGCCAGGACACACACCAGGAGCCAACCCAATCAGGAGCTGATTCTCCTAGTCAGCCAGGACATACACCAGGAGCCAACACAATCAGGAGCTGATTCTCCTAGTCAGCCAGGACATACACCAGGAGCCAACACAATCAGGAGCTGATTCTCCTAGTCAGCCAGGACACACACCAGGAGCCAACACAATCAGGAGCTGATTCTCCTAGTCAGCCAGGACATACACCAGGAGCCAACACAATCAGGAGCTGATTCTCCTAGTCAGCCAGGACATACACCAGGAGCCACCACAATCAGGAGCTGATTCTCCTAGTCAGCCAGGACATACACCAGGAGCCAACACAATCAGGAGCTGATTCTCCTAGTCAGCCAGGACATACACCAGGAGCCACCACAATCAGGAGCTGATTCTCCTAGTCAGCCAGGACACACACCAGGAGCCAACACAATCAGGAGCTGATTCTCCTAGTCAGCCAGGACATACACCAGGAGCCAACACAATCAGGAGCTGATTCTCCTAGTCAGCCAGGACATACTCCAGGAGGCAACACAATCAGGAGCTGATTCTCCTAGTCAGCCAGGACATACACCAGGAGCCAACACAATCAGGAGCTGATTCTCCTAGTCAGCCAGGACATACACCAGGAGCCAACACAATCAGGAGCTGATTCTCCTAGTCAGCCAGGACATACTCCAGGAGCCAACACAATCAGGAGCTGATTCTCCTAGTCAGTCAGGACATACACCAGGAGCCAACACAATCAGGAGCTGATTCTCCTAGTCAGCCAGGACATACACCAGGAGCCAACACAATCAGGAGCTGATTCTCCTAGTCAGCCAGGACATACACCAGGAGCCAACACAATCAGGAGCTGATTCTCCTAGTCAGCCAGGACATACACCAGGAGCCAACACAATCAGGAGCTGAAGTCTCAATAAATCCACATTCCTTTTAAACTCAAACCATAAAAGTACACTATTACCTTGTGTACAAGTCTTTAAATGTATTAAGTTTATAGGCATAAATCTCTGACATTATGAAGATCAAAATTCCAAAGCGTAGAAATTGGAGTATTTGCATAAAAGGTAGCCAACTTAACAATTTGACAGCATCATGACATTGACATTTAGTCAAATTACCCAAGGTCTCGATGTCAGTTTTATTCCTGCAGCAGCGTTTTTCATATACCCTTCATCACATGGGCCAATTTGTAACCATGGTAACATGAACACAATGAATCACAAAACACATTATGTATTAATTAAAACGTATTAACAATTACCCATGATCCTATTTAAAACACCTTCAAAACAACCCATGCAGCCTACTTCCATTATTGGACAACACTAGGCTGCAGTGGTGCTTACATCAAGCTACCTGATGACGGCATAACCCACACATGTGATATTACACCGCCAACTCTACCAGACAGGAACCAAGTTGTAATGTTGCCCAGACTTGTTGAAATCGGTCCACAATGGCTGCCAAACAGAAGGCTCTGTACCACTCTGTATCACTGTGATACATATTCCACTTCCTCCAATGTTTGAGAGTCTCCGCATTCACCTGGTGCTGGGGGTAGGTGTTGAGATGGAGTGGTAACCCCACCTTGACCCCACCTAATCACACATGTAGCTTACCTGGTGCTGGAGTGGTCAGTGGTCACCCCACCTTGTTACCGACCATCGTGATGCACCAGTCCCCCCTGGTAATCACACACGTAGCTCACCTTGTTACTGATCACTGCAATGCATCAGTCCCCCCCCTAATCACACACATAGCTCACCTTGTCACTGACCACCTTGATGCACCAGTCCCCGCCGCTAATCACACACGTAGCTCACCTTGTCACACACCATCGTGATGCACCTTCCCCCTGCTAATCACACACATAGCTCACCTGGTGCTGGAGTGGTCAGTGGTCAGCCCACCTTGTCACCGACCAGCATGATGCACCAGTCCCCCCTGCTAATCATACACGTAGCTCACCTGGTGCTGGAGGAAGATGTTGAGATGGAGCAGCCACCGGTCCCACTGTGACTGGGTTACGCCGACCTTCTTGTCACTGACCACCGTGATGCTCCCTAGAGGGTAGTTCTCCGGCAGCGAGATCACGACCTCCACGCTCACCTCCGACATCGTGTACTTCGCTATCACTTCACGGATCTTAGGCCGAGCTTTGATCTGAAGGGAATATGGAAATAGAATGTGGATGTAATTCACTGTACAGGGTGTGTGACACACGTCGTCAGCTTCATCATCTTCATGTTCCTTACTCCTCCACGACTTGGAGACAAGTGATGACTCAAGGCAAGTTAATAGAACACTGTGACTATTTACTTGTCCGGTGTGAACCGGTAAACTTTTCTCATATTTTCACATCTGTTGTCAGCTCCAATTCATGTGTAGATATTCCAGTTAAAGAAGTGAACTGACGTTCAACCAAGTTACCAGAATGAATTTGCAATGAAGCATATTTAGCTTGTGAAGTGTCAGCTCAGTGACTGCTTATACTAGCTGGTGACTACCCTCATCATTTACACACAGACACACCACAGACACGCCTCACAGGCACACATACCACAGACACGCCTCACAGGCACACATACCACAGACACACAACACAGGCACACATACCACAGACACACCACACAGGCACACATACCACAGACACACAACACAGGCACACATACCACAGACACGCCACACAGGCACACATACCACAGCCACACCACACAGGCATACATACCACAGACACACCACACAGGCACACATACCACAGACACACAACACAGGCACACATACCACAGACACGCCACACAGGCACACATACCACAGCCACACCACACAGGCATACATACCACAGACACACCACACAGGCACACATACCACAGCCACACCACACAGGCACACATACCACAGCCACACCACACAGGCACACATACCACAGACATGCCTCACAGGCATACCACAGACACGACACAGGCACACATACCACAGACACGCCACACCGGCACACATACCACAGACACGCCTCACAGGCACACATACCACAGACACACAACACAGGCACACATACCACAGCCACACCACACAGGCACACATACCACAGACACACCACACAGGCACACATACCACAGCCACACCACACAGGCACACATACCACAGACACGACACAGGCACACATACCACAGACACGCCTCACAGGCACACATACCACAGACACACCACACAGGCACACATACCACGGACACGCCACACAGGCACACATACCACAGACACGCCACACAGGCACACATACCACAGCCACACCACACAGGCACACATACCACAGCCACACCACACAGGCACACATACCACAGACACGCCACACAGGCACACATACCACAGCCACACCACACAGGCACACATACCACAGCCACACCACACAGGCACACATACCAGACACACCACACAGGCACACATACCACAGCCACACCACACAGGCACACATACCACAGCCACACCACACAGGCACACATACCACAGACACGCCACACAGGCACACATACCACAGACACACCACACAGGCACACATACCAGACACACCACACAGGCACACATACCACAGACACGCCTCACAGGCACACATACCACAGACACACCACACAGGCACACATACCACAGCCACACCACACAGGCACACATACCACAGCCACACCACACAGGCACACATACCACAGACACGCCACACAGGCACACATACCACAGACACGCCACACAGGCACACATACCACGGACACGCCACACAGGCACACATACCACAGCCACACCACACAGGCACACATACCAGACACACCACACAGGCACACATACCACAGACACGCCTCACAGGCACACATACCACAGACACACCACACAGGCACACATACCACAGCCACACCACACAGGCACACATACCACAGCCACACCACACAGGCACACATACCACAGACACGCCACACAGGCACACATACCACAGACACGCCACACAGGCACACATACCACGGACACGCCACACAGGCACACATACCACAGACACGCCACACAGGCACACATACCAGACACACCACACAGGCACACATACCACAGACACGCCACACAGGCACACATACCACAGACACGCCACACAGGCACACATACCACAGACACGCCACACAGGCACACATACCACAGACACACCACACAGGCACACATACCACAGACACGCCACACAGGCACACATACCACAGACACGCCACACAGGCACACATACCACAGACACGTCACACAGGCACACATACCACGGACACGCCACACAGGCACACATACCAGACACACCACACAGGCACACATACCACAGACACGCCACACAGGCACACATACCACAGACACACCACACAGGCACACATACCACAGACACACCACACAGGCACATATACCACAGACACGCCACACAGGCACACATACCACAGACACACCACACAGGCACACATACCACAGACACACCACACAGGCACATATACCACAGACACGCCACACAGGCACACATACCACAGACACGCCACACAGGCACACATACCACAGACACACCACACAGGCACACATACCACAGACACACCACACAGGCACACATACCACAGACACGCCACACAGGCACACATACCACAGACACAGAGAAACACACAGACACATACATCAACAGACACCACACACACAAACACACAAAAGCACAGAGACATACAACAGACACATCACACACAGTAACACACACAAACGCACCACTCACAGACACAGACATACACCACACCACACACATTCTTCCACACTCCATTCTTGTCATCTATTCAAGTTAGTTGTTTGTTTGTTTTTTGTTTAATGACAAACATAGATATTCCATCTACATAAATAGCCATTACATAATGAAGCCTGGGTCAGATAATCCAGAGACTGATACTACGACCAATGATCCATGCCATAGGTCTCCGGAGACATGCACACAATCCATTAAGTCGCTTCTTACGACCAGCCTACGTTGCCGTCGTCAAGGATGAGATACTACGGGCTCTGTCTGCCCATGGAGACTTACACTAGATAGACAACACTGACCTCGATTCCATCCAGTTCCTCGTCGGTGGCCTGGACGGAGGAGATCTCGGAGTGACACAGCTGGGGACTCACGTGCCTCTTGGTGAACCTGAATGCAGACATCATCACTGTACACCCCACAGACATCATCACTGTACACCCCACAGACATCATCACTGTACACCCCACAGACATCATCACTGTACACCCCACAGACATCATCACTGTACACCCCACAGACATCATCACTGTACACCCCACAGACATCATCACTGTACACCCCACAGACATCATCACTGTACACCCCACAGACATCATCGCTGTACACCCCACAGACATCATCACTGTACACCCCACAGACATCATCACTGTACACCCCACAGACATCATCACTGTACACCCCACAGACATCATCGCTGTACACCCCACAGTCTTACTGTACATGTAAGCCATACCACTTTGTTAACATACAAGTCAATCGGGAACTAGATATAAAAAAAACCCCAACCCAATATTCAGACAACTATTTCTCTTCCTAACAAAATATTTTGGTTTCCAATCATAATATTTGTCATCGGCAATCCCATGTGTTGATGCAATAATAGTCATGCATCTAGCAAAAAGTGTTCATCCAGCAGAATCTATCTGTCACAATCTTACTCATTGTAACCAGTTGTCTTCCTACCACAATCTTACTTGTCAATGTAACCAGTTGTCCAACTATCACAATCTTACTTGTCAATGTAACCAGTTGTCCAAATATCACAATCTTACTTGTCAATGTAACCAGTTGTCCAACTATCACAATCTTACTTGTCAATGTAACTTGTTGTCCTCTTGTCCTGTTCTATCCACCATTGTCGGACAAGCGCTGGGATTGTCTCCAGACACTGTCGATACACGTCACATGACAGCTGCTTGATGTCACATGACCTGGGACGTGCTGCAATGGATCATCTGTCATGTAGAGCAGTCGAAACTTGCATCATGTTTACTTTGAAAAAACAAGTAGTGAAAGTACAGCACTATAGCTGATGTGAGTGAGTGAGTGAGCTGGGTTGATCACGTTGTGTACAGCTGTCATATCATGTGTTGTCAGCTCAATGTGGGATGAAAGCCATCAGTGTTTCTTCCAAAGGGAGTTAAGTGACTCCAGTCAAGTTGCCACCCTTGGTGAACAAGGCAGGAATTTCAAACTTATATTCTGGCTGAACTAATGAGTCTATGCATAGTCCAATAAAAATCAGGAAACGAACTTGACACCCGGTTTGTAAACAACATAGCAACTACTGTACTGATTTCGGCTGATTGTAACATTTGCCAAGCATCAGTTTCGCCAACTGGGCATCAACATTTTCCAAATCTTGGCATATTTTCAATCAATGTACTCAAGTGATTTGACGCACTTCGCGAGGGTAAGGCCAATTTTATTACCATATAGATTTTGATTATCAATCAGACCCTCTTGACTGGGTCCTTCCATATTTTTAAAGCAAATGCAAGTATTATGAGAGATGGAATCTGATTGGTCCAGAGGAGGGACATAGAAGGGACATAACTTGTAATAGCCACTGGTTGCACTACAATCGAGCACAGAAATTCCAGTCTAATTCAGCAAGGGTGGAAAGTGGACTTTTATAGTCAGTTAACTCCCTTGCCTCAGGAAGATGCCACCATGGATGCTGGTGATGCTGACCATGTTGGTGGAACTCCTGAACGTGGCTGTGATGCTGACAGACAAAGAATCAGGCAGTGATTCATGCATGGGAACCAAGGAATTCTCAACTGTAATCTGCTGCCCATGTTCCACCTGTGTCCTTCCTGCTTAAACCATGATACATCATTCGGGCAATGTGGTAAACAATGACAATGACAATGACAATATCCAACAAGCACGTTCATTTGTATCACCTGTTGGCAGCAGGGACGGCGTGTCCTTGAAGTAGCTGGTCTGTGTGTCGGGTGTGACGGGGGTGTCAGGCATCAGTTGGTACAGGTGAACCAGCAGGTGATTGACGATACCTGTCTCCTTGAAGTACACAGCATACCTTGCCCTCAGCTGTAACACATACACACAGGTAACACTATACTCACTAACCCTGACCTTAACCCTAACCCTAACGAACATACTGGTATGTTGTGTGAACCGATGCTCATGAACGCATCACACGTGACGTCATAGATCCATGACTCATCACATGATGTCATAGATCCATGACTCGAGATGCACCATTTGTCTTGAGCAGTATACCTGTGTAAAGTTACGAAATCATGTGCAGCATATCGTGATAAGAATAAAGACACTGCGTGGTAACACTTGACTGATAGTTAGTTTTGTCATTAAGTGCTACACATTGGAAACTACTCTTAAAGTACATACTTCTCTGCATGTTTCTATTGTCGGTGAGTATATCTTAAATTCAAATCTCTGAAGCCAACATTGTTAATTACTTGGATCACTGACCTACTGTAGTGGGTGGGGCCTTGCAGGTTGAGGACAACCCCCTCCCCCCAAAAACTGTTGGCACCAAAGCAGCATTACTGAAACTATTCATCAGGTTTACACAGTGGTAATCCATCGTGAAATTACCTCGGAAGGACTACTCTTAAACAGCTTGAGGATGAGTTTCCATGACAACAGGTATCCCATGGTGTACTTGTATTCATCTGTGTTGGGAGCGATGGTGAGGCAGTCCTCCAGACCTGCATCACACAAGACGATGTCCATGGCAGCAGCGCCCTCCATACACACCTTGTTGACAGCATGAGGCGGTTTACTGCAACATTGACAAACAACAATTAAAGAAAGAGTTGTCTCCCCAAAATAACCATGACAACCAATTTTTTGCTGCTTGGATCTTCTGTCACGGACAAAGGTTACCAACATGATACTTTAGTGATGACCCCAAACACTGTGGACTTTCCTGTTGCCCTCTGACTGTGGACTCTCCTGTCCCCCTCTGACAGTGGACTCTCCTGTCCCCCTCTGACTGTGGACTCTCCTGTCCCCCACTGACAGTGGCCTCTCCTGTCCTCCTCTGACAGTGGACTCTCCTGTCCCCCTGACTGTGGACTCTCCCATCCCCCTCTGACAGTGGACTCTCCCGTCCACCTCTGACAGTGGACTCTCCCGTCAACCTCTGACAGTGGACTCTCCCATCTCCCTCTGACAGTGGACTCTCCCACCCCCCTCTGACTGTGGACTCTCCCGTCCCCCTCTGACTGTGGACTCTCCCGTCCCCCTCTGACAGTGGACTCTCCCGTCCCCCACTGACAGTGGACTCTCCTGTCCCCCTGACTGTGGACTCTCCCATCCCCCTCTGACAGTGGACTCTCCCACCCCCCTCTGACAGTGGACTCTCCCATCCACCTCTGACAGTGGACTCTCCCGTCAACCTCTGACAGTGGACTCTCCCATCTCCCTCTGACAGTGGACTCTCCCACCCCCCTCTGACTGTGGACTCTCCTGTCCCCCTCTGACAGTGGCCTCTTCCCCCTCTGACAGTGGCCTCTTCTGTCCCCCTCTGACAGTTGACTCTCCTGTCCCCCTCTGACAGTGGCCTCTCCCCCCTCTGACTGTGCACTCTCCTGTCCCCCTCTGACAGTGGCCTCTTCTGTCCCCCTGACTGTGGACTCTCCTCTCCCCATGACTCACCTGGACTCATCGTTTCTCTTGTCCTCCTCCTGCAGCTGTTCCACCTCGTCCTTGTCCACCTGTTCATAGGCCGGCAGCTCACTCACAACTCTGGAACAGAACATACACTGCGTGAGTGAGTGAGTGAGTGGGTGGCTGGTTTTGAGTGAGCAATATTCCAACAATATCGCGTCAGGGACACCAGCAACAGGCTTCACATATTGTACCCATGTCGGGATTCGAACCTGGGTCTTGGCGTGACGAATGAACGCTTTTACCAGTAGGCTACTCGACCGCCCCACCCTCAGAGAGCTAGCTAGCATTTCATGTCTAACAATCAACCCATCTGACTGGCTCGTCACCATCTTGTGAAACTGATACAAGTCATCTGGTGCGTCTGCACCGAAATCCTGCCATAATGTGCCATCTTTCACATGTCACGTAACAGTCGACATTGTTCACATGAGCTACCATACAGAGTCGGATTATACAAGATGTCACTGAAACTGAGTCTCTGCAAATTGTGAATTGTGTTTGGGATTTTCTTAGCTGATCGTTTCTGTACACCACTCAACCTTCAAATTTAGAATCCATTGGGGCACAGTGACACATTAAGACCTTTTGAGAAGAAAAATCACAATAGGGAGTGAGTGGGACTTAACCAGCCATATTCCAGCTGCATCAACGACAATCTGGACCAGGCAGACCAGTCACCATAAAACCTGAGCAACGATCCTGCCCACGGCAGCACACTGACATGCAATCAGACTGAGTTACTGAGCCGGAACACTTGATGCAAGGTTGTCTCAAACAAATATACGGTAGGAAGATGTGGTTGGTTGGTTGGTTTGTTGTTTAACGCCGCACTCAGCAATATTCCAGCTATATGACTGCGGTCTGTAAATAATCGAGTCTGGACCAGACAATCCAGTGATTAATATCATGAGCATCGATCCACGCAATTGGGATCGATGACATGCATCAACCAAGTCAGCGAGCCTGACCACCCGATCCCGTTAGTCCCCTTTTAAGACAAGCATAGTCACCTTTTACGGCAAGTATGGGTTGATGAAGACCTATTCTACCCCGGCGTCTTCATGGGCCAGGAAGATGTGGACACAGAAGATTTGGAAAGTGTAGCTTCAAGAATCTATTATTACATTAAACAGCCAGTCCAAACTACACATTTGTTATTGTTTCTTTCCTTATTCCTCTCACCCCCAACTTATTTCCCTTTTTCATTCTACCAACTTAACATTTAGCAAGGACAATATTTGAATTATCTGATTTTTCATTTTTTCAACCAAGCAATCTGGATATTTGTACAAAAAACTTGTAACATCCCCCCCAGAAAGTCTGGCTGTATGACTTGTACAACTTTCTACCAACCTGTTGAGCACATGGAAGGCTGTGACTTGCACGGACGCACTACTGCACAGCATCATGGGACTGAACGTGTTGAGCAGGGACTGTAGAGAGTCTGGCAGGGGAGACAACTCTTCTGCTACTAGGTTGGCAGGCAACTGGTGACCCAGCACGTGCTGTTTGGGGCAGTGGGAGATAGCAAGACCCATAGAGCTGATGACGTTGTCATGGAGACCACCTCCTGTTGTCTGCAGGGACTTGGCTGGAAGTAAGTGACAACCATTGTCAAGGACAGCCATGAGAACACAGATGGTATGTTCCTAGATGGAGTGCTGGTCAGCAGAGCTGTACACCTGTCTCTACAGTCAGCAATGACTGGGTGCTTGATTATTGCTGATTGGTATGAATGAGTGAGTATGGTCACATGCTGCAACCATACCATTGAAGTACTAAGACACACAATCAACTATGTCACATGCTGCAACCATACCATTGAAGTACTAAGACACACAATCAAGTATGTCACATGCTGCAACCATACCATTGAAGTACTAAGACACACAATCAAGTATGTCACACTGCAACCATACTATTGAAGTACTAAGACACACAATCAACTATGTCACATGCTGCAACCATACCACTGAAGTACTAAGACACAGAATCAACTACGTCACATGCTGCAACCATACCATTGAAGTACTAAGACACACAATCAACTACATCACACAGTGCAACCATACTATTGAAGTACTAAGACACACAATCAACTATGTCCCACACTGCAACCATACCACTGAAGTACTAAGACACACAATCAACTACGTCACACAGTGCAACCACACCACTGAAGTACTAAGACACACAATCAACTCCGTCACACACTGCAACCATACCACTACAGTACTAAGACACACAATCAACTACGTCACACAGTGCAACCATACCACTGAAGTACTAAGACACACAATCAACTACGTCACACAGTGCAACCATACCATTGAAGTACTTAGACACACAATCAACTACATGACATGTTGCAACCACACCATCCAAACGTCGGACGACTCTTACTGCAAGGTGCTGGTGACTCAGAATGCAGTTGGGTTCTTACAGTGAAGTCTGACTCACCTACTAGTCTGACATACAGTGTAGTCTGACTCACCTACTAGTCTGACATACAGTGTAGTCTGACTCACCTACTAGTCTGACATACAGTGTAGTCTGACTCACCTACTAGTCTGACATACAGTGAAGTCTGACTCACCTACTAGTCTGACATACAGTGTAGTCTGACTCACCTACTAGTCTGACCTACAGTGTAGTCTGACTCACCTACTAGTCTGACATACAGTGAAGTCTGACTCACCTACTAGTCTGACATACAGTGAGGTACAACTCACCTACTAGCCTGACATACAGAGGCAGGAGAATGCTGAAGACTCCCTCGCTGAAGAACTCGTCCCACTCTGTGAGGAGGTTGTCAGGGAAGCTGGTTGGTGACGTCCGTATCCGGGTATCGATACAGTTGACGACGTCCCCCAGGAGCTGACAGGCCCTGATGGCGAACACGCTGACCGGCGTCAGGCTGGCCAGCAGGTGCTCGCTCTCCACCACCGTCTGCAGGAACAGAACACTCCACTGATGTACACACACCTTGACTGGGACACGAGGGAGGGGGGACAGAACACTCCACTGATGTACACTCACCTTGACTGGGACATGAGGGAGGGGGGACAGAACACTCCACTGATGTACACACACCTTGACTGGGACACGAGGGAGGGGGGACAGAACACTCCACTGATGTACACACACCTTGACTGGGACACGAGGGAGGGGGGACAGAACACTCCACTGATGTACACACACCTTGACTGGGACACGAGGGAGGGGGGACAGAACACTCCACTGATGTACACTCACCTTGACTGGGACACGAGGGAGGGGGGACAGAACACTCCACTGATGTACACACACCTTGACTGGGACACGAGGGAGGGGGAACAGAACACTCCACTGATGTACACTCACCTTGACTGGGACACGAGGGAGGGGGGACAGAACACTCCACTGATGTACACACACCTTGACTGGGACACGAGGGAGGGGGGACTCTTTGGGGACTAAGTACAAAGTCACGAAGTGCACTGACATACACTATGTTTGTGGTTACAACAAAGTAAACGTTACATCAGTATTACATTTTGTCACAATGTTGTTGAAAAAAACAACTTATTATGTGAGTAAGCGTGTGACTGTCAGGGGGAGGGAGGGAGCGAATGATAGTGGGTAAGTGTGATAGTGAGGCAGTGACTGAGTGAGTCACTGAAACAGTGAGTGAGTGACTGAGACAGTGTGTGAGTGCGTGAGTGGGACAATGAGTGAGAGTGGTTGAGTGAGTGAGTGAGAATGTGAGTGGTTGGTTGAGTGAGTGAGTGAGAATGTGAGTGGTTGGTTGAGTGAGTGAGTGAGAATGTGAGTGGTTGGTTGAGTGAGTGAGAATGTGAGTGGTTGGTTGAGTGAGTGAGTGAGAGTGGTTGAGTGAGTGAGTGGGACAGTGAGTGAGAGTGAGTGAGTGAGTGAGTGAGTGAGTGAGAGTGAGTGAGACAGTGTCTGAGTGCATGAGTGAGAGCGGTTGAGTGAGTGGGACAGTGAGTGCATGAGTGAGTGATAATGTGAGAATGTGAGTGGGTGAGAGTGAGTGAGTGCATGAGTGAGTGATAATGTGAGAATGTGAGTGTTGGAGAGAGTGTGTGAGTGCCCCACCTGGACCCATGCGATGGTGCTGCACAGGATGAAGTCCCAGTCAGTGTCCCCCAACTCCTGGGGCAGGAGGGTCACGTACAGCTGCACCAACTTCATCACTTCCACATTGGCGGCCATCTTGTCTGGGTTCGTCTCCGCCAGGTCGCTACAAACACGCAACACATACTTATTCCCCTCTGGACTCACACTCCCTACATCAACAGTAATATCACAGGCTGTCCACACCAGGAACACACGAGATCTTCAGTTACAACCCACCAGGTAAACAACACCAGCTCTTCAGTTACAACACACCAGGTAAACAACACGAGATCTTCAGTTACAACCCACCAGGTAAACAACACCAGCTCTTCAGTTACAACACACCAGGTAAACAACATGAGATCTTCAGTTACAACTCATCAGGTAAACAACACGAGATCTTCAGTTACAACCCACCAGGTAAACAACACCAGCTCTTCAGTTACAACCCACCAGGTAAACAACACGAGATCTTCAGTTACAACTCATCAGGTAAATAACACGAGATCTTCAGTTACAACCCACCAGGTAAACAACACTGGATCTTCAGTTACAACCCACCAGGTAAACAACACTGGATCTTCAGTTACAACCCACGAGGTAAACAACATGAGATCTTCAGTTACAACCCACCAGGTAAACAACACTGGATCTTCAGTTACAACACACCAGGTAAACAACACTGGATCTTCAGTTACAACACACCAGGTAAACAACATGAGATCTTCAGTTACAACCCACCAGGTAAACAACACGAGATCTTCAGTTACAACTCACCAGGTAAACAACACAAGATCTTCAGTTACAACCCAACAGGTAAACAACAAAAGATCTTCAGTTACAATTCACCAGGTAAACAACACAAGATCTTCAGTTACAACCCAACAGGTAAACAACAAAAGATCTTCAGTTACAACTCACCAGGTAAACAACACCAGCTCTTCAGTTACAACCCAACAGGTAAACAACAAAAGATCTTCAGTTACAACTCACCAGGTAAACAACACAAGATCTTCAGTTACAACCCAACAGGTAAACAACACCAGCTCTTCAGTTACAACACACCAGGTAAACAACACAAGATCTTCAGTTACAACTCATCAGGTAAACAACACGAGATCTTCAGTTACAACCCACCAGGTAAACAACACCAGCTCTTCAGTTACAACACACCAGGTAAACAACACGAGATCTTCAGTTACAACTCATCAGGTAAACAACACGAGTTCTTCAGTTACAACCCACCAGGTAAACAACACTGGATCTTCAGTTACAACCTACCAGGTAAACAACACTGGATCTTCAGTTACAACCCACCAGGTAAACAACATGAGATCTTCAGTTACAACCCACCAGGTAAACAACACTGGATCTTCAGTTACAACACACCAGGTAAACAACACTGGATCTTCAGTTACAACACACCAGGTAAACAACATGAGATCTTCAGTTACAACCCACCAGGTAAACAACACGAGATCTTCAGTTACAACTCACCAGGTAAACAACACAAGATCTTCAGTTACAACCCAACAGGTAAACAACAAAAGATCTTCAGTTACAATTCACCAGGTAAACAACACAAGATCTTCAGTTACAACCCAACAGGTAAACAACAAAAGATCTTCAGTTACAACTCACCAGGTAAACAACACGAGATCTTCAGTTACAACACACCAGGTAAACAACACGAGATCTTCAGTTACAACTCATCAGGTAAACAACACGAGTTCTTCAGTTACAACCCACCAGGTAAACAACACTGGATCTTCAGTTACAACCCACCAGGTAAACAACACTGGATCTTCAGTTACAACCCACCAGGTAAACAACACTGGATCTTCAGTTACAACACACCAGGTAAACAACACTGGATCTTCAGTTACAACACACCAGGTAAACAACATGAGATCTTCAGTTACAACCCACCAGGTAAACAACACGAGATCTTCAGTTACAACTCACCAGGTAAACAACACAAGATCTTCAGTTACAACCCAACAGGTAAACAACAAAAGATCTTCAGTTACAATTCACCAGGTAAACAACACAAGATCTTCAGTTACAACCCAACAGGTAAACAACAAAAGATCTTCAGTTACAACTCACCAGGTAAACAACACAAGATCTTCAGTTACAACCCAACAGGTAAACAACAAAAGATCTTCAGTTACAACTCACCAGGTAAACAACACAAGATCTTCAGTTACAACCCAACAGGTAAACAAAATACGATCTTCAGTTACAACTCAACAGGTAAACAACACCAGATCTTCAGTTACAACCGACCAGGTGAACAACATGAGATCTTCAGTCACAACTCACCAGGTAAACAACATGAGATCTTCAGTTTCCTGTTTCCACAGGATGATCTGGCTGAGTGTTGACCTGTATATGTCCTTAACTTCTGACCTTTCAGTACCAATATGGGGCAAGGTCATGTTCAGGACACCCAACAGTCCAACACCACCTGTAACCATAGCAACAAGATTATAACACAAAAAAACACATCATACACATATTAGTTAAATTAAATTACCAGAGATCTAAAGGTTGATAAGAAAATAGTCTTACATAAGACAAACATCCCCTAAACATGATCATTGACTTTCAGTGTTGGTGTGAGTGAGTGAGTGAATGTCGTTTAATTCCAGGCAACCGTTTTCCAGCTATATAAATGCATCGAAGTGTCTCAGAGTGTCTAGGAGAGTCAGTGTATCTAGGAGAGTTAGTGTGTCTCAGTGTGTCTAGAAGAGTCAGTGTGTCTAGGAGAGTCAGTGTGTCTAGGAGAGTTAGTATGTCTCAGTGTGTCTAGGAGAGTCAGTGTATCTAGGAGAGTTAGTGTGTCTAGGAGAGTTAGTGTGTCTCAGTGTGTCTAGGAGAGTCAGTGTGTCTAGGAGAGTCAGTGTGTCTAGGAGAGTCAGTGTGTCTCAGTGTGTCTAGGAGAGTCAGTGTATCTAGGAGAGTTAGTGTGTCTCAGTGTGTCTAGGAGAGCCAGTGTATCTAGGAGAGTTAGTGTGTCTCAGTGTATCTAGGAGAGTTAGTGTGTCTCAGTGTGTCTAGGAGAGTCAGTGTATCTAGGAGAGTTAGTGTGTCTCAGTGTGTCTAGGAGAGTCAGTGAATCTATTAGAGTTAGTGTGTCTTAGTGTGTCTAGAAGAGTTAGTGTATCTAGGAGAGTTAGTGTCTCAGTGTATCTAGGAGAGTTAGTGTGTCTCAGTGTGTCTAGGAGAGTTAGTGTGTCTCAGTGTGTCTAGGAGAGTAAGTGTGTCTCAGTGTGTCTAGGAGAGTCAGTGTATCTAGGAGAGTTAGTGTGTCTCAGTGTGTCTAGGAGAGTTAGTGTGTCTCAGTGTGTCTAGGAGAGTCAGTGAATCTATTAGAGTTAGTGTGTCTCAGTGTGTCTAGAAGAGTTAGTGTATCTAGGAGAGTTAGTGTGTCTCAGTGTATCTAGGAGAGTTAGTGTGTCTCAGTGTGTCTAGGAGAGTTAGTGTGTCTCAGTGTGTCTAGGAGAGTTAGTGTGTCTCAGTGTGTCTAGGAGAGTCAGTGTATCTAGGAGAGTTAGTGTGTCTCAGTGTGTCTAGGAGAGTTAGTGTGTCTCAGTGTGTCTAGGAGAGTCAGTGTGTCTAGGAGAGTCAGTGAATCTATTAGAGTTAGTGTGTCTCAGTGTGTCTAGGAGAGTTATTGTATCTAGGAGAGTTAGTGTGTCTCAGTGTGTCTAGGAGAGTTATTGTATCTAGGAGAGTTAGTGTGTCTCAGTGTATCTAGGAGAGTCAGTGAATCTATTAGAGTTAGTGTGTCTCAGTGTGTCTAGGAGAGTTATTGTATCTAGGAGAGTTAGTCTGTCTCAGTGTGTCTAGGAGAGTCAGTGTGTCTAGGAGAGTTAGTGTGTCTCAGTGTATCTAGGAGAGTCAGTGTATCTAGGAGAGTTAGTGTGCCTCAGTGTGTCTAGGAGAGTCAGTGAATCTATTAGAGTTAGTGTGTCTCAGTGTGTCTAGGAGAGTTAGTGTGTCTCAGTGTGTCTAGGAGAGTTAGTGTGTCTCAGTGTGTCTAGGAGAGTCAGTGTATCTAGGAGAGTTAGTGTGTCTCAGTGTGTCTCAGTGTGTCTAGGAGAGTCAGTGTATCTAGGAGAGTTAGTGTGTCTCAGTGTGTCTAGGAGAGTCAGTGTATCTAGGAGAGTTACTGTGTCTCAGTGTGTCTCAGTGTGACTAGGAGAGTCAGTGAATCTATTACAGTTAGTGTGTCTGAGTGTATCTAGGAGAGTTAGTGTATCTAGGAGAGTTAGTGTGTCTCAGTGTGTCTAGGAGAGTCAGTGAATCTATTAGAGTTAGTGTGTCTTAGTGTGTCTAGAAGAGTTAGTGTATCTAGGAGAGTTAGTGTCTCAGTGTATCTAGGAGAGTTAGTGTGTCTCAGTGTGTCTAGGAGAGTTAGTGTGTCTCAGTGTGTCTAGGAGAGTAAGTGTGTCTCAGTGTGTCTAGGAGAGTCAGTGTATCTAGGAGAGTTAGTGTGTCTCAGTGTGTCTAGGAGAGTTAGTGTGTCTCAGTGTGTCTAGGAGAGTCAGTGAATCTATTAGAGTTAGTGTGTCTCAGTGTGTCTAGAAGAGTTAGTGTATCTAGGAGAGTTAGTGTGTCTCAGTGTATCTAGGAGAGTTAGTGTGTCTCAGTGTGTCTAGGAGAGTTAGTGTGTCTCAGTGTGTCTAGGAGAGTTAGTGTGTCTCAGTGTGTCTAGGAGAGTCAGTGTATCTAGGAGAGTTAGTGTGTCTCAGTGTGTCTAGGAGAGTTAGTGTGTCTCAGTGTGTCTAGGAGAGTCAGTGTGTCTAGGAGAGTCAGTGAATCTATTAGAGTTAGTGTGTCTCAGTGTGTCTAGGAGAGTTATTGTATCTAGGAGAGTTAGTGTGTCTCAGTGTGTCTAGGAGAGTTATTGTATCTAGGAGAGTTAGTGTGTCTCAGTGTATCTAGGAGAGTCAGTGAATCTATTAGAGTTAGTGTGTCTCAGTGTGTCTAGGAGAGTTATTGTATCTAGGAGAGTTAGTCTGTCTCAGTGTGTCTAGGAGAGTCAGTGTGTCTAGGAGAGTTAGTGTGTCTCAGTGTATCTAGGAGAGTCAGTGTATCTAGGAGAGTTAGTGTGCCTCAGTGTGTCTAGGAGAGTCAGTGAATCTATTAGAGTTAGTGTGTCTCAGTGTGTCTAGGAGAGTTAGTGTGTCTCAGTGTGTCTAGGAGAGTTAGTGTGTCTCAGTGTGTCTAGGAGAGTCAGTGTATCTAGGAGAGTTAGTGTGTCTCAGTGTGTCTCAGTGTGTCTAGGAGAGTCAGTGTATCTAGGAGAGTTAGTGTGTCTCAGTGTGTCTAGGAGAGTCAGTGTATCTAGGAGAGTTACTGTGTCTCAGTGTGTCTCAGTGTGACTAGGAGAGTCAGTGAATCTATTACAGTTAGTGTGTCTGAGTGTATCTAGGAGAGTTAGTGTGTCTCAGTGTGTCTAGGAGAGTCAATGTATCTAGGAGAGTCAGTGTGTCTCAGTGTGTCTAGGAGAGTCAGTGTGTCTATTAGAGTTAGTGTGTCTCAGTGTGTCTAGGAGAGTCAGTGTATCTATTAGAGTTAGTGTGTCTCAGAGTGTCTAGGAGAGTCAGTGTATCTAGGAGAGTCAGTGTGTCTCAGTGTGTCTAGGAGAGTCAGTGTATCTATTAGAGTTAGTGTGTCTCAGAGTGTCTAGGAGAGTCAGTGTATCTAGGAGAGTTAGTGTGTCTCAGTGTGTCTCAGTGTATCTAGGAGAGTCAGTGTATCTAGGAGAGTTAGTGTGTCTCAGTGTGTCTAGGTGAGTCAGTGTATCTAGGAGAGTTAGTGTGTCTCAGTGTGTCTAGGAGAGTCAGTGTATCTATCAGAGTTAGTGTGTCTCAGAGTGTCTAGGAGAGTCAGTGTATCTAGGAGAGTCAGTGCGTCTCAGAGTGTCTCACCATCAACCTCTGTGGAGGAGTCCGCCGGGGTGGTGATGAATCGGGCATTGAGGATCTGTGCGGCGGTGAGGCGGGCGTGGTCGCTGACATAGCTCGTGCTACACTGAAGGGTGTGGAGCAGGTTGGGAGTCAGGGTGCAGCATCTGGAACGACATGTTCAAAGTCAGCTGTACTATCAACGGACCAGACAGTGAGCGACAATTGATACAATGACACAACTACAATGAAACACTGTTATTCTAAATTCAACATATGGAGTATGGAGTAATATCCCTTATGTTTATACTATGTAGTAGTCCAGACTCTCTGTCTATAACTGCAGCCTGGTTCAGCAGACAGAGTGCACACACAGAACATACTCTGTCAGGAACACCCACATTAAGGTGATGAATCTCATCTCTTCATCATGATCAAAGTATTATTTATTTCTAATTACAAGAGAGCAGGCAATGTATCGGGCAATATCCCATTCTTGCTTCATTCACATCAATAACATACCTGTCAATGACAGCATCATCGGACAAGCTGACTTCTGATTGGCTGGTCTTGAGGATATCCAACAACGTAGACAATGAAACTGAAGCAATGCCTCCTGTTTCCTCCGACCTGAAAGAGGCAGAATTTTATTGTCATGAAAGTGTACATTTTAGTGGGAGGAAAGCCGAATGGATGCAGGTCTGGGACACTTACCGCTTCGATAAAACCCACGAGCACAGCTATGGTGTTGACAAACCTAGAAACATAATCGGGGCGTACGGGGATTCGAACCCACAATCATAGGTTTCTGGTGTGCCCACGGGATGCAACACTGCACAGCTAATTGCAGCGCCTTAGAGGACTGGCAAAAAGAACTGACTTGTAGGTTACAATTTCATGTATTGTCAGCACATGTGGTCAGTTCCCTCGTCCATAACTCACCTTGTGACGGCCATGTTGAGAAGCTTCCTCTGACTCTCACTGTCCAGGACGGTGACCAGACTCATGACCTTCACCTTCAGCTGGTCCAGCCCAGACGTCAAATCCGGGAAGCGGTGAACCTGCACAACACCCAACAAATGTCCTGATATATGGACCCAAGATTTCCTCAGCTCTTCACATCATGAAACATGCAGATTGTTTGCGATTTGGAATTAACAGAAACCGACAAAGAATTTCAGATCATCACGGAGTAGGTTCCAGGCTTCTGGTGCCCTAGCAAAACTTGTTAGATACACATATGTAATGAGTGAGTGAGTGAGTGAGTGAGTGGGTGGGTGGGTGAGTGAGTGAGTGAGTGAGTGAGTGAGTGAGTGAGTGAGTGAGTGAGTGAGTGAGTGAGTGAGTGAGTGAGTGAGTGAGTGAGTGAGTGAGTGAGTGAGTGAGTGAGTGAGGGTGGGTTGGGTGAGTGAGGAGTGAGTGAGTGAGTGAGTGAGTGAGTGAGTGAGTGAGTGAGTGGGAGGGTGGGTGGGTGAGTGAGTGAGTGAGTGAGTGAGTGAGTGAGTGAGTGAGTGAGTGAGTGAGTGAGTGAGTGAGTGAGTGAGTATGGTTTTACGCCGTTTTTAGTAATATTCCAGCAATATTCCTGAGGGGGACAACAGAAATGGGCTTCACACACTGTACCCATGTCTGGAATCGAACCCGAGTCTTGACGAGCGAGCGCTTTAACCACTAGGCTACCCGACCGCACCACATATGTAATGATCTGATCATGCAAACACTGAAGTTGACTGAAGCTTTATCATTACTTAAACATGTAGAATTCAGAAGGAATGAGTTCCTAGTCAGAAAGAAATGTGCACATTAAGCGGCTTGTTGTGTAACCATGGAGTTTTATTGTTATTGTTATTACACAATACATCACTAAAACACCAGATCGTGACTAACTACGGGGCCAGGTAGTCGTGTGGGTACCCGGGTCCTTCTCAGTACCCACAAGACCTGAGTTACCCGTTCCAGCTCTATTGGGCAGGGATGTTATACAAACAAAATACAAAGAGAAACAATACATTTGTATTTGGAGTGTAACAGTAACATTCAGCACAGAGAGAGATATTCTGTACCATGTGACACAAATATCACATGATTATGTATAGATACAAAACAATTCAAGCATATATGAGCATGAAATGTAAAACGGTACGAACATACAGTAGAACAGGGATATAACGAACACGGGTAGAGCGAACAACAAACTGTTACAGAATCCCTGAATTATCGCCTACCCGGTATATATTATCATATAAAACTTACGTACATCACAAACTCTCTACAGTGAACTAACGTATATAGCAAACTGATCCAGGACAAGCCAATATACCATCAACTAGTGACGTGTATAGCGAACTGATCCAGGACAAGCCAATATACCATCAACTAGTGACGTATATAGCAAACTGATATCTGATCCAGGACAAGCCAATATACCATCAACTAGTGATGTGTATAGCGAACTGAGAAATCTCGCTCAGTGTCAAGTGTCACTGACAATTGTTTAAACACAATTAGCAGCGAATCAACACAATCGTGGCGAATAAGCACAACCAGCTGTGACAATTCGACCTTGTTTAAGTTGCGTCATGTAAATCTTACCTGTACATGACAATTGGACTAATCTTGTCTGCAAAACAAATTACGTGTATTGTGTTTTGTTTTATCCAAGATGGCAGACTTTTCCAAGCGAAAACTTATATGACGAACAACATATAACGAACGGCTTTCTCTGGTCCCTTGTAGTTTGTTATATCCATGTTCTACTGTACAAGCCATTGTTTTATCAGTTGACTCAAATCTATTAAATATGTCTTAGTTGGACTATAATTCATTTCCTTTATGTGGAGTTCTCATGTATAGTACCGTGTATTGTATCGCAACAGTACTAGTGAGATATATTGTGGACAGTTATACCCCTGATTTCTAGTACGTAATTGAGTACCTTCTTGTCATTCTCAGCCCACCAGCGGGTGATGACACTCTGTGTCAGGCAATCCAACAATCTCTCCAGGTCTTCCTTCTCCCATGCCACAGCAGTTATCTCCCTTCCATCTTGACCCTGTTCTTTCGATGTGATAGATGTCACAGAGGCCTTCCTGGTCAGGGTCAAGGTCATGTCACCCGACCCCTTGTACGTGAGGAGCACAGCGTTGAAGAGCGTGGTGAACATCAACTGCGTCAAGGTGGTTGTCGGCCGTCTCTTGGCGAGACTTGTCAAGGACAGTAGTCCACTGATGGTCATGTACTCCTGTATCTGGGGGAAGGGGGACACTAAATAAGCTTCTGTTTGCATATGTCGAAAGGATGAGGTAGTTTTGAAAATATTTGGGGGGTGGTATTTAGTAGGGCTGGCTATCAATACAGATCATTGAGATTGATAATCGTTAGCCGAATATCGATCAATTATCAATAAATACCGGGAGAGTAAATTTGAGTAAATACTCTAAACAGAGTCCGAAAGAATCAACATATTTCACACCACTGGGGAGTGGTGGCGCATTTATGCAGGGATTACTTTGTGGACATTTGAGAGACAACAAAAACAGTGGCTTTCCATCTTCAGCAATTGACACTATTGACAATAACAAGTCTGTTTTGGTAAATCCAAATAGTTTATGTAAGATATTATCTATGACACAATTTTCATATCGATAATCATTAATATTTCTTCACATCGATGATAATTCTGATTATTGATAATTTTTGCCAGCCCATGTATTTAGTGGAACAGTAAACATATTCAGTATTACTGACCTGAGCGTAGTTATCTCCCTTAGGTGGTATGTAGAGTGTGTTGACCAGGGCCTGTATGGTTGGGTCAGTGTGGCTGGCATCAGGCAGGTTGTCCCTCAGTGTTGTCAGCAGGCTGCTCACACACCGACACACATGCTGCAACCTGGAACAACCAGTCACATCAAACTGGGTCCTGTCTCTAGTGACAAGCTCCCTACTTACTGGAACAACCAGTCACATCAAACTGGGTCCTGTCTCTAGTGACACGCACCCTACTTACTGGAACAACCAGTCACATCAAACTGGGCCCTGTCTCTAGTGACAAGCTCCCTACTAACTGGAACAACCAGTCACATCAAACTGGGCCCTGTCTCTAGTGACAAGCTCCCTACTAACTGGAACAACCAGTCACATCAAACTGGGCCCTGTCTCTAGTGACACGCTCCCTACTTACTGGAACAACCAGTCACATCAAACTGGGCCCTGTCTCTAGTGACAAGCTCCCTACTTACTGGAACAACCAGTCACATCAAACTGGGCCCTGTCTCTAGTGACAAGCTCCCTACTAACACGTTGTTCCCTCGTGTATGTATGTATGCTCAAATATATGTGTGTCTACTCACATCTACATCTCATGCAACAATGAATAATAGATAGAGCAATATATCATGTAACACACTTGCTTCTAAAAATATTGATTCATGATCATATAAAAACTAGTTGAAACAAGGTTTATACAATAGAGCTACTGTTAACAGATGCTGACAAGGTACAGCTCTTTCAGGTATTTAAGAACTGACTTCAATAATTTTATTTTATATGAATGTAAGAACCAGATTACTGTGTAAATAAGGACTAGTAGAAATTTGCCATTATTAAGGATTTTGCTATATGTTATCATTATAAGGACTACTGGACTAAAAAGTTAGTTTCTATGGTTGGACTGACATACACCTATGAACTTACACAGCCAAAGTCTGAGTGCGAGTTGAGATCAACATATGTACAAGGTCTGCTGCCTTCTCCAGGAAACCACCGCTGCGGAGATACGCCCCTGTCTGACTGACAATCACGTACAGGCCACAGTCCAGGGCTTCGTGCACATCCTCACGGGTCTGATCTACAACAGACATCGTCCACATACAAGACAGGGTACTCTGACTCTGGCCTCAGACATCGTCCACATACCAGACAGGGTACTCTGACTCTGGCCTCAGACATCGTCCACATACAAGACAGGGTACTCTGACTCTGGCCTCCTACAAGATGGCATATTGTCTTTAAAACCCCACAAAACAATAAAATTGGTTGAGGCATATGATCGTTTTTTGTTGTAACTTACTAAGTATAAAGATATGCCTAATTAATCTGACTGTGATGTCTTAGACTTACCAGTGACAGGGTAGTCGGTGTCTATGTAGACTGTGAACAGAGCCAGCATCAGGTTCTCCACGGAGTCCAGAGAGGGACACACCTACAGAAAATACCAATCAATATACATTCATCCCTACACTGGTAGGACCACCTACACAACACAATACATTCATCCCTACATTGGTCCGACCACCTACATAACACAATACATTCATCCCTACATTGGTAGGACCACCTACATAACACAATACATTCATCCCTACACTGGTAGGACCACCTACACAACACAATACATTCATCCCTACATTGGTAGGACCACCTACATAACACAATACATTCATCCCTACATTGGTAGAACCACCTACATAACAATACATTCATCCCTACATTGGTAGGACCACCTACACAACACAATACATTCATCCCTACACTGGTAGGACCACCTACACAACACAATACATTCATCCCTACATTGGTAGGACCACCTACACGACACAATACATTCATTCCTACACTGGTAGGACCACCTACTCGACACAATACATTCATCCCTACATTGGTAGGACCACCTACACAACACAATACATTCATCCCTACACTGGTAGGACCACCTACACAACACAATACATTCATCCCTACACTGGTAGGACCACCTACACGACACAATACGTTCATCCCTACATTGGTAGAACCACCTACATAACAATACATTCATCCCTACACTGGTCGGACCACCTACACGACACAATACATTCATCCCTACATTGGTCGGACCACCTACATAACACAATACATTCATCCCTACACTTGTAGGACCACCTACACAACACAATACATTCATCCCTACATTGGTAGGACCACCTACATAACAATACATTCATCCCTACATTGGTAGGACCACCTACACGACACAATACATTCATCCCTACACTGGTAGGACCACCTACACAACACAATACATTCATCCCTACACTGGTAGGACCACCTACATAACACAATACATTCATCCCTACACTGGTAGGACCACCTACAGAACACAATACATTCATCCCTACACTGGTAGGACCACCTACACAACACAATACATTCATCCCTACACTGGTAGGACCACCTACTCGACACAATACATTCATCCCTACATTGGTAGGACCACCTACACAACACAATACATTCATCCCTACACTGGTAGGACCACCTACACGACACAATACATGCATCCCTACATTGGTCGGACAACCTACATAACACGATACATTCGTTCCTACACTGGTAGGACCACCTACATAACACAATACATTCATCCCTACATTGGTAGGACCACCTACATAACACAATACATTCATCCCTACACAGGTAGGACAACCTACACAACACAATACATTCATCCCTACACTGGTAGGACCACCTACACGACACAATACATTCATCCCTACATTGGTCGGACAACCTACATAACACGATACATTCGTTCCTACACTGGTAGGATCACCTACATAACACAATACATTCATCCCTACATTGGTAGGACCACCTACATAACACAATACATTCATCCCTACACTGGTAGGACCACCTACACAACACAATACATTCATCCCTACACTGGTCGGACCACCTACAGAACACAATACATTCATCCCTACACTGGTAGGACCACCTACTCGACACAATACATTCATCCCTACATTGGTCGGACAACCTACATAACACGATACATTCGTTCCTACACTGGTAGGATCACCTACATAACACAATACATTCATCCCTACATTGGTAGGACCACCTACATAACACAATACATTCATCCCTACACTGGTAGGACCACCTACACAACACAATACATTCATCCCTACACTGGTCGGACCACCTACAGAACACAATACATTCATCCCTACACTGGTAGGACCACCTACACGACACAATACATTCATCCCTACATTGGTCGGACAACCTACATAACACAATACATTCATCCCTAGATTGGTCGGACCACCTACATAACACAATACATTCATCCCTACATTGGTCGGACCACCTACACAACACAATACATTCATCCCTACACTGGTAGGACCACCTACACAACACAATACATTCATCCCTACATTGGTCGGACAACCTACATAACACAATACATTCATCTCTACATTGGTAGGACCACCTACATAACACAATACATTCATCCCTACACTGGTAGGACCACCTACACAACACAATACATTCATCCCTACATTGGTCGGACAACCTACATAACACAATACATTCATCCCTACACTGGTAGGACCACCTACACAACACAATACATTCATCCCTACACTGGTCGGACCACCTACACGACACAATACATTCATCCCTACATTGGTCGGACAACCTACATAACACAATACATTCATCCCTACATTGGTCGGACCACCTACATAACACAATACATTCATCCCTACATTGGTCGGACCACCTACATAACACAATACATTCATCCCTACATTCGTCGGACCACCTACATAACACAATACATTCATCCCTACATTGGTCGGACCACCTACATAACACGATACATTCGTTCCTACACTGGTCGGACCACCTACACAACACAATACATTTGTTCCTACACTGGTCGGACCACCTACATAACACAATACATTCATCCCTACATTGGTAGGACCACCTACACAACACAATACATTCGTCCCTACACTGGTCGGACCACCTACACGACACAATACATTCATCCCTACACTGGTAGGACCACCTACACAACACAATACATTTGTTCCTACACTGGTCGGACCACCTACACAACACAATACATTCGTTCCTACACTGGTAGGACCACCTACATAACACAATACATTCGTCCCTACATTGGTCGGACCACCTACATAACACAATACATTCATCCCTACATTGGTCGGACCACCTACATAACACAATACATTCATCCCTACATTGGTAGGACCACCTACACAACACAATACATTCATCCCTACACTGGTAGGACCACCTACACGACACAATACATGCATCCCTACATTGGTCGGACAACCTACATAACACGATACATTCGTTCCTACACTGGTAGGACCACCTACATAACACAATACATTCATCCCTACATTGGTAGGACCACCTACATAACACAATACATTCATCCCTACACAGGTAGGACCACCTACACAACACAATACATTCATCCCTACACTGGTAGGACCACCTACACGACACAATACATTCATCCCTACATTGGTCGGACAACCTACATAACACGATACATTCGTTCCTACACTGGTAGGATCACCTACATAACACAATACATTCATCCCTACATTGGTAGGACCACCTACATAACACAATACATTCATCCCTACACTGGTAGGACCACCTACACAACACAATACATTCATCCCTACACTGGTCGGACCACCTACAGAACACAATACATTCATCCCTACACTGGTAGGACCACCTACTCGACACAATACATTCATCCCTACATTGGTCGGACAACCTACATAACACGATACATTCGTTCCTACACTGGTAGGATCACCTACATAACACAATACATTCATCCCTACATTGGTAGGACCACCTACATAACACAATACATTCATCCCTACACTGGTAGGACCACCTACACAACACAATACATTCATCCCTACACTGGTCGGACCACCTACAGAACACAATACATTCATCCCTACACTGGTAGGACCACCTACACGACACAATACATTCATCCCTACATTGGTCGGACAACCTACATAACACAATACATTCATCCCTAGATTGGTCGGACCACCTACATAACACAATACATTCATCCCTACATTGGTCGGACCACCTACACAACACAATACATTCATCCCTACACTGGTAGGACCACCTACACAACACAATACATTCATCCCTACATTGGTCGGACAACCTACATAACACAATACATTCATCTCTACATTGGTAGGACCACCTACATAACACAATACATTCATCCCTACACTGGTAGGACCACCTACACAACACAATACATTCATCCCTACATTGGTCGGACAACCTACATAACACAATACATTCATCCCTACACTGGTAGGACCACCTACACAACACAATACATTCATCCCTACACTGGTCGGACCACCTACACGACACAATACATTCATCCCTACATTGGTCGGACAACCTACATAACACAATACATTCATCCCTACATTGGTCGGACCACCTACACAACACAATACATTCATCCCTACACTGGTCGGACCACCTACACGACACAATACATTCATCCCTACATTCGTCGGACCACCTACATAACACAATACATTCATCCCTACATTGGTCGGACCACCTACATAACACGATACATTCGTTCCTACACTGGTCGGACCACCTACACAACACAATACATTTGTTCCTACACTGGTCGGACCACCTACATAACACAATACATTCATCCCTACATTGGTAGGACCACCTACACAACACAATACATTCGTCCCTACACTGGTCGGACCACCTACACGACACAATACATTCATCCCTACACTGGTAGGACCACCTACACAACACAATACATTTGTTCCTACACTGGTCGGACCACCTACACAACACAATACATTCGTTCCTACACTGGTAGGACCACCTACATAACACAATACATTCGTCCCTACATTGGTCGGACCACCTACATAACACAATACATTCATCCCTACATTGGTCGGACCACCTACATAACACAATACATTCATCCCTACATTGGTCGGACCACCTACATAACACAATACATTCATCCCTACATTGGTCGGACCACCTACATAACACAATACATTCATCCCTACATTGGTCGGACCACCTACATAACACAATACATTCATCCCTACATTGGTCGGACCACCTACACAACACAATACATTCATCCCTACATTGGTCGGACCACCTACATAACACAATACATTCATCCCTACATTGGTAGGACCACCTACACAACACAATACATTCGTCCCTACACTGGTAGGACCACCTACACGACACAATACATTCATCCCTACATTGGTCGGACAACCTACATAACACAATACATTCATCCCTACATTGGTAGGACCACCTACACAACACAATATTCAACAGTCAACACAATTTCTTTCCAAAATGTACCCCTACAACAAATTTCATACTTGTTGTGTTACCATAGTTACACCCCAAGGATGTTGTATTATGAGCATTTACAGAATGAGTGAGTGAGTATGATTTAACGCCACTTCTGTCAATATTCCAGGAATATCACAGCGGCTTCACACATTGTACTCATGTCAGGAATCGAATCCGTGTCTTAAGCGTGACGAGTGAACGCTTTAACCACTAGGCTACCAGACCGCCCCTAGCATTAAGAGATTACACACATCACATGACTGCAAGGGAACTGATGGAACGGACAGGAGGGTACAATGTACATCTTCCTGTTATTGTCTAACCTAAATTACTGGTCTTGTCACACATACCATCAAATTCTGGAAGAATGTCTTTGTTGCCTTGGCAACAAATGTGACAGCCTTGTCGACTCTGTCCTTGGTTCCGCTGGTGCCGAGTTTCTGCAGAGTCTTCAGGATGACCGCCAAAGTCTGCTCGATACACGCAGCATCAAATACTGGAGCTGGTGGCAGAGGCAGTGGAGTGTATCAAACACTGGTCTCCAACCTTACATGACTAAAACTCTGGACTAGTTTCCTCAGATGTATGTGCTTAATGTAGACTTGGAGAGGTATATGTCAGATACTAACATGAGACCACCACCCCCTAGTCTTGCTGAAGTTTGAAGTGATGCAGTCTTACTCAACACAGCAATAAACATTAACATGCCATATTTTTATGTACACTTATAATTTTGTCCACCCAGTATACAGTGAGTTAGTGAGTGAGAGAGTGAGTATGGTTTTACACAAGTTTTAGCAATATTCCAGCAATATCATGGTGGGGGACACCTGAAGTGGGCTTCATTCATTGTACCTATTTCGGGAATATCATGTCTTTGGCGTGATGAGCGAACACTTCAACCACTACACAACACCACCGCCCTCAGTATACAGTGAAACCACATTAACCAAGAGCAAAGTACACTTATACAAGCAACATAACTCTGTTCCATAAATCAAATATTTTTTACTTCCTTTTTGTTGCTTAACGCTAAACAGCAATATAACTCAGCCATAAAATTCAGCCATTTTTCATTTGATAAACCTCACCTTCATTGATGGTAGCTGACAGGACGAGAGTTATCAGAGCCCAGCCATGTTCAAGGACGTCCTGGTTTCCTGAGCTCTCGATGCTCATCTTGCAGATCTCATCACCAAGGGAGATAATCCTGTCAGTCAGCACGGAACTCTTCAGCCATGAAGTCACAGATGGTGTGGAGTCATGTATCTCCAGGGCCTTGGTGATCAGGTTACACAGTAACACTGGACTTGTCAGACCCTGACAATACAACAGAAGTAGTTTCATGGAAACAGTCTTCATTTTCATAACATCAACACTGAGAGTGCAAGGTGTAACACAAAATAAATTGTCAAGAGATTGCTATTGATACCAAAATAAACACATATACAGATCAACAGATGAAACACAACTGCCCATGCACGTTACCTTGGCCACTGATATTATATGGGATACTGATGACAAAATAAATTTAAATTGTCAAACAATACTAACCTTTGCAAGCTGTGTCATGATATCTAGGGCTTGGCTGTCCTCTACCTGTGACAGACACACCATTATCACATCCAACAGACACATGACATGCTCCTCCTTGTCTGACGTCTGCTCCTTGTCTGACGTCTGCTCCTTGTTTACCCATGGAATGATCACACCACTCACAAAACTTAAGTAAACATTGGTCCCTGCTTCCAGTGAGGAAATAGTCAACAACTTCTCTAACATCTCCTTTGAGCTGTAAAGTTTAAATATCCTTGAAAACACACTGAGAAACTCCATGCCCTCAGCTCGTAAACATTTTGTAAACACGTAGCTGGACACTGAGTTGACGAACACCTGACTGGATCCACACATCTCGACCGGATCAAGCTTCAAGTCTTCAACAGTCAAATCATCGGCAAACTTCACCTTGTCTGTCTTGGCCTTCATGACAGAGTTGGGCCTGAGTTGCCCTGACACAAGGGAGAGAAGTCTGCTGGAGAAGGTGTGGAAGTGCGGGGTGTTGGCGAGGGTGGGGTACGTTTCCTCGATCATCTGCAGCAGGTTCCTGTAGCACATGGTGGCCAGCGACGCCCCGCTGTCCGTCCTCTCTAGGGCTGTGGTGAGCTGGGCGAACAAGCCATACAGGGGAGTCTTGTACAGGGTGGACTTGGTCTCTACCAGGGAGGACTCCACCACAGGCAACATCTGAATACAGAAAATGATGATGATGATGATGATGATGATGCTGATGATGCTGATGATGCTGACAGGCTTTTTTCACTCATGCTCACCATTATTTACCCTGTCAATGGATCAGTGTGCACTCGATTTTCAATCTGAACTCCCTCCCACAATGCAAGCTGCCTTTGAGGCACTAGAAGATTAATTGTTACATTACATGCTGAAAATATATGGAGTTGTCAGGCTAAACAGACATGTTTATAGTGTATGTAGTGCATACTGTATAGCAGCTCGCAGTCTGTGTTTTCCTCCAGACTGATATGTGGAAGGATGTGTTTGGTGACATATCATACTGACTTCATGACCAGAGATATATCTCATGCGAACTTTGGAACCAGCAAAATTTGCTTTTATATATATATGTGTGTGTATAATGCAAGCTGCCTGTGGGGCACTAGAAGATTAATTGTTACATTACATGCTGAAAATATATGGAGTCGTCAGGTTAAACAGACATATATATATATTATCTATCCAGGGTATCACAAGGTTACTCTCCGTCTCCCACTGCTCGCCACCTACCTGGTCCAGCAACAGACAGTTGATTGTCTCCCCCTGGCTTTCGGCCAGCTCCTTCACGGTGTACTGACAACACTCAAACAGTGCAGTGACCAGGGCCGAACTCTCACTCACACTCAGCTGCAGGCTCTCTACACTCAGGCTGGAAAGGGAATGGTAGGTGCAGTTATCTGTCACGTCCATATAAGGTTTGTCAAAATAGATTTCTTGTAACCCCTCCTCTAAAATTGCCTACCCCTTAAATATTTTTAGTTTTTTTAAGCATTGTTAAGAATAATATATTCAACTCAAGTTTCGCTTAGGCACCTGATTCCGACTTTTTGCACTTCATCAGGTCATGAGTAACAAGCATGTTTTCAACTGGACTAAATGTGCTACATTCTGGTAAGGTTTTATCCATAAATTCCCTACCTTATGTGTATCACTTCTAAATGCCTTTCAAAGACCAAGTACTAGGTTTAGGATGTAGAGCTTTTGTGGGATTCTAGTCTCAGCTTACTATCTCAAGCTAGATCATCTATCCTAATCTATCCGTAATAGATTACCTCATCAAAGGACAACATCACAATTTCACAGATGATCAGAGAAAAATCGAGACTTGACCGGTTCATATGTCTTTCAAGTAAAGCACAACACCGCCCCCACCTGAACAACTGTTCACATTACACCCTGTACAAGTTATCTGTGAAATAACCCAGCACAACCTACCCCGTCCTGAAGCAGGTGAACAGTTCCATGTAGAACTTCTTGGGTTCTCCGGACAGACTTCCTGGAATCTGGCTCAAGAGAGGCAGAAGATTGGGGCCAATAACTGAAGCATTTCCATGGCAACCTTTCTCCAACAAAGTGCGTAATTTGGGCCAAAATGCCTTTGGCCATGACACATGATTCCAGGACTCCTGCAACAGAAAACAACAACAATCAAGTATCGTCCCACTACTAGTCAGTATGAGTGTAATCAAAGTTAAACATGGATAGGGACACGATAACAACGTTATCATCCTAGAGACCAGTTACAGGTATATCAACATGTGAAGCACAAAATGTAACTACTCCAGTATTTCAGCTGGCTACAGCATCACTGCAGGGCATAGGCTGATATTAGTAAATATGTGAAACCATGGCAACTCACAGGTAGGTATTTGACCAATGAGAGAACAGCTTCCCAGAGAGCTGAACAAACGACTGGATCGGAACTGTCAATGTTGTGCAATATAAGGGGAGATAACTTGGAGATGTAATCCTGAGCAACAGCTGGCAATATCTGACACAGGCTGGCACAGAATGAATACTGTCCACTCTTGATCTGTAACACATTCAACATGGCATCATAGTCAACATTCAACATGGCAGCACATTCAACATGGCAGCATATTTAACATTCAACATGGCAGCATATTTAACATTCAACATGGCAGCATATTTAACATTCAACATGGCAGCATAGTCAACATTCACCATGACAGCATAGTCAACATTCACCATGACAGCATATTCAACATTCAACATGGCAGCAGTCAACATTCACCATGGCAGCATATTCAACATTCACCATGACAGCATATTCAACATTCACCATGACAGCATATTCAACATTCAACATGGCAGCACATTTAACATTTGACATTCACCATGACAGCATATCTAACATTCACCATGGCAGCAGTCAACATTCAACATGGCAGCATATTTAACATTGTACATGGCAGCATATTTAACATTCAACATGGCAGCATAGTCAACATTCACCATGACAGCATATTCAACATTCAACATGGCAGCATAGTCAACATTCAACATGGCAGCATATTCAACATTCAACATGGCAGCATAGTCAACATTCACCATGACAGCACATTCAACATTCAACATGGCAGCAAGATCTTCACAAGAAGTTGCTACAGCATTGGCACTAAATGTTTATAACCATGGCAACAATTAAATATTAAATTAAATTGAAGGTAATTAACAAAGACTATAGCATTATGCTGTCAATGAAAGTGTTTGAGAAGGATGTTAAATAAGAAAACAACAGATGATTGATTATTGTTTAACCAATACTATAACAGATATTTCCCAGCCTTGAATTGCGTGAAACCAGAGAAAGTAGTAAATAGCTTTATCAGTGGTCAACACCATCAGAATATAATGTAGTCACAAGATCCCCTCAGCTTTTACCACATGTATACTGGGGAAGTATTCAGCCTCGGAATGAATGAAACGTGATCGCTGATGATTGTGAAGTCAGTTACACCCATAACAAGTCTTACACTGCTGATGGAGGACTTGGAGTGTTTCCAGAACTTCCCATCATTCAACAGTCCCTGCATGTGTCCAGTGAGGGCAGCAGGGGAGTCGGCAGGGAGGGACAACAGCATCTTCCTCAGCGCCAGGAAAGACGACGTGACGACGCGGTTGTACCTGGTCTCCATCTCCTCCAGGGAGCTGGTCCTGAAGCAAGTCGTCTCTCATGTCACAGTGCTCAGGTAGAGGCAAAATAGTTTTTCAGTTACTGCTTCGAAACATACAATGTGAAAGGATCTGTCGAAAATTTATATTTTTTTTACATATATTTTTCAGGACATCCAACATGTTCAGTGAACAACTATTTCTTTCTGAAACTGGAGGCAAATATGTTTTATTATCTCAGGCCTCAAAGTAGTGACTAAACTGGTCGCCAATGCGACCTAAATTTCCATTTGTCTACTGCCTAAAATTCAGAGGTAGCCAAATGACTACCTTGAAAAATATCCTGTGGCGACTAAATTCTATTGCTACACATATGTAGACACAAAAATAAACATATCTGCTACTAATTTTTCTTGCAAATAATTCCTCCAAAAGTCACCAATGAACAAAAATACATAAATATTAATGTAATTAGTATTTTATTTAAGTTGATAGTTTATTGGATAAGCAAGGATATGCCTATATAATCTAGTACAGGTAACAAAAATTACATCATTGTTTGAGTCACAAATAACAAAAATCAAGTACAGTTTCCACTAATATACAATAGAAGTTATTTGATAAAAGATAATTTCAAATGCTTTTGGCTACCAACTTCTTAATTTTACCACTGGCTACTTGGTAAAAAATTAAACTTTGAGGCCTGCCTCAACTGGTAATTAATACAGTGAGTGCATGTTGTTTTCAAACCACAGTCAGCGATATTACAGCTACATCATGGAGTGTACCAATTATAAAGTCTGAGTGGTTGATGACATGAGCACCACTCCACGTCCATGTGGTGTGATGATACAGTCAGTGATATTACAGCTACATCATGCAGTGTACCAATAATAAAGTCTGAGTGGTTGATGACATGAGCACCACTCCACGTCCCTGTGGTGTGATGATACAGTCAGCGATATTACAGCTACATCATGGAGTGTACCAATAATAAAGTCTGAGTGGTTGATGACATGAGCACCACTCCACGTCCATGTGGTGTGATGATACAGTAAGCGATATTACAGCTACATCATGGGAGCGTATCAATAACAAAGTCTGAGTGGTTGATGACATGAGCACCACTCCACGTCCATGTGGTGTGATGATACAGTCAGCGATATTACAGCTACATCATGGAGTGTACCAATAATAAAGTCTGAGTGGTTGATGACATGAGTACCACTCCAAGTCCCTGTGGTGTGATGATACAGTCAGCGATATTACAGCTACATCATGGAGTGTACCAATAATAAAGTCTGAGTGGTTGATGACATGAGCACCACTCCACGTCCATGTGGTGTGATGATACAGTCAGCGATATTACAGCTACATCATGGAGTGTACCAATAATAAAGTCTGAGTGGTTGATGACATGAGCACCACTCCACGTCCATGTGGTGTGATGATACAGTCAGCGATATTACAGCTACATCATGGAGTGTACCAATAATAAAGTCTGAGTGGTTGATGACATGAGCACCACTCCACGTCCATGTGGTGTGATGATACAGTCAGTGATATTACAGCTACATCATGGAGTGTACCAATAATAAAGTCTGAGTGGTTGATGACATGAGCACCACTCCACGTCCCTGTGGTGTGATGATACAGTCAGCGATATTACAGCTACATCATGGAGTGTACCAATAATAAAGTCTGAGTGGTTGATGACATGAGCACCACTCCACGTCCCTGTGGTGTGATGATACAGTCAGCGATATTACAGCTACATCATGGAGTGTACCAATAATAAAGTCTGAGTGGTTGATGACATGAGCACCACTCCACGTCCATGTGGTGTGATGATACAGTCAGCGATATTACAGCTACATCATGGAGTGTACCAATAATAAAGTCTGAGTGGTTGATGACATGAGCACCACTCCACGTCCATGTGGTGTGATGATACAGTCAGCGATATTACAGCTACATCATGGAGTGTACCAATAATAAAGTCTGAGTGGTTGATGACATGAGCACCACTCCACGTCCCTGTGGTGTGATGATACAGTCAGCGATATTACAGCTACATCATGGAGTGTACCAATAATAAAGTCTGAGTGGTTGATGACATGAGCACCACTCCACGTCCATGTGGTGTGATGATACAGTCAGCGATATTACAGCTACATCATGGAGTGTACCAATAATAAAGTCTGAGTGGTTGATGACATGAGCACCACTCCACGTCCATGTGGTGTGATGATACAGTCAGCGATATTACAGCTACATCATGGAGTGTACCAATAATAAAGTCTGAGTGGTTGATGACATGAGCACCACTCCACGTCCCTGTGGTGTGATGATACAGTCAGCGATATTACAGCTACATCATGGGAGTGTACCAATAATAAAGTCTGAGTCAGTTAACCCGTGAAGATCTGGGTTAGAATAGGTCTTCAGCAACCCATACTTGCCATAAATGATAAAGGCAACAATGCTTTTCATAAGAGGCAACTAACGGGATCGGGTGGTCAGACTCGCTCACTTGGTTGATGCATGTCATTGTATCCAAATTGAAAAGATTGAAGCTCATGATATCAATCACTGGATTGTTTGGTCCAGACTTGATTATTTACAGATCACTGTCATGTAGCTTGAATATTGTTGACTGTTGACTGTGGTGTTAAACAACAAACAAAGAAACCAACCAACCAACCAACCAACAAACAAATAAACAAAGAAACAAACAAACAATCATGTGTCCGCTCCAACAAGCAAAGCACCCTGGGCCTATTCTGGCCTGACCAGGCTCTAAGTGGGAGCACCCCCCTTCCCTCCAGTAACTCACTTGGGCTCACTGAGAGTGGCCGGCGTCTGTGTGGTCAGGTTGTCCACCAGGAACTGGAACAACAGAGAAAGTGATGATGTTACATCATGTCTGCCTCACTACTGATCACAGTAACTACTGTGTGTGGTGTGATGATGGAGGGCCCACCAGGCTTTGCCCGAGTCTTCAAAACTTTTCTAAGGTGTCATTTTCCAAAAAAAATAACTGATGTCCAATTTCATAATAAATTACCGAAAATTGTGGGTTTGGACCCCAGTTCGCCCTGATTATGTTTCTAGGTTTGTCAGCACCAAACCTGTTTCACCAAAGTGGTAAACACCTAAAACCTGCATCACTTCGGGAATTCCTCCCACATTAAGCTGACACGCCGTCATAGAACTGAATACAGTAAATTATACATTGTTAATTTTGTAACCACAAAACATAATCTGAACAAAAACAAATTCAACTGACTTGCAAACATCAACACATTATTAAAATGACAATGCCCTGAAATATAGCGTTACCGTTATATAGTTAAAATGGATGGAATTTGTTTTCACATAAAAAGAAACAACAATATCAGTTTTGAAACATTTACTGCAATCAACACAAATGTCACTGACCCATAGAACAAACCAGATGACGTCACCCATCCCTATCCTATGACGTCACCTAACAACGGGCGTGATAATGGCCCGTCGTCAAGCAATATGAGGGCATTATCAAGTTACAGTGGCCCGCTCATTTCTGATAACATGCGGGTGGTTTAATGATAATTCTATCCATTTTAGCTATAATTTCTGAAAACATACGGACTGTTTAATGATAATTCTAAAAAATTTACCTAGAATAGTGGTTAGCCTGTTGTCTCGCTCTTTAAGGTTGTATGAATCGTTGTTTATTGGAATCCATAACACTTCTGATTAACATCAAAATTAAATTTTATCAGTGTAATACTATTGTGTGATGGAAAACTTCTGAACTTAATTATCATTTAACAGGAAGCTATGTGCTGCATATTTTTAGACTTTTAGCTCTTGATGAGCTAGATGCAGGAACTCCAAGTGATATAGCAAATACAAGCTCCCCAGTACAAGTATTGATACTTAATTCTGATAGCTTGCCAGGAAGGCTGTTCTGTTTATTGGATTTTCAAGCTTCAAACATAGCTGATATTGGTTGTATCTCAGATTTTAATATTCTGACATTATAGTGTCAAAAGCAACTGATTTTGACAGACTGATTGATCTGCGTCACAATTGACGCAATGGGAAATAATGGTGCATAATTTCTATTTGGACTGTGTCAAATTCGCAGGTTTTGTGTGTAAGGGCATTCACCAGGGGTCCGGAAAATATAAAATCCCAATCGGACATTTGCATTAGGCCACGGCCCCTTCAAATAGTATATTTTTAGTACGACTTTTCACACACATTACAAGTTGTTACGTGTTCCCTCATTATTGCGTGCTTCAATATAGCGCTAACTCGGTTATAGTGCATGGTAAAGCATGGCTCACCAAATTTAATAACCGTTTAATAAACTCCAGTTTTCCAATGACACAATGTTTTCCCCCACTCACTACCATTAAACTAAAGTTCTTCAAACATGTGTTAATCTGAGAACTTAAGTTACAGAAATATCAACACTACTGACAATCTCATGATCAAAACACATCAATATAACCTGGTCTGCTACAGAGTGAGTGAGTGAGTGCACAAGGTTAAACACTACTTATCATGACTTGGAGGTTGTTAAGATCTCAGCTTGATTCAGAATACTACCATGGAGAAGTCAGCTCAAAACCCCCCATTAATAATGATGACGACATACCTCAAGGCTACCTGCCTCCACCCTAGTCTGATCCTGCCCAGCCTCCATTGATAATGATGACAACATACCTCAAGGCTACCTGCCTCCCCGCTAGTCTGATCCTGCCCACCCTCCATTAATAATGATGACGACATACCTCAAGGCTACCTGCCGCCCCCCAAGTCTGATCCTGCCCACCCTCCATTAATAATGATGACGACATACCTCAAGGCTACCTGCCGCCCCCCCAGTCTGATCCTGCCCAGCCTCCATTGATAATGATGACGACATACCTCAAGGCTACCTGCCGCCCCCCAAGTCTGATCCTGCCCACCCTCCATTCATAATGATGACGACATACCTCAAGGCTACCTGCCGCCCCCCCAGTCTGATCCTGCCCAGCCTCCATTGATAATGATGACGACATACCTCAAGGCTACCTGCCGCCCCCCAAGTCTGATCCTGCCCATCCTCCATTAATAATGATGACGACATACCTCAAGGCTACCTGCCGCCCCCCCAGTCTGATCCTGCCCACCTTCCATTGATAAAGATGACGACATACCTCAGTGATGTCAGTCTTGCAGTAGTCGATGGCATCGGTTTGTTTGGCCGGAGGGAAGGCTGCCTGGAAAGCCTGTGTGGCTGATGATGCTACGGTTGGGTACGTATCACACTGGCTCAGTAGCCAGCTTCCCATTACACTCTTCAGGTAGGGGGCGATGTTGCGACGTACGCGGGATACGAGGGTCGTCATGGCCTGCTGGGTGGCCTCCCGCACCCGATGATCCACATCCTACAAAGCAATGTGGCAGTGGACGACATAGTCTAGCTGAACTGATTTCATCTTACTCCACAATGAGTGAGTGAGTGAGTGAGTGAGTGAGTTGGGTTTAACGCTTCTTGAACACTATTCCAGTTACTTCACAGTGTGTAACATAAATATGGAAGGAAAGGTTGAAGTGATGCCAGTCCCAGACAAATTCTGCACTAAAAAACTTTCCCCCTCAACGAACTCCTGTGCATCATGTCACTGATATGCATGGTGTTATTGATATTTATTCATGGTTTCATTATTAATATATAGCTTATGTAGTCATAATACCATAACATATTTAAAGCAAGAATTGTTTCTTTCAAATTTTGTTTCATTGTAGGATTCATATTTTGTATTTCTGAATCACATGTTAAATGTTTGAGCATCATCCATTTGCAAAATTTTATAGAAAAGCTTGAAAATAATGAAAATTAGTGCACTGATTGATAAAAAGGGCAAATTTCGCAATGTTTCTGCAATTCAGCCGTAAGTTACATTTTCATCAAATCTTTCCACACTTGCAGAATGGCAGATTCGTCTAGGAGCGATATAATAGACATGCTTCCTTAAATATACGGTGTAAGCTTTCAGCATAAAGCATCAAAAGGAAAAGTGACATTGTTGTAAGTAGAGCTTCCACTAAATGTCTCATCAATGTCTGGTAGGTGGGCCTCAACGTGCAATACATTAACCAAATCCATGGATCTAAAGGGAAAGCTTTGTTATGTTGTTTGTCACAGTACTTCTTATCATCTTCGTGAATGTAATAGGCATTATCATCTTCGTGTATGTAACAGGCATAACACAATGACTGATCATCTGCCAACTGCTTTTGTTGTGATAATTGATCCTGTTTTTTTTTATGTCTCCTAAAAAGTGGATAGCATAGTGGTTATTTTTCCAACACTCTTTTGGAAATAAATGAAAGTAAGACTTTGTAAAAAGCAAACATAAAGCCTACAATGGACATCTTGTTGTATATTCGAGGCCAAAATGGGAGAACTCCTTTCAAGCATTCTTCTCCTTTTTCTTCACAAAGAGCTGCAAACTCCTGGAGCGCCTAGAAACAGAAATATTAAATTGGTTTACCAATAACAATAGTGCAACAAACGACAGCATGACAATCAACACTATGACAAACAACAGTATTTTTAAAGAAATAATTATCCATAAATAACTAAACATTTTATACTAATGATAGGCTTTACTCATTCACATATTTATTGTACATTAATCCATGAATGCTTATTGTTAAAATGCAATGTGCCTCATGGATAGTTCTGATATTCTCACCAGCTTTGATCACCAACCTTGATTTTGGTTGTACTGTCTCTCTTGGACAACTTGCGGAGCACCATTCTGAAGTCGGAGTCCAAACTGCTGTCCACATCATCAAATGATTCGCTGGCCGGGACATATGCAGGTGATCCCATTGATCCAAACCCGATAAACCCGGTTCTCCCTGCACCCGTCTGGGCCAACAGTTCTGCAGCTTGACTGCTACTTGACGGCTGCAATCATGGAAATGTTATCTCAAGAATCATGCATATTTTTATAGCAAAAGAAACTTAAGAATTCCCATTATAATAAAGCATAAGGCCTTCTATCATAAAGTTACTTACTGTAGTATGAGTGAGTATGGCTTACTCCACTCTTAGCAATACTTCAGTTTTCAGCAATATCATTGATATCAGAAACAGGTTTCACATATTCAGTGGGATGAGCAAATGCTTTACCTACTACTAGTACAAGAATATGCCACCGCTATGTGTTACAATGACCATTTCACTATGACACATAATTCTGGGACAGCAAAACCTTGTAATAGTCATCAATACGTCAGCATGTGATATATACCTGCAGGGATAATTCTAGGGTGGGGTCTTGTGCTTTTAGCCCCTAAAATTGAAAAAGGGCCCACATTTCCAAATACAATTGGACATTTTAACAATGTGCTGTATTGGCAAGTGTAGGTGTATCTCTGGAATATTTGAAATTTTCACATAAAAGGCCCATGTCAGAAAAGTCCTTGAGTGAACCGTGTATCTGGCCAGTTGACAAGAGGTTTTGGGAGTAGTGCACTGTTGGATCGTAAAGACACGTAAGTTTCCCTAAGACCGAAAACAGGCGTTGGGTCGTGAAGCGAGAGTCACCAGAGCGTGAGGTACGTTAACGGTATAGCAAGACAGCGGTGGCACTATAGCGCAGTAATTGAGCGGATGGTAGAGCTCGGGATGCGCGCGGTAAACTGCATTGTTGCCGAGGTTTTGTATCACAAGAGGTCTTGTAAGACAGTCGGTCAAAACGTGTTGGCGTTTGGGTGTTGCCATTCTTCGTAAAGAAGTTACTGTTTTCGTTAAAATGTTTTGCCGTTCTCGGGCGCATTCCTCGGGTCTATGGCTACATGCCTCTGCCACGCCAGCTTAGCTTAGTTTGATCGAAAACAGGACTAAGTTCACGGATGTCAAACTATGGCATAAGCTATTGATATCATTGTCGTCGACTGCAATTAATGAGTGTTACAGTTATCTAGGTGGCGCATTCCCGGGTAGGTAAAACTAATCTCAATCTCGTCGACATATTGCCTTGACCGGCAGGATCAGTAACATACTTTGACATTTCCCTTCGTACGCTGCGCTCCTTTCTTCCCTCCCGAGGATGGCATTTTCTTCGGATCACTCTACAACTATTGTCCTGAAATGTACTCTCAAGTAAAACAACCTTGACAGTGTTTCAATCTTTTTATACTTTAACTTTCAATATGTTCACGCAATCATCTTGGTCGCGGCCATTTTACCGGATGTTGCAACGAGTGTTCATTTTATTTTAATGGTGGACATACATAGATGCTTTCACAGCACTTATGAATTGTAAGCGCTGTTAATTATGTACGTGTTATATCTTCAGTTTGGAAATATCTAATTTGACTCTAAGTTGATTACATAGTACGTTTCTTGTTCAATACTAAATATTAGATCGAAATAACACAAACTGACTGATCCCTAGCGCACTTCCGTTGGTATAAATATAGGATTGTGATTTACCCGAAAAGAAATGACATAGCACTACTGGAAATGAATCTCGTGCTTTTCTCGTCACTTCCTACTTAACCGATAAATGGTGTGGTGATATTGGTTTTAGGAGTGTATCATATTTTGGTGACATCCACCATTTCAAGTAACACATTTTCATGATGCCCACCCACACTGTGAATACCATACTTTAACATAGACTTTAGAGTACTATGATCGCATTTGGAACGGGACCCAGTCCTTACAGGGTGCAGTGTAAAACGTCACCGATTTCTCGGGCGAAAAGGTCACCTCATTTGGTGAAAACGGCTACTAGTTGTCGGGCGAAAATGGCACCTCTATTTTTAATAACGATAAGAATGATGTATGCCTTATTTTCATGCTTTATTGTGTTATGTTGTAGCATATATGTTGTCCTTGGGTGGGCGGTGATGTCACCTGCCGGCAGAAAGAGGAGATATACATGAAATATATATAAAATTACTATGTATTCCCAACTTACTAAAATAGATATAAAATAGATATTAAATAGATATTAAATATATAGTATAGCCGTAGTCCAATTTCTTGACATTTCCGCCAGACTCAGTTTCAGCTTGACATTGAGTTAATTGGGGTAAAGGTACTTAAAACTTCAAAGCATGTGATGTATCATTGATAAGTTAAGTTGCACCTCCCAATCAGAGTTGGTGAGTAAATTAGAGTATAGGCTAATTTCTAATGTAAACCTGTTCTAAGGCGATTAACATTGCACAATTTTTTGTGTTTGCAATTGACCATGTGAGTTTAATTTCATTTATTTTACTTCAAAGCATGTAATGTTTTCACAATAAGTTTAGTTGTACCTCCAAATCAGTCAGAGGCTAGTTTCTAATGTAAACTTTTCTTTAACAACTCACAATTATTTGTGTTTGAAAGTGACCATGCGAGTTTAATTTCATGTATTTCAGTGCCAAGGTAAAAAAAAATAAGGTGCCGTTTTTGCCAGGCAATAGTAGCCGTTATTGCTTTAGGCGAGGCAACGTTTTCGCCAATCGGTGCCATTTTGCTCTGTGATGCTTGCTGAGGTGCCATTTTAGCTATAACCCGTCCTTACATATTGTTGAAATTATTAATTTTTCTCATATGCAATTTTTTTTTAGAATTTTCATTATATAATGCAGTTGAAAGAGTAGTCGCTTATCTATTACCATTTCTGTATGACAGCTGTAACATCACTCACTCACTCACTCAGAATGAGATTCCATCTGCTCCTGCTATACTTGAGCTAGGATCAGAGAGAAGGTCTAGCTGTCACACAATCCACACATAACCATACGGTGAAATGCAACATCACATCAGTTTGTGTATTAATAATGACTTATGTTACTATCTACGACCATTAATACGGTGATAGGGACCCAAACCAATGGAATCACTTCTTACGACCAGCTAGGATCCTGTACCAACATATGATCTCCACAAATGCTTATTCTTCCAGTGTCAGAGCAGCTGACACCGTCTCATGTAACCTGGTTCGGCTCGATCACACACTGTGCCCAGCAAGACAACATCATCACAAAAGACATCATCATATACAATCATTTATTTAACAAAAATATATTTTCCTTGCAGGTTTATTGCACACTTCCCTTCAGCATTCATAATACCACCTGGAAGCAACATAAATATGAGTGTTGTATGTTTACATCAACATTATCAAAGCCCTGTTTGTTTGAAGGAACAAACCAAATGACTGCACATAAACACAGCAGTGCTTGAGAAACTGTCAGGATACAAGCAGTGTCTCATGATGAGGCTTCTGATACTTCATAATGTCTACATCTTCTGTCACCATGGTAACAGCTAGTGAGGAGCTGGAGTGGTAACACTATTAGTGACTTGGGTTCAACACCACTTTGTTTGTTTGTTTATGCCGCACTCAGCAATATTCCAGCTATATGACGGCAGCCTGTAAATAATTGAGTCTGGACCAGACAATCCAGTGACTGACATAATGAGCATCGATCCATGCAATTGGATACGATGACATGACAACTGTGAAAGTGCATGTCTCTAATTCAGACTTTGTCACAACAATGGAAAACATTTTTTGATGTCAACACGTTCGTTTTAGACAATACCAATACTTATCAGATTGACTAATGGTCTTCATATTGGCCGCTTTGAACATTACTTTAGTACATATCATGGCACACCCACAGATGATGGATCTGGTGAACCTCGGGTCTGAAGCCATGACCCAGCTGCTGGTACTAACTGCAGCACCATTCTCTGAAGCCATGACCCAGCTGCTGGTGCTAACTGCAGCACTGTGCTCTGAAGCCATGACCCAGCTGCTGGTACTAACTGCACCACCATTCTCTGAAGCCATGACCCAGCTGCTGGTGCTAACTGCAGCACTGTGCTCTGAAGCCATGACCCAGCTGCTGGTGCTAACTGCAGCACCATTCTCTGAAGCCATGACCCAGCTGCTGGTGCTAACTGCAGCACCATTCTCTGAAGCCATGACCAAGCTGCTGGTGCTAACTGCAGCACTATGCTCTGAAGCCATGACCCAGCTGCTGGTACTAACTGCAGCACCATTCTCTGAAGCCATGACCCAGCTGCTGGTGCTAACTGCAGCACCATTCTCTGAAGCCATGACCCAGCTGCTGGTGCTAACTGCAGCACTATTCTCTGAAGCCATGACCCAGCTGCTGGTGCTAACTGCAGCACTATTCTCTGAAGCCATGACCCAGCTGCTGGTGCTAACTGCAGCACTGTGCTCTGAAGCCATGACCCAGCTGCTGGTGCTAACTGCAGCACCATTCTCTGAAGCCATGACCCAGCTGCTGGTGCTAACTGCAGCACTATTCTCTGAAGCCATGACCCAGCTGCTGGTACTAACTGCAGCACCATTCTCTGAAGCCATGACCCAGCTGCTGGTGCTAACTGCAGCACCATTCTCTGAAGCCATGACCCAGCTGCTGGTGCTAACTGCAGCACTATTCTCTGAAGCCATGACCCAGCTGCTGGTGCTAACTGCAGCACTATTCTCTGAAGCCATGACCCAGCTGCTGGTGCTAACTGCAGCACCATTCTCTGAAGCCATGACCCAGCTGCTGGTGCTAACTGCAGCACTATTCTCTGAAGCCATGACCCAGCTGCTGGTGCTAACTGCAGCAGTATTCTCTCTTCATTATATATCTATGTTAGGTTTGTTTACCTTATGTGAGCGTCGATGTGCATGTGCTATTACACTATGACGTCACACTATGAAGATGTGACGTGTAAACGATAAACGTTTTTGAACCAATATCTGTTCAAAGCAGGCATTTGTTCATTTCACGGGTCTGTCAGCCGGCATGTATTCAGGCGTGTGTCTGTCTGTTCAAGGATCAATACATCATCAGTACATCATACAGATGCTTCAGCTCTTCAGGAAAGAAGGTATGCTTTGTATTAAATACAAGATTAATAAATTATCATACATAACATATGTGCTTATTATCAAACAAGATCTTGAAAGACAGTGAAAGAAATAATGGCAATACATAATCTTCACATTTCCAACAAAATTCAATAACATTTTTGTTCACATTGAAATACATGTTAATAAGATAAGCCATCCATCGCCAAACAGCTTCATACTCCAGAATGAAAGAAAACTGTCAGTACAAACTGCCACTATGTTCACTGAGTGTGTTGGTAACATTTCCCACATAATGTCTACATCTTCTGTCCCCATGGTAACAGTGAGGAGCTGGAGAGGTAACACTATGAGTGACCTGGGTTCAACACTTGCCAACCTGCTATGTAGGATGACATAAGAACTTGTTGACAACTCTTTTAGTTCCTCCAAACTTCTGTATGTTCCTCCCGCTGTTCATCACACATGGTCCTTCACAGCACCTCGCCAGAGTTCACCTTGCTCTTGGCATTATCTCGTCTCCCATTCCTTGTGCAGTCATGGATCATCTTCAAACCGCTGATCTTGAAGCACATTATAAATGAAGATGTCGACAACAACATGTGACTTCGCGAGAGTTGACCTTGACCTTGGCTCCCATTCCTTGTGCGGTCACTGATCATCTTCAAACTGCTGACCTTGAAGATCATATTTCACATGTTCACATCAACATCTTCATTACATATACTTATGGCTGACATATTTAGCATATGTTATTTTATCAGCTTTAGTGGGTGGGCCCGCGCCATGAAGACCACGTAGCACGTAGGCAGCATAGATGTCCTGCGACAGCCGGCTGACCGGCGGCGGTTCCACGCCGTACGTACTGTCCAGCTTGAATGCACTGATTGGGTAGCTGGAACAAACAAAATAGTTCCACAAAGTTGGAGGAGATTTTGTGACAAGGGCTAATGTTATAAGAAGCCTGATGTTTTCATTCTGAAAAAATATATTTCCTCTGAAGCAGTTTTTATGAAAGAACATTATGACTTGGCATGAAATGCTGGACTAAAGTCATGTATCACAATACACTATTGTGAAAGTGCATGTCTCTATTCGGACTATGTCACAACAGTGGAAAACACCTTTTGGTGTCAACACATGTTTTTAGACAATACCAATACTTATCAGACTGACTAATAGTCTTTGTATGACAATGCCAAAATGTGAGAGTGCCATTTTGAAGACTATTCAATGTCTAGATATTTGTACAACTTATGACATGATACACATAGCAACACAGGTCTAATCGTCACACACAAATATCTCACCCAAAATAATTTTTAGTAACTTGTAACTGTGTAATATTATTTATTAAACATGCTGCCCTTCAGTCTCATGGCGTACACGCCCATCTAGCTGATAACAGTCTATACACCCTCACACATGGTTGGTTGGTTTGTTGTTTAACGCCACACTCAGCAATATTCCAGCTACATGACGGCAGTCTGTAAATAATAGAGTCTGGACCAGACAATCCAGTGATTGACATAAGCATTGATCCACGTCCAATTGGGATACGATGACATGCATCAACCAAGTCAGCGAGCCTGACCACCCAATCCCATTAGTCGCCTTTTACGGCAAACATGGGTTCCTGAAGACCTATTCGACCCCGGATCTTCACGGGTCTATCGTGTAATTGTGAGCATGCCGTCAGGGTACGAGGACACACAGCCAACCAAGTGACCAGGCCTGGTATGACCAGCAGAGGTGAAGGGGATCTATTCTTGAAAACTGGGGAATGTGAAACAACATGTGAAACTACTCGTGCAGACAATCCAGTGATTAATATCTTGGAAATCATCATACTAGGAAATCATTTCCAGATAAAATGTAAAATGCTTTTCATAAAAGTTCAACCATAGGTGCTGTAGATGTATTATTTCAAAGAGAGAAAAAGCATTTGTCTTCTATCACAATTCTACATGCTCATACACGGTATGAGGAATGCATTATTTCACTGCTCTACCAAATTTCATCAAACTCAAATCTCAGACAAAATGTATTAAATATCCATAACAATGTAATGCTTTGGCTTTTCTTTTTTACATTCGGAACTTGCTGTATCAGTTCATTTTTGAGAAACCAAAATCATACAAGGTGGTCTGAATGCCTCACTTACTCCTATCGAGAAGTTCGAAGTCTCAATGCTGATTGGTTGCTTTGAAAGTTCGTCTGACGCAACCTGATAAATATTTAGATTTCTGGTCTACCCAATTTATAACTTACACATCCAAGCCTGGCTTGACCCTGCTCTGCTTGACACCGTTGGTGGAGCGGGACGGGTCGCTTGTCTCCGGCTCCCGGTACCCCTGTTGGATCTCCACGTACCTGTAATAAGGAAAGTTCTTTAACATCGAGCTGGTATCTAATGACTTTCTTTACGGAGCCAAAAAAACAACATTTCACAAATTCTGTGAACATCTTCCAGCCAAAATAGGGAGGTAACCCTTTAACTTTTCACTGAATGAAACAATTACAATTCATCACCGACTGACGATAGTTTTAGACGTCTCTTTAAAATATGTATTTGCAGTTTTATTTATAACAGTGGCCATATGGTTCTAATATTAATAACTGTCAAACAATATCATGACTCAGTTAGATCTTATCTCACATTAACAATGGTTAAAAAATTAATAATCACTGTCAATTAATACTGTTTCTGTATTCAACTAGATCTAATCTCACGATAACCAATGGTTTGAAAAATAAGTCGGTCTACAAAACTGACTGGTGTAACAGAAAATTGTCTTGACTGATGTTTATGCAGCTGTGTTCGTCCTGTGCCCACCTCTCATACAGCTTCTTGTCTCTCTTGTTGAGGTCGGTGATGTCCGTGTTGTACACTTTCTTCATAGACGGGAACAGATCCTGCAATGGACAAGGATGTATTCACTATCTGTTATTCTGACCAGCCACGCATGAAATGACCACCTCTATGAAAGGAGCATCTTGGGGAGTGAAAGGCTGGGTTTGATTCCCTATAGACGACGGCACAAGATGGTACTTGTTGTTAGCTGCCTGCCGCCCTGCATTAAAGGGATAAAACAAGTACTGGTTGGCTCCGAGTCAGTATACTGTGTCTGAGTGGGGTAGCCGTGTAAAACTGCTGCATGGTGAGTGAGTGAGCATGGTGAGTGAGTTAAAATTTAACGTCGCATCAGCATTATTTAAGCCATATAGCGACAAGACCAAGTAAATATATTTACAATTTAGTTAATGATGCAAAGTTTTATTTAGAAACAAGTTGTGAAACATATTTGAGCATACTATGTTTAAAAACAATTAATGAAACATATTTGAGCATAACAATATGATGTATACAGTTTTAAGACACGGGCTATATAGGCCACCAGTAACAAAGCTTGGCCACCTTGCTGGGGATCATGGGGACTTACAGTACCTCTGCTTCCTGCATGATACCCCAGCAGGATTTACGTCATCACTTTAGCTACTGGTGGTTGTGTGCAATCCTACCCAATGTTAAAAAATACTCAGCAATGAAACCGGTATTAGTTTAGATGAGAACCAGTAGCCACACCCACCACATATCATCACCCTTCTATTCCTGCCAACTCAGACCATGACCCGCCTGTCCTCATTAAGCAGCATTATTAAGAGAGAGAGTGTTTCTTGTTTAACGCAGCACTGGATATTCCAGCTGTATGACGGCAGTCTGTAAAAAATCAGGGGCGCGATGCAAGCCACGAATCGCTTCAAGTAAGCAAACTAATCGCTATCCCTGGGTCTGCAACAGCTTGAACCAGACAATCAAGTGATTGACATCATGAGCATCGATCAACACAATCGGGATACGATGGCATGCATCAACCATGTCAGCAAGCCTGACCACCGGTTTCCCGTTAGTCGCCTCTTACGACAAGCATAGTCGCCTGTTACAGCAACCATGGGTTGCTAAAGACCTATTCTACCCCGGATCTTCACAGGTGTGAAGTGGAAACTCCATAGTTGTGTCCATGAAATACTGTAAACGGCATCATTATTAATTCCTGAAGCACAACTAATAAGCACTTACCTGGAATGATACATAGTTAGATTCGGACTCCGAGTCATATGGACTTGACGAGTCTGAGCCGAGGTTGACGTCACCTTCCATGTCAGAGTCGTCGGTGCTACTTGTGCTGCCCTCTGACCCCTGAGAGGTCACTGATGATGTGGAGTCCTTGCCCGAAATATTGGGATTGGCCTCCTGTCTACAAACCAAGTCCCAGAAAATAACACATGTAGAGAGCGAACACATTTGCCCGGGACCTTTTAGAGGTGAAAGGATATGTCAGTGCCCGAGTGCATCGTGACTTTTCATGTGCAGATATGATACGTGATACATTTTTTTCTGTATCGATACAAGACGATACACTTGCCAAAATACATTACTGCTCGTTTAATGACCCCCCAGTATTTTTGTCAGTCAAAAATCGCAAAATGTGCTGTAATTAAGTTCACTACTATTAATAGCCACAACAAACATGTATCTACACCTAGCTTTTCCTCTTGAACTTGCTCTGAAATATTTATAGTCAAGACATTTCCATGCAAATTGATATACATATGCATATCGTGACCTTTGTATCGTGATACATATCATATTGTGACCTTGCTGTATCGTTTCACCTCTACATTCCACAATGTGATCCTTGTGCTACAAGTGCTGTGTTGTCCATAGGTCAGGACAGACTTATACAGTCGTAGCACTGCGATCACTTTGAGGAACCCACATGGTCCTGGCCAGATCGATGATGTGATCCTTGTGCTGGGATGTTCCTAACTGCCATACTTCAACACAGACTCATGTCTGTTTTTGTGCTGGGACTGCTTGAGTGAGTGAGTTGGGTTTAATGCTGCTTTTAACATTATTCCAGTAATATCATTGTGTGTCAGCTTAATGTGGGAGGAAAGCCCGAAGTGATGCAGGTATCAGACATTTACCACTTGATGAAACCCACGAGCACGGGTATGGTGCTGATAAACCTAGAAACATAATCAGGGTGAACCGGGATTCGAACCCACAATCTGGTTTCTGGCATGCCCAAGGGACACAACTCTGCAGAGTGAATCGCTGGGCCTCAGACGACTGGGCCACCCGTGCTCCCTGGGACTGCTTTGAGGAAGTGGGGTGTGATCTACATAACACACACCAGGCATAACATGTATGTACTTCTACTACAGGTGGGCTTATTACTAAATCTGGTCTGGTAAAATAGATGTCATGTTCCGTCTTTGTCATGGTATACAGAATTAAACATTAGGGCCCTGTTATGTACATATATGTATGAACAAAGACTGTATGATGAATAATGCTATGACGTGGTCAGTAATCAAATGTTATATAGTGTGCACATCGATAAAAATCTATGGTGAAGTATTAATAAATCACATTTAAGATATTCATGAAAGAAATCCCTACCCTGTGATTATTAATATAAAATTTAAAAGATCTGACAAACTGCACAGGAATGAGTTCATCAGAAACAAGCAAGCAGAGGTTTGCAAGAAAGGGAGACAATCAAGCAATAAAACAAATGGAGTTAATGGAGTTATCTTATCCTGAAGACCTCCCTCCCAACCATAGCAGTGTCAACAAGACAACAACTAACTGAGACACAGGCAGGCAAACACGCATCTTCCAGAAGCAAAGGAGTTAACTGACTATAAAAGTCCAGTTTCCATCCTATCCAATCAAGGCTGGAATAATGGAGTTATATTTTGACACGACTAATGAGTCTATACATAATCAAATAAAAATTGTGTGACAAAATTGATATCGGGTAAGTATACTACCGTGTAGATTTCGGTCGATTGCAGGATTTGCAAAGCATGTGTATCATCAACTTAGAGTTAACAGATATTTTCCAAATCAAGGTGCTCACATGATTTGATGCACTTTGCGAAGTCAGACCTGTCTTATTACAATAAAGATCTTGATCATCGGTCAGATCGTCTTTTCTGGACGCCGCCATTTTGTTTGAAGCAAATGCAGTGAATCTGATTGGTCAATAGGAGGGGCATTAAAGGGACATAACTCGTAATAACCACTGGTGCTGCTACGATCGAACCCAGAAATTCCAGCCTAGTTCGGGAAGGGTGGAAACTGGACTTTTAAAGTCAGTTAACTCTCTTGCCCCGGGAAGATGGCAAAACATATCTAAAAGTGCGAAGAAACAAATCCATTCTAGGTAAAAATTCGAACAACTTAAACCAACTATACATTACAGATTTCTTATGATAACCATCAATATCAAGACGTGGAACATAGCCACTGTAGCATGTCGAGCCTTAAGCCCTGTTTTTAATGAGATTGCATCTGAAGCTAACTTAAAACACGATCAGTCAACATGTTGACAACACGTTGTTACTTTGTGCCATAATGTCAGGGAGGCTACAACATGTGATCCGTGGTATCCATGGTTACTGCTGACGTGCCGCTAAATGTATATATTGTGCTGTTATACAATAGGCTTCAATCTAATATCACATATATATATTTTATAGTAAAGTTATGGCATCAAAATGCTTACCTTTTATTCTGGCATATATTTTAAATGTTTTACATGTTGCCATTGCCATATAATAATTAATATTAATAACATAAGAGCACAGATGAATAATTATAGATTAAACAGTGCAACAGAATTATTAAACCATTAAGAACTGGATAGTGATGTCCTTGGAGTTTCTGTGCACAGAACTTCACAGCATCACTTCTACTTGCAAGTGTGAGTATAGGATTTAGGTAGGCTTACTATGGGCAGTGTGTGGAGTTTGTTAAAACATGTTAGTGTTGTCATGACAACCAACCTGGTAATGAAGGCAAGTTGTGTGCTGCTTTGGTTGCGATGGAATGTGGCCACTCTAGTACAGCATCAAAAGTTCACATGCAGAACAAAACAAAAATGTTAAGTATGGCAACAAACAAAAAGCAAATGATAGCATTGTACCTTTAGACAGTAAAAGCTTGACTTAAGAGAAAACATTTAGCTGTAAAAGAAACATTCTAAATAGAATTTTTTCACAAGCCGATTACACTCTGACATGTTTTTCTATAAAACAATATGCTAAGCATGTCAACATCAATACCATCACGGCTGATGGAAGCAAAGCCCTCAATGTCATCCAACACAAGAGAAGAGTAACAGAGGATGTGCAAACAAGGGGAGAGAACCCAGTTACCAGGAAGTCCCTGATCAAGGTCAAGGATGTCTGTTGGTTTTGTGTTTAGTGGACAATTTGCTGTGTAGGGAGCCCTTTAACTACACATTTCAAGTCAATTTTCATCCAATACGAAGCGAATACGAAATACACCCGTTTTTATCAATGAAATGTATTTGAAATGAGCACACTAATATGCCTCAAAATAACTATATTAGAAACTGTAACATATCCTTCATAACAACCAGAAGACATCCTTCAAGATTGAAAAATGCGGGGAGTTAGAGAGTAAATATTCACACATAACTCACGACTATAACAACCCGCCATTGCTGACATGATGTGTGTAAATGTCCCATTTTGTGATGGTTGTTTCAATGTACATGTCTGAAGTTTAATCCTCTGTGAATATTTGAAAATTGTCCGGCTTTTCATTATTCTTTTGCAGTCTTCTAAATTGAGATCACAAATTTACTTAAATATTTTCTACAATAGATCCACAACTATTTCATAGCCAATCGACCAGGAAACTTTACCACAATGTGCCTTTGTCGTCCAAATCTTAATCTATTATTGGCTAAAAGTTATCCCTTGATAAAGGCTAAGAATATTCCCATTTTTGTCCCAGTGTTGAAGACGAATTTCCTTTCCTTTTAATAAGTGATGAATTATAGAATGCTGAGACAAAGGTTATCCTAGAATGTTACTTGTCCAATGTTAAAATAAACTAATATTGTGCCACTTGTCATGATGTACATGTCATGTCATGTCATGTCATGTCATATTGTTTGGGGCCAGGGACTCTCACAGATGTCGCATGACCTTCACCGACACTGAAGGTTCACCAATATGAAATTATATAACAAACATGCTAATGAAATACCTCAGCTCATTCATGACATCATCAACACATGACAACATACGCATTACAGCCATGACAGAATCAACACATGACAACATACATGTTACAGCCATGACATCATCAACACATGACAACATACGCGTTACAGCCTTGACATCATCAACACATGACAACATACGCGTTACAGCCATGACATCATCAACACATGACAACATACGCGTTACAGCCATGACATCATCAACACATGACAACATACGCGTTACAGCCATGACATCATCAACACATGACAACATACATGTTACAGCCATGACATCAACACATGACAACATGCACATTACAGCCATGACATCATCAACACATGACAACATACACATTTCAGCCATGACATCATCACATGACAACATACGCGTTACAGCCATGACATCATCAACAGATGACAACATACGCATTACAGCCATGACATCATCAACACATGACAATATACGCGTTACAGCCATGACAGCATCAACACATGACAACATACATGTCACAGCCATGACATCATCAACACATGACAACATACACGTTACAGCCATGACATCATCAACACATGACAACATACGCGTTACAGCCATGACATCAACACATGACGACATGCACATTACAGCCATGACATCATCAACACATGACAACATACACATTTCAGCCATGACATCAACACATGACAACATACGCGTTACAGCCATGACATCATCAACACATGACAACATACGCATTACAGCCATGACAGCATCAACACATGACAACATACGCATTACAGCCATGACAGCATCAACACATGACAACATACGTGTTACAGCCATGACATCATCAACACATGACAACATACACGTTACAGCCATGACATCATCAACACATGACAACATACGCATTACAGCCATGACAGCATCAACACATGACAATATACGCGTTACAGCCATGACAGCATCAACACATGACAACATACACGTTACAGCCATGACATCATCAAAACAGGACAGCATACGTGTTACAGCCATGACATCATCAACACATGACAACATGGCCCTGTGAGCATCAACACACAGCAGCATTACCCTGTCAAAACCACGACAGCATCAACACACGACAACATTCGCAATCACAACATCTGTTTGTTTGCTTGTTTAACGCCACAATCAACAATATTCCAGCTATATGACGGCGGTCTGTAAATAATTGAGTCTGGACCAGAAAATCCAGTGACTGACATCATGGGCATCAATCCACGCAATTGGGATACAATGACATGCATCAACCAAGTCAGCGAGCCTGACCACCCAATCCCGTTAGTCACCTCTTATGACAAACACAGTCACCTTTTACGGCAAGCATGGGTTGCTGAAGACCTATTCTACCCCGGATTTTCACGGGTCCACAAGGATGATGACATCAACATGTCAACCTATCCCTTGTTGCAAGCAGGACATCATCAACCATGACAACACATCTCCATCCAATGGAGGGGTCTCACGGAGGGTACCCACCCGCTCTTGTCCTGCTGTGCAGGGTTGGCGGCCGTGGCGGCGATGCGACGCAGGTGGAATGGACTTGGATCACTCGCTCCTTTAGGCATGAAGTCTCTGTGGGGTAGATATCAGAATTTCACCATGTAGTAAATTTTTTATGTGAGGTGTACAACATATATATCTAGAATAGAGTGTGATTCATAACAGCCATTTATTCAATAAACACTTTCTCGGACTCATCCGTTCAGATATCAGCTTCAGAATACTTTAAAACGCTGAAAACGGATCAGGGTCGAATGTTTTGGTGTCCTCTGCCAGAAGCACATGGTTCACACACAAAACCCTGAAAGTGGGAAGTGGAAAAACTAAATATTTACCTTGGATCATAGAAAAAACAAAATAAGGCAATTTGGCCTTTGCCACTTTAGAACAATAAATGTCTTTTCCATTGTATGAGAGGCCGTTACATGACCTTTAAACTGACGACACAATTTGATGTTCATTCATTTTTCACGAGACTGTATTCTTGAAATGATGAAAACACTGATAGATTACTTCCATATTCCTGGGGAAACCCTGGCAATTCCCAAGCACAGATACATACAGAAGCGTTGTTTCTGATCATTTAGATCCTTTAATCCTGAACTCAGTGTTTTAGCATACATTGAGAAACGTTAGAGAGTTTGGCGGCATGACTGTTTTTACGAATATCCTCGCTAGGACTGAAGTGAACAAAATGAAGAAATGCACATCCAAACTATCATAGCATTGACTCGATCCGTGTCTAGGCTGAAAGTGACAGTTTTCTACAATAAATGAATTTACTTTAAAACTGACGTTCATAGTGTCTATTTGACACATTTTTACAATCACCTTTCAATGATAGACCAATTGAACAATGATGACTAACACTTGCCCCACGTTCATTTATAACTTCGAAAATCTCTCGCTTCATGACGGCCATTTTGAGGTCTTGTACTTGATGTAAATGTATTACGATGCGCTGTCACTGTGACTGACTACTGGTGTAGTTCTTAACAGACCTTTCTCATCCAATGATGATATTATTTTAATACATTTCTTGTAAACAAACTACAACAGATGTTCCTGTAAAGCAAGTTGAGCAGACATACGCTCATGTCACCTCTCTTTTTGATGAACTATGATATTCCGTGTCACAGTTGGTTGTTGTATGGCTGTCAGTGTAGACACCAAGTCATGTACTTCCCGAAAACCTTCATAGAGTGAGGGCCAAACATTGTATGAATGTGGTCACAAGCGCCGACGTTCTCACAGTTTGGCCCTCACGCTAAGGATGTTCCTTCTCCATTACTCGCACAAAGTGAAAATCAGTTCTTAAATAAACTACTCATACCTCAACATATTACCAGAATATCCAATATTTTAAGCGCCTTTATGATGACCAGTAGGCACAAAGATTTACAGTCAGCTGGTTTTGGAGTTCTGCTCCAGAAACGAGAACTACCCTCATTTTCAGTATAAGTCCAACTTATCATAAAATAAAAATAACTCAAATTATCAAAAAGGACCAGTTCACCACAAGACCAATAAATATAGCAAGTTTTGATGAGAAATATTCAGCAGTTTAGGAGGTCTGCTCTGGGAACAGAAAACTGACGGACGGACGGACAGACAGACATGCTGATAGCCCCATCATTTTTCACAATGAGGGGGGGTAATAATAATAAGGCAGCAGTGAATGTCTTTGTCTCACTTGATGGAGCTGGTCATGGACATGCAGTAGTGGTCGTCCAGTGAGGTCAGCTCGAACGGCCGGTAGTACTCGAAGAAGGCGTTCACCCTCTCATCCTTCTCTCCCTTGGAAACAGGCAGCAGCTCCGTGGTCAAGGACTTTGATTCTACAAATGTCACCAGAAGATGAGGAAGTGAAAATGATTCTTATCAGGTTCATAAAAATAAGGGCATTTATTTCCTTATTTTCTGCTTTCCTGGCTTTGAAAACAGATTTGCAGGCAAATAGAGGCCAAGTCAGGAACACAAACAAATTGTTGCAGCTCAAATCAATGGTTTAACTAATGCTGATTAATGGTCATTCAAAGGTTTAACTAATGTTTATTAATGGTCAATCAGTGGTTTAACTAACATTTATTAATGGTCAATCAATGGTTTAACTATTGTTAATTAATGGTCAATGAATGGTTTAAATCATGTTATTAATGGTCAATCAATGGTTTAACTAACTTTTTACAAACGATGACACAGATATTGTATCATGACATCCGTGGCTTATCAATTTTTGACTGCACATTCTTCAAAATCAGTTTGAAGAAAGACACAAAAAGCCCCTTTCAAATTACAAATATTTGTCAACTGATACCAACCTTCCTCTGACGAGAGTGGCAGACTACGACACACAGGCAGATCCCACCACTGAGAGTAGCTGTGGAGTATAACAGAATATGTAACATCTGTGGAGTATAACAAAATGTGTAACATCTTTGGAGAATAACATAGAATATGTAACATCTGTGGAGAATAACATAGAATATGTAACATCTGTGGAGAATAACATAGAATATGTAACATCTGTGAAGAATAACATAGAATGTGTAACATCTGTGAAGAATAACATAGAATATGTAACATCTGTGGAGAATAACATAGAATATGTAACATCTGTGGAGAATAACATAGAATATGTAACATCTGTGGAGAATAACATAGAATATGTAACATCTGTGGAGAATAACATAGAATATGTAACATCTGTGGAGAATAACATAGAATATGTAACATCTGTGGAGAATAACATAGAATGTGTAACATCTGTGGAGAATAACATAGAATGTGTAACATCTGTGGAGAATAACAGAATACGTGACCAGACCGTTCTTTTATGAGTGAATTTCAAAACGTATCTGAGACACCTGAATCACTAGATATGTTTTGAAATACACAATTTGAAACAAAAACAGTATCTAACAGGGACTAAAGTATTAATTATTACTCACTTAGATTCGGCACATGATATAAATTCGACATTGCCAGACAAGATGCTGTGAGCTGTGTACGCACCTCCGGTGTTTGAGGCGGGTGAAGGTGAGGGCGTTGCGGTTGTGCAGGTAGTAGTCAGTTGGCAGTTCCCACAGGTTCAGATCCCCGTCCTTCGGTGCAAACACACCCAGGAACAGATTGTAGGCCTGCTGCTTCTCCAGGTCTACAGGTAGAGGGCAGACATCAACATGAGCAGACGTCAACATGAGCAGACGTCAACATTGGCAGACATCAACATGAGCAGACATCAACATGAGCAGACGTCAACTTGAGCAGACATCAACATGAGCAGACATCAACATGAGCAGACGTGAACATGAGCAGACGTGAACATGAGCAGACATCAACATGAGCAGACATCAACATGAGCAGATGTCAACATTAGCAGACATCAACATGAGCAGACGTGAACATGAGCAGACATCAACATGGGCATCAACATGAGCAGACGTCAACGTGAGAAGACATCAACATGTGCAGACATCAACGTGAGCAGACGTCAACATGAGCAGACATCAACATGGGCATTAACATGAGCAGACGTCAACGTGAGAAGACATCAACATGAGCAGACGTCAACATGAGCAGACGTCAACATGAGCAGACGTCAACATGGGCAGACGTCAACATCAGCAGACGCCAACATGAGCAGACATCAACATGAGCAGATGTCAACATGGGAAGACATCAACATGGGCAGACATCAACATGGGCAGACATCAACATGAGCAGACATCAACATGAGCAGACATCAACATGAGCATCAACACGAGCAGACGTCAACATGAGCAGACATCAACATGAGCAGACATCAACATGAGCATCAACACGAGCAGACATCAACATGAGCAGACGTCAACATGAGCAGACATCAACATGAGCAGACATCAACATGAGCATCAACACGAGCAGACGTCAACATGAGCAGACATTAACATGAGCAGACGTCAACATGAGCAGATGTCAACATGGGAAGACATCAACATGGGCAGACGTCAACATGGGCAGACGTCAACATGGGCATCAACATGAGCAGACATCAACATGAGCAGACGTCAACATGAGCAGACATCAACATGGGCATTAACATGAGCAGACGTCAACGTGAGAAGACATCAACATGAGCAGACATCAACATGAGCAGACGTGAACATGAGCAGACGTGAACATGAGCAGACATCAACATGAGCAGACATCAACATGAGCAGACGTCAACATGAGCAGATGTCAACATTAGCAGACATCAACATGAGCAGACGTGAACATGAGCAGACATCAACATGGGCATCAACATGAGCAGACGTCAACGTGAGAAGACATCAACATGTGCAGACATCAACGTGAGCAGACGTCAACATGAGCAGACATCAACATGGGCATTAACATGAGCAGACGTCAACGTGAGAAGACATCAACATGAGCAGACGTCAACATGAGCAGACGTCAACATGAGCAGACGTCAACATGGGCAGACGTCAACATCAGCAGACGCCAACATGAGCAGACATCAACATGAGCAGATGTCAACATGGGAAGACATCAACATGGGCAGACATCAACATGGGCAGACATCAACATGAGCAGACATCAACATGAGCAGACATCAACATGAGCATCAACACGAGCAGACGTCAACATGAGCAGACGTCAACATGAGCAGACATCAACATGAGCAGACATCAACATGAGCATCAACACGAGCAGACATCAACATGAGCAGACGTCAACATGAGCAGACATCAACATGAGCAGACATCAACATGAGCATCAACACGAGCAGACGTCAACATGAGCAGACATTAACATGAGCAGACGTCAACATGAGCAGATGTCAACATGGGAAGACATCAACATGGGCAGACGTCAACATGGGCAGACGTCAACATGGGCATCAACATGAGCAGACATCAACATGAGCAGACGTCAACATGAGCAGACATCAACATGGGCATTAACATGAGCAGACGTCAACGTGAGAAGACATCAACATGAGCAGACGTCAACATGAGCAGACGTCAACATGAGCAGACGTCAACATGGGCAGACGTCAACATCAGCAGACGCCAACATGAGCAGACATCAACATGAGCAGATGTCAACATGGGAAGACATCAACATGGGCAGACATCAACATGGGCAGACATCAACATGAGCAGACATCAACATGAGCAGACATCAACATGAGCATCAACACGAGCAGACATCAACATGAGCAGACGACAACATGAGCAGACATCAACATGAGCAGACATCAACATGAGCATCAACACGAGCAGACATCAACATGAGCAGACGTCAACATGAGCAGACATTAACATGAGCAGACGTCAACATGAGCAGATGTCAACATGGGAAGACATCAACATGGGCAGACATCAACATGAGCAGACATCAACATGAGCATCAACACGAGCAGACATCAACATGAGCAGACGTCACCATCAGCAGACATCAACATGAGCAGACATCAACATGAGCATCAACACGAGCAGACGTCAACATGAGCAGACATTAACATGAGCAGACGTCAACATGAGCAGATGTCAACATGGGAAGACATCAACATGGGCAGACATCAACATGGGCAGACGTCAACATGGGCATCAACATGAGCAGACATCAACATGGGCATCAACATGAGCAGACGTCAACATGAGAAGACATCAACATGAGCAGACGTCAACATGAGCAGACATCAACATGAGCTCAACATGAGCAGACATCAACATGAGCAGACATCAACATGAGCAGACATCAACATGAGCTCAACATGAGCAGACATCAACATGAGCAGACATCAACATGAGCAGACATCAACATGAGCAGACATCAACATGAGCAGACGTCAACATGAGCAGACGTCAACATGGGCAAACGTCAGCATGAGCAGACAACAACATGAGCAGATGTCAACATGGGAAGACATCAACATGAGCAGACGTCAACATGAGCAGACATCAACATGAGCAGACATCAACATGAGCAGACATCAACATGAGCAGACGTCAACATGAGAAGACATCAACATGAGCAGACATCAACATGAGCAGATGTCAACATGAGCAGACATCAACATGAGCAGACATCAACATGAGCAGACGTCAACATGAGCAGACATCAGCATGGGCAGATGTCAGCATGAGCAGACGCCAACATGAGCAGATGTCAACATGGGAAGACATCAACATGAGCAGACGTCAACATGAGCAGACATCAACATGAGCAGACGTCAACATGAGAAGACATCAACATGAGCAGACATCAACATGAGCAGACATCAACATGAGCAGACGTCAACATGAGCAGACGTCAACATGAGCAGACGTCAACATGAGCAGACGTCAGCATGGGCAGACGTCAGCATGAGCAGACGCCAACATGAGCAGATGTCAACATGGGAAGACATCAACATGAGCAGACGTCAACATGAACAGACGTCAGCATGGGCAGGCATCAACATGAGCAGATGTCAACATGGGAAGACATCAACATGAGCAGATGTCAGCATAGGAAGACATCAACATGAGCATACACCATGTATAACACTAGAGGCATGTCATACTAAACATAATAAGAACAAATGAACAAAACACTACACATTTTCTTAGCATCAGAGCTGAGTACCACATGGTATCTTGCTATATCTTTTGTATCACTATACGGAATGATGATACTGACGGTAACACGATATACCACATGAAGTCGTAAGAAATGATGAAATCACTGAAATAAAGCTCTAAAACCTCTTTCTTCATACATTTATTTATAGTTATCCCAAAGACTTTAACAAAGAAAACCACAAGAAAACAGTTTCAAATGAAGGAATGGTTATTAAATGTAACAGTTAGTCAGCACGCCCTAAGCTTCCACATCCTTGTGTTCTGCCATGCTTATAGATGGCGGTCTGCTACTTGTGCCATTATGGGAGGTAACTCTATTAGTAGCTGTTCTATTTATAGCCTATTGCGATCTTACAAACTGACGTTTCAAGTATAAATATTGATGAAATCGTAGGCATCAGTGAATCGTAACAACCCTAATTAGTATCATTATCTTCCTCATGACAAAAGATCTCTGTGACTCAAAGTGAGCTAAAGATTAGTTTTATGCTGCAGTCATCACAGTAGCCTGTAAAATAAACGTGGTTGTCAACACTAGCAACATTCCACATAGTGAGGACATTCACACACACCCAACCGCCATAGTAGTCAGCTCGTATCCAAACTCGAAGTGCTTAGCACCTGTTCTGGTACTGAGTGCTCAAAGAGTCTTTAACCCACAGGCGCTAATGTCGTTGCTCTGTGGTGACAGCACCTATATTAGTAGCAACAATACGAATGCCTGTGCTTTGAGCCTGTGTCTCATCCAGTGAAATGATCTTAGTGCTAGGACTGTTCTATGCTCAAGTATGGGAGTTAATCGTCTTACTGTGAACATCATATTGTGGATTGGGGTTCTGGCTTGTTCTGCTGAACCTGCTGAAGTTCTAGTGGGATATAAAGTTCAAGCCACTTCAGTGAGATGGACTAACCAGATCAGCACAGATTGATGTCTCCCTTCCATGGCTGTCTTAACAAGAGTCTATTTAGGAAGCAGAGCTGAGTGAAATGCTGAGCTCATTCTTCTAATGCATCATTACCAAAAGGCATACATAGAATATTTTCCACACTCACCTGAGAAGGCGTTGCTATAGTAACGAGACAGCGTCTGCATGATGTCCCTGGAGTGAGATGTCCATGGTGAGATCTTGCGGTAACCCTTGATGCGGTGGACGAGCTGTGAGCCACCATACTGCAACGCCATTGTGTCCCCGTGATCCTCGTACAGGTCCTCCAGCATCCTGCAGACACACATCAGCAACATGGCGGCCATTACACAACAGTAACATGGAGGCCATTACACATCAGCAACATGGCATCCATTACACAACAGTTACAACAACTGAGTGCCTCTAACAACAGTCACAGGTCGTTTGGACCAATCCTAACCAGCTGTATGTGGAAAATTTGATTGTTGGGTTCTAGCACATTGCAATAGTAAGTTTGTAACTAATTATTCTCATAATGATGGGTAGTATAATGGATATCACTTGTTATGTAAAACAGCTAAACAACCAGGACATGGACCCACCTCAGACAGTCGGTGTCAAACTCCAAGTGGGGCTTGTCTATCACATTCAGGGCATACAGCTGAAAGGGAAACAAGTCCTATTGTTATCTGTCATTGTGAATGGGTGTCCTCCCTAACATCCGTCTACTCTTACTGATTAATAGCGCTACCCACACTGTGAAGCTCAGGTAAGTTTGTCATATGGCAGTGTATTATATTGTTTGACAATGATTGTAACTGTGTTACATTGCTTCTGTTGAGATTCAATAGACGCTTATTGCATTGTGTTTGGACAGTGATCAGTCGTCAGGAACTTACCATATTTAGATACTAGTGTGGTGTGTAAACATCTGGTCTGGTATACCGTGGATGGTGATAGTATGTTACCGAAACTTCTGTAATGTTCTATGTGTGAGGGTTCTATGTGGAACTTTCGAGTAACTGGTTAGACTGTATAAGGGGACAAGAGCATGTTTACGTGTCTCTCACAAAAACAAGTTGTTGGCAGACTAAATGTGTCCACATGTGACAGGGAGAAAACTCTGACATGATGGATGAACTTACTTGATATGCCATCGCACACCGTCCCACTGCAAACTGTGCCGTGTTGGTTCTGTCAAGGCAGTCCACGCAGTTTGTCCGAACTATGCCAGTCTGGCGTAAACCAGTTGCTGTACGATGACCTTGAATACCCTTGAACCTGAGGTCAAGGAAAAGAATGAGGTAATGGCTGAGACAGTTAAAGTAGGATGATGTCTTTACTTAATTCAACTCATTTCCTCCAGCCATCATAAATCAAGATCAGTTACACATGAGGAAACTCCACAGGAGTGAGAAATTACCAGACAGCCGGTGCTACCCTGATACAAAATGCTTCACAGTGAGAACAGGACATCAAAAGATGCAAAAAAATTATTTTCCTTTATACAGTGTCCAAACGCTAAGTAAATACATGTAACATTTAATCATGACACCCCCCTCCCCATAAAAAATAAACACTCCTAAATAATTTTTAAATTTATAAACAAAATTAGAAGTGTTAATTATTCATGTCCCCCCACCCCTTCCCCACCCCCAACACACACCCATAGTTGTGATTTGGTGACCCAACCACTTTTGTTGTCATTTTTCATGACCCTCCCTCCTGATCTCACCCCTTTATACAAATGACTCCACTGAGGGTGTTTGCATTTAACATCGTAAAAAACATGTAAACATATTACATAACCATTTGGTGACATGTTTTCAACAAAAATAACAGAAATTATTTGTAAATTATTAGCATTCCTCCAGCATGTTGAATGTTAAGTGCACTCCCATCATCCATCCATCCATGCTTCCATTCATGCTTCCATTCATCATCCATGCTTCCATCATCCATCCATGCTTCCATCATCCATCCATGCTTCCATCATCCATCCATCCATGATCCATCCATGCTTCCATTCATCCATCCATGCTTCCATCCATCCATCCATGCTTCCATCACCCATGCTTCCATCATCCATCCATCCATGCTTCCATCATCCATCCATCCATCATCCATTCATGCTTCCATCATCCATCCATGCTTCCATCATCCATGCTTCCATCCATCCATGCTTCCATCATCCATGCTTCCATCATCCATGCTTCCATCATCCATCCATGCTTCCATCATCCATCCATCATCCATCATCCATGCTTCCATCCATCCATGCTTCCATCCATTCATTCATCCATCCATCCATCCATCCATCCATGCTTCCATCATCCATGCTTCCATCATCATCCATCCTTCCATCATAAATCCATGCATTCATCCACGATTCATCAATCCATCATCCATCTATCCATGATCCATGCATCCATCCATACGGAGTGGTTGACCTACTCTTCATCCTTGAGGACAACCTGCGCCTGGGCGGGCGGCATGCTGAGGAAGAAGCCCGTCTGCTTGATGCAGTACTTGGCTATCTTGGCCAGACGGACCAGCACGTCCGTGTCCTTCCTGCAAGATACATCACACTGTGTCAACTGCAGCATATATCTTGTTTCTTAAAGTGTTGCTAGGCAGAAGTTGGAAGAACATGAATATATGACACTTTTTTTATAGATAAAAGCTTTTATTCTTTTTAATGCATTCAATGTACAATTTAATGTACAAAGAATGACGAAGCCAAGGAGATTAACGGGAGAGAGGCCAGTTGCCTACAATGAAGGCGTAGTGGTGGAGCTGGCTGTATTACCTTGTGCAAACATTATCATGTATTCATCTTGCTTCTTGTTTAATGCTGTAGTCAGCAATATCCCAGCTACATCACAGCAACCTTAAAACAATCAAGTCTCGGCTAGACAAACCAGTGGTTGATATCATGAGCAACATCCTGTACCATCATACCATTTTTAGTCCGCTCGTCCTAATAATGATAACATATAGGAAAACCCTCAAAAAGGGTAAATTTCACTGGTCCTTATGATACCTTAACTATTGGACAGTTTGGCAAGGACTACAGGACTAGTGACAATTTCTAACGCTGATGACACACAAACAACCATATCACTGAGCCTGATATTCAGATCCAATTCTATCATCATTTATGACAAGCTTGGGACCGATTTTATCTTGGTCCCCACGGGGAGGCATATGATCCAACACAGGTCTCCAATCACGGCAACATGCTGCTGATATGGTTAATGATGCGCTGGTATGTCATACAGACGAGATACACGATGCAGCTGATGGAAGTAGCTGTCATCATAAAGATGACTTCATTAAAGAAATAATTCTACATGAAATTGTGGAAACATTTGACAAGATGGAACAAATGTATTTAATATTTTCAACGTTTGTAAATTTTATTCAACATCACACTAGCTTCACCACAAAACAGCAACTGAAACAACATCAACAAAGTGTTGGTTAGAAGGTTACTTTGGATGCTGAAGCCATTTATTCCATAGGCATATCATCATGTCTGTATGGGTTCTTCAAATTGTTTGTTTGTTTGTTTGTTTGTTTGTTGTTTAATGCTGCACTCTGCAATATTCCAGCTATATGACGAAGGTGTGTAAATAATCGAACCTGACCACACGATCCCGTGAGTAGCCTTTTACGGCAAGCATGGGTTGCTGAAGACCTATTCTACCCTGGATCTTCATGGGTAGGGTTCTGCAAAATGATCTTTGTTTCAGGAAATCTCCAACTGACAAGATTAAAGACAATATCTTTCTACAGATCTACCTAACCTCAAAAACCAAGGTGTATCTTTGCGTGATCTAACCAATACAGAACATATACTCTTCAAAAAGAGAAATGCAAAAGTAGTAAAATTGTGTTACGCAAAAGTAGTAAAAAAATGTTGCTGATATGCATACAAAATTGATACCAAGAATCAATTCATCATTTCAGCAGGGATTGGGATTGATTTGTGTGGAAAAGACACAACCAAGAGAGAGCCTGGCACCAAAAGCCAACAACATGACATGCACGTGCAACATCACGTTTTGGGGTAAAAAACCTGTTGGGTTTTCATTTGGATGCCATCAAAATCTTACAGCAAGTGAACAGCAAAAACATGCCATGACTGACGGAAGCCCAACACAATAACTCCATCGGCCGACTACAAACAGGAGAATTATCTTCAGCTGTAGCCAGGTTTTTCCACGTAGCACCAAGCACCATTACAAGACTGTTATCAGACACACGGGACAACACGGGACCTTAACAGATCCTGGACCATGTGTCACTACTGGAGCTCAAGTTACTGAATGATGTTACAAGCTTTCACAGAGTACAACCACTAACTACTAACTACCCCAAACAGCCAGTACAACAGACAATACAGAGCATCACCAAGAAAACCCTGAAACCTCCCCATCAATAGTCGGCACCCTTTGTGATCAGCCTCCCCTACTTTGGAACTGTTAGCTACAAAATCCATAGATTCTAAAATAAACAGGCCAACACTGACTGTGGAAGCGTTACCAGACACACAGGAAAACACATGACCCTTCCCAGATCCAGTCGCCCACGTACTAGAGCACAGGTTAAGTGATAAGTCACATTTTATGCTTGTGGATGGTAGAATAGGCATATAGGAAGGGGACAGATTTGGGCTGCTACACTAGTAGATTAGAGTTGGTGCAAGTTCAAGGGAATTTAATGGCACAACGTTACACGGATGAGATTCTTTAGCCACAAGTGCTTCCCATTATGCAACAAGCGAACCTCATTTTCAAACAAGACAAAACCCAACCTCACAGGGCAAGACTGGTAACAGCATTTTTGAGGAATCACAATGTCCAGGTCCTGGTTTCCAGACTTAAGCCCAATCAAACATTAATTGGATGCACTGGATCAACGACTACGAGCATGTCAGCAACAACCACAGAACCTCCAACAGCTGGCACAAGCTCTGCAGGAAGAGTGGAAGAACATTCCCCAGGCCACAACTCGGGATCTGATTGCTTCCATGGGATGATGACTCCAGTCAGTTTTCGACTCTAAAGGAGGCCATACAGTTTATTGAGTACAGATGACCTGCACCTTGAAATTCTACTGTTCCATGTGTGCCATATGGAACCTAGGTCAATGAGAATGATGTGTGCAAATTTTGAACAATCGATTACCATCTGTTGGTATAAAATATACATCTAAAAATCACTTTTACGTTTCTTTTTATGCAGAGTATATATGCCTTGGTTTGTTCGATGCAGCCTGATGTATGATGTGTGACAGACATACCTCTTGTTGACCCTGGCCATGTCGAAGCCTATGTACTGTATCGTGTGTGACAGACGTACCTCTTGTTGACCCTGGCCATGTCGAAGCCTATGTACTGTATCGTGTGACAGACATACCTCTTGTTGACCCTGGCCATGTGGAAGCCTATGTACTGTATCGTGTGTGACAGACATACCTCTTGTTGACCCTGGCCATGTGGAAGCCTATGTACTGTATCGTGTGTGACAGACATACCTCTTGTTGACCCTGGCCATGTGGAAGCCTATGTACTGTATCCTGTGTGAGACAGACATATCTCTTGTTGACCCTGGCCATGTCGAAGCCTATGTACTGTATCGTGTGTGACAGACGTACCTCTTGTTGACCCTGGCCATGTCGAAGCCTATGTACTGTATCGTGTGTGACAGACATATCTCTTGTTGACCCTGGCCCTGTCGAAGCCTATGTACTGTATCGTGTGAGACGGACATATCTCTTGTTGACCCTGGCCATGTCGAAGCCTATGTACTGTATCGTGTGTGACAGACGTACCTCTTGTTGACCCTGGCCATGTGGAAGCCTATGTACTGTATCGTGTGAGACGGACATATCTCTTGTTGACCCTGGCCATGTCGAAGCCTATGTACTGTATCGTGTGTGACAGACGTACCTCTTGTTGACCCTGGCCATGTCGAAGCCTATGTACTGTATCGTGTGTGACAGACGTACCTCTTGTTGACCCTGGCCATGTCGAAGCCTATGTACTGTATCGTGTGTGACAGACATATCTCTTGTTGACCCTGGCCCTGTCGAAGCCTATGTACTGTATCGTGTGAGACGGACATATCTCTTGTTGACCCTGGCCATGTCGAAGCCTATGTACTGTATCGTGTGTGACAGACGTACCTCTTGTTGACCCTGGCCATGTCGAAGCCTATGTACTGTATCGTGTGAGACGGACATATCTCTTGTTGACCCTGGCCATGTCGAAGCCTATGTACTGTATCGTGTGTGACAGACATACCTCTTGTTGAACCTGGCCATGTCGAAGCCTATGTACTGTATCGTGTGTGACAGACGTACCTCTTGTTGACCCTGGCCATGTCGAAGCCTATGTACTGTATCGTGTGTGACAGACATACCTCTTGTTGACCCTGGCCATGTCGAAGCCTATGTACTGTATCGTGTGTGACAGACGTACCTCTTGTTGACCCTGGCCATGTGGAAGCCTATGTACTGTATCCTGTGTGACAGACGTACCTCTTGTTGACCCTGGCCATGTCGAAGCCTATGTACTGTATCGTGTGAGACGGACATATCTCTTGTTGACCCTGGCCATGTCGAAGCCTATGTACTGTATCGTGTGTGACGGACATATCTCTTGTTGACCCTGGCCATGTCGAAGCCTATGTACTGTATCGTGTGTGACAGACATACCTCTTGTTGACCCTGGCCATGTCGAAGCCTATGTACTGTATCGTGTGTTCAGGGGGCAGGAACTGGTTGAGGTAGTTTATGGTGTCTATGAATTCATCGCTCAGGATAGACTCATGCCTTTTCTTCTCTCTCATCTAAATAAAACAGAAAACGAACCTAAAATAGAGTCAGGATCCCAAGAAATTGTTCTGTGAAAGCAAGCTATGTGTCTTAATGTGCAATAATGAGCAAAGGTTATCGTGAACCCAAAATCCAAAATGGCTGCCAAAATCACTTCAATAAGTGTAAATTGATAAAACAGGTTTTGTATATAACATAGAAGGGTGATAAGAGCGTCTTACTCCAAGTGGAACTTGACAGTCAGGGTGAGAAAGGTTCACAGGCTGTTAAACAACATTCCACAACAAACAATAATTTTCTATGGTTTTTCACTGCTTTTAGCAACATTCCAGCAATATCACGGCTTCAAATATTGTACCCATGTGTTGAATAGAACCCAGGCCTTTGGCGTGATGAGTGAACGCTTTAACTGCTAGGCTACCCCACTGCCCCCAATTTTGTAATGGAGATTTATATATAATTCATATAGCGACAACCCCAACTGTGATCACGAACCTAATACAGGTGAAATCTCTGGTGGATAAATACTAGTGCAACCACTGTCCACAGTGCTAGGACTTTACCGTTACCATACCTGACTGGCCAGGTGTCACTCTAGTCACCCTACAAAGGTTGATTGTTAACTCTGTACTTCCGACTTTACCGTTACCATACCTGACTGGCCAGGTGTCACTCTAGTCACCCTACAAAGGTTGATTGTTAACTCTGTACTTCCGACTTTACCGTTACCATACCTGACTGGATAGGTGTCACTCTAGTCACCCTACAAAGGTTGATTGTTAACTCTGTACTTCCGACTTTACCGTTACCATACCTGACTGGCCAGGTGTCACTCTAGTCACCCTACAAAGGTTGATTATTAACTCTGTACTTCCGACTTTACCGTTACCATACCTGACTGGCCAGGTGTCACTCTAGTCACCCTACAAAGGTTGATTGTTAACTCTGTACTTCCATCTGGTGTTGACAAGCTGATCATTAAAAAAGTCAAGAAGTGGTGGAGTACTTTCTCAGAAACAGATTATATTAAAAAAACATACCTTGACTAGATTGAGGACAATGACAGGGGCCCCGTTTCTCAGGAGCACTTGGTTGAAATGGAGGCCGGCGGAGTGGGCGTAGGGGTCACGCTTGTCCACTGACGGAATAATCACAGAAGCAATACATTAACACTTGATTCATACATCACAGAAACACAACAGAGTAACCAGTTCAGTAACCAAGGTAACAATGACATCAAGATACAAGCTTTTATTCAGTGACATTGTTTTTGAACAAATCCAGAGATTTTTAGATCATTCATGTCAAATTCAAAATTTGAAACCTCAACTTCGTTTAGTGTAGGAGCAGACCCGGGGAGATCCGGGGTAGAACAGGTCTTCAGTAACCCATGCTTGTCGTAAAAGGCGACTAAGGGGATCGGGTGGTCAGGCTCCCTGACTTGAATGATGCATGTCATCGTATCCCAATTGTGTATATTGATGCTCATGATGACAATCACTGGATTTTCCTGGTCCAGACTCGATTATTTACACAGACTGCCGTCATATGGCTAGAATATTGCTGAGAGCGGCATTAAACAACAAACTAACTGGTGTAGTAGCATTGGATTTGGAGTTTCTCGGGAATGATAACCACAAGACTACAGGATGGGAGATGATGGTGCATTTGTGTCATCAACTACTGGGTAATCTATCACTGATGTGTTACCATGGTTACAGGGAACACAGCTTACACATGATGGGAGGCTTGGGGACCATCTTGGCTATGTCCTGGGACCAGAACAGCGGGATGGAGCCACGCATCTGGGTGAAGGATGTGACCTTGCCATGCTCTAGGAAGGTTACTGATGCATCATGGACTATCTGCTCAGTCTCGATCTCGTTGGCTACAGCACCCTGAAAGTAATACAAGCTCATGATGTTAATGAACTGCACCAGCTGGGAAACTGCAAGTATCAACATGTCATTATGAAAAGTAAATTTCACTCGGTTGTAGAATGTGTACACATGCGCAAGTCTTTGTTTTTCTAAAATTATTGAATGCGTCATAACAGGGCAAAGCGTTCTTAGCGCTAAGATGATCGTAACTCCCTTACTTTAACCTAGGCTTACTATAATCTTAACACTAAGATAATCCTAACTCCCATTGTTTAACATAGGCTTATGATAATCTTAGCGCTAAGATGATCGTAACTCCCATACTTTAACATAGGCTTACAATAATGTTAGCACTAAGATGGCTTTGTGCAAGTGGCCCTGGCCCTCTTCTAAGCTACATAAACAGTAGTGTCAGGATGAACATCAGTGTCAACAAAAGTGCTCAAGAGAGGTGTGTGGAAAAATATCTTAATTCCTAAAGGCAAAAAATATCTTCAGACCCCCTTAACAATAACAAAAAGTTTCACACGTAAATTTGATCTTTGAGCTGCATGTCATGTATGAGAGTCTGGGTGAAAGAGTTATCTAGATGCTGAAGTCATGTGACAGGAAGTTACCTCGGAGTTGGCGCCTCTCTTGAGAAACCTGGTGCCGGCATACTGGTTGGACCGTCGACCAATCAGAGTGAGGTATATGGGCTTGCCATATACATTCACATCGTGGAGATAGTCAAGGATGTAAATAGTATACTCAACAGATGGAAAACAACTGGAGGCAAATCTCAAATAATTATCAAGAGGAAAACCAATATTGTGTCTTTCATCACAAAAAGATATCTGAAGCAACTGATACTGAAATCATCCACAAAACAAATATTTCTTGTCAATCTGTCAGTTTACACACTGAACAGAATGTTACTTGGTTCAGAGACCATATACCGATATCTGTATATGGTCTCCGCTTGGTTCCAGCAAAAGATGAAATGTTGGATCCGCCAGTCGACTCTAAAATCAATCTGTAGACTCTACCAAACCTTATGGGGGCGGTCGGGTAGCCTAGTGGTTAAAGCATTTGCTCGTCACGCCCAAAACGCGGGTTCGATTCCTGACATGGGTACAATGTCTCCCACCCTGATATTGCTGGAATATTGCTATAAGCAGTGTTAAACTATACTCACTCACTCACTCCAAACCTAATGCAATTCTATTACTTACGATAAATGTCCAAAGCTTGAAAGCAGCTTCAGAAACACAAGCATGGAAGTACAAGGATACTGGACTGTCCCACAAACCCGTTGGTGAAGTAGATGATCCAGTCGGGGTGAACGACCTCCATCACCCCCTTCAGCAGGTGCTTGTTCCACACAAACTTCTCACATGGCTTGTTGCGAACTCCATACACTGTCTCACCTACAGGTTGAGAGATCAACATTGTTACTTTCTGTTTTTTGTTAGCAATACTTACAGCTGATAAGTTAGTTGAAGCAATATGTCACACTGCTGCATTAATTTATTATTTTTTTTATTTCATAGTTTGTTATTCCCTGTTACAGTGAAGAGCTCCTGCCCAGGGCATCAGGTGACCAATCTACAAGATAATGAATAGTAAATACGTTTTATTTTTTTTATTTTTTTTTACTTAACCATGATAACGAAGAAGGCAAGTACAAAGACAAAAACATTCAGTCACACACTCATACTTTGTATGTTTGTATACAGTTATTACTGTGAAACTTTAAAACAAAAATAGTTACTATGATTGTTAATTTTCAAACAATCTCTAATCATACCTCTAATGCTATGTCCCGGTAGCAGAAACAGTTTTCATGAAATACTGACTGAACTCCAATATTCTCAACAAAAAATTCTAGTACACATGATTCTAAGTTGAGATGGTTTCAGTACAGAATCATTCAAAGAATATTAACCACTAATTCCTTCCCAGCTAAAACCAAAGTTAAAATTCTATTTTTTTAAATTTTTGCTTACTAAATAAAGATACAATATCTCATCTCCCCTTGGGAGTGCAGGAAACTGTTAAAACATTCTGGGCAAGTTTGTTAAAATGGATTTCTGAGGGATGCGGTCATGTTCACAACTGACAACTTTCTTCAGAACTAGTTTTATTTGTGGATGTAAAAAAGATGTAGTCACTGATTTTTCTTTGCTTTATTTCACGTAATGGGTGTATTATATATCTACAAATGTACATGGAAGAAAGCCCATCCTTCCTGCAGCATTAATTGTTCAGACATTCACAATGATCATCCGTTGTACACCATATCAAAAACAGCTTGAATGTGGAAAAGTCACGAGCACGGTAATTCAAGCACCATGATTGAAATTTGAGAATTGCAGTGCCTTAATTGACTTGGGTGTGACACATACACAGACACTAACACACACACACCACACACACCCAGACAGACACACAAAGACGGACACACACACACACACAAACACACACAAAGATAGACAGAGACACACAAACACAAATACGCCAACACACCCAGACAGACATACAAACACAGACAGACACCACAGACAGACAGACAGACAGACACACACACACACACACACACACACACACACAGACACAGACAGATACACACACATACAACCACAGCACACACAGAGTTTTGGCAGCGTACTTAAACCAAGAGCCTTGAGAGTTTTAAAGATGATCTTGTAAACATGTGACATCACTACACTTAAATCATTTTAAAAAAACGAGCTAGCAGGATCATGAGTATGACCACCTACCTCCAGGCCTGGGGCTGCCATCCATGGACTGATTCAACTGAGTGGTCCTGGGAATGCTGTTCATATCCCGCAGCAACCCCCCGTCCTCCCCCGGGGTCGACATTCCTGGGGGGCGGGGGGACCGCACCCGGGCCACGATGTCTTCCAGAAACTCCTGGTTGCCGGCGACAGGGGATGGCATGGAGTCAAAGTGAGGCTGGTGACCCGGTTCCAGGCTTGGGGTCATGTTGTACTGCAGAGTGTGGGTCAGGTCATAGCTGTAGCTGGAGGAGGGAACAGTGCTCACGCTGACACAAAGTACACACAATTATACGCTGTAAAGGCAATCTTTCGGTATAGATCCTTAAAACATTGTCAAGCAAGTCTTCCTTGACAATGGCATTAGGATCTATACTGAAACGTAAACAGTGAGTGAGTTTGGTTTAACGCCGCTTTTAACAGCATTCCAGTTATATCGCGGCGTATCAGCTTAATGTGGGAGGAAAGCCCAAAGTGATGCAGGTCTCAGACGTTTACCACTTCGCCGAAACCCACGAGCACGGGTATGGTGCTGACAAACCTAGAAACATAATCGGGGCAAACCAGGATTCGAATCCACAATCATAGGCTTCTGGCGTGCCCAAGGGACGCAAACCTGCACAGCCTTAGACGACTGGGCCACCCGTGCCCCCTAACCTTTACAGAAAGTCAAGAAGTCGTTATTCATAAATTGTGTCTACTCTGTCATCTGTCAACTTCTAAGTAATGCCTATCAAACAATTCACACTGACACATCCGCCTTGCACATTTCATAGAATTTTGAATAACATTAATTGTAACCCACCAGGAGATAAGGAACCTGATGGGTGAAAGATCACATTTTGACTTCTCATTATTTTCAAACTACAGTATCTTGGGACCACTAAAAAACTGATAAGCTTCAACTCATATTCATTACAGACACATGGCATCCAACATTTGGACTCATTTTCTGCAAAGTCCCATTTTCAGACTTACGACTGTTTATGCAATAATTGCAGTTTTTAGAGATAATGTCTGATTGAGTAGGGCGGTCGGGTAGCCTAGTGGTTAAAGCGTTCGCTCGTCACGCCGAAGGCCCGGGTTCGAATCCCGACATGGGCACAATGTGTGAAGCCCATTTCTGGTGTCCCCCGCCGTGATATTGCTGGAATATTGCTAAAAGCGGCGTAAAACCATACTCACTCACTCTGATTGAGTATGCTGAAATGCATTGAAATAATGTTTTTTATTACATTTCGAACTATAAACGAGAGAAAAATATGATATAGTCCACACATATGGCCACCTTATGGAAGTTGACGTCAAACGTCCCTCTGTATGACATCACAACACAATTAGATCCTAGCATCCATAAGGTCAACACAATTAGATCCTAGCATCCATAAGGTCAACACAATTAGATCCTAGCATCCATAAGGTGAACACAATTAGATCCTAGCATCCATAAGGTCAACACAATTAGATCCTAGCATCCATAAGGTCAACACAATTAGACCCTAGCATCCATAAGGTCAACACAATTAGATCCTAGCATCCATAAGGTCAACACAATTAGATCCTAGCATCCATAAGGTCAACACAATTAGATCCTAGCATCCATAAGGTGAACACAATTAGATCCTAGCATCCATAAGGTCAACACAATTAGATCCTAGCATCCATAAGGTGAACACAATTAGATCCTAGCATCCATAAGGTCAACACAATTAGATCCTAGCATCCATAAGGTCAACACAATTAGATCCTAGCATCCATAAGGTCAACACAATTAGATCCTAGCATCCATAAGGTCCTATTTCTCCCGGCGAGTCACAATTAAAGCTTGCTTGTTTGCTTGTTGTTAAAACAGCAATATTTCAGATATATATCAGTGGCCTGAAAATAACAAAGTCTGGACCAAAATTGATTGATTGATTGAGTGAGTGAGTGAGTGAGTGAGTGAGTGATTGAGTGAGTGAGTGAGTGAGTGAGTGAGTGAGTGAGTGAGTGAGTGAGTGAGTGAGTGAGTGAGTGAGTGAGTGAGTGAGTGAGTGAGTGAGTGAGTGAGTGAGTGAGTGAGTATTAGCCATATTCCAGCAATATCACGGAGGGGGACACTGGAAATGGGCTTCACACATTGTACCCATGACGGGAATCGAACCTGGGTCTTCAGCGTGATGAGCGAATGCTTTAGCCAATAGGCTACCTGACCATATCAGAAGTAACATTTTGAGTCAACCTTTTGACATCACATGATTTCAGTAAAACAGCGGAATCCAGCAACAAACATTTCTCTGTCTTCACACAATGAACCATGTGACATACCTGAAGTAGAAGTTACTGGACAAGTCGACATTCTGGAACATCCGCACATATCTGGAAGCGCAAACAGGGTAAATATAGCAACATACAGCCCCGGGAAAGGCCTTGCTATTTGGTTTCATCATCAACATAGATTTAACTTAGTCCGGCCACCCAATCAGTGGAGTCAGGGAGAAAAGCATGGGATACTAGGGACCTATTGTTCTCACGAAATCCCACAGGGAGACAATCATGGGATACTGGAGACCTATTCTGACCTGGAAACCCCATTGGGAGACAAGCATGGGATACTAGGGACCTATTGTTCTCACGAAATCCCACAGGGAGACAATCATGGGATACTGGAGACCTATTCTGACCTGGAAACCCCATTGGGAGACAAGCATGGGATACTAGGGACCTATTGTTCTCACGAAATCCCACAGGGAGACAATCATGGGATACTGGAGACCTATTCTGACCTGGAAACCCCATTGGGAGACAAGCATGGGATACTAGGGACCTATTGTTCTCACGAAATCCCACAGGGAGACAATCATGGGATACTGGAGACCTATTCTGACCTGGAAACCCCATTGGGAGACAAGCATGGGATACTAGGGACCTATTGTTCTCACGAAATCCCACAGGGAGACAATCATGGGATACTGGAGACCTATTCTGACCTGGAAACCCCATTGGGAGACAAGCATGGGATACTAGGGACCTATTGTTCTCACGAAATCCCACAGGGACACAAGCATGAGATACTGAGGACCTAATGTTCCCTGAAATCCCCGTGGGGTTTAATGTATTTTTTGTGCAGTAGTCACCTGCTCTCCTCGGGGTGGAAGAACCTGACTGTGTCGTTGGGGATGTACAGCATGGATGTGTCCTCGATCTTGTAGATGGTGTGGGGTCCGATCAGCGCCACCTTGCGGCGCTTTGTCACCAGAATCACATAGTAACCCTCCAAGAAGCGGATGAACCCTGGGACATGATACGAAAAAATAACACGAGGTTATACAACATTTAGTGTGTTTATTACCTGTACTCTTTTGCATTTGCAATTGTTTATTTTGATGCTGTGAAACCTGAGTCCTTTAGTTGGGTTAAACCATTTCACAGTGTGTAAGTTTATTTCAAAGATAAGTGAGAAGTAGCGCCACAGCAATTAGCTCACCTGGATATATAGTCAACAGCTTAAAATATAAACAAATACAGACCCTTTAAAAAAGGTTGCTGTCTGCATTGATACTAAAATATTTTCTGCATAGATACCAAAAAGTCACACTAAAATCTGCAGTTTGAACCAAGTAGATCATTATCTGGAGAGGCAGACAAATTGATGGAGCCAAATATGATTCTTGAGCGAATTTTAGAGCATGGTTAAAATTAATTAAATTAAACAGAATAAATTTAAATAAATTAAGAATTTGCATACGTTATTTTCCAACTAACAACTGCTCAAAGGCACTAAGACCATGATTGACTGAGTCAAAGGCTGGATTTTGAGTGTCTTTTCAAAGTTTGTCAGATTTTCTGTTTCTTGGATTCCTTGTGGCAGATTGTTCCATAGCAATGGGCCAGCATGTTGAAATGACCTATCACCACATGTAAAACTAGGTCAAAACTATAAACATTATGAGAACGAAAAAAACATTTGTGTTAACTCACACAACAAACTAAACAAATACCAAATTTCAAATCAGATTTTAACCTTGTGAACAAATTGGGGTGAGATCACTGGTGAAGACAAGTTTTTAAAGTTTCAGCTTCACACTGGTCTAGTGGATTCTGAGGAGTAGATGTTTATGCCGGATGAAGCACGACTGACGACAGACATTGGACAAACAGGCCATGACATAAGCACACTATACTTTAAGTCGAAACAAAAACGCCTATGGTGCTGACAAACCAAGAAACCATAATTAGGATGAAATCGGATTGAACCTAAAATGATGAATATTTGTATTGTTTGTGATATGTTACTATGGTTACACTAGTTATTCCCATTGTTGACTTTCAACATGACAAGTGTTGTTGTTTTATGTGAGTGAGTGAGTTGGGATTAACGTCACTTTTAACATTATTCCAGTCATATCGCGGCGTGTCAGCTTAATGTGGGAGGAAAGCCCGAAGTGATGCAGGTTTCAGACGTTTACCACTTCGGTGAGATCCACGAGCACGGCTATGGTGCTGACAAACCTAGAAACATAATTGGGGCGAATCGGGATTCGAACCCACAATCATAGGTTTCTGGCGCGTCCAAGGGACTCAACTCTGCACAGCGAATCGCGGCGCCTTAGACAACTGGGCAAGCCGTGCTCCCTGTGGTTTTATGTAGTGTATTGGGCACATTTCACGACGATACCATCAAGATATATTTTGTTTAACAACAAAGCATATCATCACAGCTCTAGCAGTAGTACACTAGGTCACTCACCGACAATACCGAACGCCGAGACTGTCTTGGTGAGCCCCACTCCTCCCCGTCTGGCCAGGGGGGTCTGGTTCCCCACGTTGATCATCGTCAGGATGTTCCGGATCTCAGTCTTACTGTACTCAACCTGGACACCATCATCAGGGAGATTAAAATCACAGAATGATATGATTGCCATATTCCCTATTATCTCGTAATTTGTTTTTCATATATAACTACAAAATGTATCATCAACTTGTTCAAAGTAACCTGTGATAATAATAACTGTTATTTCTGATAACTAGTGTCAATTGTATTCAGTCTCTACCTTATCATCATGAACAACTAGCTCCCTCGGCTCAGTCCGGTCGATCTTCAGAACACGGAACTTGGTCTCTGTCTTGTTGGAGCCAACGATGTAGAAGCGCTGAAATCACAAAAGGGAAAAAGGGGAGTAGTGTACTTTATCGGGCATACTGTTTGGGATTTCAATAAGTGCCATGTGGAAGATTGAACTCACGTCTTAATCTAATCAGCCAGTAGTTTACCATTGGACCACATATGCTTTCACAAATATTTAGTGCTCATTTCCTAAATGATTAGCACACGTTATGGGCATGTGCTGTAGCCCTGCGAAACTTGAAACTCGATAAAAATTGTACAGATTTACATTGGATTAATTCATTAAAAGAGACAGCTAACCCATACCCTGTCTCACAACTAAACCTAAAGATTGTAAAGGGGTATCTAACCCAAAGGATGGCAGATGCGTGTTTGATTGGCAAGGGATGCTTGATGGGAAAGAGGACCCAAGGGCTGAGGCTAGAGTGGTGTACCCTAAAACCTAACCCTAACCCTTAGGATTAAAGAGGCACAAGAGATCTGTGAAATAAATTGTAGCGGGCAGCCTGAGCCAAATAGTTCTGTAAGTCTGAGAGTAAATATGTTCCCCCTGAACATTTGTTCTGGAGGAATCGATATACCAGGAGTATTTGTTCCTGTGGAACAATATACCCAGAATGAGGACTTTTTTGTCTCCCCTCAGTCAATTTTTACATAGGCATATGTATTCCTCTGGAATATTTATAACTAGGACTAATTCAACGTTCACATAAGCTGCACCCAGGCAATGTTGGCGGAATAAATACCCCAAATCTTATCATGATAATCCATACCATCACTAACCCAAAGGAAGGAAAACGATTTGATTGCATACAGCACGAGTCAAAGTGTGCCAACATCAGTCTGTAGTTGAACTGCACTGCCGCCATCACTGCGTTAATTAGGCAGGTTCATGAGACACTGAACACGCTCACTTTGAGGTTGGGTTATAGCTAAAATGGCACCTCAGCAAAACGTCACCTGGCAAAAACGGCACCGATGGGCGAAAAACGGCACCTCACCTCAAGCGAAAACGGCTTCTATTGCCTGGCGAAAATGGCACCCTATTTTTGTTTTACCTTGGTAAAATAAATTAAATTAAACTTACATGGTTGCTTGCAAACACCAATAATTGTGTAATGTTAAAACAAGTTTACATTAGAAATTAGCCTCTACTCCAACTATATTCCAACTTAGCCTATACGCAACTCAACTTATTGTGAAAACATGACATGCCTTGAAGTAAAATAAATGAAATTAAACTCACACCGTCTCTTACAAACACCAATAATAGTGAAATATTAAAACAAGTTTACATTATAAATTAGCCCCCTACTCCAATTTACTCGCCGACTGATGGGAGGCGCAACTAACCTATTGTGAAAACATTAGCCTATATGCTTTGATGTAAAATAAATGAAATTAAACTCACATCGTCTCTTACAAACACCAGTAACTGTTGCAATATCTGGTAATGACTGCTCCCTATCATATCACAATCCAGTACAATAACTGATCCCTGTACATCCGGGCTTTTTAAGATCATGGCCTCCGAGAGTAAAGTGTCAAGTCAGAAGCGATTCTTGTTGTCTATATAATTAGTGTTTGGATAACACGGGATATTGAAACATGGTGGCAACGGTGCGGAATTAACTTGATGTTGATGTTTACCGCTAGAATTGACGCTGTCAGTAGTGCTGGGTGCCTACACGGATGAGACAGTTCACCAAGCGAGTGAGTAATGTCGGACCTCTGCAGTATCGCACGTGGTTTGCGACTACAGGATTTTGATGATTCTGGATTAATTATGCATTTTGGTGAATGAATGAACATTTCACACGGATTTCACATTCGATTTCCTAACTGATGAACATTATGGATGGTCAGGAAGAACGTGAACCGGGCGGACATGACGACCACGTGGGCTTGCAGATACCGCACGGCAGGAGAATGCCATTGCCGAATTTGACACCTCCATTGCCGCTGAAAATGTCGGGTGATTTGGCAGATAATTGGAGAATGTGGAAACAGGCGTGGCAGAACTTTGTGATTGTTTCACAACTAGATGATTACCCGATGAATTACCAAGCTGCTGCTTTATTGTATTCTATGGGAACTGATGCACTAAAAGTCTACAATGCAATGGAATTCTTGCCGGAAGAGCACAGGGATGTGACTACTATTATGGCCAAGTTTGATTCATACACAATTGGAGAAACTAATGAGACGTATGAACGATACATTTTGAACAATCGTGTACAGGCAGATGGAGAAAATTTTGAGGAATACCTCACAGCTATTCGCACACTCTCAAAGAGCTGTAACTTTTGTGAATGTCTACGTGAATCACTATTAAGGGACAAAATAGTGACAGGGATCAGAGACCCTAACACCAGGAAAAGGCTTTTACAGGAAACTAAGCTGTCACTGAAATCTTGCATTGCAATATGCAGAAGTGCTGAAGCAACCAATGTAAGAATTAAAGCCATGAATTCTGAAGATGTACACCGTGTCAGCAGACATTCAGCAGGAAACAAGTCTCATAGATACAGAGAGAGGACTGGTAAATCTCAACCTGTACAAGGGCCAAGCATGTCACAGAAGGCAGGATCTTTACAACTATGCAAGTTTTGTGGATACAAACACATTATGGACAGACGCAAATGTCCAGCCTGGGGAAAGACATGTAACCTGTGTAAGGGAAAGAATCATTATCAGCAATGTTGTCGACATGGTAACAAAGCTAGCAAGATTCACTCTGTCTCAGATGATGAAGACAGTGGAGCAGAGGAAGATGATTGTCTTGAGGGGATCAGCAGTGTTTCATTGGATCCAGATGTTGAAGTTTGCAACCAGGTTGGAAAGAAAGCAGGCTCAGATATTTTCGCTCAGATGATTGTGGAGCATGATACCGATGTAAAATTCCAGTTGGATTGTGGAGCATCAGTAAACATTTTACCACGGAGATTACTTAATGCTGATACTGATGTCACACCCACTTCGAAAATGCTTCGTATGTGGAATGGTTCACTGGTACACCCTGATGGTGTAACAAGACTGCTGATTCAAAACCCCAAAAACAAGAAGGCTTACAGTGTAGAATTTGTGATTGTGTCCGATGACACAAATCATCTTGTACCTTTGTTGGGTTCCAAAGCAGTGCAGCAGATGGGACTGCTAACAGTGAATGTGGACAACTTTGTTTCTGTTTGTTCAGTTTCACAGCCAGGACCAACAGTAGTCAAAGAGAGGAATTCTGAGGCTATCATTAAGACTTACTCTGAAAATTTTGAAGGGGAACTTGGGACCTTGCCTGGCAAAGTACACCTGCAGGTGAATCCGGAAATAACCCCAAGCGTCTCACATCAGAACAGAGTGCCTATCTCACAGAGAGAGGAATTGAGACAAGAACTTAATCGTCTTATGAAACTTGGTGTCTTGGTACCTGTGGATGAACCAACAGATTGGGTTAGCTCGTTAGTGATAGCACCCAAGAAATCAGGGGCAATTAGAATTTGTATTGACCCCAAGCGCTTAAATGAGGCACTTCGTCGTGAGCATTATCAGCTGCCTACGATCGAGGAAGTGTTGCCCGATCTGACAAATGCGAAGGTCTTCAGTACATGTGACTTGTCTGCTGGATTTTGGCATCTTGAACTTGATCTCGAATCCAGTTTGCTGTGTACTTTTGGAACTCCGTTTGGTCGGTACAGATGGACTAGACTACCATTCGGGCTTAGTGTATCCCCTGAAATCTTCCAGAAACGCTTAATCCAAGCTTTGGAAGGACTACCAGGTGTCAAATGTATTGTGGATGACATCCTGATCTATGGTTCAGGGTATGACAAGATGACAGCGCAGGTTGACCATGACAAGAATCTGGAATGCCTTATGCAGCGTTGTCAGAAACTTGGTATCAAGTTGAAGAAGGAGAAACTTAAGTTGTGCAGAAAAGAGGTTACCTTTCTTGGTCACATCATCACTGATCAGGGACTTAAGTGTGACCCACAGAAAATAAAGGCTGTGTTGGAAATGCCAGCACCACAGAATGTTGAGGACATTCAACGCTTCTCAGGGTTCGTCAACTACCTTGCAAGATATTTACCTCGTCTGTCAGGGGTAATGCAACCACTTCGACAATTAACACATACTGACGTGGACTGGACATGGATGGAGGCACACGAGAAAGCCTTCACTGAAGTGAAAAAACTGGTTACGGAAGCTCCAGTATTGGCATACTACAATGAAGCTGAAGAACTGACACTGCAGTGTGATGCAAGTTCCACTGGACTAGGTGCTGTGCTGTTACAACAAGACAAGCCAATTGCATACGCTAGCCGTGCCCTAACACCGGCTGAGTCCAGATATGCACAGATTGAAAAGGAAATGCTGTCTGTTGTTTTCGGACTTCAAAAGTTCCACACATACACATTTGGTCGGAAAGTTACAGTGGAAAATGATCATAAACCACTAGAAGCAATAACCAGCAAACCCTTAAACTGTGCTCCTAGACGACTACAGTCTATGATTCTGGCTATGCAACAGTATGACGCCACTATCAAGTACAAGAAAGGTGCAGATGTTGTTTTGGCAGACACATTGTCAAGAGCATATTTGCCAAGCACAGAGCCAAAGATTGTAGAGCCTTTCAGTCAGGTGAACATGGCAAAGTTTTTGCCGATAACAGATGACAGGATCAAGCAGATCAGAGAAGAGACTGAAAAGGATGAAACTCTGCAGAAACTCAAACAAATCGTGTTAAGTGGGTGGCCAGAGGAAAAAGACGCTTTACCGATGGAGTTGTACCCATACTTCAACTGTAGAGACGAGATCACAGTACAAAATGGTCTCATATTCAGAGGAGAAAGGCTGGTCATACCTCACAACCTGAGAACAACAATGAAAACCAGGATCCATACTTCTCACCTAGGGATCGAAGGTTGTTTACGGCGTGCAAGAGAGAGTTTGTATTGGCCTCACATGTCTGATGACATTAAACAGTACATCAGTACTTGCGAGTTGTGCTGCAAATACCAGGCAGACCAGCAGAAGGAGACACTACAGACCACTGAAGTACCAGAACGACCATGGCAAAAAGTGGCATCAGATTTGTTCACACTTAATGATAAGGACTATCTGATAACCGTGGATTACTACAGTAACTTCTGGGAAGTGGACTGCCTGTCAGACACCAAGTCTACTACAGTTATCAAGAAGCTAAAGGCACACTTTGCCAGATATGGGATTCCGGACCAGCTGGTTAGTGATAACGGACCTCAGTTCTACTCAGAGGAGTTTAACAAATTTGTCATTGATTGGGACATAGAGCACTTAACCTCAAGTCCTCACAACAGTCAAGCCAATGGAAAGGCAGAGTCTGCGGTAAAGACCGCGAAGAAACTACTACGGAAAGCAAAAGACAGTGGAAACGACCAGTATATGGCAATATTGGACTACCGAAATACACCAACTCAGGGACTCGGCTCTAGTCCTGTGCAACGACTTATGAACAGACGATCAAAGACTCTCCTTCCAACAAGTGAAACTCTGCTGAAGCCGAGAACAGTGAATGGTGAAAGAGAAAGACTTTGTCTGAAACAGCAGAAACAGAAGTCAGCCTTTGACAAATCTGCAAAAGATTTAACGCCACTAGAAGAAGGTGATACTGTTAGGATGAAGCCATTCACTATGAATGACAAAGTATGGAAAAAGGGAACAGTGCTAAAGAGACTTGACGAGAGAAGCTATGAGGTAGACACACCTACAGGAATACTCCGACGTAACCGTGTACATTTGAGGAAAACAGCTGAACAACATTCTTTGAATCAACCACCTGTCAAAGTTGAAAGTGAACAGAGATTCAGAAAGCCATTAATGTCAAGAGAAAAGCTTATGCCATCTAACAGTCCTACCAGTAGCAGGAGTAATGAGAAGACTTCTCCTGTGACTCCACCTGTGACACCGATGAAGACTGACAGACCGACGACTATCATGAAACAAGCACAGACTACACCACCTACTACCACCAGAAGTGGCCGTTCAGTGAAGTTGCCAAAACATCTCAGAGACTTTACTGTGTAGAGTACAGTTGTGCTCAAGTTCAACAATTATATGTTGAAGCCTCATTTAACAGTCATTCTATTCTGTTAATGTGAGTGAATGTTTACAGACCAGTAAGGTCATGGACACTAATTTGATTCACTTACAGTTATAAGGCCTTCATAATTTAATAGCTTTATTAATATGAAAGCTACCCTAAACGTTAATTCAAAATAATGTAAACTGACTTCCATGCCAGTATAATTTTGATATTAATAAGAAGTGTGTGCCAAAGTTTCCAATGGACTCGTGGACTCTTAAAGAAGAAGGGATGTTGCAATATCTGGTAATGACTGCTCCCTATCATATCACAATCCAGTACAATAACTGATCCCTGTACATCCGGGCTTTTTAAGATCATGGCCTCCGAGAGTAAAGTGTCAAGTCAGAAGCGATTCTTGTTGTCTATATAATTAGTGTTTGGATAACACGGGATATTGAAACAGTAACTGTGAAAAGTTCAAACAAGCCTACATTAGAAATTAGCCCCTGAGTCAGCTACTATCACGATGCTCGGTGGTACATGGGCCGATGTTGTAAACTGTGATGAAGATGAAACCTGTGAAGAACTGTATATATGTGAATGTATGTAGTTATCTGTGAACAACTGGAAAACAGGAAATAACATGTAAATATCATCAAACAATATGTAACAAATAACATAAATCAGATATATCGTTATTAAAAATAGAGGTGTCGTTTTCGCCTGTCACGTAGTTGCCGTTTTCACCAAATGCGGTGCCGTTTTCGCCAGAGAAATCGGTGACGTTTTGCTGCGGTGCCGTTTTAGCCTGCACCCTTGAGGTTTACCCAAAGACAGAGTTTGGGGAGGGTATGTCTGAAGTGTCCATGTACACAAGCTGCCAGGTCCTGACTGTGACTGTCATCGGTTGAATATCTGGGAGGACACGAAGAAAGAAAAGATTGTCGATAAATACTTACTGCCTTGGTTTCGTATAGCACTAATTTTTGAAGGTAGGAAATTACCGGCCTCTCCATTTTGATTCGACAGAGTACTACATAGCTTGTAAATTTTCCATACCCGAGGACATTTCCGTAAATACAAGGGACATAACTATTAGTTTTCCGCATAGTGGCCGACCGCTATTAAGTATTGATATAATTTGTCTAGCATTCATTCGAGACGTTCCATGATAGTGTGAAGGGAGCTGTAAGATTATAATGAAATAGAATGGAAGTTTAGCAGCTCATACATCGTAAACATGTATTTAAAAAAAATCGAATTTTTCAAAGATATTTGAAATTTGAAAATTTGAGAATAATTGAAATAATAAAAACAGGAGTGTTTACAATTAAAATTGATATCAAATGAAACGTATTTTAAAATAGTGCGCCAACCAAGCTGGAACATCATTTTAATAAACCATTGTTATAATTCTCCATATAGAATCAGAGTGAAGCTGTGTCTCATGTAGCCATTCGCAACGACAAATATCAAGCTATGACGATATTTTTATATTGTTAGAAGAAGTAGATCGAAATACATATTGACTGTGAAGCGAAATTATAACTTGATTATTTCAGAATCAACAGCAATACTTACAAGTTTGCTGCCACGTTATCATTGTTATCGTTTTGTATTTTATGGCATACTACCGTCATACTTCTTATTCGAAACAACACAAAATAAGACTGGACTTGGAAATTAACATTTATAACAATAGACTCAGTCCTTACTGAGGGTCTAAGTCTTGTCCCTACCACGAACTAGACCCAACCCTTACTGAGGGTCTAAGTCTTGTCCCTACCACGAACTAGACCCAGCCCTTACTGATGGTCTAAGTCTTGTCCATACCCTGAACTAGACCCAGCCCTTACTGATGGTCTAAGTCTTGTCCCTACCCCGAACTAGACCAAGCCCTCACTGATGGTCTAAGTCTTGTCCCTACCACGAACTAGACCCAACCCTTACTGAGGGTCTAAGTCTTGTCCCTACCCTGAACTAGACCAAGCCCTTACTGATGGTCTAAGTCTTGTCCCTACCCTGAACTAGACCAAGCCCTTACTGATGGTCTAAGTCTTGTCCCTACCACGAACTAGACCCAACCCTTACTGAGGGTCTAAGTCTTGTCCCTACCCTGAACTAGACCAAGCCCTTACTGATGGTCTAAGTCTTGTCCCTACCCTGAACTAGACCCAGCCCTTACTGATGGTCTAAGTCTTGTCCCTACCCTGAACTAGACCCAGCCCTTACTGGTGGTCTAAGTCTTGTCCCTACCCTGAACTAGACCCAACCCTTACTGATGGTCTAAGTCTTGTCCCTACCCTGAACTAGACCCAACCCTTACTGAGGGTCTAAGTCTTGTCCCTACCCTGAACTAGACCCAACCCTTACTGAGGGTCTAAGTCTTGTCCCTACCACGAACTAGACCCAACCCTTACTGATGGTCTAAGTCTTGTCCCTACCCTGAACTAGACCCAACCCTTACTGGTCTAAGTCTTGTCCCTACCCTGAACTAGACCCAGCCCTTACTGGTCTAAGTCTTGTCCCTACCACGAACTAGACCCAACCCTTACTGATGGTCTAAGTCTTGTCCCTACCCTGAACTAGACCAAGCCCTTACTGGTCTAAGTCTTGTCCCTACCACGAACTAGACCCAACCCTTACTGAGGGTCTAAGTCTTGTCCCTACCCTGAACTAGGCCCAACCCTTACTGATGGTCTAAGTCTTGTCCGACCCTGAACTAGACCCAGCCCTTACTGATGGTCTAAGTCTTGTCCCGACCCTGAACTAGACCAAGCCCTTACTGGTCTAAGTCTTGTCCCTACCCTGAACTAGACCCAGCCCTTACTGGTCTAAGTCTTGTCCCCACCCTGAACTAGACCCAGCCCTTACTGAGGGTCTAAGTCTTACCCCCGACCCTGAACTAGATCCAGCCCTTACTAAAGGCCTAACTCTTCCGTCTTATGCTGACCCGACCCAACCCTTTATTAATATGAAAGTCCTGACTCTCTACCCTACACTGACACTAGACCAATACCGTACGAAAGGCCTTACTCTTCTGTCTTATCGTTAACTTAAATCCAGTCCTCACTAAAATCCTACCTATACTTCCTAACGCTGACAACCAGACCCATCCCCAACTAAAGGCCTAAGACTTCTTTACCGTGACTCTGGACCCAGCCCTTACACTCATTAGGGAATTTACGGCATACGACTCTTCAATAAACACCCTTCCGCGGTGGCCGCTGTCACCGTGACAGGTTTACAGTACACCACACAACATTGGGTCACGCAGTTATCTACATACGCCGTATCTCACTTAGCAGAGCGAAAGCGAAAATAGGATACTGGGGGTATCGTTAGGCAGTTTCTCCGCAGTGGGCGAAGTTACCTTTAATACGTACATGACATGTGCACAATCCTCCGGCCGAGAACAGATATATATCACCTGATATAAGAAAACCCAAGCATAACCACATGCGTGGTCTGGGGGGGAGAAGATTTACCCGTGACACAATCGGATGATACTGATTGGAATTCACGAGTCTGACGTGAGTACTGTCTGTTTATGTTATACACCAGCCATTGTATTTCAACCATTATTAGGTTGTCATTTATTTAACATGTAAGGTTTGATTTGTTCTTTTATGAATACCCATGGGATTGAAATCTTCTCCCGTTCTTCAGTTTAAATTGTATATGATACACAGCAAGTGTTGGTATTTTGCTATTACATGTTATGTTAGGAAAAGTTAGTCAATTATTAACAAATGAGTTTAAGCAGGTGACATTAAAACGAGGGATTTTAAAACCGAAAGTAGGAATTTCCCCGTCTAAAGGGAGACAACTTAACTGGATTAGTAGAGTTTCCGGTTGCAAACCTGCCTATGATCCTCATGACACGCCAGGGCTAAAAATAGGTGTCGTACCAGGAACAGCAGTGAAGGAAAAAGTCTTCCGTTGTTATGGTATAAATTCAATTCAATTAAAGACGTAAATGTATTCATAGAAGAACGTAACACATTCTTCTAAACGAGGAGTTCCTTGCGTTCAGTCAGCTTTTCGAAAACATGTTCAGCAGTCAGTGTGATTTGTTTTGTCGTCCCGTCTTTAACTTTTGCATTTCCTATCAAAGTACAATGCGCGTGAAACTGAAACATCTCACGATTGATCCTTGACATCGTGCCTCTAAAACACAATTCCGACCAGATCATCACTATGACAACAACCACAGCCCTACTGTAAATCTCATCTTTGCCCGTTACAGTTCTGTATGTATCATTACGGCAGTTGATGCGCAGCAAGTATTTGGTATAAGTTTTTTTTGGCAGTGCTTGTTGACCCAGATACTATCACCGTTTTTTCAGTGTTACTGCATTTGGGACGCTGTACATGTGTTACGCGATATAGGATATATTATGGGGTTTGTTTGCGTATTTTGTTTATGACTCAGCCTCAGACTATGGCTCATGTAATACAGTATATTATGACTCAGCCGCAGACTATGGCTTTCATGTTATACAGTATATTATGACTCAGCCGCAGACTATGGCTTTCATGTAATACAGTATATTATGACTCAGCCGCAGACTATGGCTCATGTTATACAGTATATTATGACTCAGCCGCAGACTATGGCTTTCATGTTATACAGTATATTATGACTCAGCCGCAGACTATGGCTCATGTAATACAGTATATTATGACTCAGCCGCAGACTATGGCTCATGTAATACAGTATATTATGACTCAGCCGCAGACTATGGCTCATGTAATACAGTATATTATGACTCAGCCGCAGACTATGGCTTTCATGTAATACAGTATATTATGACTCAGCCGCAGACTATGGCTTTTATGTAATACAGTATATTATGACTCAGCCGAAGACTATGGCTCATGTTATACAGTATATTATGACTCAGCCGCAGACTATGGCTTTCATGTAATACAGTATATTATGACTCAGCCGCAGACTATGGCTCATGTAATACAGTATATTATGACTCAGCCGCAGACTATGGCTTTCATGTAATACAGTATATTATGACTCAGCCGCAGACTATGGCTTTCATGTAATACAGTATATTATGACTCAGCCGCAGACTATGGCTCATGTAATACAGTATATTATGACTCAGCCGCAGACTATGGCTTTCATGTAATACAGTATATTATGACTCAGCCGCGGACTATGGCTTTCATGTAATACAGTATATTATGACTCAGCCGCAGACTATGGCTCATGTAATACAGTATATTATGACTCAGCCGCAGACTATGGCTTTCATGTAATACAGTATATTATGACTCAGCCGCAGACTATGGCTCATGTAATACAGTATATTATGACTCAGCCGCAGACTATGGCTTTCATGTAATACAGTATATTATGACTCAGCCGCAAACTATGGCTTTCATGTAATACAGTATATTATGACTCAGCCGCAGACTATGGCTTTCATGTAATACAGTATATTATGACTCAGCCGCAGACTATGGCTTTCATGTAATACAGTATATTATGACTCAGCCGCAGACTATGGCTTTCATGTAATACAGTATATTATGACTCAGCCGCAGACTATGGCTTTCATGTAATACAGTATATTATGACTCAGCCGCAGACTATGGCTTTCATGTAATACAGTATATTATGACTCAGCCGCAGACTATGGCTCATGTAATACAGTATATTATGACTCAGCCGCAGACTATGGCTTTCATGTAATACAGTATATTATGACTCAGCCGCAGACTATGGCTCATGTAATACAGTATATTATGACTCAGCCGCAGACTATGGCTTTCATGTTATACAGTATATTAACTTAAAATAATTTTTCGACATCGTATCTGAAACCCCCGGGTTTATGAAACTTTCTTATCTATAATTATACGGATTAAAACAAATATATGCAGTAAAGAGGGTTTGGGTGATCCTGGCACATTCAGGCTGGTTAGTCTCATCATCAACTCAGGGCCCTTGTCCTCTCTACACGCAGCCCAGACAGCGAATGGGACTTCTCCCAGGAAGCGCTTCCCAGTCGAACCCTCACAGAACGTTTTGGAGAATGTGAAGACCCACCAACACTGCAGCCTTCTGCATTACCCAGATTGTCAGAAGGGCTGTATTCCTGATAGCAAACCCGGGTACTCTCCCAATGTCAGTCAACAGATTGGGAGGTGCAAGACCTGAGGCACCAAGAACATTGGGGAGTCGGACAACTTGGTACATGGGATGCAAGCGTAACATTTCAAAAGCGGAGTCCGCATATTTGCCATATTTTTCCTGAATCTTGTCAAACACATTAGTGTCCAAAGGGGCAGAGAATTCAATAATATATATTATTTCATTGGATTCATCTAAAAAGGACAAGATCAGGTTTGTTGGCCTGGATAGGGGCCTGCATACGGACCTATTCCGAAGAATTTTGTATTTATAATTATCCATGACGCCCTCTTCATATTCTGGTTGTGAAACAAAAATAACTTTAGGTTCTGGGTTCGGTTATATGTCATGGCAACAATAATAATACTGATTATATACGAGGAACAATATTGAAGGGAACCCTGCCATTACAGCTAAAAAAAAGGAAATGGCCATCTTTGTTGCACCAGACACAGTTACAGAAAGTGGAATTCAAACTAGCTCACACTTTGCACACGTATAACACCCCATCCACAGCGACACATCCAGGTTACTTGCATGTGCCAATAAACGTCACAACCACCTGGTTCATTAATCGGGTATAAAGAATGAAATCGCCTCCTGAAGTGTACATCACAGAAAATGAATAATTGCACGCAATTGGCAAGATTAAAGTGAGTGAGTGAGTATGGTTTTACGCCGCTTTTAGCAATATTCCAGCAATATCACGGCGGGGGACACCAGAAATGGGCTTCACACATTGTACCCATGTCGGGAATCGAACCCGGGTCTTCGGCGTGACGAGCGAACGCTTTAACCACTAGGCTACCCGACCACCCCTGCAAGATTAAAGCTTGCCAATAACTCAATGCAGTTGCCAGGCACTTTCGAAAATCTAACAGTGTGATATCTCGACTGAGATGGGTTAAGATTAGGGTGGGAAGAGGATCGCCTAGAACGACTACTCCCAGGCAGGATCGATATGTACGCACTATTGCGTTTAGGAACAGATTCATTTCTCCACCAGAACTGAAGGCAATCTTATTAAAATCAGATCTAAGTTCTCGCTGCCGTTAAACAAAGATCTAGGGACATCCCATGACGGGTCACGTCAGAACGACCTTCCACGAACTTTGACAGACCACTGAAATGACTAACAAGAAGTCGACATCAGCCAATTAGAAAGCAGCTTTCTCGAGCTTTACGGCGAACATTTCAACCCGGTGACTTCCATTTCAGACTACGCTTGAAAAATATGTTTGCACAGTTCTCGATTAAAATTTTGAAAACTGAACAAACAAACATTCCGGAATGTCTAATATATGGTTGAGATTGAATGGCAGTGCTTCCCATGTACTGTGCAACGCCTCCTCCGTTCAAATGTTTATCCACCGGAAGCGAGAGATAGACGATAGTTTTGACGGAATCCGTCGTATGAGCCGTCACTGTTGTTTGGAAATACCGCGTGTTAATGTTTTCGAGGTTGCATGATTAGAAAACACATTCCGACGGTCACTTTCAATATCTGGTAAGTGACGCTTTGATTGGTTGGATGAAAGGTCGTTCTGACGTAACCCATAATGGGATGTCTGATTTTAATGAGAATGGAACTGAAGGAAACTTCAAGGCTGCCACGAAATCAGACTTTCGAAGTCAGGGATATAAAACAGGTTGAAAACTGCAAGCCTGATATAAAGATGTCCTCCCAAGGAATGCGTCTGACTGTGGCACATAGGCTCCCCAGGCAACAGTGGCTACTGCAGTTTGGATGTCGTCAACAGCAGCAGTGGAGATACACCATGTTTTCTGATGAATCGAGGTTCTGTTCACGCTTTACAGATGGTAGACAGCGTGTGTGGAGACGGCGTGGAGAGAGGTACTATCATCAGTAGTCCATGAGCACGATAGGTGCGGTGGTGGTAGCATCATGCTCTCGACTGCCATCACATACAACAGGGCGTGATCTTGCAATGGAACATGACGCACAACGTTACATGGAACAAATGGTATGCCCAGTGGTCATCCTGCTTGCCCAGTGCACAGGTCATAACTTTGAGTTCAAGGTTAACAACACATGTCCTCACAGAGCTCGTGCTGCAGTCAACTGTCTGAGGCAGCAAGGTGTCACAACATTGCCCTGACCAGCCAGATCACCAGACACGTCACCGATTGAATACCTTTGGGGTGTTCTGTGCAGAAGAGATTTGCAACAGCTCAAGCAGACCTTTCAAGAGGAATGGCGAAGAATACCAGTATGCCCAGAAGATGTTGTGCATCAAAGATCACAGGGCATGGACCTGGTATTGTCTTTACTGATAATATCGAATTACACAATGTCATTTTTTTACACATAATTTCTGAATAAATTTCGGTGTTCCTTTCAATATTGTTCCTACTTTATACTATTTGGCAGTGTGGTTGGCAAATCTAGGTTACAAAACCGTGTAAAACGAAACATGATCTCTGATTGTAGGTAAGGCTATCTCCATAGTAACAAGGAACAGACCAGTTGCAGAAGAATGAGTTATCTTCAAGGTCAGCTTCCTCATGGCACTTCTCTTCCACAACAGATAGAGCAAGGTGACCTACACCAGCAGCAGCAACAACAACAACAACCACACCTACCTATACAACAACAGATGCACTACATGCAATACACGCAATCACCAAGACAAGATGGACAGTTCTTGCAATCGGAAGGTTTTGGTCACTGTGATCCCCAGCAACAACAGCATCAAGAGGAGTTTCAGTCCCTCATTGGAACCAGTCAAGAATATGGTGGTTCACAGTCTATGATGCACTTAGGAACACACCAGCAAATATCCCAGGCGGATCCGTCATTAGGGAAACCCAGTCAAGAATATGACCCTTCGAAACAACAATATCAACACCATGGCCTCCCTCTTGGAAGCCAGCCTGTAATTGCACATAACCAAGGATTTGGCGACCCACAGTCTATGGCCCCTCAACCACCAGATGTGACACAGAAGTTCCAGTCAACTCTGGAAGCAAATCAAGGAGTTATACAGTTTGCAGTGCCAGAACATCACTATCAACACCAAGGCATCGCCCGGGGAACCCAGCCTGGGGCAGGACCTGGCCAAGCATATGGTGGTCCACAGTCTATGATGGAACAGGTGAAACCTGATGTTTCACAGAACTTACAGTCAATGAAGGGAGATCAACACGATCAACACATACAAACAAGTATGTACATGTTGCACGACAGTGACCCATCGCGTGACTTCCACCAGCATCCTCATGCGGAAAGGTTTATCCAACATACATCCCTTATGGATCAAGGCCTTGCACCTGCTATCCACAGTCTTTCTGATTTACAATCGTCCAAAGAGGCCAGTAACAGTTCATCAACATACAACAGAGATGCTTCTGCTGGTGGATACACTGGAACAGGTCAACAACACCCACCTCATAATGCTCATCCACAGCAATACCAGGGTCAAACTGAAACATCGTACCCTCCTTCACAGCGCAATCCACAGCAATACCAGAGTCAAAGTGGAAGGACATACGTTCATGGTGATCAACATCCTCTCCATGGTCCAGCTGTAGGGCTATATCCCCACGGCCAGCAACATCCTCTCCATGGTCAAACTGCAAACCCATACTCTCCTGATACAACACATCAATACCAAGGTCAAGCTCAAAGACCATACCCTCCTGCTGCGACTCATCAATACCAAGGTCAAGCTCAAAGGTCATATTCACATGACATTCAACATCAGCAATCAAATCTACAAGGAAATGGCAGACCGTCATATACCCCTCACCAGCAACGTCAATTCCAGGGTCAAGTTGAAAGACCATATTCCCATGACCAACAACATCAACAACAAAATCTGCAAGGAAATGCCAGGCCAACCCCACCAACACCTACAGGCGCACGTTGGGGACAAATGGATCATTCACCACGTCATCTGCAACCCCAAACAGCGATGTTTGATCAGTATTCAGTAGGTATTGGGTGGGCATCTGAGGGAGGACCTCACCACGCTCAATCGCCACCTGTTCCTGCAGAGGGAGACCTTTCCCCTCAACACCAATATATCCATGCCCCAAGGGGGCCTAGTCCATACTTCTGGGGTGATCATGTAGGAAAACCTGCCATCGAACATCCAACTGGAGATCCTGGTTACCCTGACAATCAGCCAAAAGTGCAAGGTTAGTGCATGATGTTATCTCACACACAGCTCACATTACATGTGCACTTTCAGATTAGGTACGTGTATGACATTTATCTCAGTGACACTGTTTATTGATACATCAGTTGCCTATGGCTGGAGAGGACAATTGCCATTGAGTACATGTACAACATTGCGAGTATAACAACATGCAATGTTAATATAAAAAACTTTCTAATATTTGCACATGTGTATTTCACATATTAACAATGCTGATTACTCCACTGTTGAGACGATGAGACTTCATCATCTGTTGCTCATGATGTTGCAAATTCATAAACATTTTGTCATCTGAACAATAGACTGACTCTTAAAATGACAATGCTCGAAACTCGTCAATGGTGTGGGCTATAATGAACCGTGTTTTAGATGTCTTAGATTTATTACATTCAGATTGTCTGTTAATCATCGATATGTTCAGCTTCACATGGTGCCACAGAACCTAATGGGGATGGACACAGACTCCTGCTTATGAATATTGGCCCAGGAACATTTGAGGACACTCTTAAGAACTTCCTCGAGTCAAAGGCCGATGCTGATATCGAGGGATTTGAGTGGGCAGAAAACAAGAAGTCGGCCATTGTTACTTTCAAGACCAAACTGGGTATGGCAACAGTTTACTCTCCCAGTATTAATCGAAAGAATCATTTCTGAAAATTATCAAGGACATAATGATTGTTGATTGTGATGTTATTGATAGTAGGGTGTCTTAGATATAAACTGTTTTGCCAGGAACCTATGTTTCTTGTAAGACACAACTGTATGGGCCGAGTGCTCAGACTCGGTGACTTGGTTGATTGTGTGACATCATACCAAGACGTGATGGCTTGGATCGTTGCTCATAATATCAGTCACTAGATTGTCTCGTCCAGATTATATAAACGTACAGACCATTGTTCTATAGCTGGAATATTGCTAACAACTAACAACAAATAACAAACTCTGCAAGCTCAGTTCTTTTAGGTGTTTGCGGTTTTGTTCCTCAGATGTCCCAACTGTCATTGCTGCATGTAAAAGCACAAAGATTGAAGGAAGTAACATCCAAGTGAAGCCAGTTCCCAGGTCCAAATGTCTAAAAGTAGAGGGGTTGTCCAGGAATGCAACGAAAGACAGCATTCGCTTCTACTTCGAGAACAAGAAAAATGGAGGAGACTCCACTGATGGGGTAGATCTATACATGGAAACACACACTGCCCTGGTTCACTTCACAGCATATGGAAGTATGTGCCATTGCCTTTATATGGCTCAACAGACAAACATCATTACCTGAAATAGTTTGCCTTAAAACAGCCATATATATGTCATTGTTACAGAGTGTCTTTTAGGTTCCAACTTTCCATTGCCCAGTCATTGGTCAGAAACATCATGACATCAAAAGTAAGCATTACCACCACCATATAAAGTGAACACATAGATATATGGTACATTATCATACCTCCATGTCAGAATGATAAGATCTGATTGGTCCATGTGGTACATTGTTATCCTTGAAGCACAAAAATCTAATTATTCTATTCTAATCTATTTCTAAACCAATATATCTGTCATTTTGCAGCTGCTGAAGAAGTAATTGAAAAAGGTCCCCACAAGTTACAAGATCATATTCTCGATGTAAGTATCCATGACGACCTCCCCGGGTTCTCTGAACACACAGTCAAGGATGCTGAGCCGTCCCAGAGGGGGACATCTCCAGCTGTAGACGATGGTGATCAGGTGGATGGATTCAGGATCCTGGTTCTGAATATTGGGCCAAGAACCTCTCAGGATACCCTTGAGAACTTTCTGGAGGCCAAGGCAGGACTAGATGTGATGCATGTTGAATGGGGAAACGGAAGGAGAGCAGCAGTTGTAACATTCAAGGACAGACTAGGTGTGTTCAGAATAATCAGATCAATGAATTTCTTTCATTTATTCTGCGGTTTGGTCGAGTAGCCTTTTGGTTAAAGTGTTAGTTTCCTAACATGGGTACCAAGTGTGAAGCCTATTTCTGGTGTCGCCCACCCTGATATTGCTGGAATATTGCTAAAAGCGGGGTAAAACTCACTAACTCACTCACTCATTTATTCTGTGTGTGATTGTTATGGTGTTTGGAATATTTGATGCTCTGAAGACTAGAAGATTATTGTATTCGAACAATATTGCTGCTGCATTGTGCAAAAAGCAGTTGGAGAATGTTTAATTTTCTCTTTCAGTTCCCCACATGTGATTGTCATTATTTGAGACATCGAACGGATGTACGGAAGCTTAAGAATCCCAAAATGAAATCTGTTTGTGTCAAAATATTTCTCTTTTGTCCAAAATCAGAATAGGGATATTCTTATTGCTTATAGTGCTATTTATCTTTTACACATTGCAGATGTTAAAACTATTACAACTGCATGCTCAAACAAGAAAATCGATAACCACATACTACAAATAAAAGCAGTAGAGAAATCCAAGTGTGTGAAAGTCAGTGGGTTGTCGGACGGCACAACAGAAGACACTGTTCGCTACTACTTCATGAACAAGAAGAGGGGAGGAGAGATTGATCACATCGAACTGTTCAAGGAAGCTAGGATGGCTTTGGTCAGATTCCAAGACTATGGTGGTGAGTTTTAGAAGTGACCCACTTCCTAAGCTGGTCCAGTAGGTGGTTAATAGGGCGGTAGGGTAGCCTAGTGGTTAAAACGTTTGCTCGTCACGCTGAAGACTCGGGTTCGATTCCCCAAATGGGTACTATGTGTGAAGCACATTTCTGGTGTCCCCCGCTGTGATATTGCTGAAATATTGCTAAAAGTGGCAAAACCCATACTGACTTAATCCTTCAATACACAGTTTAGAATCAGGACCCTTGCAATGTAGGAGTGAAGTGTGGACCATTAAAACATGTTTCAAAAGATGTATGCATATGAGAATTCAACCTGGATGTTCTGCATGTACTTGTAATTCTTGATTTTTTTAAGTCGCCCCTTCCATCCAAATTATCACATTCAACAAAGGTTTTCATATTATACAATTAACTTTCTTTACTTTCAGAGCTATTGTGTTTTTCATGTTGTTTCATGCCACATATATATCATGATGGCCTGTAAATAATCCAGAAAAATGATTGGTATTATGATCCATGTCCTATGTGAGTGCAAGAACAAGCTATGAACCAAGTCACCTGACCACCTGATCCACTTTGTCACCTCTTTAGACAAGCCCGGCGGGCTGGGGACATTTTCTGACATGGGGCCTCCATAGGGTTGTAACATTGATGTAAGATGTTAGTACAATATATATGTAACATTGAAATATCTTTGAAGGAGGGACTTATAGTTACTCTATAAAATGTTCAATTTCCAGTGGCTGAGAGGGTTTGTCAGTCAGCCCACAAGCTACGGGAGCACCTTCTGACTGTGACAATGCACACAGACACAGCAGATTTTGTAGCTGAAGGTTCTACAGCTGCCAAGGCAAAAGTCATCAAGAGCCTCTCAGATGACGATGACCAAGGGGAAGGGGAGGAAGATGTCCCAGATGACATGAAGATGCTGATCCTGAACATTGCACCAGCAACTCCCCTGGGAACTCTGGAGAACTTCCTCGAGAGCAAAGCTGAATCTGAAGTGGCGGACATCAAGTGGGGAGGGGGAGACTCATGCAAGTCAGCCCTCGTCACCTTTGACAGCAAGCCACGTATGTACACAGTTTTTGCATTTATAGGACAAGGTATGGCATTTTGATGTCTGATTCATAAGAAATAGGCAAAACTTTGAAAATCTGTTTTTGAAAGTTATTCCCACGAATGAGAATCTATCTATTTTTTCAACATGTCCCTGTGATGTTTAGTGCTAACATGGGTCAAAGGGCTTATTCCTTAGTTTTCCAGGATGAGAATGTAAACATGAACAAATGTTTGACTAACTTCATCCTTTATACGTTTGTTGTTTATTTGTACACAATATTATATTTATTTTGTTTATACACATCTGCACATTGTTACATAAAAGAAACTGCCAAATTAGCACGACCTTACAATGTAATAATTTCAGTCAAAATGATATTTTGTTAATGGGAATTTGAATGAAAACTGTTGACCATTACGTAGCAAAGATACTGCAGCCTCTCATCATGATAAAACATTCATGATTTCAATAATCATTCAATGCAGATACTGAGATAGACATTGGGGTGCTATTGGGAGTGCAGGACTCTACCCTTTTCGCGAATAGATGGTGTCATCGCTGACTTTCAATGGTCCATTCATAGCATGGTCACTGCTATGTTGCCTTTAACGCTCAATGGAATCAGTTTCAGCAGATAATCAAGACGTTTTATATTTAACAGAGATTTTTTTATGATACTTTTTTTTATCATACTTTTTTTTATCTTTTCTGCCCATTTAGTCAATGACTTTGCCAGACATGTTCATTCATTCATGCAACGATGCATTGTTATGTAACTACTTGGCAGGTTTTGCCAAAGTAAAGGAAGCATGTTCAAAGAAAATGGTTGAAGGCCACAGACTAACGGTCAAACAAGTTATGAAGTCGAGATGCTTGAGAGTGACAGGACTACCAGACAACGCAAGCAAGGATAGTGTACACTTTTACTTCGAGAACAAGAGAAGAGGCGGACCTCTGAAAAAGATACAATTCATCCCCGAAAAGCATACAGCGTATTTGTGGTTTGAAGAATATGGGGGTGGGTATATAATGAATAGTTTAAACTTAAGGAAGAGAATTAATGGATGTCCACTTCTCTATTATGAGGAAGACAATGTGTCAGAGTACATGCTTACTTCTTCATTATGAGGAAGATAATGTTTCAGAGTACATGCTTACTTCTTCATCAGTTTAAACTTACATAAAGAACAGGATGAATGATATGTCAATGTGATATTAATTCTCATTTTAATGTCAAGGCAGCAAAGAAATGTTTTCACAAAGTAATAATCATGTTGTTAATCATATACTTTACACTAATATTATTTGAAGATATCTTCCATGTTCCAGTGGCAGAGAGAGTGTGCGGTCAGACCCTTAAGCTAAATGACAAAACACTGAAAGTAGACATGCATATAGATATTCCGGAATTCATGCCAACTGAGGCAGAAAAAGACAAAGTGGAAGGTTCAGATGCACTCGGGGCTGCAATGATACCAGTCTCTAAACCAAAACATCAGTCACAATGGCGTTATTTAGTTAAATCAAGTGATGCACACATTATGCGGTACATCAATAAATCCGAGCCAGAGAAGACAAAACTTCAGGATGATCTGAAGAGCCATGAGTGTGCGCTCAGATTCATCCCGCAGCCTAATGGTGTAGTACTTGAAGCCACAAATAAAAGAACAGACACAGAAGGTACCAACAAGGAGACATGGATGAAAAGAGTTGATGCAGCCATACAAGCCTCTCTGGAGGAGATGAACCTAACAGTTGAAACACTGGAGATTCCGGAGGGAATCACAATGGGCAGACTGCAGATGAATCAGGATTTCCAGAAGATACCGACAAAGACAAGTGTTAGGATATATACAGGTTCTGGCGTATTGCAGGTGGTTGGATGTAGAGACAGGATGAAGGAGGCTTTGGAATCTTTGAAGGAAATTTTAGCTTTAGCAGGACCTAAAGAAAGTCACACACAGTCTGTCAAGAATTACCTGATGCGCTATCTCCAAAGGTCCAGTTTCCTTATGCGATGTAGCAAGCTGCATCCTAATGTTGAAGTTCATTTGAAGGTCCAGGACGATATGCTGATTTTAGAAGGATCAAAAACTGAAGTACAGAGTGTCAAACTAATGATCCATGAGGAATTCAACTCACTTCAAAAAGACTCTCTTACATTCAAGACAAATGGAGCTGTAGCGATATTGAGAACTTGTTCCTTGCCAAAACAACTGGAGGATGCTGGTGTTGTATGCTCCTGGCAGAAGGAAGACCAGAAGAGGATAACCCTCTATTGTCCAAACACTGATGACATATGCAAAGCTAAAGACATCATCAAGAAAACAATTTGTGAAGAGATTATTCGTCTGGACAAATCCTCCTCTTACAGCTTACAATCAGCAGACTGGCGTGAAAAACGAAAGCAGCTCTTGGAATCATATCCAGGACAGCTTCAGATAGGTGTGGATACTGATGCAGTCATGGTGGCAGGTGATCATAGCATTTTTCAGGATGTCGTCTCAGAAATTGATAAATATTTTGACATCAACTCGGTGAGGGAATACTTTCTACAGTTTGAGGAACCACGAGTCAAATTTCTGCAAGCACATGGTATTAACAAGGTTCGACAACTGGAACTAAGTCTTCAGGATCTTAAAGTGCACATTCATTTTGGAGAAGGTTGTTTTGCGTGTGGATTTACAATTTCAGGATTAAATGCTGGAATAAACAAGGCAAGGAAAGAGCTTGAGAAATTGCTTTCATCCATTAAATCAAAAGACCACAGTCTCATGCTGCCAGGGATAAGATATTATTTCACGAAAGGTGGAGGTAAAGAGCTACTAACTGGCATAGAACACCAGACAGAAACAATTATCCGACCGAAAGACCTTCTGCAGAAGATGCCCTCTGTCAGTAGGTCATGGGCGCTGTCAGATGATCACATTGTGTCAGTGGTAAAAGGGGATATATGCAGCTTAAAGGTTGATGCTATTGCCTACACTGCCAACACAGACCTTAAACTTGTGGCAGGCCTCTCTAAAGCCATTGCAACGGCGGGTGAGTACACGCCATCTTGAAGTCTGGGAAAGGCATTTAGAAGTTGGGAGAACATGAATACATGACACTTTTTTATGAACAGCAACTTCTTTTATTCTTTGTACAACGTTTGAGAGTTACTTCTTGCTCCTTCACCAGGTGAATGCTGAGTAGTATCATTGACTTTGTCGTTATGTTTGTACATTAATCCCAACTTCTGATGTGTAACATCATGATTTAAATATATATATATATATATATGTTGTTCTCTATACACTTACTAAAAGTTCACCTGATGGGTATAAAGACACTCTTTCTTCACACAATAAAATAATTTTGTTTAAGGCACGGTGTAGTCCATGCCTAAATGCTATAATAGTAAAGATAACACTAAATAGATGTTTCATAAGATGATTAGGTTTGGTTGTCATGGTGATGATCCTTTGCAGGGGGCAAGATCATACAGGAGGAGTGTACAAAGGTGATCAAGGATAAAGGTCGTCCGTCAGTTGGAGAGGTCATCTGTACTGGTGGTGGTCGTCTTCCATGCAAGCTTGTACTTCACGCTGTGTCCCCAAAGAGGCAGGACGGGAAACATGGAGAGGAAGGTGCATTGCAGGTAATGTGGGGAGTTATAGACAAACAGCTCCCAATGTGTTACAACTCGTATTTGCCATGGATTGATAAAAGTAAATTGTGATTAATTTCATTTGACATTTTTCTGTTGTAATGAACAACCAAAAAAAGCAGTGTAGACACTGACATTATAATAGCACAAGGGCGTTAGAAGTGATTATGTAATCCCCATGGAATTAGATAGTTTAAATGTACAAGTTGTTGTTCAAATTCAGTTGTAATAGTTGAAAAACACGCTCTGCAGAGTTGCCTCCCTTCAATATTTAGCAAAGTCGTCTAAGAGATCACAATTATGCGTTGCAAAACAGTCCACCGTGGGGTACCAGAAACTTATGACCGTGGAATCGAATCCCAGATTGTTTCTAGGTTTGTCAGCACCATATGCATGCTGGTGAGTTTCACAAAGTGGCAGACCTGCATCACTTCTGTCATTCCTCTCACTTCAACCATATCGATTTTGCATAGAGATTGGATATTTATTCAGCTGCAAAAGCAGATATCTTTTTAATAAAACTATGTATCTGGGTTTGTTTTTTTAAAAAAAAGATAAACAACTTGCGACAGTGCAACAGTCTGAAGCATAAGTGTATTTTTCAAGAATTTTCGTGGACATTTTGGGTTTTCAATAAAGTCCCAGGCCCACACCAGAACATCAAATGCTTGGGCCCTAAACTAAAATTTGGTTCGTAGTAGTGGCATTATGCCAAACTCCCTTACACATTCCTTTGTGTAATAGTCAGATCTGCACTTATGTGAAGGCCATTGTAACCATCACTGTTCATGATCTTTCAGAAGACGATAAAGAACATTTTGAGGCAGTGTAAGAAAAAGCATGTGAGAAGTCTGGCACTCCCTGCGATCAGCACCGGACTTGGGTACCCTCTGGCGGATGCTGTAAAGGGGATTCTGGAGACTCTTCAACATAACTGGCAAAAGGAACCAACAGGACTTCGAGAAATCATCCTCTGTGACATCAATCCCAATGTTGTGGAACAATTTATCCAAACTACCGACAGTATATGTTATGGAGCTAGGCCAAAATGCCCGGAAAGGAAGAAGAAAGAAGAAGAAGAAGAAAAGGAGGAGGAGGAGGAGGAGGAAGAGGAGGACCAAAGGGAGAGTGACGGAGGTTCGAGGGAAGATGAAGATTCATCCAGTGACCTCTCAGGTATATAGTTCCATATCTTAGAATACATTAATATTGTTTAATAAAGTCGAAGCCAGCCACATTTACCTTCTCACCCCTCTGTTTACATCCCGCTACATTAAAGTTCAGAAGAACTTCTCTTTGTTCGTCTTTTCGTTTGAAATTACATACTTTACATACCTAATAAGTAAGTCGTTCCTTTGGTACGATTTGTCTGCAAAACACGTCTGCGTCTTTTTACAATTAGACTGATGGCAAATAGTAATGATTAATCAAATACGTATTTGTCAGCACCTTCAGCAGACATCACACTTGATAATGTCAAATACCTGATTATTACAATATCTGTTTCTTGGTTTGACTGGTGGAGTTATTAATTTTGGGTTACAAAATACTGAAATACAGAAAACATGGCCTCCTTACCAAGAGCGTTGTAAATCCGCAACATATTGATATGGTTTGTTCTATCTGAAGATGCTGAAGACCAACCTGAAAGAATACAAGTTATTGTTGGAGAGTTGTCTAAGCAAAAGGTCAGTGACCTATCTTCGTGCAGTGATTGTTGTTTTCTCATAAATGTCCAAACATTGCTTCCCTTGATTGAGATAGGATCCAGTGGATCCAAAGATATGATTATGTTCCTGGGGTATTTATCACTTTATCCGTGCTAATCGATTTTACCGGAGTCGTAATTGTACACGATTCTTCATTTTTGACCTTTCTATCCCAGAATCTGACTTGCCATGATGGAACCGAAATACTGATAAAAACATAATTAATCCCAGTTACTCAACGTTTCCTGCTAAATAACCTCAAGAAGGGTTTCTAGGTTTATCAAAGTAGCCAACGCAGTGAAGGACAGATACCTGCATTACTTCTTGCTTTCCTCCCACATTATGCTGACACGCCGTGGTATAACTGAAATACTGTTCAAAGCGGCGTTGAACACAACACACTCAAGAAGGGTTTCTGGTCGTTATCATCTGACGTAGGTGTTAATGGTTTAAGGCTGACGTCCTTGTCAACCCAACTGGGAAGGATCTCAACATGTCCGTGGGTGCTGTATCCCAGTCCCTGCTGCAGGCGGGTGGGAACGCCATACAGACAGCCTGTAAGGAGAAGTATCCCCGGGGAGTGAAAACTGGCAAGGTTGCCATGACAACAGGCGGAGATCTCAAATGTAAGATGATCTTCCATGGGATCCTTCAGGCGTGGAACCATGGAAAAGATGCACCGGATTTGGTGAATATGACACAGATTTATTCCGTTTAAGGCCTTTGGCCCACAATACAGAAAGATTTACTATTCATGCATACACATTTACATGATTGTATATGATTGAAAGTATACAGTCTTGAAACACAAACTTTGAAGCTTTGCATAAGATATTTGCTTATGGAATTTGAGTACCTTTCTTATTTTCATTAATTAATTCATATAATGTTCACCACTATTTTACGCCCTATGAAATCTGTTTTAGGAGATAATTGAAAGTGATTATTCTCTAGTGTTGATTTTTTATATCTATATAAATGGATTGTTTCCTTTTTGTAGGTCTTGCAGTGTCTGGTGAAGCGGTGTTTGGAAGAAGCGGATACCAAGGACTACCAGTCTGTGGCCTTCCCAGCTCTTGGTACAGGGAAGTTGGGGTTCCCCGCGGATGTCTCGGCCAGTCTCATGTTCAAGGCTGTTTCCTCGTTCCTGAAGGAACATCCCGGAACATCCGTCCAAGCGATCTACTTCATTGTACATCCCAAAGACACTCCCGTAAAGAAGGTCAGTGTGTTGGGCATTACGTCACGTTGAGATATGGGCGTCATGAGTTGGTCATGTCCGAACCCGTGGGTCGGTATCATGAGAGATAAATGCCGACCCTGTGAGCGGTGTGATAATTGATATTATTCGAAGGTATTTTTATGGGAGTTTGACGCCTGTCCTACTTTTCGAAAAACCTGACCAGTTTCGCTAAAGGGATCGAATATGTTTCTGTTGTTCAGGGTTTTACTTGTTCCTAATAACCTTTTTTAAATACCTGGTATCTTTACAGGGTACTGATTGACATACATGGGATTTGCTTTTTCAACGAAATCAAACTTTTAAAAGTAAATATGACTACAAATGTGGTTGTGTTTATTTCTATTTTGCCATTTTCCCTCGTGTGAGAAAAGATCAATTTTATTTTACCCGCTTAATTTAAGGCATTTGAGGCGGAAAGCAGAAAATCTGACCACGATTGTAGTCCAAGGGAGCACAGGAGGAACGACGGGGCAAGACCACGTGAATCCAGGGCAAATGATCAAGACAGTTCACACAGGCGCTACCCAGGTTAACAATGTCAAATAATATTCTTGTTATGTCAGAGTTTGAAGTCAATGACTGACTTGAAAGTAACCCGAGTTAATTAGTGTTATTAGCTAGAGAGTGATTGGGTATATCAGTTATCTTAGAGTGTGTCATTTCAGTGGGAGGAGAACAAACAGTAAGCCATAGAGATTTACTACTTTGACCAACCAGCAGAGTTTTTTCGAACCCACATCAGTGGATCCTTGCACAATATCATTAAAATCTTTTTTTAGTACTTGCTACCGCTACACATAAACCTGAAGATATCCCACAACAGGTCACGCCAGAACGACCTTTCGAGGTTTACGCCATTATTTTAAATACAGGCGACTTTCCTTCCAGACCAGCTTCGAAAATTCAAAATTCTATTCAAAATTTGGAAACGAAACAAACGAAAATTCTGGAATGTCGACCATATGACCGAGATTGTATGGCAGTAGAAAGTCCCTTTCGTTCCAAATGTCTACCCCATTGAAGGTGACACAGAGGATGACTTGACGGAATCAGTCGTACAGCCCGCACCTGTTAACCTTTCCGAGGTTGCATGATTAGACAACACATTCGGACTGTCACTTTCCTGATCTGGTAAGCGACTCTCTGGTAAAACATCGTTCTGACGTTACCTGTAATCGGATGTCCTCAGATCTTTGTTCAGCGGGAGCGAGAACTAAGATCTGATGTAAATGATCTGTGCAGGGTTAAGGAAAACACGTTTCACAGAGAATGACAGCCAGTAGAAAACTTGGCCACTCTTTACTCCGATATTAACAGCACAGAATTTTAAGAGAATAGAACTGGGTTTTCAGAAAGCTCCAACTTTCTGCTGACAGATACCTTCACCTTTGGTTCTATGAAGATCAAGATCGTCCAAGGAGATCTGACCAAGGAGAACACGGACTGCATCGTCAGCTGTAGCGGCGAGTCATTTGACCTCAAGCATGGTCAGTGAAACACATTGCATTGGACCCATGAAGATCTGTATTAGAATAGGCCTTCAGCAACCCATGCTTGTCGTAAGATGCGACTAACGGGATCGGGTGGTCAGGCTCGCTGACTTGGTTGATGCATGTCATCGTATCTCAATTGCATTGATCGATGCTTATGATATCAATCACTGAATTGTCAGGCCCAGACTCGATTATTTACAGATATAGCTTGAATATTGCTGAGTGCGGCGTTTAACAAACAAAAACAAATTGCATCTGTTAGTCATTCAGGTGTACTGTAATGATCACGTGTCATTGCTAGAGCGAGACTGTAGGTTTCAGGACACCATCTTAGCAGACTAGCGATGGTGTGATGCTAAATGAATTGAACAAAGACTGATCTTTTTTCTCATTACAGCACACATCGTTTCCACGTTAACAGTGTTATGTTACACAAAGTTTCACATTGACAGTGTTATGTTACACAAAGTTTCCACATTGACAGTGTTATGTTACACAAAATTCCACATTGATGGTGTCATGTTACCAAAGTTTTCACATTGATGGTGTTATGTTACACAAAGTTTCCATATTGACAGTGTCATGTTACACAAAGTTTCACATTGAGCATGTTATGTTACACAAAGTTTCCACATTGATGGTGTTATGTTACACAAAATTCCACATTGATGGTGTTACGTTTCACAAAATTTCCACATTGACAGTTTCAATGTACTACACTATCGGACAATCCTACAATGGACTCTTTTTTTGGAATTGATACAATGAAGATTTATTTTCATTATGGTGTTGTTTTGTTGCTTTTCTTATTACTATTATTATCTTCACCATTATTGGACAATGTATTTCGTTATCTCGTGTGTCACATACCACTCTGTAGAACGTCTAGTATTAATACCTCTGACTGGTTACCCTTCCATAACCCTTCCGTGTTCCCCCCAGGCGCTGTTTCCAAGGCTCTCTTGTCTGCAGCAGGGCCCGAGCTTCAAGTGGAGTGTACTTCCAGAAGTAAGGAAAATGAATGACAGTTCACCTCACCAGTACCGAAGTCCACGGGGCCCCACGGCATAACTTATGCCGTCGTCAAAAAAGACGATTCGCCTGTCGTTGAAAATTGAAAAGTTGAAAAACTTACAGGCTTACAAGGCCGAGGAGAATTGTCGAAATTTATCGGATTTTTCCCCCCGAAAATGCTTGAAAAAAATAATTCTGCTTCAGATTGTTGAAAAAAAAGAAATTTCCTGCCACAGATTCTATTGTTGCAAGATGTTTGACAAATGCCAAACGGGTAATGTTTGAATTTCAAAGTAAGCATCCTTCCCATTTTTTTTCGGGTGAAGATTTGACTTGCCTTTGCATGTGTTTGTGACGGGAGCCACCGGTGGGGCACGATGATTGAATTGACAAAACGTTTATAGTTTGACTAATTGCGTTCTCCTGTAATCCTAACAGTTCCGTTCATGATACAGACAGTATCAACTCGTGAATAGGGATTTGGGAATCATTTGGTATGTTCATATTTGTATAGCGAAGTGCTTCCTTTTGACCCATTGACAAGTTCACGTATCCAAGAAAAAACAACTAATATAAATTTGTTTCATGTGACCAAAGTGTAATCTGGCTTTGTCTTACAGAGGACGAGCTGTCCTCGGCAGGCCTGGTCCTCACCCAGGGCTACAAGCTCCACTGCAAGCACGTCCTCCACCTGAAAGTCCAGACGTCGGCGTGGGGGTGGGGTTCCACCCTCCTGGAGTGTCTCAAGAGAGCGGAGGGAGAAGGGTTGACGTCACTGTCCATGCCAGCTCTTGGCACAGGTTTGTTTGTTTGTTGTTTAACGCCGCACTCAGCAATATTCCAGCTATATGACGGCGGTCTGTAAATAATCGAGTCTGAACCAGACAATCCAGTAATTGACACCATAAGCATGGATATATACGCAATTGGGATAAGATGACATGTATCAACCAAGTCAGCGAGCCTGACCATCCGATCCCTTTAGTCGCCTCTTACGACAAGCATAGTCGCCTTTTACGGCAAGCATAGGTTGCTGAAGACCTATTCTACCCCCGATCTCCAAAGAATTCTTGGCACAGGTAAACACAATGTGACGTGAACACCATCTTTGGTTCAATAACCATACGATAAATTGTCTCTGACGTCTCTTGTCAATTATAATTACACCGGAAATAGGCTCCATACGTTGTACCCATGTCGGGAATCGAAACCGGGTCTTCGGCATAACGAGCGAACGCTTTAACCACTAGGCTACCAATCCCCCATTATACGTTTTAGTGGTCGAAGAATATTAATTTGCCAAACAGAATTTTACCGTGACATTGAAGAATATTTGATTCTGATTGGTTAAAGAGAGGTATCCTTTTTCCTACTGAAACCTCTTTTAGCCTTTTCACACAACACACGTGCGTATGAATACATCGATAGCATCTATATCGATCCAAAAAAACGTTTCGTATTCACGTAAAAGAACGTCAAAGCATTGAATGATTAAAATTCTCTCAGTTCCCCATACGTTGGTGTATGTAATTGGACGTTATCAGTGTGGGACAGGAAACCCGGGTTTGAGACACAGAGATGTAGTACAGCTTGGCACATGTTTCTGCTTCGTGAACAGGAGGTCAGAAGATAGCCCCGGGCAAGATGGCGTCGTCCCTGCTCTATGCCGTGAAGAAGTATGCAGACACGCACAGTCAGCCGACGCTCCAGAATGTCCGAGTGGTCATCTTCCAGTCGCCTATGGTCAACACGTACAGAGCCGTGTTCGCCGGAAAACAGCCGGGGGTGGACGCGCCGCACGAGCGCAAGAAGAGAGGTAATAAAATATAAACTCTGTACTTTACATCCGGCGTCATAGATACAAATGTAGTAGCTATGTCATAGAACCACTATTTGACAGGATGGTTTCAAATACAATAGGTGCAACACTCCCCAACCCCACATCCCCTACCCCAACCCCACCCCCAACAGCTATTGGTGGTCCCCCCAAATCATACCCTGGGGGCTAAGGACTCTTTTGGGGTCAGCTTGATTTAAATTTGATCTAAATGGTTGGTCACCACATCGATGGTATTTTTATTTGTCAACAAAATGTGTGTGGATAACCAAAGATGTTGATAACAGACTACTTGCCCCCGCAGACGACAGATCAGGCCCGCGCCACCATGGTGCCTCTCATGGGACGAAAGCAGAAGACAAGATCGTTTTGTGTATCTACTCCGACATCTGGACGAACATCACCGCAGCTAGAGATCGACTGAAGGAAGTCTGTGCAGACGAGTTTCAAACCAAAACTATCGGTCACAAATGGGCTAGCAAAATTGAGAAGTTGGATGATGAAGAGGTAAATAGTTGACAACAGGACATATTGTTTCAAAGATGGCGTCATACGACTCCTGCTCAGAAGTTGTTTGATCAAGGTTACAACATTCAAGGCCTCAGTAAAGCTCTCAAAAAGTTATATGTTGGACATGTGGAGGACATTTCTAAATTTGACGCATCTGTGACAAAAGTAATGTCCGCTGCAATTCCCTATTTTGACTTGTACCATATGTTCCAATGGTTTTTTTTATGTGAACAATTGACATGCCTTTGCATGTGTTTGTGACGGATGCTACCAGTGGGGCAGGATAAGCTCACCTTTTCTCAAACACCTGGTATCATTACTTTTAGAGAAGAGATTCATAAAAACGGAGTATGTTATTATTGAGAAATTGTGACTCCTCATTTCTTCATTGCGGTTGATTAAAATGTATTTAATACGGAAACGGATACGCAAACTTGTCTTGGTCAATATGCGACCCACACATTAGAGACGGGATGAGTATGATCTTAGCAGCAGTTACTTCCCTTGTTCAGTGTTCAACTTAATCATTAGTTATTAAGATAACCATGCACCCACCCATCGTAACATATGAATAGGATTGTAAAGAATAGAAAAATTCAAGCTGGTCATGTGATGTCAATTATAGATATTCCGTCTTATCTAGAGTATGAAGGTTGTATATATGTTATATCCGGGACTGGGTATTCACGTCAACGTCTCCTTCACCCACCGAGGCTTTACAACTGGGGTCGTCGACACATCCGGAGTCGACTGCAGTGGTTGATCATAACACTTCTATTGTTGCAGATATCACGTCTGGAGAGCATGGCAGGGAAACAAAATGTCGCCATTGCCCGCAAGGGACCTTCACTAGACATCACTGGCAGAGTCAGGAACGTGGCCGAGGTCCATGAGAAGATCGTGGAACTGTTTCAGACGGAGGCTACAGGTGCCCACTTAAAGGAAGAGGCTAAGCTGGTGGCGAACCTGGTGGAGTGGATGTATGTGGCGGGCGGCAAGTCCAGGCCTTTCACTCCTGGCCTCAACTGTTGTTTAGAGAAGGCATATAAAGCCAAGGAGAAGAGTTTGGAAATAAAAGATGCCAGAGGGAGAACCTATTCTGTGGATTTCCAGAAGATGACAGAAATGCCCAAAGCTGGTGGAAAACCGATAAAGATTGAACGTCTTGAGAAAGTGAGTGGTTTGAATCAGCGATGGATGCTGCATGTGCTGAATGCCGTGTCTGTATAACTACCATGCTAGTACGAACCATTGAAACTTAAACGTCACCATAATATGGATCTTCTACAATATATGAGTGGATACTTGAAAGCTATTGGTAATATACAGTGATATCGCACCTCCAATTAATTTGCCGCGATATCATACCTCTAACTAATATAGTGATAACGCACCTCTAATTAATAGTAAAAGTTATTTTACCTAATATGACACTGTATACGGCAACTTAAGACACCATAACGAATTTATTATGCCGAAAAGTTTACACTCTCTGGTATCCATATCACACGTGTCATGTCATAATGGAAAACTTGACACTGACAACCGTACGTTGACATTAAGGGTCAAAGGGAGACGACTCTTTAAACCTTAGAGGCCATACCTTGTTGACAATTTTAACTATAATCTTTATGAATAAAGTCACGAACGTCATCGAAATGCAGACCAATCTCCTTGCACATCTCAATTCATGATAGTAAAACACAAAAGAGTGTCAACAAACGGATTTCGGTACCAGAATTTCCATGTAAAATATGTTAGGTGGGTGTTGGAAAATCCAAGATGGCTGTTACTGACGGTATACGGTCCTATATTTGGTCAGTATCAACCATCTTGGATTTTTACTGACGATATACGGGATCATGTGGGGTTAGTAGTCCTGCTCTCTGATTGGTCAATCTCACTTTGAGGCATACTTAACGGTCACATTGTACCTCTGCGTGATATACGGTCATATAGTACCCCTACCTTACATAAGGGAGTAATAGTGTACCTTTACGGTGATGGTCGCAGGCAATACGCGGAGGTTTGTCCAAGCTGGTGAAGGGGGAGAAGGAGGCCATGTCAGGAACCAAGACCACATACTTCTCCCTGAAACCAGAACGCACCTTCAAAGGAAATGCCGAGGACCTTCACTTCCGGACAGCCGAGTCCCAGTTCTACAGACTACTGGGAACATCAGGGTCAAAGTGAGAACGCATTTTTCATTTGGTGTTTCTTTATTTCAAATACTGTCTAAACAACATACCTATATGTGTCTAAAGCCAAAGACATCACGATGGAGGTTGAGTTCAGAATTAAATAGATATCAGTATTGTCTTACTGCAAACGAAGGGTTGGAGAACAATATATTCCATGTGTCACGTGTTTCCGCTCTCTTCCAGGTACTGCGTTACGAAGGTGGACTATGTGGTCAACCCACCTCTCATCAAGAAATTCAGGTAGAACATATTAGATGTCATTTCTGCTGGTGATACACGGTGCGTCAGCAAGCCAGTCCTGGTATAACAAATGATAGTGAGTGAGTGAGTGAGTGAGTTGGGTTTACCGCCGCTTTTAACAGTTTTCCAGTTATATCACGAGGGAAGCCCTAAGTGATGCAGGTCCCAGACGTTTACCAGATCGGTGAAACCCACGAGCACTGGTATGGTGCTGACAAACCTAGAAACATAATCGCGGCGAACCGGGATTCGAATGCACAATCATAGGTTTCTTGCGTGCCCATGGGACGCAACACTGCACAACGAATTGCGGCGCCTTAGACGACTGGGCCACCCGTGCCCCCTATGACCAATAATAACCTTTAAAGTATCTTCTTGTCCCCAACAACATGCAGAGAAAGATTAAATGTGCTTTTATCATTAGTTAGCCTTCTTCAATAGGTTAATCACCACCAACATAACATGTTCTGTTTATAAACAAATTGTTGTCAAATTGATGAAGTCGGCTAAAATAGTGGATAAATGTCATCCCTGCCACAGGTAAATAAAAGCAAGAGGTGTTGTTGATGCTGTTTTCGAATTAAATTAAGTTATCTTTTAAGTTGTCTAACTTGTCATTCACGTCGAAGCCACAGGCTGTAGTGAGAGTTTAATCGAGATACCTGATCCCTGTGCCCTGAGGGGGACTGTGTAATTTTGAAATAGCGCTAAGATTTGGGCGCATACCGTCATCACTACTTCACGGATCTGTATAGACAGTACCTTCATCACCGTGAATGTTTACGGCCACAGTGTAGTATTGTAGAGACACGTGTCCATTGTAGTAGTGAGTGAGTGAGTAAGTTCGGTTTAACGCCACTTTTTAACCGTATTCCAGTTACATCGCGGCGTGTCAGCTTAATGTGGGAGGAAAGCCCGAAGTGATGCTGGTCTCAGACGTTTACCAGTTTGGTGAAAACCATGAGCACGGGTATGGTCCTGACAAACCTTGAAACATAATCGGGGAGAACCGGGATTCGAACCCACCATCACCCACAAGTTCGTACAAACCAAACCATGCCTGCCACTGAAACAATGTGTAGACCAGACAGACATGAGGCAAGGTCACATGTTACACACGCTGTTACGCAAGAAACATTGCCGTTTTTGCGATGTAAGCTGATCTCTCATTGGTCAGAACTGTCTCTGGTTTCACGCTCGCTGGAACCAGGCCTGTATTTGAGTCATTGGTTAAGAATAGCGACTATACAACCTGGCGGTCGTATTTATTCACGTATGTTGGAAGAGTGAAGTGCTACTTTATCGCTTTTTCATATATATTGTGGTGTAGCTGAGTTTCTTTCACTATCGCTTCATCAATCAGATACAAATCCATGTTACAGGGCAGCGCAGGCGGCCATGAAAGCAAAACGAGGCCCTGACAAGGCCGAGCCAGTGTTAGCATTCCACGGGACAAACGAGGCAACCATTGGAAAGATTTGTGAAGGTGGCTTTAAGAAACCAGGTCAGTAAAATTGTACTGAAACTGAATCGCGCTTTACCCATATCACACACGCAACCTGTTCCAATCAGGCACAACCCTCGGGACCGGTGAAGATCTTGGTCAGAACAGACCTTCAGCAGCCGATGCTTGCCGTATGCTCGTCGTAAGAGGCGACACTCGGGATCAGGTGGTCAGGCTCGCTGACTTGGTTGATGCGTGTCAGCGAATCCCAATTGCGTGGATCGATGCTCATGATATAAACTACTGGATTCTGCCCCAGACTCGATTACTTACAGACCGCCGTTATTTAGCTGGAATATTGCTGAGTTCGGCGTTGAACAACAAACAAACAAAACATCGGCGAAAGGATGATCATCCCGGAACGACATCCTCGTCAAAGATGCCTCCTCCACGGGGCGGATGCATGCAGGGCACCACGCCCACCCTTTTAGGTCAGATGAACTTGAGGGGATGTGACATGGGGTTTAACGTCGCGTCCAAGATTACTTATATTTCGTGTGTGTGTCTGCGTGCGTGCGTGTGTGGCTGCTTGCACTAGTCCGGACTGAGATACCATGCCGCAGATTAACATGAATACCCCACTCAGACATAGTATATTGACTCCGAGCCGATCAGTCCTTGTTTAAGTTCTTAATGCCGAGCGCCAGGCAGGGTAACAACAAGTACCATCCTTTTAACGTCTTTTGTAATGGCGCGGCCGAGGATCGAACCCCTAGACCTTCAGCTCTCCGAGTGGACGCTCTACCACTAGACCACGGATGCGGTCCGACCCCCCCTTTAAAGCATACTAATCATGTTGCCGTGTAAAACCTCAAATTTTTTATCGAATTATGAATTGTATTTAAAGGGCACCCCCCTTCGCGAAAAGCAGTATCCATGCTTGGGCTGGCGGGCCTAGTTGGGGAACCTGACGGGAGTTTGCTGACAATTAGATCCTTCTGTGTTCCGGATGTTCGCGGAAGTAGTGCCCTTGACGTGTGCGTTCCGGATTGGCAGATTCCTGATCGGCTTTTAAATTACATTTTCCCGCGGCAAGGGAGTTAACTTACTATAAGAGTACAGTTTCCACCCTTGCCGAATTAGACTGAATTATATTTTGGCTGGACTAACCAGTCTCTGCAGAGTCCAATCAAATTTGCGTGACAAAATCGTTGTCCGATTCGTAAACAGCCGTGCAGATTTCAGTCGATTGCGAGATTTGCAAAGTATATGTACCGCCAAAGCGGCGTCGACAGATATTTCCCAAATCTTTTCATGTTTGTAATCAAGGTGCTGACCCGATTTAATGCTCTTCGCGTTGTGACACCTGTTTTATCGCAATATAGATATTGATTACCAATCACATCGTCTTCATTTGGCGCGGCCATTTTCTTTGAAGCAAATGCAAGAGATATGAGAGGTGGGATATGATTGGTCAATAGGAGGGCCACAAAGGGGCATAACTCCCTCGGTGTCAGTTAACTCCCTTGCCTGGGGTAGATGCTAAATTATATGTCACTCTTTGTGCAGTGCACGCTTTGTTGTTGAGTTTGATTGTTTGTTGTTTAACGCCGCACTCAGCAATATTCCAGCTATATGACGTCGGTCTGTAAATAAGCGAGTCTGGACCAGACAATCGAGTGATTGACACCATGAATATAGATCCACGCAAATGGGATACGATGACATGAATCAACCAAGTCAGCGAGCCTGACCAACCGATCCCGTTAGTCGCCTCTTACGACAAGCATTGTCGCCTTAAGACAAGCATGGATTGCTGAAGACATATTCTACCCTACAGTATAGATGCATTTCCATTTCCAAAACTAACATCTCATTCCTCACGTGTAGGTGACCCAGGGTTTGCCGCGAAGACTGACTCCGGCTATTACGGTAGCGGAGTTTACTTCAGCGAATATCCCGAGTATTCCATGGGCTACATCGCTGGAGCTCAGAAGATTCTTCTGTCTCAAGTCATCCTTGGCGAGGTTGGTTGTGCTTCTGTCGTTCTACTCATCAATATCCCGTAAGAACTTACGAGTCGTGAGGGAATACTGATTCTTGAGATAATGCTGATCCAGATCGATCAGTTGCTATCGCCTTATCGCCAGAATCCCAACACTTGCAAGTGTAAGAAAAAAGCTAGCTGCTAAAACTGTCAACATTTCTGATAACCTTCACAGAAGTCGTTCAAATTTGTTAGTAAATTTAACATTTGGGAATTCCAGCTGACCAACTTGGTCCTTCCTTTTGTTCGTTGTTATTATGTCATGAAAGAGAGTCAGTTTCAAGGTCAAAGATGAAAGACAGATAACGATACCCTTCATAATGTAGCTGGGGTGTTGGCAATAATAGCGACAACCAGACCCGGCCGATTACATACTTACGTTTATGGCTTTGTTTACGACATTCTTCAGGTTTTCCACTGCAAGGGGCTGATGAACGGCGCATCTCTCCAGTCAGGGTACGACTGTCACACCTCGCCAGACGGAAAGGAGCTCATCATTTTCGACACCGCCTGCATACTTCCTTGCTACATCGTTCACTACGGCCCGTCACAGGGAGTTTTCAAATACGCCTAGACACCACCTGTCCCTTGCTACATCGTCCACTACGGCCCGTCACAGGGAGTTTTCAAATACGCCTAGACACCACCTGTCCCTTGCTACATCGTCCACTACGGCCCGTCACAGGGACGGAATGTTCACACACACCGAGACACTGCAATACTAAATGTGATGATTGAAATGTGCGAAATATTAGAATAATGAGACGGGGTGTTTATGTAAATACAAGTTTCCATCTCCAAATACTTTTGAAGCAAATAGTGTTTTTTGGAATTGTTGGAATTCTTGACTTGTTGTTCTGATAAACTTTATGTATGCTTCCCTTAGATGTGTTATATACCCGGTGCTTATATCGTATCATGTGGATTAGTCTCGACACGCGGACCCAGGCGACAGAGTGCGCCATTCCCCTTCTTGCAGCGCTCTCACAGAACATGTACTGCACACGGATGCTTAGCTTTATGACAACATCATTTTTTTAATACTAGTATACTGATTGAATTTAATAAGGGAACGCTTAGTTTTAGAGACAGTAAATTGATATGCTATCATGGGCTCCCAACCTTGTCTCAACATTTGATTCTGACGTGTTGAATTTGTATGCACACTTTTTGAAATGTACTGACAGTAAAGGTTATTTCTCTATATGTTTCATTGTTCCCTTACTTCTTTCCATCAGTATATATTTACATAATTTAGTTGTTTACTGAGGACTCTCCAGTACGAAAGGAAGTGAGGTAGAATTGTTTGTCCCTGATATAACAGTGACGTATGATGTGTAACCAAACCCGTCTTTCATTTGTCGAGAATCGTTTCCCAAAAACCTGTAACCGAAGAGGCAAGGGAGTTAACTGACTGTGAAAAGTCCAGTGAAAACTGGATTATGTAAACAAGAAACTAACAAAACGTTATAGCAGGTTATTGACACATAACATATTGCTGATTATATTTCATTTATCATATTCTTTTATTTAAAACTGCAGTTATCTAAAATACCTAATTGTTTCAATATGTTTCCAAACTGCACGGGACCCGTGAAGATACGGGGTAGAATAGGTCTTCAGCAACCTATGCTTGCCATAAAAGGCGACTATGCTTGTCGAAAGAGGCGACTGACGGGATCGGGTGGTCAGGCTCGCTGACTTGGTTGATGCATGTCATCGATGCTCAAGATGTCAATAACTGGATTGTGTGGTCCAGACTCGATTATTTTACAGACCGCCGTCATAGCTGGAATATTGCTGAGTGCGAAAGAACAAACAAACAAACAATCAATCAATCATCAACCAAACTGCACCATCCCCAGCGCTATCGATAAATGTCAATTAAAACCTCCTCATGTCGCCGGATCTTACGTATGTGTATGCACTGACCTTGCCCCACGTTATGGAATATCTGTATCTAGAAAATCTGACTGACAAGGTCAACCAAGCAGACGTGCCCAGATCATCGACAGAAGCGGAAAGATTGTACGGCTAGTCGTGGCGTCGTCTACGACTGCCGCCTCACCAGCGACTACGTCGATGATGAAGAATCGCCATCAGACCTCCTGCCTGTGTAAGTGACAGAGCGGGGAACATTCACCACTCGGTCCCGGTGTGCGTTCTGACATGTGATTATTAACATGTACCCATTTCGCCCGATGTTCCCTATCAACAATAAACATGACTGCTGTCTTTTTAAACTTCACCCCTGAGTTTTGTTTCCGTCATCACACTGAGAGGGCAAAACGTACGCTCCATTGTCCAGTGTCCATGAGTTTGGAACACAGGCCAGTCAGTATCTGAGACACGTGACTGGCATGACACACTGATGACATGGGGTACATAATCACTGGTCGCCATGTCTACTTCTCAATGTTCCCATGTACTTTATCTCATAGACCTTAACCTGTCCTTTGGATGGTGACGTAAAGCATATTACACTCAGTATTATGCTCTTAAACATTCACTTCCCACATCAGTACATATGCCTGGAATATTAGCGGCCGAAAACTACATTCACTCACTCAAACGGAATTAGAGAAGACCGGCTAAGCGATTTACCCTCGATTATCGAGTGTGTTAGGCTATATCCTACTTTGATTAATATTATTTGAAATTTTATGACTATCTAACACACTGGATGATCGAGGCTGGCGGCGTTTTGTTCAAAATGGTGATAACAACCGATGTCACATATATAGCTCATACATGCTGGGCGGTCGGGTAGCCTAGTGGTTAAAACGTTCGCTCGTCACGCCGAAGACCCGGGTTCGATTCCCAACATGGGTACAATGTGTGAAGCCCATTTCTGGTGTCCCTCGCGCTGATAATGCTGGAATATTGCTAAAACAAGCGGCGTAAAACCATACTCACTCACTTACACATACAGGTTGGTCGGACCGTCTCCGTGGTCTGGTGGTAGAGCGTCCGTCCGGAGAGCGGAAGGTCCGGGGTTCGATCCCCGGCCGCGTCATACCAAAAAGACGTTAAAAGATGGTACTTGTGTGTTCCCATGTCTGGCCGTTGGCATTAAGGGTTTTAACAAGGACTGGTCGTTTCGGAGACAGTATACTGTGGGGTATTCATGCACGTTGCTATATAAGTGCAATTATCTTGGACGCTACGTTAAACCCCATTTCACCTTACCAATAATGCTGATCAAACACACATCTCGGTGTGAATGTATTGTATGACGATTGTATTGCTGCTTTAGAAGGCGGATGTTTACTCCCAGCCAGGCGGTGAAGGGGTGGCTGTGAAGTAGTTCGCTTGGTTTAATTCATGTCCTCGTACCACCGTCTGCACAGGTGTGAGATAACGGCAGATATCATATAGCGTGTCATAAATTTGGGTCATGGTGACCTCACTGTCGTGCTGAAGAGGTATGTGAGGAAGTTCACCAACTGCACATTCACCGCCATTCTACTGAGGTATGTACCCGACTCGCTTCTCTACACATTCAGTCAGGGTGGGTCAATATTGCGATACTTCAAACACCTATCGTAGAAGTGATATTTGTGTGATTGTTTGATTTTGTACCTGGGCATTGTGATTGTGGAGTGATATCGCCTTCTACTGGTGGCCTCCCTCAGCTCGGTCTCGGTAAGCAGATTATGTATTGGGTAAGGGTTGCACCGAACAATTGCTTGTGTACTTTGTCTACATGAGCTCTACATAATATAATAAATGATGTGTTTGGTTCACAAAAACCGTGTTTAGCTCCTTCATTCAGACTAACTGACCCCAACGCCACTCCCATTCCCACGCCACCCCACCCCAAACCACCCACCCCAGAATACAACATGGTCGTTGCATACATTCATATTTTTAGAAATAGCATTTTTTAAAGACATGTATTAGCCTAAATATTGGTTGTAATCACGATGGTGGAATAAATGGTAAAGATTAAATTATAGTGTGTGTTTAAAAGCGGCCATCATAAGCCGTATGTACAGATAAGACACACTGTCTCTGTAACATGTAGTGACTGTACTGTAAGTGTGTTTGGTTTTAAGCCACTTTAACTACTGGTTCGGTGATACGAGCACGGGTATGGTGCAAATGTGGGATTCAAACGATCATGTCCCGCGTATGGGAAGCAACTCACAGCCTATAGCAGCGCGTTAGATGGCTCGGCCACTTGTGCCCTGCAACATACATAGATAATTCAAGCGAAGATAATCGGGGTGGATCTTAGATCTGAAATCCCAACCAGCCAAATGTGACAGCCAAGGGTCTCACTGCTGGCGTGGAGGGTAGCCAAGCGGCTAAAGCGCTCGCACGTCACACCGAAAGGCCTTGGTTAGATTCAATGTGAATCTCATTTCTGGTGAATCCTATTGCTGGAATATTGCTGAATGTGGCGTAAAACCCGACCTACTAACGTTAAACTGCTAGGCCCGCGTGTTCGAGGACAGTTCATGAATTAATTTTACGCCGCTTTTAGCAATATTCCGGCAATATCACGGCGGGGGACACCAGAAATTGGCTTCACACACTGTACATATGGAGGGAAGCGAACCCGGGTCTTCGGCGTGACGAGCGAACGCTTTCACCACTTGGCTACACCACCGCTCCGGCAGCTCAGGAAGTGCTTCAACAAAATAGTATGAAGAACAACACCCATGTCTATTTTATCACGAACCGGTTTATGATGTACTATTTACACGATATATAACAGTTGTATTCCCTGGCCAGGTACACTGAGGACGACGTCATGGACGGACACCACATCAATAGGAAACAAGTCATGGACCTCCTTCAGTCAGAACCATTCCACTTCACACTGAAAGAGCTGAATAAACAGGAGGAGTTTCTCTTCTGGGCCGTCATGGCGGGGGCAGAGTCCATGGTACGTGATTGTTTGTCTCAAGAAGCATACGACATCAACAGACGCGTTCATAAACAGAGGACAGCATTAATGGCGGCAGCGGTAGGCGGAGAGCAGACGACATACAAACTGCTTCTGTTCGAGGGTGCAGACCTGACCTTGACTGACGAGGATGGTAACAACTGTCTTCATCTTGCTGTTGAAGGAGGCAGTGTGCCCATTGTTGAGGATGTGTTGTCTAGGAACATGTTGGACATCAATGCAAGGGGCCACCGTGGCCACACAGCCGCCATGGTTGCAGTTGTAAACAGACATGTAGACGTTTTTGACGTCTTAGTTGCTGCGGGGGCCGACCCCTACATCCAAACAGATAACGGCAATGACTGTTTGTATGCAGCAATAGTTCTAGGACATATGGCCATACTCAAGAAGATGGTTAAACTGACAACTTTTTGCATCAGTCGTACAGATCAGAAGGGCAGGTCCCCAGTGATGGCAGCAGTTCTGCATGGAAGGCAGCAGATATTTGATTATCTGGTACTGGAGGGGGGCGACATTTCCGAGACGGATGAAGATGGGAATGATTGCTTGATTCTGGCAGCAATGGGAGGGTCTGTAGACATTGTCAAACATCTAATATCTATGAGTATATTCCACATAAACAAACAAAATGTGAAAGGAATAAATCCAGTATTGGCCGCAATTAGCGAGGGTCATCAGGACGTGTTCGATCTTCTTCTGTCGTTAGGGGGCGAAGTTCCAGGTAACTGTGACTGTCTCATGAAGTCCGTTAAAACAGGAAATATCCACATCATCAAGACGCTCCTCTCCATGAAGGTGTTTGATCTAAACACACGGGACCATCAGGGATGGACTCCGGCCATGATGGCTGCGATGTATGGGTACGTGGACGTATTCCAGATCCTGACGTCCGAAGGTGCTGACCTCTCCCTGGTAGATGCCGATGGGAACAACTGTCTGATATTGTGCAGCGTCAGTGGCGAGGCGGCGATGGTGCAGCACATTCTATCACTAGATTGTCTGGACATCAACGCTCGTGGGTTCGCGGGCATGACGGCTGTAATGGCTGCCGCTAGTGAAGGAAGAGAGGCTGTGTTTGACCTTCTGGTGAAGGCGGGAGCAGACCTGTCTCTCCTGGACGACGACGGTAACAACTGCCTGACGCTCTCTCACATGGGAGGGAATGCATCTATAGAAACGTCCCTGATGTCTATGGACTGAATAATGTACGGACAGACAGGAGTGATGGCCGCCGTCATGTCACGTGCCCGGGGAACTGATGTAGAAGCCGAAGCTTGGTTCGTGTGTAGCCGACTACGGCATTTTTCTGAAATCTCTCTCTCTCTCTCCCTCTCTCTCACACGCTCTCTCTCCCTTTCTCTCTCTCTCTCTCTCCCTCTCTCTCTCACGCTCTGTCTCCCTTTCTCTCTCTCCTCTCTCTCTCACGCTCTCTCTCTCCCTCTCTCTCTCACCCTCTCTCTCTCACGCTCTCTATCCCTTTCTCTCTCTCTCCCACTCTCTCTCTCTCTCTCCCTCACTCGCTCACGCTTTCTATCCCTTTCTCTCTCTCACTCCCCCCCCCCCCCCCCCCCTCTCAGAAGTGCTGAAAGATGTTTACAATGTTGGTGAAACCAACAAGCGATGTTATGGAGCACTTCTGCTGCCGGGTATTACAGGAAGCCATGCAGACAGCGCCATCTATAGTTTGGAAACGCAAGATGTGTACAGCAAACTGAGTCAGGTTCAACAGGGATGTCTGCTTTCAAGAAGTACAAATGTATTGCTGCTTTTGGCGAACATCCCTGATATTCATTGATCCATTCATATTATATTCATAACTCTTTGCCTTTATCTGTTTCTCTGGCGTTGCAGTTTGATATTCTATTGCTTCATCTCTGTGTGATTGATCTTAATGAGAGCCATCGAATTTGTAAGAGATTATGAAGACCTTGTTTTGTGTTGATATGTGTGTCAGAGTATTCGTGAGTAAAATTGTAATTTCATTGAAATATTTCCAACATAACGTCAGTGCGCTGGTGTGTAGTCAGTACGCTTTCTGACTGAATATATGTAAACCCACATCACACATCGCTCCAGAATATGTGAGTGAGCGAGTATGATGTTTCGCCGCTTTTAGCAATATTCAAGCAATATCACGACGGGGGACTACAGAAATGAGCTTCACAAGTTGTACCCATATCGGGAATCGAACCCGGGTCTTCGGCGTGACGAGTGAACGCTTTAACCACTAGACTACCCCACCGCACCCAGAATATGTACCTTATATACTAAGACATCACCCGCGCTGTGCGAGGACGCATGGTTCAGTTCATCAGTTTGTTTAACGCCGCGATCAATAATATTCTAGCTATATGTCGGCGGTGTATAAATAATCGAGACAATATAAGCGTGGTGCATGCGTATGTAGGTCAAGTAGACATCGTCCATGAACGTTGAAGAATCGTGCGTAATAACATTGTATGTTTATTTAGCTATCAAGGTTATGATGCATCAGTATGAGAAACATCACTGCATGGCGGGGCCACCCGTGAAGATCGGGGTCAGAATAGCCCTCCTCAACCCATGCTTGCCGTTAAAGGCGACTATGCTTGACGCAAGAGGCGACTAACGGGATCGGGTGGTCAGGCTCGCTGACTTGGTTGATGCATATCATCGTATCCCAATTCCTTGGATCAATGCTCATGATGCCAATCACTGGATTGTCTGCTCCAGACTCGATTATTTACAGACCGTCGTCTATCTGTACTATTGCTGAGTGCGGCGTTAAACAACAAACAAACAAACATTGCGGGAAAGGAAAGAAATGACGTCATTTACTGGTGATGTCACAAAGGTTATGATTAGTCAGAATTAGAAAATGTGACTCCCTTAAAGATGGGGCGACGTTACAAACACCACAGTCACGTTTCCCCAGCTTAAGATGAAACGGGATAACAGATATATTCAACACCTAATGTTACTGTGATAAAAACAATCCATTAAATCCATATTAATAATTGTTGGAATGACCTGTGGTATGTTCTGGAAAATATGCAATGTCCTCATGCGGTACAGGTGTATTTGAATTTTCGGTATTACCGACACAGGGAAAGGCTTCGTTGCTATGGGGATATGCCTCGTCTTTCGCTGATCTTCCCGGTAAGGATATAGGTCCCCAGCAGCCTGTACTGGCCGTGAGAGGTGACTATATGGATCGGGGGTCAGGTGCGGTGACTGGGTTAATTACATGTCATCGTTTACTCAATATGCCTGGACTGATGTTCACGATATCAATCACCGGGTGGTCTCCTCCAGACATGATTGTGTACACATCGCCGTCATATAGCTGGAATTGTGCGGCGTTGGACAACAAACAAACAATATGACCCGTAGCGTGCTGGTGAGACGCCATCTTGGGACGGATGTGGCACATGTGCAGGATTACTATTCTCTGGGCCCCGCTCCACAAAGCGATTGTAGCGGTGAGACTGTCCTAAGCCTATGTAAAAGTATGGGAGTTACGATCATCCTAGCGCTAAGATCGCTTTGTGGAACGGTAGCCTGGACGCAGTCGTCGGTTTATCAAGCAGATAACGGTGTTCATATTAATCATCACTATGATTCATTCTGGTGCAGATAAAGTATATCATGACATACCATACACTGATACCACGGCGACAGATGCCCTGTCACACACGATATTGTCCCACATGGGAGGGAACACGGAGATGACGTTCTGCACCCGAGATGCTGGAGAGAGGGTAAGTCAACAGACGCCTCCGAAGTTTGGGTTGAACATGTTAAACACGAAGGGGCGGGGGTGGGAGGGTGTCGACGCTATTCCGATCCCGAGGACATTTTCAACCAAAAATCCTTATTTAATGATATAAACAAACACTCGTAAAATACAGGCAGGCAATACAGGTCAAACACAGTCCCATCGACTTGACTTCTGATCAGGAGGCTGTGTCATCCATAACGAAAACATTTCAATTTTCTATTCGATTTTAGAACATTGGACGTTTGAGACCCTAAGTCCAAACTTCAACTGCTACTCAACCAAACAGGTCTTACCAGGAAAAAGTAATACCTCATACCAGGTCTTACAAGGAAAAAGTAAAACCCCATGCCAGGTCTTACTAGGAAAAAGTAAAACCTCATGCCAGGTCTTACTAGGAAAAAATAAAACCCCATGCCAGGTCTTACTAGGAAAAAATAAAACCCCATGCCAGGTCTTACTAGGAAAAAGTAACACCTCATACCAGGTCTTACTAGGAAAAAGTAATACCTCATACCAGGTCGTACTAGGAAAAAGTAATACCTCTTACCAGGTCTTACTAGGAAAAAGTAAGACCTTATACCAGGTCTTACTAGGAAAAAGTAAAACCTCTTACCAGGTCTTACTAGGAAAAAGTAAAACCTCATACCAGGTCTTACTGGAAAAAAGTAAAACCTCATACCAGGTCTTACTAGGAAAAAGTAAAACCTCATACCAGGTCTTACTAGAAAAAAGTAAAACCTCATACCAGGTCTTACTAGAAAAAAGTAATACCTCTTACCAGGTCTTACTAGGAAAAAGTAAAACCTCATACCAGGTCTTACTAGGAAAAAGTAACACCTTATACCAGGTCTTACTAGGAAAAAGTAAAACCTCTTACCAGGTCTTACTAGGAAAAAGTAAAACCTCATACCAGGTCTTACTGGAAAAAAGTAAAACCTCATACCAGGTCTTACTGGAAAAAAGTAAAACCTCATACCAGGTCTTACTAGGAAAAAAGTAAAACCTCATACCAGGTCTTACTAGGAAAAAGTAAAACCTCATACCAGGTCTTACTAGAAAAAAGTAATACCTCTTACCAGGTCTTACTAGGAAAAAGTAACACCTCATACCAGGTCTTACTAGGAAAAAGTAATACCTCATACCAGGTCGTACTAGGAAAAAGTAATACCTCATACCAGGTCTTACTAGGAAAACGTAAAACCTCATACCAGGGATGCGAGGTTATGACGAAGAAACGAGTGACGTCCAACACAGTATCTATATCCAGGATTGTTTTATCACAAGTGACGGCGCATAGACATGTATCAGATGTAATGGGAGGAATATCTCATATTCTGAATTACAATATTTTGTTGGAGACAGGATATAGTTTCGCTCATTCCTTGAAATTATACACGCTTTTCTTTCGAACGCCGCCGAATAAATTTTGTTCTCACGACACTCTTTGTTTATCCCCCACCCCGCGCTCCGATACACATGCAGGATCACAAAAGGACCCATGGTCATCAGAGCTGGGTATAATGAAAAACATGTGAGAAACATGGATTGATGGTCGCAGGGCTTTGAGTAAGTGAGTCTGGTTTTAACCGCTTTCAACAATATGTCTTGATCTCAAAAGTAACTGGTAATTGAAGGGAGTATACATTGAAAAGAGCGAGTTCCGACTGATGCAGGAGTGTTATAGTCTTGTGAGATCACACTTACAATGATACAGAAACAGTGGAATCATACAGACTGCGAAGATCCTGGCTAGAATAAGAGGCGACTATGCTTGTAAGAGGCAACTAACGGAGTCTGGTGGTCAGACTTGTTGACTTGGTTGATGCATGTCATGGTATCCCAATTCCTTAGACCGGTGCTCATGATGTCAACCACTGGATTATCTGGTCCAGACTCGACTATTTACAGACCGCCGTCATACATGTACACACAATGCCATTTAGAAAGTGGTCAAATGTAACCCCTCTGACAAGTGAAAAGTGGCACGGCTCCCATGACCGAAAGCTATGAACACACAATGCCATTTAGACAGTGGTAAAATGTATGGGTTAGATCGCTGACTTTGTGTTCTTGCGATTAGGCGCCTCACTCTGGCAGGGTGGTTTCAAATCCCGGAGGTGACTCAAAGTGTTATCTCAGATATAAGATTTGTTACATTTGACCACTTTCTAAATGGCGTTGTATGTTCATAGATTTCGGCCATGGGTGCCGTGCCACTTTACACTTGTCAGAGGGGTACACAAAGTACGTGATCCAGTTGTCGGACTTTCATTTTTGTGGAAGCCTCGGATGCTGAGTGGGTTAGATGGTTGACTTTGTGTGCTGGCGATTAGGTGCCTCACTCTGGCAGGGTGGGTTCGAATCCCGGACGGGACCCCAAAAAGTACGAGAATCTGTACTTTACTGAGAAAGTGTTATCCCAATTATAAGATTTGTTACGCCGTCATATACCTGGACCATTGAGTGCAGCGTTAAACAACAAACATCAAACAGTTGATGGGATCTTGAAAAGCTACAAGACACCAAACACCAGACGCCATGTATTAGAACATACATATTTTAGTCAGACAATCAGGCTACAGACAATGTCAGCTAGACCGATACAGCTAGCGTCAGGGCAGCTATTTCTCACTTTGAATGCAGGCATTATAGGTTAGATCGGGACATTAAAATCGGACTCGGTGCAAATGACAACATGCACGTCAGCAAAATGTATTAATCTTAATCTTACAACGCAGTTCACAGAGAACATACACACTAACATCATTCCTTCTTGATATCCAGGTACACTGACTCAAAATGGAGACAGCTCACGACGCAATGAAGACTTTATACGACCAGCTATCATCTGAGCCGCCGGGACTTCCCGAGGACTTTGTGTTGAGTGAAGTAGGGGATCTGTTGTTCTGGGCTTCTCTGGCAGGTAACACCTCTCTCGTCCGGGACTGTCTGGACGCTGAGCTGTACGACATCGATAGACAGGTTCACAAACAACGATCGGCTGTAATGGAGGCGGCGCTGAAAAGCGAACGGACAATATATCAATTATTAATGTCTGAAGGTGCCGATCTGTCCTTGACTGACGAGGATGGTAACAACTGTCTTCATCTGGCCGTGGAAGGAGGATCTGAATATATAGTTAACAATCTATTGTCATGGGGGAAACATGACGTCAACGCGGGCGGGAAGCTTGGTCGAACAGCCGTACATGTAGCTGCACTGAGCAATCATAAAGCGATTTTCAACATCTTGGTAGCTGCCGATGTTGACGTATCCGTGCCTGATGCCGAGGGGAACAACTGCTTGCATTTGGCAGCAGAGGTGGGAAGCATGGGTATTGTCAGAGACATATTGGTTAAAAGGCCACAGGAGATAAACGCTCTTGGGGCCCACGGCTGCACTGCCTTGGTGACAGCCGTTCTGAACAACCACCATGAGATGGTGGACTACCTCGTGTCCATGGGAGCCGACGTGTCCATCAGGACAGATAAGTTGCTGGACTGTCTGACAGCGTCCGTTGTAGCTGGCCACGACTCCGTGTTGCTGATGTTGCTGGAAATGGAGATGTTTGACATCAACAGAAGAGGACTGTATGGACGCACTGCTGTCATGGTTGCTGCTCTGCTGGGGAAGCGTGAGGAATACGATGCTTTGGTGTCTGTCAGTGCTGACGTAAAGCTTTTGGATGATTTTGGCAATGACTGTTTACTTCTTGCAGCGATTGGCGGAAGTGAAGAGATAGTTCGACATCTAATTTCACTGAATGTCTTTAACATCAACAGACAACAGGAGAACCAATCGACTCCCGTGTTTGCCGCTATTAGTCATCAACATCAGAAGGTGTTTGATCTTTTAGTTGCTGAAGAAGCTGACGTTACCTTGACAAGCATGGGGGACACTTGCTTAATAAAGGCCTGTGAGACAGGCAACTGCTGCATCGTGGAAACACTGATTGCAATGAAATCACAGGACATCAACTACAGAGGGCAGCATGGGCGGACAGCAGTGATGATGGCTGCGTTGAAAGGTCATGTGGATATATTACAAATCCTTGTTTCTGTAGGTGCAGACTTGGCACTTATTGACGACGACGGTAACGACTGTCTGATGCTGGCGAGCGTGTATGGCCATGTTCAGGTGGCCCAGCACCTCCTTTGTATGGACAACGTCTTCGACGTCAACAAACGTGGTCAGGACGGGATGTCTGCTGTCATGGCTGCTGCCCACGAAGGAAATGACGGTGTGTTCAATCTAATGGTACACGAAAAAGCAGATCTGCTGACTGTTGATGATTATGGCAGCACGTGTCTCATCCAGGCATGCATCGGTGGGAATGCTAACATAGTGCAGTACTTGCTGGACATGAAGATCTTTGATGTAGAGAGTCGGGGGAACGATGGCTGGACCCCACTGATGGCCGCTGCAGCGGCAGGTCACCAAGAGGTATTCCAGATGTTGGTGGAAGCCGGAGCAGATGTTACCGTCAAGGATGCGGCCAACGACAACTGTTTGATGCTAGCAAGTATGGGGGGAAATGCGGTGATAGTTCAGGAACTGCTCCAAATGAAGACGTTTGAGATCAATGGACGAGGAGGGAAGGGCTGGACGGCAGTGATGTTTGCAGCCTTTTATGGCCAGACAGAAATATTTGATATTTTGGTAAAATCAGGAGCTAAAATCTCTTTGACTGACAACAACAACGATGGCTGTTTGATTCTGGCAGCAGCAGAGGGTCACGTCGACATTGTTAGACGACTTCTAGCAGAGACGTCGGTGGACGTGAATGGTCGGGGCAGGCGTGGATGTACGCCGCTGTTGGTGGCGGCCCATGGGGGGCATACGGAGGTGTTTCAGTTGCTGCTGTCCCACCGGGGCGATCTGGCTGTTGTGGACGAGAATGGTGCCAACTTCACACATTATGCCAAAGACTGGGTAAGGGGGATAGTGAAGGATGTTCCACTGGTGAGACGTCAGCTTATATCGGAGCTGAGAACATCGACGATGCGTTCCTCGTCATTTGCTGGTTCAATCAGGTCCACGTTTGGCGGGTTAGGGTAAGGTCCATGTATGATCAATGATCATGCTATCAACCTCCCTCATATCGGCGAACATACGGAGGAATCAGTATTGGAACACTATTCACTAGTTTCACTTGTTTACGTGACTATCGCATTACACAACACAATCCGGCGGAAGTCGTGACCCTTATATGCTGTTCGATATCAAATTGTATATAATATTATCTATATTACAATTTACCATAAGTCTACTATGACAAGAAATCTTTATTCTGATTGGTTAAAAGTAGGTTCCATATGAAACCTCTAATTATAAATACATCGATAGCCTACATATCGATCCTTACAAGTAGCTGCCGATAACTTATCAGAAATGTACGCTAGGAGTCAGTATACTGTGTCTGAGTGGGATATTCATGTTAAACTGCGGCATGGTATCTCAGTGAGCTGGCACTATAAATCAGCATCAGTCCGGACTAGTACAAGCAGACTGTGGCTGCTCCAAAAAGATCCGGGTTATAATAGGTCTTCAGCAAACCACGCTTGCCGTAAAAGGCGACTATGCTTGTCGCAAGAGGCGACGAACGGGATCGGGTGGTCAGGCTCGCTGACTTGGTTGAAGCATGTCATTGATCCCAATTGCGTGGATCGATGATATCAACCACTGGATTGTCTTGGCCAGACTCGATTATTTACAGACCGCCGTCACATAGCTGGAATATTGCTGAGTGCGGCGTAAAACAACAAACCAAACCAAAAGATCAGGAAAATATCCAATCTGCCGGCACTGACTGGCACACGGCACGGGCACATGGTCTCATCAGCTTATCAAACATGGTGAAATCAATTTCAGAAGACGCATAATTGAACAAAGCCTACAGGACCCAGTGTATCCGTGCCACAACACTCACACATCGTTTGTCGTCAAATAATGAAACTGCCACAAAAAAGAAACCCTCAAATTCAGCCACGTCCATGTTCGGAGCGGACAGTGATTTAATTTGAATTTGCATTATTTTACCGGAAACTATTTTTTGCAAAATAATATACAAGTACAAGCTCAAAATAACCAAACTACTGTTATTTAATAAAGTTTGTTGAGAAATAAATTAGTACAGCGATTTTTGTCGCTTTGTCTCCCCCACAATGAAATATGCCATGTTGATTTCCAAGACTTTCGAATTCGCATTCACGTGTTTTCAAAATCCACCAAAATAACAATTTGACAAAAGACAAGAATAAAATTATGTCCACTGCATTGTGAAAACCATTGGCTGTACAATGATATCAATAAAAGTGAAAATGGTTGTTATAAACTTGTTCATTTATGTGTTAACAATGGTGGAACATTTCTGAAAAACATGCCTGAATATTTTATGTGAGCTTCAATTTTTGAGAAGTAGCCACACGATGTAATATATTAAATTAGATCATACATTGTTGTGCATGATAAATTGTGCATATATTCAATCTAAGCGTATTTTAATATCACAATCTCAATGATAACATAATATGTAATCTTTTCTGCTAACTACTAATTTATTCATTGATCCACACACCCGCAATAGACCCGTGAAGATCCTGGTTAGAATATATCTTCAACAACCCATGCTTGCCGAAAAAGGCGTCACATTTCTGCATCAGTTGAAATAGCCAAATGACAACATTGCGTGAAGAAAACAATGTCAACATACAACATGAGGCCAATAATCAGACAGATCGCCCGTTAGAATGATGAGAGTGTCTGACCAGAGACAACAGCACGAAAACAAACTCCTTGTCCTAAATAACAACTCTCATTTGCGTTTATTTCATCCACGTGATGCGATCAGAGTCTCGTGCTCTCAACAACTGTCTGGATGAGGTTGCCAAGGAAAGACTGCTCCACTCTTCAATAAGTACAATAGGGTTGAGGTCTGGTGACAGGGCTGCGGACAATGGCCTCCTGCTCTAGGAAGGCATCAATGAAGTCTGGTCCCATTGCACCAGCATACAGTCACCCGTACACATCCAACAGGTCATCCCTGCAGCGCACACCTGTCATCGTTCCCCGCTGGTGGACATGAAGACAGCGGTCATTTTGGAATCCTGAAATCGTTATTTGTATACGCCACACCCGGGCACGACGATCTGTGAAGTCTAGACAGTATCTCGATTCATCAGTGAAAGGTTTGTTTGTTTGTTTGTTTGTTGTGTTGTGTTGTGAAATGTTGTCAGTCGAGGATCTATGTGAAAAAATAATTTCATTTTTTCTGCATCAGTTTAATTGCAACTTTAAGATCTGTAACATTTGCGTAGATTTATTGAGTTATCTAAAAAAATAGTTTTGTTTGTTTGTTGTTTAACGCCTCAGTCAGCAATAGTCCAGCTATACGACGGCGGTCTGGATCAGACAATTCAGTGATTGATGTCATGAGCATCGATCCACGCAATTTGGATACGATGACATGCATCAACCAAGTCAGCGAGCCTGACCTACCTCTTGTGACAAGCATAGTTGCCTTTTACGGCAAAAAGGGGTTGCTGAAGATCTATTATAACCCGGATCTTCTTGGGGCCAGTGCAAACGTACTGGAGTCCAGTCCTGGTCTGTCCAGTTGACGTGATCTTCAGCCCAATCCAAACGTGCCTATCTATGGTGTCCGGTCAGTGGCATGCAAATGTATACACTCCGTGACCAGAGACCGGTCTCATGGAGACGGTTACGCCCTGTCCGCAGGTCATTTCTGAGTGTAGTGTCAGTCACGAAGTGATGACGTTTTGCTGCAATCAGGAGGAACTCGTCTTCCTGCTGTGTGGTGGGATGCTGTCGACCACCTGCATGTCGTTGGTCAGCTGATCCCATGCCCTTCTGATCACACTTTGGCTGACACCAAAATAGTTTGCAACGTGACGTTGTGTTGACCCAGTTTCAAGCATGCCAATGCATCTGCCTAATTCTAAGGGTAGTCAACTTTGTCGCTAAGGGGGGCATACGAGCGTTCAGTTGCTGCAATCCTCAGAAGCAAATGTTGACTGCATGCCCCTGTCCGTTATCCTGAAACTCAGGTCCTATAGGGTTTACCCTGTCATTGTGTATCGGGATAAGCCATGGACTCGTCTCTTCACGACGCATTTAGAAATATTACCGCAAAACTAATGGGCAAACGAAAGTATAGTATAGAGTTTTGTTTGTTTTTATATAATTGGAAATTGAATTTCATTATGTCTTTCTAACCATTGCCCATTTATGCAACAATTTGTAAAAAGTAATCTGTGGCTGGGTATTTTTGTGTAACAATATATTGGTTCAATGAAGACTTAGGTAAAAGTTGGGTGAAAATTTAATTACCAACCACGCGACCAATTCCATGTTCAAAATGTTGCACCCCGTAAATATCGCGCCAGGCTAACATGTGGTACATCTCATGAACAACGACCAACATCGTCGGCCTGGACGCGTTTACGATTATGTGGGTGGTGGGGACATATTCTGTCATATTCGTGGTAATGGGAGAAGGGCAGATTTGCTTTGTGGAATGAAATCTTTGTAGCTTTTAATCCCCATTAGCATCGTTTTATATCAAATTAAATCCATGAATGTTTGTGAAGGTACATGTTAAGTTATACCCCCGAAGAACGTGTTCCACCACAGACCAAAGAATAATTGTTTATACGTCGCAGTTACAAAATTTACAAACACAATTACAAATCACGTGGCTTTCACGACGAGGGCCAAATGTTTACGCATGCATGTCGCTTCGATTCCAGTTGTCATACAGAAGCTGTCCTTCTATTTAAAAGTTAGAACCTTACTCGATATATTTCATTCAAAAAATAAATTTAATAGTGTTTTCTGTTTGACAAATGTCACCTGGTAAACCGATCGGAATGATTCAACATAGAGCTTTCCGCCATTTTAACCACTCAACATTCCAAAGTTTGGGGGACTGAGCAACATTCTGCAGGGTGGGCGTGGCTTCGTGACGTCAGTCGGAACTATGCAGAGGTTTCACACCTAATCGGCATATTCAGAATAGATCTGAGCGAGGAGGAGATCTTTACTCAGTAGTAATAGCATCATACGTTTTGTAAGGATCTGTAAGGGTGGCCCAGTCGTCTTAGGCGCCGCAATTCGCTGTGCAGAGTTGCGTCCCTTGGGCACGCCAGCAACCTTTGATTGTGGGTTCGAATCCCGGTTCGCCCCGATTATGTTTCTAGGCTTGTCAGCACCATACCAGTGCTCGTGGGTTTCACCGAAGTGGTAAACGTCGGAGACCTGCATCACTTCGGGCTTTCCTCCCACATTAATAAAAGCGGCGTTATCCACGTGATTAAAACTCGGTTGTGGGTGATGATTGAGAGTTACTATCACTTGTCATCGCCTTTATAGCATGTTAGTCAAATATAAGAATGATGTAATGAAGAAAATACTGATGTCATCATTGAAGTTAACGCTTATACTGAACCAATAATTGATGCAGTTTGTCTTAAATCATTTAGTGATGCAGTTTGTGTTAAGTCATGTTTAGATGTAGTTTGTGTTTAATCATCCTTAGACGTAGTTTGTGTTAAATCATTTAAAGATGTAGTAAATCATTTAAAGATGTAGTTAGTGTTCTATCAGGTAATGCAGTCTGTGCCATGTCATCGGGTAACTCTGTAAACGCCACACGAGGTTCATGTATTGGGTGTGCCCTTGTAGAAAACTAATCCATCACACATAAATACACACATTAAACAATATTAGGACACGTGATGATCCCGGGTAGAGTAGGTTTTCAGCAACCCATGCTTGCCGTAAAAAGCGACTATGCTTGTCGTAAAAGCTGACTAACGGGATTGGGTGGTCAGGCTCGCTGACTTGGTTGATGCACGTCATCGTATCCCAGTTGCGTGGATCCAAGCTCATGATGTCAATCACTGGATTGTCTGGTCCAGACTCGATTATTTACAGACGCCGTCATTTTGCTAGAATATTTTTAAGTGCTGCGTTAAACAAAACAAATAAAAAATAATAGATAACTGAATAAATCTACATAAATGTTACAGACATGCAAGTTGCAATTAAACTGATGCAGACAAAAAATTCAAATGTTATTTTTTCATATAGATCTACAACTAACTGAACATTTCACAACATATGGTATTACGTGGTTTTTCCCTGTCAGTGTGCATCACTAACGGGTGGAATAGAAAGCGAAAGTAGGAATATTCGTGACGTCATCCTCTAGAGCGTACTTCCCAGAATCAGAGATATCAACGAAGAAGCAGCAGAGGGAGGAAGCGAGGAAGCAGCAGAGGGAGGAATCAGAACATCACTAGTTGGCCAGGGACGTCCGATTCGTTCTTATCACGGTAACGTAAAGTTGCCGAGTGTTTCCCACTGTTTTGACACAACAGGGAGATAGATCTACGACATCCGCTCATCAGCTGTGTGTGGTGGTGTGCGGTGTCACGGCGGATCTCACACCATGGGCGTACAGTGGTCGTACAGGTACGAGATTACCTACACACACATCATTGGTCATGTTTAGATGCCCACAGCGCTGTCAGAATCATTGTCATGTAGGGTCCATGTGTGTACGATAGAAATATAGCATCGATACGCAGATGATTATCGGGGGTGACAATAAGCAATCCTCATCCTACAGGGTAAATATAACCGTCATTTGGAAAAGAATGTCTAAAATGAATGATTAAGTGGAGGATTAGCCAGCACGGGCAGTAAAAACTTTCAAAATTAGTGGAAAAAGAAGAAAGCCATGCACCTCGCAACATACTCTACTAAGGGAGATAATCGCGTGTAGCTGCCGTGATAGTGAGAGGAGCGAGCCAAGTTGCGTGAATAACTTGTCTTTTGTAAATGTCAGCCTAACATCTAACTATTAATCCATAAATATTTTCCTAGATGTGTTTCAATATATCAACTATCATCGAATATATTGGAGAAATAACTGATGTTATACCCGAACGCTTATTTTCATATGAATTATATTATTGATATGTCAAGATTATTGTTAAATAACTTTCATTTAGTGCACAGACAATAATAATTAATTTAAACCAAGAAACTAAACACTAATGAATAATTGCCACATAAAGCAATATCTTCCCTCGTCACAGCCGGGTTTCATGGCGGGCGAATTTAACGGACGTACTCTCTCTCTCTCTCTCTCTCTCTCTCTCTCTCTCTCTCTCTCTCTCTCTCTCTCTCTGTTGAGTGATGTGGGATATATGACTCGACAGAATGAGTGACAACAGAACGGGTGATACTACACACACAACTAGTAATAATAAACGCCCTGTAACTATATGTTCTTGGATGTTCTACGGATTTTACGGGTGCTTCAGACAGAGATTTTATTGTTTTGTCATGTCGGTACAACAAAGCTGTTGTCCGAATCGTTGCTGTATTGATTGATTTATTATGATACTGAGACTAAAAATGCACGTGTATACACTGTATTCATGGTAGAAGTAGCTGATAGAAACAGTGGGCCAAAGATCTCGACCCACTAAACAACAGATCTCGACCCATTGTACATCAGATCTCGACCCACTGTACAACAGATCTCGACCCACTGTACAACAGATCTCGACCGATTGTACATCAGATCTCGACCCACTGTACATCAGATCTCGACCCACTGTACAACAGATCTCGACCCACTGTACGACAGATCTCCACCCACTGTACAACAGATCTCGACCCACTGTACAACAGATCTCGACCCACTGTACATCAGATCTCAACCAACTATACAACAGATCTCGACCCAATGTACATCAGATCTCGACCCACAGTACAACAGATCTCAACCCACTGTACAACAGATCTCGACCCATTGTACGACAGATCTCAACCCACTTTACAACAGATCTCGACCCATTGTACGACAGATCTCGACCCACTGTACATCAAATCTCGACCAACTTTACAACAGATCTCGACCCACTGTACGACAGATCTCGACCCACTGTACAACAGATCTCGACCCACTGTACAACAGATCTCGACCCATTGTACATCAGATCTCGACCCACTGTACAACAGATCTCGACCCACTGTACAACAGATCTCGACCCACTGTACAACAGATCTCGACCCATTGTACGACAGATCTCGACCCACTTTACAACAGATCTCGACCCACTTTACAACAGATCTCGACCCACTGTACAACAGATCTCCACCCACTTTACAACAGATCTCGACCCACTGTACAACAGATCTCGACCCACTGTACAACAGATCTCCACCCACTTTACAACAGATCTAGACCCACTTTACAACAGATCTCCACCCACTGTACAACAGATCTCCACCTACTGTACAACAGATCTCGACCCATTGTACGACAGGTCTCGACCCACTTTACAACAGATCTCCACCCACTTTACAACAGATCTCGACCCACTGTACAACAGATCTCGACCCACTGTACAACAGATCTCGACCCACTGTACGACAGATCTCCACCCACTGTACAACAGATCTCGACCCACTGTACAACAGATCTCGACCCACTGTACATCAGATCTCAACCAACTATACAACAGATCTCGACCCAATGTACATCAGATCTCGACCCACAGTACAACAGATCTCAACCCACTGTACAACAGATCTCGACCCATTGTACGACAGATCTCAACCCACTGTACAACAGATCTCGACCCATTGTACGACAGATCTCGACCCACTGTACATCAGATCTCGACCCACTTTACAACAGATCTCCACCCACTGTACAACAGATCTCGACCCACTGTACAACAGATCTCGACCCACTGTACAACAGATCTCGACCCACTGTACAACAGATCTCGACCCATTGTACATCAGATCTCGACCCACTGTACAACAGATCTCGACCCACTGTACAACAGATCTCGACCCACTGTACAACAGATCTCGACCCATTGTACGACAGATCTCGACCCACTTTACAACAGATCTCGACCCACTTTACAACAGATCTAGACCCACTGTACAACAGATCTCCACCAACTTTACAACAGATCTCGACCCACTGTACAACAGATCTCGACCCACTGTACAACAGATCTCCACCCACTTTACAACAGATCTAGACCCACTTTACAACAGATCTCAACCCACTGTACAACAGATCTCCACCCACTGTACAACAGATCTCGACCCATTGTACGACAGGTCTCGACCCACTTTACAACAGATCTCCACCCACTTTACAACAGATCTCGACCCACTGTACAACAGATCTCGACCCACTGTACAACAGATCTCGACCCACAGTACAACAGATCTCAACCCACTGTACAACAGATCTCGACCCACTGTACAACAGATCTCGACCCACAGTAGAACAGATCTCGACCCACAGTAGAACAGATCTCGACCCACTGTACAACAGATCTCGACCCACTGTACAACAGATCTCGACCCACAGTAGAACAGATCTCGACCCACTTTACAACAGATCTCGACCCACTTTACAACAGATCTAGACCCACTTTACAACAGATCTCAACCCACTGTACAACAGATCTCCACCCACTGTACAACAGATCTCGACCCATTGTACGACAGGTCTCGACCCACTTTACAACAGATCTCCACCCACTTTACAACAGATCTCGACCCACTGTACAACAGATCTCGACCCACTGTACAACAGATCTCGACCCACAGTACAACAGATCTCAACCCACTGTACAACAGATCTCGACCCACTGTACAACAGATCTCGACCCACAGTAGAACAGATCTCGACCCACAGTAGAACAGATCTCGACCCACTGTACAACAGATCTCGACCCACTGTACAACAGATCTCGACCCACAGTAGAACAGATCTCGACCCACTTTACAACAGATCTCGACCCACAGTACAACAGATCTCGACCCACAGTACAACAGATCTCGACCAACAGTACAACAGATCTCGACCCACAGTACAACTGTACCTTTGGCGTTTTATTCATGGTAGAAGCAGCTGGTAGAAAAAGTGGGCCAGGGAATACAAACAAGGTCCATCCATCTGCTTCTGAATGGGGACAAACTTTCTCCCAAACTATGTTAGTTGGAGTAATGAAAGTTTACACACTGGCGTTACTGTTCATGATCTCAAAAGAGTTTAAAAATTGGTGCTGTAAGATATTTTTGTACAGAGTTATGGTCCTTGCTCTGTGCTTTTCAACTTATTGCATATTCTATGAAATGGGGATTTTTTTCAGAAACTTGTATCGTACATGAATGAAAGTTTGCATTAGTTAAACAACAAACAAACCAACAAGCAAATAAACAAACAAACAAAAGTACAATAACATGGATCAAAGGCAATAACTCTGTAAAAAGGAAATTATGCCACCAACTTTCGAAATCAGTCTTGACAAGTATCTTTTAGATACGCCACACTCAGCAATATTCCAGCTATATGACGGCGTCTGTAAATAATCAAGTCTCAATCTCAGCAAAATCAGATCTTAGTTCTCGCTACCGCCAAACAAAGATCTGAGGACATCCCATTAGAGGTCATGTCAGAACGACCTTTCATCCAACCAATCAGAGCATCGCTTACCAGATCATGAAAGTGACATTCTGAATGTGAATTCTGATAATGCAACCTTGAAAACTTTAACACGGGGTATTCCGAACGATAGTTACGGGTTTAACGACTGAATCCATACAATGTAGACCATCTATTAGCCATTCCAGAATGTTCTTTTGTTCAGGTTTCAAATTTGTAATCAAGAATTTGTCAAAATATGTTTCGAAGCGTAGTGGCCAATTTGAACTTAGTGCCGTAAAGCCTGACAAAGCTGCCTTCTGATTGTCGAATGTCGGCTTCTTGTCAGTCCTTCTATCGGTCGGTCAAAGTTCGTGCAAAGTCGGTCTGTCGTGACCTGTAATGGGATGTCCTAAGATCTTTGTTTAGCGGTAGCGAGAACTAAGATCTGATTTTAATGAGATTGAATCAAGTCTGGACCAAACAATCCAGTGATTGATATCATGAGCATTGATCCACACAATTGGGATACCTTGACATGCATCAACCAGGTTAGTGAGTCTGACCACCCGATCCCATTTGTCGCCTTTTATGACAAGCCTTTTGCGGCAAGCATGGTTTGCTGAAGACCTATTCTAACCCGGATCTTCGTGGGTAGTTATTGTACTTAGTACGTAGTGTCTCTAATGGGGACCCATGAAGATCCGGGGTAGAAAAGATCTTCAGCAACCCATGCTTGCCGTAAAAAGTGACTATGCTTGTCGTAAGAGGCAACTAACAGAATCGGGTGGTCATATTCGTTGACTTGGTTGATGCATGTCATCGATCCCAGTCGTGTGGATGTGTACATTATGTCAATCACTGGATTGTCTGGTCCAGACTCGATTATTTACAGACTGCTGTCATATAGCTGGAATATTGGTGAGTGCGGCGTTAAATAACAAACAAACAATCAAATATTCCACACATTGTACCCAAGTCGGGAATTGAACCCGGGTCTTTGGCGTGACGAGCGAACGCTTTAATCACTAGGCTACCAGACCGCCCCCCTACTATATGAACAAACAAACTTCTAATGTGCCTCATGGTGGGAGAGTGATAACGCTGTTTTCTTGTTTTCAGAAGCTTATGCTGACTCCTCCTTGATTGGTTGTGAGAGACGTTGCCGGCCTGTAATTGTGTACAGAATAATCTGTACCGCTCACAGTACTAACGCCAAGATGCCATAGCCAGTCTTGGTGTATCTTACACACACATCAAATAACATACCCACAACACTATGTCTGAAGACAAAGCAAATCCTGAGACAGGATACGAAGTGAACGCTGCATCCCAGGCGCCTCTAACACACTCTCAAGGTGCAGGGACTGGAGGAAGTCAGCTGTTAGGGAATACGTTGGCTGCCAGTGGGTCCTTGAACAAAGTACCACCTCCTGACATGGGCGGTGAAGGAGGGGCAGAAGGTGGCGGAGGAGGAGGTGGAAGATTAGGAGGAGAAGGGGAGGGAGGAAGAGGAGGTGGAGAAGATTGTGGAGGAAGTGGAAGATTAGGGGGTGAAGATGGCGGAGGAGGAAAAGACGTGAGAGAGGGAGGGAGAGGGGGAGAAGATGGCGGAGGAGAAGGCGAAGGAGGAAGAGAAGCTGGTGGAAAAGGTGGTGGAAGAGGAGGAGATGACAGAGAAGATGGTGGTGGGGTGGTTGGAGATGTTTCCAATGTCAATCTGCCCCTACAATCAAATACAAAGATGTCAGAATCCCATTCCGTGATTGACAAGAATGACACTCAACATGGTCAGCCCCAAACCCCAACAAATCTTGGTGGAATTCACGGGCAACCTCAGCAAACTGGATCAGGAATTCACAGGCAACCCCCACAAACTGGACCAGGAATTCTTGGGCAACCCCCACAAACTGGACCAGGAATTCACGGGCAACCCCCACAAACTGGACCAGGATATTATGGATACCCCTCACAAACTGGACCAGGGGGGGCTCCTATGTGGATGCCTATGTATCCGTTCCCCTATCAGGGCCCTCAATACCAGTATACCCACCCACCCTATTTCCCCCCGACTAGTTTGCCTTCAAAGGGGGAATCATCACAAGAAGCCCCACCCTCGCAGGTCCCCGTTCCACACCCACGTCCTGCAGCGTCACCCTCATGGGGTGGGGAGACTGGGACCTGGAGTTATCCCGCGCCTCCCTACCCACAACCCCATGGTTATCTCCCACCACACGGCATCATGCCCACCCACGCCATGGGTCATTACGGTCAAGGGTGGGCACCACCACATGGAACACATCCCCCTTGTCCTGGAGGCCCTCCTCAGCCTCAGCCTCAGCCTCATCCATCTGGATCCGCGGAGAGATCATCGACACCTTCGTCTGAGAGTAAGTCCTTTGAACCAATCAATTTTTCCTTTCCCTGAGTAATTATTATCGTTCTGCCATGATAAACAATAACTGTGCTTCTATAAAGTATAGCATTCTGTTATTCCTATCATATTTTCTTCCATTGAATAATTATTGTCATCCTGCCACAATACACTATAACTGTGCTTCTATAGACGATCTTTCTTTTAAATTTTTACAGATATAAATTATAAGATACAATCCTAATCATGTATTTTTGAAGGATAAGGTGAATAATTTGCAAGGTAATCTGTGTCGCGACAGATGAGGCGGAGCAGGTGTGTATCGAGGACGAGTTCCGGGTCCTGGTAGAGAACGCCAGTAGCGCAACACATGCTGACTGCATACAGAACTTCCTGGAGGCGAAAACTGAGTTGACAGTGGAAACGGTGCTGCCAGCATCACTCTCCGGGGCGTTCTTGGTGACTTTCAAAGAAAAGCCAGGTAACTGGCATATATCTGTAATTGTTGTCGTAAGTCACATTCTGTAACATGCAACATGAATTGTCCTGAATGACCAACACAGTTTTGTCTTGTGACACTCAATGCGTTCAAATCAAGATTCTACTGTAATGATTTTGTTTGGTTTACGTTTTGAATTTCCATTTTGTGTAAAACTTTTGTATCTTTAATAGGGCTGGCTATCAATACAATCAATATTGGAGCAGTACCATGGAGCAAATACACAAAAATATATCCTAAAGATATCAACATATTTCACACCACTGGGGAGTGGTGGCACGTTTATGCAGGGATTACTTTGTGGAAATTTGAGATATAACAAAAACAGTTACTTTCCATCTTCAGCAATAAACATTTTTGACAATTACAAGTCTGTTTTGGTAAATCTAAACTTTGTTTCATCACAACAGTTTAAATAAGGTATTATTGTTGACACAATTTTCATATCGATAATTGTTAATATTTCTTCCCATAGATGATAATATAGATTATCGATCTTTTTTGCAAGCCCTAATCATTAAGGTTAGTGAAATCACAACACGTTAGGAAGATAAAAGCCCTGGACCAGTGATACAATAATGAAATATTAGTTACTAGGAAAACAGCATAATGCATTGAATCTCCTAACTGTTCCTTGAATCGTCATAATAGACAGAAGTATATATAGACCGATACAAACACTTTCACTGGTAACGCGAGATACGATAATAGGGATCAGTCTGCTTATACTAAATTAGATCCTTAAGCTAAACCCTTCTCCTCCTTTCTGTAATTGTTGAAATGTTTGTAAAACTCTGGACTGTTTAATCCTATCAGAGTTTGAATTAAGCAATACATTTCTTTCAGACATTGGGGAACTAAAGACCCATTTCATGAAAAGACCGATTGAGGATTCGTGGCTGAAGGTGACGCAAGTGCTGCAGTCTGCCAGTGTGAAGGTCACGTCCCTGAGGCCGGACACCACGGACGACAACATCAAGTTCTACTTCATGAACAGACGCAAGAGTGGCGGAGGAGAGGTCAAGGCTGTCACACGCTCCCCAGACCACTCCGGAGCCGTTGTGTACTTCTATGACCCTGAAGGTACATTTACTTCTTACTACTATTACGATGGCGACAGCAATAACGATGTCTACTACTACTGCTGCTACTAATACCACCACTTGCTACTGCTACTACTACTGCTACTACTAATACAACCACTACTACTACTGCTACTGCTACTACTAATACAACCACTACTACTACTGCTACTACTACTAATACCACCACTACTACTACTGCTACTACTACTGCTACTACTAAAAGCACCACTACTACTACTGCTGCTACTACTACTACTACTACTACTACTGCTACTACTACTGCTACTACTTATACAACCACTACTACTACTACTACTACTACTACTGCTACTACTAAAAGCACCACTACTACTACTGCTGCTACTACTACTACTACTACTACTACTACTGCTACTACTACTGCTACTACTTATACAACCACTACTACTACTGCTTTTACTAGTACCACCACTACTACTACTACTACTGCTACTACTAATACTGCTGCATCTACTACTGTTACTACTTATACCACCACTACTACTACTGCTACTACTAATACCACCACTACTACTACTACTGCTACAGCTACTACTAATACTGCTGCTTCTACTACTGCTACTACTAATACCACCACTACTACTACTGCTACTACTAATACCACCACTACTGCTACTAATACCACCACTACTACTACTGCTACTGCTACAGCTACTACTAATACCACCACTACTACTACTGCTACTACTAATACCACCACTACTACTACTACTGCTACAGCTACTACTAATACTGCTGCTTCTACTACTGCTACTACTAATACCACCACTACTACTACTGCTACTACTAATATTACCACTACTACTACTACTAATACCACCACTACTACTACTGCTACTACTAATACCACCACTACTACTACTACTGCTACAGCTACTACTAATACTGCTGCTTCTACTACTGCTACTACTAATACCACCACTACTACTACTGCTACTACTAATACCACCACTACTGCTACTAATACCACCACTACTACTACTGCTACTACTAATACCACCACTACTGCTACTAATACCACCACTACTACTACTGCTACTACTAATACCACCACTACTGCTACTAATACCACCACTACTACTACTGCTACTGCTACAGCTACTACTAATACCACCACTACTACTACTGCTACTACTAATACCACCACTACTACTACTACTGCTACAGCTACTACTAATACCACCACTACTACTACTGCTACTACTAATACCGCCACTACTACTGCTGCTACTACTAATACCGCCACTACTACTACAGGTACTACTAATACCACCACTACTACTACTGCTACTACTAATACCACCACTACTACTACTGCTACTACTAATACCGCCACTACTACTACTGCTACTACTAATACCGCCACTACTACTACAGGTACTACTAATACCACCACTACTACTACTGCTACTACTAATACCACCACTACTACTACTACTAATACCACTACTACTACTGCTACTACTAATACCACCACTACTACTACTGCTACTACTAATACCACCACTACTACTACTGCTACTACTAATACCACCACTACTACAACTGCTACTACTAATACCACCACTACTACTACTGCTACTGCTACTACTGCTAATAATACCACCACTACTACTACTACTGCTACTACTAATACCACCACTACTACAACTGCTACTACTAATACCACCACTACTACTGCTGCTACTACTATTACTACTACTACTACTACTACTGCTACTAATACCACCACTACTACTACTGCTACTACTACTATTACTACTGTGGTTGCTGCTGACCTAGGATTGCCTCTGGTCATCAGGCTCAATGACTAGGCCGATAACGTATCATTGAACCTTGATTGTGTTGGACATTGCTCAATCACTGGTTTACCTGTCTCAGACTTGATTATGTAATCCCACTGTGATATAGCTGGAATATTGCTCACAGTGACATTAATATAGAAGAGCGCCAAACTACTATTATTACTTTCGTGTTTTGTTAAACAGAAAGCTGGTCTCCAAGGCAGGCATGTTTGCTCATTCCTAGCATAACCCTTTCATCCCTGTCCAGAACTGAAACATGTTCAATAATGACTATTATCATACCTCCTTGTTAGAATGATGAGATCTGATTGGTCCACATGATCTTGGTAAAATACTGTGTAACCTGCCTTGGAGGGTAATAAATTTTCAGCGGGGGAATAAAACTCCTATACCCTGCCATGAGTACAACAGGCTGCATGTGCATTTCTGAGACAGAATAAATCCTTTATACCCCGCTTCAAAGCAAAAAGCCACACACTTTTTCCGAGCCAATGGATGTCACTGAGCATAGCTCAAACTAACCTCAGCTCAATCGATCACCTGTTTTCTATCGATTTTGAATTTTTTTGAATCATTTTACAATGTCATATTAAAACATATCGGTTAGATAAATTTGTTGTAGCAGGATCACTCGGGGTACATGGGGTTTTATGCGACCCTCATTAGGGTTGACTCCATTCGCCTCTAGCTCATAGTATAAGACCTAACTTTATATTAAAAATATGTTGTAGTTGAGATAAATGACGTCAATGTAGGACTTTAAGTAACATGAACTGTTTCAAAGGCATGTATATCACTATTTTTGTATTTCATATTTGTTAAACATTACGTTCACAGTTGCAAAAAGAGTCTGTGAAAAAAGCCACAAGCTGAACACGCATGACGTGATTGTCACCCTCCACCATGACCTGCTGGACACGTGGGGAGGCAAGGATGAGTCCTCGCCTGGCACTGCCCAAGCAAGCAGAGGTGCCGCCACACACCGGGGACCTATACCCAGACAGTCCTCATGGACGCCTGGCCAAGGCCATCACCGCAGTGGCGAACAGGAACCAGAAGCCGGAAGCAGGTCCACAAGGTCCACCGATGGGGGAGCTCAGACAGGCAGATCAGCTCATCCTCCACAAGGAACAAACAGGTCAGCTGCTCCTCCACAAGGAACGAACAGGTCAGCTGATCCTCCACAAGGAACAAACAGCTCAGTGATCATTAAGACACTGGACAATTATGTGGTGTGCTTCCTGTCGAAATCTTCTGTCTGTCAGAAAGAATTTGTGAAGTTTATTGGGGAAAGTTTACATGGCATTGTCAGATTTATTCCCCAGCCCAAAGACAGAGTGATGCTCATGGTTGAACACACTGGTTCTGTAAATAAATTAAGTTCCTGGAAAGCAAGCATTGGAAGAGACATTTCAGAATATGTCAGTAAATATCTGAAAGTTGAATGTTTGCATACATCTGTGCCTGAATGTTTACTGGATGAGATTCTCACAGCAGTCAACCCCATTCTGAAGAGTAGGGCAGATTTAGTGAAATTATACCAGGGGACAGAGATGACGGATCTCATCATATGTGGCACCAGTGGGCTAGTTGATTCTGTAAAGTTTCAAATTTCAAAAGTGAAACAATCATCAGTCCCTGTTTCACCACCAAGGACTGAGAGCTGCAACTTGAAACCATTTCAGGCCAACTATTTACCATTGTCAAAGTTTGAAGATATGTTTCCGAAGGTAAATACAAGAATAGACACCCAGAAAGACATTGTTACATTTGAAGGGCCCAGCGCTGATGTTCTTTCTGCAAAATTAGAATGTTTGAGAATTGTTCAAAATCTAATAATTGAAAGAACCCCTTTCAAGACAGAGGAAGCCATGAAACTTCTGAGATCACACAAGACAGCAGACTTCATTCAAAAGAAACTGAATAGCGTCCGTTGTGTATGGGGATGCGGAAACAAGGAGGTTCTGATCTATGCGGAAACAGAGGCTGATGCCAAAAAAGGAAGAAACGTTTTTGAGACGAGTTTAACGGAATTAACGATTGCTGTAGACACTGCTACAGAAGCAGTCTTGAGGAAGGCAGAATGGGGAGAGAAGAGGAGCGGGCTACTGGAGGCTCATCAGGGGAAGCTGGAGCTGGTCCAGCAGAAGGGGAACCTCCTGATCTTGTGCACCAGCGATATAGGAGGGAGTGTCAGGGAGGAGGTGGAGAAGTTCCTCAGCATGAACGCATTACGGTCAAAATCTCTCCCCCTTGAAGCCTCAACTGCCAAATTCTTAAATATGTTTAAATCAAATGAAATCCGCTTGATAGAAGGGAAGCTGGAGAAGCATCAAGTTAAGATAATTGTTGATGAAGGAATTGTCAGCTGTGAGTTGAAAATTTCAGGATATCAGAAGGGCTTTGCTGACGCGGAGAAACTCCTTAACAAAATGACGTCTCAAATATTTTCTAAACAGCATAAGATTGTTCTTCCGGGAATCGAAGAGTTCTTTGTTAAGGGGAAGGGAAGAGAACTCTTGTCAGCCGTTGAACAAAATGTGAAGTGCATCATTCAACCAAAGGACATGTCTCCGGAGAAGAAGGAGAAGAAGAAGCGAGAGATGAGAAGATGGGATGTCCCCTCGGGAGGAGTGTTGTCCGTCATCCTCGGAGACATGCGGGACCTGGCTGTGGACGCTATCGTTAACGCTGCCAATAGGGACTTGCAGCATGGAGGAGGGGTGGCCAAAGCCATAGTCGATAAGGGTAGGCAACTTTCTTATCCAGGATATTGTTTGTCCAAATAAAGTTATACGGCATTAGTTAAAGATATCAGCCCACCTAATCATGCAGAATATTTATAAATGACTAATGCTAACAACTGTTTTTTTGTGGGTAAAATACAAATGCATGTTTTGAAACCATAACAAACATTTTTTCACACAAAACATGGGACAGCATCTTTCTTTCTACTGCAATCTCATTAAAATCAGACCTTAGTTCTCGCTACCGCTAAACAAAGATCTGAAGACATCCCATTACGGGTCACGTCAGACCGACCTTGCGCGAACTTTGACCGACCAGTAGAATGACCAATCAGAAGGCAGCTTTCTCGTGCTTTATGGCACTAATTTTAAATTGGCAACTACGCTTCGAAACATATTTTGACAAATTCTCGATTACAAATTTGAAACCTAAACAAAAAAAACCATTCTGGAATGGCTGATAGATGGTCTAGATTGTATGGATTCAGTCGTTAAACATGTAACTATCGTTTGGAATACCCCGTGTTAAAGTTTTCGAGGTTGTATGATTAGAAATCACATTCCGACTGTCACTTTCATGATCTGGTAAGCGACACTCTCATTGGTCAGATGAAAGGTTGTTCTGATGGGACGTCTTCAGATCTTTGTTTAGCGGTAGCGAGAACCAAGGTCTGATTTTAATGAGATTGTTTCTACTGATAACAATATGCTCCAAGTCCATATATGTTTTCATGAGGGCAAATGGAATGTTCCTGTCATCATGATGAGATAATATCAAGATACAACATCAAACTTTGAGTAATGGTTGTTAGTGTGATGATAATTTTAATGCATGTTGCGACCTGTGAAGATGCAGAACAGGTCTTCAGCAACCCATGCATGCCGTAAAAGACGACTTTGTTTTGTTGTAAAAGGCGACTGATGGGATTGGGTGGTCAGGCTCGCTGACTTGGTTGATGCATGTTATCATATCCCAAAATTGTGGATCGATGCTCATGATGTCAATCACTGGATTGTCTGGTCCAGACTCGATTATTTACAGACCGCCGTCATGTAGCTGGAATTTTGTTGAATGCAGGGTTAAAAAAGAAACAAACAAACAAAACATCCGCGGTATGACAGGCTAATCACCATACATAAGCATACATTGTGGGAAAGATTAAGCCCATTGCAATACGGAAACAACTATCAGGCTTATACCTTCATAAGCTATGAAGTATTTAATACTTCTCAAAGTTTGCAAAGGGTCACTCTTTTATAGGTAAGACGTCAAATTGTGTGCATCTGTTGAAATAGCCAACGACAATCTTACGTGAAGACACACATACCAACAAACATCATGTTGCAGGTGGAAATGCAATTGTGAAGTACTGTGACCAGTACATCAAGGAAAACGGTCCCCTGGTGGATGCGGAGGCCGTGTGCTCGCCTGCAGGGTCCCTCCCCTGCAAGGTGGTGATACACGCTGTGGGACCAGTGTGGGCAGGGGGGGACCAAGGGGAGGAGGAGGTCCTGAGAGAGACTGTGGGGAACATCTTGAAGGTTGCTGAGGCCAACAATATACAATCCATCGCCATTCCTGCCATCAGCTCGGGTATATTTGGCTACCCTCTGCAGGATGCCATCACTGCTATCATGGAGGCCCTTCTCGACATGTGGCGGCCCGATCCAGAGGGTTACACCTGCCTTCAACACGTTTATCTCTGCGACATCAAGACCGACACAGTGGGCATGTTCGTGAAAGTCGGGAACAAGCTGTTTGAGAAAGACAGGGGTAGTCATGGCGACAGTGACAGTGTTGACAGCAGTGAGGAAAGTGTTCTTGAGGAAGAGCCTGTTCATTATAGTAACAGTGGATCGGAGTCGGAGGATGCTTCAGATACAGAGTCTACTCGGGGTAAGTACAGCGATCTTAGCGCTAAAGTGATCGTAACTGCCATACCTTTACATAGACTTAGGACAGTCATAGCGCTAAGTTTGTTTCACAATGAACAATTACAACAAAAAATACCAGGGGTAAGTACAGGGATCTTTGCGCTAAGGTAGCTGCCATACCTTTACATAGACTTAGGACGGTCATAGCGCTAACGTTGATTCACAATGAACAATTACAACAAAAAACACCAGGGGTAAGTACAGGGATCTTAGCGCTAAGGTGATCGTAACTGCCATACCTTGTAGTAGCACTTAGGTTGTTTTGTACAAGGGTACCCTGATGTTCACAATGAACAATTACAATAAAATCTTCTTCAGTTGAACTCCATGATATCGACCCCATGGGGATTTGGGGTTAGAATAGATCCCCATATATTCGATGGTCATAATGTCTTCGAGTTTCATTGTGTGTATTGTAGTAACTTCACATCCAGTTATTCCACATGGGACAATATCTTGTTTATGCCCTCAACATGTCGTAGGGACCGTTTTGCAACAGTATATGTGAAAATATGACTCACTTTTTGTGCAGAGTTGCAACCCTTGGGCACGTCAGAAATCTATAACCGTGGGTTTTCATCTCAGCTTGCCCCGATTATGTTTGTGTCTTACTCATTCATTAAGCCTGACTGTATACTTTGGTCATTAATCCCGACTGTATACTATGGTCATTAAGCCGACTGTACACTTTGGTCATTAAGCCTGACTGTATACTATGGTCATTAAGCCTGACTGTATACTATGGTCATTAAGCCCGACTGTATACTATGGTCATTAATCCCGACTGTATACTATGGTCATTAAGCCGACTGTACACTTTGGTCATTAAGCCTGACTGTATACTATGGTCATTAAGCCTGACTGTATACTATGGTCATTAAGCCCGACTGTATACTTTGGTCATTAAGCCTGACTGTATACTTTGGTCATTAAGCCCGACTGTATACTATGGGCGTGCAGCTAATGACCTACCTCATCTTGATACTTGCAGGATCAACATACGTAGCAAGTGATGAAGGTGATACTGACTCCCCGGGTATCAATGTTGTCAGCAAGGAACTGGCGTTAGTGAAGGTGAGATGGTTTGGATCAAGCCAGGCTTTTCATTAGCATTTAATGCACATAAGATACATGTACTCTGTCATTCACCTGAAAAAGAAGTAAGCACATTCTATGAAATGTTGTGTTCTTCATAATAAAGAAGTTGACATCCATAAACTCTCTCTCTATTGAAATCAATATTATCCATTCATGTGGACATTAACCCAGATGCCCTAAATGTTGATTAATTTTGAAGCAGGGTGACGTTCCGATCTAGCTTTGAATCTTGGAGACCAGTTTACAAATTATGATATGGTAATGCTTATATAAAGAGTGTTTATGAAAACGGAGATGGATCATTTGTGGACCATGTAACATACTGACCACAGTGACCTTGTGAACAACGTGGGAGTTTCCTGTCTGTAATTCCTTGTACCATGATGCAGGCGGATGTTCTGGTTAATCCAGCTCAGTGTGACCTTGACCTTAACTCCGGTGCAGTGTCAAGGTCACTGCTCAAGGCCGCTGGTCCTAAACTACAAGAAGAATGTGAAAGGAAGTATGAGGAAGGTATCAACCTCGGTGAGGTCGCGGTCACAAAGGGAGGTAATCTGCAGTGCAAGGTGGTCTTCCATGGATTGCTGTTGAAATGGAACAACGGCAAAGGGAAGGCAGAGAAGGTATATGACGTTCTAAATACAACTTATTTTGGTTTCAATGGATAAAATATAAAAAAAATACATCTGCATTCATGGACCTTGAATTTATTCCAAAGTTCATTCTCAAACTAACTCAGATTGGAAGTTTTTCATCTTAAGGGTCTTTTTGTGGGATATTACCACATAATACATGAAATGACCAGTATATTATTCTTGTTGACTGCCCGAGTTTCAGATATATCTTCAACAGTGGTGATACTGTACTGTTTAAGCTTTGCTTTTGTTTGTTTTTGTTTGTTATTTAATGCCACACAGAATATTCCAGCTGTATGACGTTGGGCTGTTAGTGATTGATCGAGTCTGGACCAGACAAACCAGTGATTGATATAATGAGCAAAGATCCACACCATTGGAGTATACAATTAACCAAGTCATCAAGCCTGAGTCACCCCATCGAATTTTCTGACCAGGTTGCTGGGCCCAAAGGAAACTTACTGCTATGTCTGTAGCAAGGCTATGTTATGTATGGATGTAAGATCGTCTTAGCACCAAGATCGCTTTGTGGAACAGGGCCCAGGGGACCAATTCTAACCTGGAATTCCCACTGGGTGTAAAGTAGTGTTTGACCTTGACCTTGAGTGTTTTGTTGCCAGGTGTTGCGGACCCTCGTGACAGAGTGTCTGACGGAGGCGGACTCCAGTGGTTATACATCCATTGCCTTCCCTGCACTCGGCACAGGGCGACAGGGCTTCCCAGCCGACATTGCAGCCGACCTCATGTTCAGCTCCGTCCGGACATTCCTAGACACCAACTCTGCATCTCCCCTACAAACTGTGTACTTCGTGGTGCACCCGAGTGATCGCGCTGTGTTCAAGGTAATCTGTCTGTAGAGTAGTGAGTGAGTGAGTTTGATTTAACGCCTCTTTGAACATGTTTCAGTTATATGTCAATGTGTTGATGTGGGAGGAAAGCCCCAAGTGATGCAGGTCATAGACCTTTAATGACCACGTTGATGAAATCAGGAGTATGGGTTGGTGCTGACAAACCTAGAACCATAATCAGGAGGAAACTGGGATTCGAACCCATGATCATAGATTCCTTGCATGCCTAAGGGATGCAACTCCATCGCCTTAGACGACTACCCCCAATCCACCTGCTTCATGTCATTGACAAGTGCTCAAATTGTATGATTTTTTCATAATTAACTTTTCAACAAAAACATATATATATCATAATACAATACAAACTTTACCCAACAGAAGAAATGTTTCAAATAGAAAATGGAGGCCAGGTGGCCAGGCCGTCCAAGGCGCCGCAATTCGAATCCGGGTTCGCCCTGATTATGATTCTAGGTTTGTCAGCACCATACCTGTGCTCGTGGGTTTCACCGAATGTCTGAGAACTGCATCTGTAGGTCTGGCTAGTCCCTGTCAATGTAATATCAGAACCTAATTTTTCTACCTACCAGGCGTTCAAGGCGGAGAGTGAGAGGCCGTATAGTGATAGTGACTGGATGAGCAGCACCCCCAGCCCCTACACCAGGCCTGCCTCCAGGGGCCGTGGGGGGTCCTTCAGGGGCCGCCGGGGGTCCTCCAGGAGGCACCGGACATTTGGGGGAGGACAGGCACCGGTTCCTCCCAGCCCAGCGATGGCAGCCCCAGGTGGGGTCCCTGCGTTGAATAGCCTTTTCGGCGTTTTGAAAGGTAAATAACATTATTAACTATAAGACCAGTACATCCTGGCTCCCGTCGTGGCTCGATAGCTGATAAATGTCTGAAGCAAGTCTTGCACTTACAATTCAGCTCAGTTAACTGGCTAGTGTAGCCTTGTTGGAGATTATGGGTTAGAAAAAGTCCCCAGTAAACTTTGGGAAAGGTGACTAAAGGTCAGGAAAGGTGACTAAAATTTGGGAAAGGTGACTAAAGGTCGGGAAAGGTGACTAAAGGTCGGGAAAGGTGACTAGAAAGGTGATGTAGAAAACGTGAGTTGGCTATGTTGAAGTCACATGAAAAATGTTTCATGAAATCCACCATTCTTCCACAGGGATGCACTCCAGCTCCCCCACCGGAACCAACTATAAGCTCGGTCCCGTCACAGTTGTCATTGCTCAAGGTGATGTCACCATGGAAACCACAGACTGCATCGTCAACTGCTGCAAGGATTCATGTGACCTCAATTACAGTAAGTCGGATCACCTGGGAGTCATGTGACCTCAATTACAGTAAGTCGGATCACCTGGGAGTCATGTGACCTCAATTACAGTAAGTCGGATCACCTGGGAGTCATGTGACCTCAATTACAGTAAGTCGGATCACCTGGGAGTCATGTGACCTCAATTACAGTAAGTCGGATCACCTGGGAGTCATGTGACCTGACATGCAGTGACTCATGTGACACCCAGTGTACAATCTGTCTGTGAACATGACAAAATTATTCCCCAATTTGACAAAGTGATCCTGCTGTTAAAGTGGCTACAGATGTCCATGAAGCTCTTGACAATGTGGTGTGTTCTTTCCTGCAGGCGCCATCTCGAAGGCAATACTACGGGCAGCAGGACCAGTCATACAACAGGAGTGCTTCGAGAAGAGTGAGTCTTGTTCTTCTTGGCGTCAGTATCGCAAAATTATGTTTATGATTGATTTGACTTGCACTCTGATGGCAGCGAACTGCATGGCCTCAGACGACTGGGCCATCCGTGTCCCCTGATATGAGTGGGAGTGAGTGTGTGTGTGGGTATGGATTTTACACTGCTTCAGACATTATTTGTGACATATACTTCCCAAAAGAAGTGAAAGAACACCTGATTCTTTCTATGTCATGACACGGTGATCTCTAACTTCTTTTGAGTAGTATATGATGAAAGTCAGCTGCATGTGGGAGGACAGTGAAACCCAGGAGCATGGGTACAGTACTGATGAAACACGGGTACAGTACTGATGAAACACGGGTACAGTACCGATGAAACACGGGTACAGTACCGATGAAACACGGGTACAGTACCGATGAAACACGGGTACAGTACTGATGAAACACGGGTACAGTACCGATGAAACACGGGTACAGTACCGATGAAACACGGGTACAGTACTGATGAAACACGGGTACAGTACTGATGAAACACGGGTACAGTACTGATGAAACACGGGCAGTACTGATGAAACACGGGTACAGTACTGATGAAACACGGGCAGAACTGATGAAACACGGGTACAGTACCGATGAAACACGGGTACAGTACCGATGAAACATGGGTACAGTACCGATGAAACACGGGTACAGTACTGATGAAACACGGGTACAGTACCGATGAAACACGGGCAGTACTGATGAAACACGGGTACAGTACTGATGAAACACGGGTACAGTACTGATGAAACACGGGTACAGTACCGATGAAACACGGGTACAGTACTGATGAAACACGGGTACAGTACCGATGAAACACGGGCAGTACTGATGAAACACGGGTACAGTACCGATGAAACACGGGCAGTACTGATGAAACACGGGTACAGTACTGATGAAACACGGGTACAGTACTGATGAAACACGGGTACAGTACTGATGAAACACGGGTACAGTACAGTACTGATGAAACACGGGTACAGTACCGATGAAACACGGGTACAGTACCGATGAAACACGGGCAGTACTGATGAAACACGGGTACAGTACTGATGAAACACGGGTACAGTACCGATGAAACACGGGTACAGTACCGATGAAACACGGGTACAGTACCGATGAAACACGGGTACAGTACTGATGAAACACGGGTACAGTACTGATGAAACACGGGTACAGTACTGAGGAACACGGGTACAGTACTGATGAAACACGGGTACAGTACTGATGAAACACGGGTACAGTACCGATGAAACACGGGCAGTACTGATGAAACACGGGTACAGTACTGATGAAACACGGGTACAGTACCGATGAAACACGGGTACAGTACCGATGAAACACGGGTACAGTACCGATGAAACACGGGTACAGTACTGATGAAACACGGGTACAGTACTGATGAAACACGGGTACAGTACTGAGGAACACGGGTACAGTACTGATGAAACACGGGTACAGTACTGATGAAACACGGGTACAGTACTGATGAAACACGGGTACAGTACTGATGAAACACGGGTACAGTACCGATGAAACACGGGCAGTACTGATGAAACACGGGTACAGTACCGATGAAACACGGGCAGTACTGATGAAACACGGGTACAGTACTGATGAAACACGGGTACAGTACTGATGAAACACGGGTACAGTACTGATGAAACACGGGTACAGTACCGATGAAACACGGGTACAGTACTGATGAAACACGGGTACAGTACCGATGAAACACGGGCAGTACTGATGAAACACGGGTACAGTACTGATGAAACACGGGTACAGTACTGATGAAACACGGGTACAGTACTGATGAAACACGGGTACAGTACAGTACTGATGAAACACGGGTACAGTACCGATGAAACACGGGTACAGTACCGATGAAACACGGGTACAGTACCGATGAAACACGGGTACAGTACTGATGAAACACGGGTACAGTACTGATGAAACACGGGTACAGTACTGATGAAACACGGGTACAGTACTGATGAAACACGGGTACAGTACTGATGAAACGGATCATAGTCCGGTCCTACCCTGCAGTCGAACTAACCCCGAACTTAGGGACACAATTCTGATCTCTTTCAACATGTAACAAAAGTTGTATCTGGGATAACACTTCCTTAGAAAAAGTAGAGATTCTTATACTTTTGGGGGTAGAGTCCCGTCTGGGATTCAAACCCACACTGCCAGAGAAAAGGCACCTCATCGCCAGCACACAAAGTCAGCTATCTTACCCACTCAGCCACCGAGGCTTCCACAAAATGAAAGTCCGAGGACTGGTAGTCTAGATCACGTCATATGTGTACCCCTCTGACAAGTGTAAATTGGCACGGCTCCCATGGCCGAAAGCTTTGAACACACAATGCCATTTCAGCATGATAGCATATTAATCGTATTGCCCATCCATTTTCAATGATTGCTTGATGTTTTTCAGAACATTCTATGACAAAGTATGGCTACGTCTTGACTTCTGGTGGTAATCTGAAATGTAAGATGGTAGCCCATTTGAGGGCTCAACAGTCTAACTACGGCTGGACGAAGGTGCTGAGTCAGTGCATGGACTGGGTGAATAAGAAGGGCGTCTCATCCATGTCAATACCTGCACTGGGTACAGGTGAGTCAGTGTATGGACTGGGTGAATAAGAAGGGCGTCTCGTCCATGTCAATACCTGCACTGTGGGTACAGGTGAGTCAGTGCGTGGACTGGGTGAATAGGAAGGGCGTCTCATCCATGTCAATACCTGCACTGGGTACAGGTGAGTCAGTGTATGGACTGGGTGAATAAGAAGGGCATCTCGTCCATGTCAATACCTGCACTGTGGGTACAGGTGAGTCAGTGCGTGGACTGGGTGAATAAGAAGGGCGTCTCATCCATGTCAATACCTGCACTGGGTACAGGTGAGTCAGTGCATGGACTGGGTGAATAAGAAGGGCGTCTCATCCATGTCAATACCTGCACTGGGTACAGGTGAGTCAGTGTATGGACTGGGTGAATAAGAAGGGCATCTCGTCCATGTCAATACCTGCACTGGGTACAGGTGAGTCAGTGTATGGACTGGGTTAATAAGAAGGGTGTCTCGTCCATGTCAATACCTGCACTGGGTACAGGTGAGTCAGTGTATGGACTGGGTGAATAAGAAGGGCGTCTCGTCCATGTCAATACCTGCACTGGGTACAGGTGAGTCAGTGCGTGGACTGGGTGAATAAGAAGGGCGTCTCGTCCATGTCAATACCTGCACTGGGTACAGGTGAGTCAGTGTATGGACTGGGTGAATAGGAAGGGCGTCTCGTCCATGTCAATACCTGTACTGGGTACAGGTGAGTCAGTGCGTTGACTGGGTTAATAAGAAGGGCATCTCGTCCATGTCAATACCTGCACTGGGTACAGGTGAGTCAGTGTATGGACTGGGTGAATAAGAAGGGCATCTCGTCCATGTCAATACCTGCACTGGGTACAGGTGAGTCAGTGTATGGACTGGGTGAATAAGAAGGGCGTCTCATCCATGTCAATACCTGCACTGGGTACAGGTGAGTCAGTGTATGGACTGGGTGAATAAGAAGGGCGTCTCGTCCATGTCAATACCTGCACTGGGTACAGGTGAGTCAGTGTATGGACTGGGTGAATAAGAAGGGCGTCTTGTCCATGTCAATACCTGCACTAGGTACAGGTGAGTCAGTGCATGGACTGGGTGAATAAGAAGGGCGTCTCATCCATGTCAATACCTGCACTGGGTACAGGTGAGTCAGTGTATGGACTGGGTGAATAAGAAGGGCGTCTCGTCCATGTCAATACCTGCACTGTGGGTACAGGTGAGTCAGTGCAGGGACTGGGTGAATAAGAAGGGCGTCTCATCCATGTCAATACCTGCACTGTGGGTACAGGTGAGTCAGTGCATGGACTGGGTGAATAAGAAGGGCGTCTCGTCCATGTCAATACCTGCGCTAGGTATAGGTGAGTCCTGCGCTAGGTACAGGTGAGCCAGTGCAATAATCTTTGATGCGATGTTAAACCCCATTTCATCTCACCTAAAACTGAGAACAAGAATAGGAGTTACTGTTATTACATCGCATAGATTGTGAAACTGATTCCTGCATTGGTTAAGACCATGTTGACTATCAGCTGGGTTCTGTGCAGGCGGACTGAAGCAGTCTCCAGAGAAGATGGCGAGCGCCATCTATGATGCCATCAACAAGTACGGCGCCAGCCACCCAGCACCAAGCCTCAGCCAGGTTCGAGTCGTCATCTTCCAGGACGAGATGCTGAACGGTTTCAGGACAGTGTTTGCTGGTGGCAGGCCACGTACATCGTCATCGCACTCTGCACAGGACAAAAGGGGTATGGTGGTTATTTCTCAGAATGGCATTTTCATTCACGAATCCAAAGGGAGTTGGGGTCGGGTTAGGGAGTTGGGACCGGGGTAGGGTTTGGGGTCAGTTTAGGGAGTTGGGATAGGGTAAGGGAGTTGGGATCGGGTTAGGGGTTAGGCAGTTGGGATCGGGTTAGGGAGTTGGGATCGGGTTAGGGAGTTGGGATAGGGTTAGGGAGTTGGGATCGGGTTAGGGATTTGGGATCGGGTTAGGGAGTTGGGATAGGGGTAGGGAGTTGTGGTCGGGTTAGGGAGTTGGGGTCGGGTTAGGGAGTTGGGATAGGGGTAGGGAATTGGGGTAGGGCTATGGAGTTGTGGTCGGGTATGGAGTTGTGGTCTGGGAAGGGAGTTGGGATAGGGGTAGGGAGTTGGGGTCGGGCTATGGAGTTGGGGTCGGGGTATGGAGTTGTGGTCGGGGTAGGGAGTTGGGGTCAAGGTAGGGAGTTGAGGTTGGGGTAGGGAGTTGAAGTCGGGGTGCAGAGTTGTGGTCGGGGTAGGGAGTTGAGGTTGGGGTAGGAAGTTGAGGTCGGGGTAGGGAGTTGAGGTTGGGGTAGGGAGTTTGGGTCGGTTAAGGGAGTTGGGATAGGGGTAAGGATTTGGGATAGGGGTAGGGAGTTGGGATAGGGGTAAGGATTTGGGATCGGGTTAGGGAGTTGGGATAGGGGTAAGGATTTGGGATAGGGGTAAGGATTTGGGATAGGGGTAGGGAGTTGGGATAGGGGTAAGGATTTGGGATCGGGTTAGGGAGTTGGGATAGGGGTAAGGATTTGGGATAGGGGTAGGGAGTTGGGATAGAGGTAAGGATTTGGGATCGGGTTAGGGCGTTGGGATAGGGGTAAGGATTTTGGATGGGGAAGGGAGTTGGGATCGGGGAAGGGAGTTGGGATAGTGGAAGGGAGTTGGGATAGGGGTAGGGGCCTGTCCCCTTCTGAAGCATTCTGAATCTGTAAACGCACAAGAAACATGTTACAAACTCATGTGTTTTAAGTATGTCACACACTTCTTTTTCCAAGAAGCTCTATTTGCACTTGATTATAGAACTAATATCTGAGATTTGACAGGAATGTATGGCTCAATACAAATGATAACATGATTCCACAACAATATGTCTGTACTCGCCAGTAGAGCCAGCTGAGCATGACCTACAGGTTGTGTTCGCCCAGATATAAGAGCATCAATCTATTACCATCAAATACATGATCCAAATACACAGATTCTGCCCCTATGTGTGATCATCTGCCGTGTTGTGTGTGGACCTTGATGTTGTTCAGACTCCAATACCCACAGAGGGGCAGTGGGGTAGGCTAGTGGGTAAAGTGTTCGCTCCTCACGCCCAAGACCTGTGTTCGACTCCCCAAATGGGTACAATGTGTGAAGCCCATTTCTGGTGTCCCCCGTCTTGCTGGAATGCTGCTAAAGCGGTGTAAAACAATACCCACTCCCTATCCCCACAGTGGACGGTCAAACTAGAATGTTGGACAAAGTATTGCAGTGTTGAAGTGATGGTCGGTATGCTGGTATACGGTAGAAAAGATCGGGGGCATGACTCGTCACAGATGTGTTGGTGATACTGATATTGTAAGTTTTTTAGTTGGCGATGGATGTTTGCTTGTGAGTGAGCAGCAGGCCTCTTCACAATGAGACGATTGTAACTACCATACTTTAACAAAGACTTAAGACAATCACAGCGCTAAGATCGCTTTGTGCAACAGGGGCCAAGTCTTTTGCGGACACTGTCAAAGGTAGGGCATAATATAATTTATAACGTCAAACCATTATGATGGCATAATCAGGCATTTTAACGTGCATTACAAACAAGTAACACTGACGCAAATATAGGTCGTTATACAAAATTATAGGCAAATTTTATTTCAACCATAACATGGCTAACAAAGACACAATTTATGGACAAAAAATGTTCTAACATTGTAAATGCGATGTTTCGGTATAGATCTTTATACCGTTGTCAAGGAAGACTGAATGAGGAACATTGTACAGAATGTGTACAGTAGGTGGAGGATTAACAGTAACAACAATTGCATACATGAGTGGGATAACATGAGAAAGTGGTGAGAACAGAAGGATAATGCTCTCACAACATGATGGACAGAGAACACATAGGTGAAAGCCAATTAAACAGGATAAGTTCACATAGGTGTGGTGATAATTGCTTCCGCAGTTCATAGTAGGCGGATGGGGTGAAATAGCCTTGATCTCTGTTGATTGATGGCTTGTGGCTGCTTCTGTTAGTTTTCTTTTAGTGAAGTCATGGAGGTTGTTGGAGAGGATTTGCATGTTTTCCCAATTGATGATATGTATGGGGCTGTTGCTGATATGGTCCGAGATGGCTGACTGGCCGTCTGATTTGATGGTTGAGGTTTTGTGCTCTTTGATTCTGGTGTTGATGGGGCGGGATGTTTCACCTATGTAGGATTGTCCACAGTTGCAGTCAATTTTATAAACTACACCGAAGTGTCGTCTTACACTATTAAAGATGTTGTTATCCATAAGTAATGCAAGTCAAACAAAACATGGGTAAGTTGGAGAAATCACTTGAATGACTTGATTCCGGAAGTAGAATCACCAGATTCCAGTGGTTCCTCCATTACCTTATTCATTTTGTCCATACCAGAATAACACATGTTGTTTATAAACATCCAAGGGGAGATTACTCATATCACTCAACCATAGCTTGCTCCAGCCTTCCGGTAGTATCCATTTGTCACAAGGGAATTCCCCTCTCAGACATTGTGCTGACATTGATGTTGTAGGTCATCAAGAGGCAAGAAGTAAAAGGTCACATCGAAGATCGAAAACGTCACATCACAAATCCCCAGATGACGTCATTGACACAAGCAACAAACACATCGATGACAGCGTGGTCCTCTGCATCTACACCGACGACAAGAAGAATGCTGAGGCAGCTAAGCAGAGGATAACGATGCTGTGCAAGGAAGAGTTTGAACACAAGGCGCTGTCAAAATCTTGGAACGAATTCATCGGCAAACTGAAAGCCAAGGAGGTGGGCGTTGACCTAGTTTCATTCTAATTTTGTGGGTGTTGACCCAATTTCGTTCTTATGTAGTAAGCATTGACCAAATTTCATTCATGTGTAGTTGGCATTGACCTAATTTCATTTTTATGTTGTAAGCATTGACCTAATTTCATTCTTATGTAGTAAGCATTGACCTAATTACATTCTTTTGTAGTTGGCACTGACCCAGTATCATTCGTATGTAGTAGGCTTTTGCCTAGTTTCATTCTTATGTAGTAGGAATTGAACTAGATTCATTATATTGTGCTGGTCGTTGACCTAGTTTCATTCTAATGCACTGGGTGTTGACCTAGTTTCATTCTTATGTAGTAAAAATTGACCTAGTTTCATTCTAATGCACTGGGTGTTGACCTAGTTTCATTCTAATGCACTGCGTGTTGACCTAGTTTCATTCTAATGTGCTGGGTGTTGACCTAGTTTCATTCTAATGTGCTGGGTGTTGACCTAGTTTCATTCTAATGTGCTGGGTGTTGACCTAGTTTCATTCTTACGTTGTAGGAATTGACCTAGTTTCATTATAGTGTGCTGGGTGTTGACCTTGTTTCATTCTAATGTGCTGGGTGTTGACCTAGTTTCATTCTTATGTAGTAGGAACTGTCCTAGTTTCATTCTAATGAGCTTGGTGTTGACCTAGTTTCATTCTAATGTGCTGGGTGTTGACCAGGTTATATTCTATTGTTGACCTATCTCAATCATTTAAATCCTAGGTTCAGTAGAATGTAGGCTTTAATTGTTGAGTTAATGGGAGTCAATCTGATAAAAACCGTGTTCCTTTCTTTCCACAACCACACCAATACGTCACACCTTTATGTACTATAATGAGTTCCATGCCTTCCCACCAGGTGTCCTCTCTGTACCGAATAGCAGACGACAACGGTGTAGCACTCTCCAAGACAGCACACGGCCTGACTCTGACAGGCAAAGTTCGGCTGGTGTCGGCAGCTTACGACATCATCGCGGAGAAGCTGCAGACGTTGCAGAAGAAGTCTCTGATGCAGAGGGAGGCCAGGACGTTGGCCCAGCTGGTGGAGTGGGTGTACGTGGACGAGAAGGGACGCAGTACGCCATTCACACCAGGCATCAACTGTCAACTTGAGAAGGCCCGTAACGATAAAGTGAAGACACTTGAGATCGAGGACTTCAAGGGAAGGAAGTACAAGATCGACCTGGAAGCCAGGTTGGAATACCCCCCTGACGGAAGCAAGCCTCTGACCATCAACAGAATAGAAAAGGTATGGTTATAGGTTGATCAAGAAAGGGGTACTTACGGGTGAAGTTAAGGGGAGGCAGGATTTTTTTGAAAAGTCAATAGTATTCATCTTGTGGCATACATGGTGAGATAAACATGGTGAGTGGCACAATAGTCTGAATATCCTTAATATCACCCGTACATAACTGTATGAGAGGGAGTATTGTTTTCGGCGCAGAGATTCTTTTGCTGCTTCATGGTAGGCTGTGTATTGACCAACGCCATCGGACACGACAACCATGGTCATCCAGATCATGCATTGTAGTCATCCAATCCTCCTCTGTCGCCTTTTAAGTCAAGCTGGAAGTATTAGGCATCTGTTTTACTCCAGAAGACAAATGCATCTACACCCCATACATGGCATGGTGTGTTATAGCCCTATGTTTGTGAAGGGATGTATAGTGATCCCTCGATGTATCTATAGGATCTGGGTGGTGGGGTAGCCTAGTGGTTAAAGCATCCGCTCATCTCGCTGAAGGCCCAGGTTCTATTCCTGACATGGGTACAATGTGTGAAGCCCATTTCTGGTGTCCCTCGCCGTGATACTCCTGGAATATTGCTAAAAGCAGTGTAAAATCATACTCACTCACTACAGGATGTGTTGGGGATCTCCTGATCAGCAGGTCGATTCAAACCTAAGGATGTATGTTGGGACGCATTTTCCATCCATGTTTAAACTCTACCAATGTAGCTGTGTATACATTTATTCCTCTGTGACTGATGGTATAATTGCTAGTGTTCTGTGTAACTCTGCTTGTGGTCTGTAGGGGGCGCCGTCAGGTCTTGGCCGGTACGTGGAGGGCGAGAAGGAGGCGCTAGCTGGCTCCACCACGGTCTACTTCTCCATCACACCCGAGAGGAACTTCAAGGGGACAGCAGAAGACCTCCACTTCAGGACTGCGGAGTCTCAGTTCTACAGACTGCTGAGTGACCAGGGAGGGAGGTCAGTGGTCTGACGGTGGCACCGGCCCACAAAGCGATCTTAGCGCTATGACTATCTTAGCCAGTGTTAAAGTATGGGAGTTCTGGGCACCTTTCCACAAAGTGATATTAGCGCTATGACTATCTCAGCCAGTGTTAAAGTATGGGAGTTATAATCACCATTCCACAAAGTGTTTTAGCGCTTCGACTATCTTAGCCAGTGTTAAAGTCTTGGAGTTATAATCACCGTTTCACAAAGTGTTTTAGCGCTACGACTATCTCAGCCAGTGATAAAGAATGGGAGTTATCATCACCGTTGCACAAAGTGATCTTAGCGCTATGACTATCTTAGCCAGTGTTAAAGTATGGGAGTTATCATCACCGTTCCACAAAGTGATCTTAGCGCTATGACTATCTTAGCCAGTGTTAAAGTATGGGAGTTATAATCACTGTTCCACAAATTGATATTAGCGCTATGACTATCTTAGCCAGTGTTAAAGTATGGGAGTTATGATCACAGTTCCACAAAGTGATCTTAGCGCTATGACAATCTTAGCCACTGATAAAGTATGGGAGTTATAATCACCGTTCCACAAAGTGATCTTAGCGCTACGACTATCTTAGCCAGTGATAAAGTAAGGGAGTTATAATCAACGTTCCACAAAGTGATCTTAGCGCTACGACTATCTTAGCCAGTGTTAAAGTATGGGAGTTATAATCACTGTTCCACAAAGTGATCTTAGCGCTACGACTATCTCAACCAGTGATAAAGTAAGGGAGTTATAATCACCGTTCCACAAAGTGATCTTAGCGCTACGATTATCTTAGCCAGTGTTAAAGTATGGGAGTTATGATCACTGTTCCACAAAGTGACCTTAGCACTACGACTATCTTAACCAGTGTTAAAGTCTGGGAGTTATAATAACCCTTCCACAAAGTGATCTTAGCATTATGACTATCTCAGCCAGTGATAAAGTAAGGGAGTTATGATCACCGTTTCACAAAGTGATATTAGCGCTATGACTATCTCAGCCAGTGATAAAGTATGGGAGTTATAATCACCGTTCCACAAAGTGATCTTAGCGCTATGACTATCTTAGCCAGTGTTAAAGTATGGGAGTTATGATCATGGTTCCACAAAGTGATCTTAGCGCTATGACTATCTTAACCAGTGTTAAAGTCTGGGAGTTATAATCACCGTTCCACAAAGTGATCTTAGCACTATGACTATCTCAGCCAGTGATAAAGTAAGGGAGTTATGATCACCGTTTCACAAAGTGATCTTAGCGCTATGACTATCTCAGCCAGTGATAAAGTAAGGGAGTTATAATCACCGTTCCACAAAGTGATCTTAGCCCTATGACTATCTCAGCCAGTGATAAAGTATGGGAGTTATAATCACTGTTCCACAAAGTGATCTTAGCGCTACGACTATCTCAGCCAGTGATAAAGTAAGGGAGTTATTATCACCGTTCCACAAGCGATCTTAGCGCTATGACTGTCATAAGCCAGTGTTAAAGTTTGGGAGTTACAATCACCTTAGGGCTAAGATGGCTGGAGGGGGCTCTGTATCCTAACAACCACATGGTCATTTAGTGTGACCTTGTATGTCCTTAGAATCATCTATGAATCATCATTACATGTGATGGGCTATGTGAAGATATAAAATGTTCCTAATATGTTTCAGATACAAAGTTGTGAAAGTTGAATACGTGGTGACGCCTGATCTGGTGAAGCGGTTCAGGTATGTCTGTGTATCAAGTACTATCAAGTACTAAGTACTTAGCAAGTACTATGCTAATCAGTCCCACCATAACCTCAACACACAAACCAGACTTTGAAAACTATCTGTGTGATGTAGAAACTTCAAAACAGTATGGTGTACTCGCTATCCAAATGTTTACAATTGTTGCATTTCAATTCTCGTTTGCTGTATTGCCTCCCTTTGGCGTACCAGGATCCAATGATTGTGGATTCGAAAAACAGTTTTGTCCTGATTATGGTCATAGAATACTTGTGATCTTGCATTGTTTTACCGAAGTAGAAGACCTGCATCACTTCCGTCAATGATCTCATCACTCCCACATCAGCTGACACTCCGTGACATGACAAAATGGTGTTGAAAGTGGCGTAACACCAGCTAACTCACTGAATACTAATTAAACAAGAATTACCAAATATTCCATAATAAATAACACTTATTTCCCTCACTAGTTTTAGTTTTACGCCAGTAAGTGAATATTGCTCAGTTTTGATTTACACCTCGTGGCAAAGGATCATTTGATGTTTTACCATGGTAACGCCCTCCCCCGTGTGGTGTGATTGCATAACGGTAAATGGACGGTTGTTAGTTTTAATGTTTATCAATATTGTCATTCTGCAACTAGATCTGCCCAGGAATCTCTGAAGAATTCTCGCGGGGAGATGAACGCCCAGCCCATTCTGGCGTTCCATGGAACAGATGAGGGAAACATCAAGAAGATCTGCGAGAAGGGATTCCTCATGCATGGTAGGCTTATCTGATTCCTTCACATATCTTTTCCTCTCACGTCCTTCCTCCACTAACACGTGCATGGACAGATGTAGTCTGGAGATGTGAGTGATGCTGATCTGCCATCTTGACCTTGTGTTGCCAGGCGACCCCGGGTTCCAAATGAAGTCCGGCAACAAGTACGGCAGCGGCGTCTACTTCAGCGAGTACCCTGACTACTCCATGCAATACATCAGAGGCTCCACCAAGCTGCTGCTCTGTAAAGTCATGCTGGGAAAGGTAACACGTCTCCCCACGGCAGTGGACAATCGCAGCACTCAACCACAACCTGACTGGTTTAAACGAAGCTAAATGTGGAATGTCATGAGTTCTTTGATTGGTTTAAATGAAACATATTATATTTTGGGTAGGCTCTCATCTTGGAATTTATGCTAAGCGTCCTTGTGCTTCAGATGAAATAGTTCAGGGCAAAGCTATACTTTATTACACTACACATGGGTGGTGCCAACTTTATTTCTCAAACATATATAGGTACAGTCAAAGACTGTTGTATCAAACTACGATGTGTCAAACTTATGTTTGTCTCAAAGTAAAACCTGGTCCCTGCTTATTCCTCTTTTAGTCATCAGTTTCGGTTGTCAAACCTCGGCTACCTTGACGTATTTACGTAGGTTGCTTCAACTTCAACACAAGCGTTTTTGACTGTGTTATTGTCAAATACTGTATTCGACGTAATAAGTGTCCCGCTCTAATAAGGGCCCACGGCGATATTTGCTGATATATTGGCCAGTGAACAATCCTAATTAGCACCCCTTTCGATTGATCAATGTACACAAGACTTATTTATTCGCGTGTAATACGCACTCATGTGTTATATGCACACTTAATTCTGGAAAAGTATATCTGTCGTACATAAACATTTCAGGCATTTCAGAATTTACCTTTAACTTGTTTCTTTCACGAAAATAATACTCTAATAAGAGCCCCCTATTCCTAATTTTGAGAAGGCCCTGGGTGCTTATTACGTCGAGTATGGTATATAAGTTCAGCATTAACTTGTAATGGATAGCTGATGCACAGGTTTTCCACCTTCTCGGTACACTGGTTAAAAGCAGGAACCCATTTCACAAAGCGATAGTAGTGCTACAGATGTCGTAAATCTAGGTTAAGTATGGGAGCTAAGATCCTCTTAGCACAGTTGTGTGAAACACGTCGTCAGTTCTTTATTTCTGTCAGTCAAAAGTCCCAAGATGATTCCCGATCAGAGTAGATCCCAAACACCCCTTGCTTGTCGTAAGAGTCGCTATACGAGGATCTAGTGGTCATGCTCTGTGACTTGACTGACTGAGGCTGCCAATCCACTTTTGGTGTTTGGGATTCAGGGTCTATTTGGAGGGTATTCAGGGGTCTATTTAGAGGGTATTCGGGGGTCTATGTAGAGGTATTCGGGGTTCTATGTAGTGGGTATACATGGGTCTATGTAGAGGGTATTTGGGGGTCTATGTAGAGGGTATTCGGGGGTCTATGTAGAGTGTATACATGGGTCTATGTAGAGGTTATTCGGGGGTCTATTTAGAGGGTATATGGGGGTCTATTTAGAGGGTATATGGGGGTCTATTTAGAGGGTATTCGGGGGTCTATTTAGAGAGTATTCGGGGGTCTATTTAGAGGGTATTCGGGGGTCTATTTAGAGAGTATTCGGGGGTCTATGTAGAGGATGTTCAAGGTCTATGTAGAGGGTATTCAAGGTCTATGTAGAGGGTATTTGGGGGTCTATTTAGAGGATATACATGGGTCTATTTAGAGGTATTTGGGGGTCTATGTAGAGGGTATTCGGGGGTCTATTAAGAGGGTATTCAGGGGTCTATATAGAGGGTATTTAGGGGTATATTTAGAGGATATAAATGGGTCTATGTAGAGGTATACGGGGGTCTATGTAGAGGTATTTGGGGGTCTATGTAGAGGGTATTTTGGGTTCTATGAAGAGGGTATTTGGGGGTCTATGTAGAGGTATTCGGGGGTCTATGTAGAGGGTATTTGGGGGTCTATGTAGAGGTATTTGGGGGTCTGTGTAGAGGGTATTCGGGGGTCTATTAAGAGGGTATTTGGGGGTCTATTTAGAGGATATTTGGGGGTCTATGTAGAGGTATTTGGGGGTCTATGTAGAGGGTATTTTGGGTTCTATGTAGAGGGTATTTGGGGGTCTATGTAGAGGGTATTCGGGGGTCTATTAAGAGGGTATTTGGGGGTCTATTTAGAGGATATTTGGGGGTCTATGTAGAGGTATTTGGGGGTCTATTTAGAGGGTATTTGGGGGTCTATGTAGAGGTATTTGGGGGTCTATGTAGAGGGTATTTTGGGTTCTATGTAGAGGGTATTTGGGGGTCTATGTAGAGGTATTCGGGGGTCTATGTAGAGGGTATTTGGGGGTCTATGTAGAGGTATTTGGGGGTCTGTGTAGAGGGTATTCGGGGGTCTATTAAGAGGGTATTTGGGGGTCTATGTAGAGGTATTTGGGGGTCTGTGTAGAGGGTATTCGGGGGTCTATTAAGAGGGTATTTGGGGGTCATTCAGCAGTCTCTCACTTCTTCACTCACCAGACTGGCAATAGCTGTGACCATTTTCTGTTTCCAGACGTACACAATCTCAAGCTTCTCACAGGGCAGTGTCCATCCAGGCTACGACTCTCACACATCGGCATGCGGCAAGGAGCTTGTCATCTTCGACACTGCCCGGATATTGCCGTCATACATTGTCCACTACAAGTAGAACCAGTCCAACTCCATATATGGCATGCAACTCCATATATGGCATGGAAACCCTCACACAATCATTTCTTGCATTAACTATTAAGGGAACACAAGCGTCGTGAGAATGTCGGGCCCTGGCAATTGCTTCTGTTTGTATCCTCATTTGAATAATTACACGTTATCTGGTCCACAACCAAGGGCGGATCCAGCACTTTTAAAAGGGAGGGGTCCAAAATATCAAAATTCTCTAATACATGTAGTTTACTGCCTACGACAAACCACATTTGGTTTCCAAACTGGGTGGTGGTGGTTTGATCCGGACCCCCTGTGGATCCGCCAATGACTAAGCACAGATCTCTATGTATTTTGTGCCAATATTGATCATCATCTTCATAATAGTGATGTCATCCTGGTGATGATGACAAAGTTTAGGTTTTAAAGTATTTTTATGCGTTGAACACCTGCACACATTATTTAGACAGCACTGATAGTAACCTCCTCATTACTTGAGTGGGTCTTTGCATTGTTTGTGTGTCAAAGTGGCGCCATTTTTGTATCATGCACCGTAGATTATATGTTCTTATATGTTGCCATGTTGTTTACATGTTGTATGTCTGTACACGGACCTATACAAGTCCGTGGTCCGTACAATGGCGCCACAGCTCTGGCTTGTTGTGACTGTCATGATACATGTCTGTGTGGTGGATGTGTGGTAATCACTGACGTGGCCTGTGTGGCTTCTACAGGTAGGGTCCGTATACTGGAACTGTGATATGAGTGTGAGCGTGGACATATTCCTCTTGTCAATATGATCTATGAACCTGATAGTGTTTATCCCCCCCTAGTACACATGCTTTGCAAATCCTATAAATCTGCACGGCAGTTTACGAAACCGGATATCTATTTTGTAAAACGATTTTGATTGGACTATGCATAGACTCGTTAGTCCAGCCAAAATATAGCTCCACAATTCCAGCCTAGTTCAGCAAGGGTGGAAATTGGACTTTGACAGTCAGTTAACTCCCTTGCCTCGGAAGATTTTACAAGGACTGAGACAAATATCGATGTTACCTTCTATCCATTATGCCACTATTATTGATATCAATGAAAATATTTTTTTGAATTATAACTCCCTTGGCCCATTTAGATAAGTTCCCCTTTCAAAGGGAGAAAGCAACTGGTCAAGTGTTCATGTACTCGTATAAATAATTTTTTCATCATTATTTTGACATGTCATTTAGTATTTGCAGTACAACATCCTTGGTTGGTGGGGTAGCTTAGTGGTTAAAGTGTTCGTTCGGCACATCAAAGACCCGGTTCATTTTCCCACAGGGGTACAATGTGTGAAGCTCATTTCTGGTTTCCCCTGCTGTGATATTGCTGGAATATTGCTGAAAGCGGTGTAAAACACTACTCACTCACTCACTCAAGACAGGACAGGGTTGACTGCATGACTCATCACCGTCCTCTACCCTGGCTGTTGGAACAGAAGGATCCAGACAGAACAGAGCGTCATTGTATGTAGTCATTGAAAGGCATCGAGAAGTGATACACATAAGGAAGAGAAATTATGGATGTCAACTTCTTCATTATGAGGAACCCAACGTTTTGGAGTATATACCTACACCTTCTGACACTTGATGCAGGAGTAAGTATATACTCTGAAACGTTGTGTTCTTCATAATGAAGAGGTGAGGTGAGATGGGGTTTAATGTCACGTTCAAGATTATTGCACTTATATAGCGACGTGCATGCATGCGTGTGTGGCTGCTTGTACTAATCCGGACTGATGCCGATTTATAGTGCTAGCCCACCGAGATACCATGCTGCAGTTTAACATGAATACCCCACTCAGACACAGTATACTGACTCCGAGCCGACCAGTCCTTGTTTTAGCCCCATAATGCCGAGCACCAGACAGGGTAACAACAAGTACCATCTTTTAACGTCTTTTGGTATGAAGCGGCCGGGGATCGAACCCCAGACCTTCCGCTCTCGGGGCAGATGCTCTACCACTAGACCAGGGAGGCAGTCTCATAATAAAGAAGTTGACATCCCTAAATTCTCTTCCTAATCATTATATGTACTAATTCATCATACGTTACTTTATCTTAAATAGCAGTATACAGCAAGACAACATTAAACCATTTTGCATCATTGATAGTTTCGTTACATTTTACATTAGGTATTGAATTAAATAATCACATCCCCAGTGACAACAGGCAAAGTCTGAGTGTGTGACAAAATGACGTGAAACTAATGGCAGGGAAACTCGTGGTGTGGTGACGTGGACAATCAAAATAAACAAGTACAGTAAACTACGAATGTAACGAACTCAAAGAGACTAAGTTTAGTTTGATAACTGTTGTTCATAATAAGCATATATATACAGCAAATGGTCGGGACAAAAAAACAATGTGTTATATCCGTCAGTTTGTTAAAAGCATGTTTGTTATAAACGTAGTTTACTGTATTTCATCAAGAACGTCACTGGAGTCGGTACATGCTATTTTCAAAATGATCATGCTTTGTGTCAGGCTTGTATCACAGGAAGAATGGAATCTTGCAGTGTTTGTATCTGGTTGTAATCCATTCAATAAACATTCAGAAGATCAGTGTTCTATAGAACTACCAGACTTTATGTTCAATGGATATCATGTTGAAGAGAAACTTGAGTCATCCCATTGCCTAGCAGCTGATTTCACATGTGTGAAATTTTGCAAAATATCAAAATACCAAAAACCACCAGTGAAGCTGATGAGCAATACATATGCCAAGTTTTGTTGAAAAACATGGAAAAGGTTTTCAATTAATGGCTCGGAAAAGGATGGGAATGTCGACGCCAAAGGAGGGGAGAGGGGAGAAGGGGAGAGGGGAGATGAAACATAAAAAACAGCCAGACCAACACTTGTTATGGGCAACGGATTGTGCCCATTGACCTGCATTATATACTAATAGGATCAGTCATCACACCGGAGACCTGGGTTTGATTCCACACTTGGGTACAATGTGTGAAGCCCATTTCTGGTGTCCCCTGTGGTGATGTTACTGGAATATTGCTGAAAGCGGCGTAAAACCAAACTCACTCAACAAGAGGAAAACTGTCACAAACATAACATCTGTACACTGCATGAGTGAATGTTGTTTTCCGTCATACAGATGACACACATGAATGCTTTAAATAACAGAGTAAAGGGGAGATAAATCAGTCGTTGATAACAGGATGAGCGAACTCCGTCGTGACGTACGATGCCAGTCAACCAGGCCTACCATTAACCTCCTCATGCCAAAGGGAGTTAACCATGGCGTGAACGGGAACGTCTGCAGCATGTAACAGTCCTGGTAGGACACTTCAAATAACAGAAGTCATGACATTGTCACATGATTCGAATATGGACGTGTATGGAGTGAATGAGTTGGGTTCATGATGATTTCAACACTATTTGAGTTGCATCACAGCACGTCAGCTCTTTGGAAAATACACCACAGTGAAGCAGGTCGTAGACATTAAACAAAACACGCAAGCACAAACTAGGGCAGGATAAAAAAATCTGAATTATCGTCAATGGGAAGAAACATTTATGATTATTGATATGAAAATTTTGTTATCGATAATATCTTACATGCACAATAATGATGAAATAAAGTTTAAACAAGTATTTGTCACAGAGTGACGAAATATCCCCCGCCTGTACACCATAGTACCAAATATGAAGACAATCCAGCGGTTAGTTCTTGAGATATTGTGGCAACACCGTTTTCCAACTCCAAAAACAGATTTGCCTGCTGTGACCTTGAAAATGGGGTCAAGGTCACCAAATCTGACAGGTGTATGCGGTGTCTGTATATACACTATAGTTCCAAATATGAAGACAATCCAGCGATTAGTTCTTGAGATATCGCGGCAACACCGATTTCTAACTCCAAAAGCAGATTTGCCTGCTGTGACCTTGACAATGGGGTCAAGGTCACCAAAACCGACTGGTGTCTGCGGTGTCTGTATATACACCATAGTTCCAAATATGAAGACAATCCAGTGTTTAGTTCTTGAGATATCGCGGCAACACCGTTTTCCAACTCCAAAAGCAGATTTGCCTGCTGTGACCTTGAAAATGGGATCAAGGTCACCAAAACCGACTGGTGTCTGCGGAGTCTGTATATACACCATAGTTCCAAATATGAAGACAATCCAGTGTTTAGTTCTTGAGATATCGCGGCAACACCGTTTTCCAACTCTAAAAGCAGATTTGTCTGCTGTGACCTTGAAAATGGGATCAAGGTCACCAAAACCGACTGGTGTCTGCGGAGTCTGTATATACACCATAGTTCCAAATATGAAGACAATCCAGTGTTTAGTTCTTGAGATATCGCGGCAACACCGTTTTCCAACTCTAAAAGCAGATTTGTCTGCTGTGACCTTGAAAATGGGATCAAGGTCACCAAAACCGACTGGTGTCTGCGGAGTCTGTATATACACCATAGTTCCAAATATGAAGACAATCCAGTGTTTAGTTCTTGAGATATCGCGGCAACAAACAGGTGGGACGTACGGACTTGTAATTTTAAATCGAATCAATTGCCAAAGACGGAAAGCAGTTTATTTTGTTACAACTTAAATGTCCACAAAGTTATCGTTGCATAAACCACTCACCAGTGGCAGGAAGTGTGTTGATTTCTTTCAGACTTGTTTGTATAGTTGCTCAAAGTTACTTCTCCGATATTTATCGATAATTGATCAATATTTAGTTAACAATCATCAATCTCTATGATCAGTTTTGAAAGCCAGACCTAGCAAAAACCAAGGTTTCCAACCAACAACCTATGGATCCCGGGCATCACATAAGGCAGTTGTCTCCATCAATAATCACTACTTCCCGTGTTTGTATACTCTATGTTCAATTATGTTATAATTAGTCAGTAATGATTGTGGTGCTGAATTCTAAAAATCCACCCAAATACTTGTTAGAGGCTGACATAAACTTGAACAGAAACACAGAACGAACAGTTGACATATTTTTATTGCAAGCAACATTGCATGTCATGTGAGCAGATGTCCATCTTATACAGCCTCTGTATCAATACAGATACAGATACACCTGGCCCCATGCTACTTATAGTGAACCCTCATTAATCTGGACAATGTTATTACAGACAATTACACCTATAACATACGTATATATACAAATAGACATTAACCCCTTACCAGGAATCGCTAATCCATAAACATGTAAACTTGGATGCTATCACTTGGAAATCAACTGTCCAGATTAACAAGGGTTTACTGTATGTTCTCCTGGGACAAACACATATAATTCACCGAAATCTTGTTTAGGATATTTGTTCAAAAGCTCTGTGCAGAAACACAACTATTGACAATACATTGAACTAATTCTAAGTGTGTATTTGACAAAGAAGAGGAATAATAACAGAATAAACAAAAGTTGTCCTCATGTTATACAAAGAAGTTTGTCCCCACCTTCTATAGAACACAGTTGTATAAGTCCTGCCTGAAAATATATTCGTCTCATCCCAAGTTCCAGCTCTCCAACCCTCCACCTCATATTGAAAGCAGAGCATTACTGAAAGTGTCGACATATCTTCAAATACACAACAAACATAAGTTCATTTAGAAGAGGCTGAAGACATCAATTGATTTTAGAAGTTGTCATCCATATTTAGAATTCTTAGTCCTATTTCTTTACTAGAACTTTCCAGTTGTATTGTTGTTGACAAATACTTTAACGAGGTTGGCCTAAAATTGGCCAACATCTTTAACATGCACAGACTGTTTGTATCAATAGTGTCATGTGGTATATTGACACAGCGTCTGGAAACATGGAATTCATTCATAGACATTTTGATGATCAGCGGTAAACCCTGTCTTTGCACCACAATTCATAAAC